GGTGAGATAAGTGATCTACTTGCGAGGGACGAGTGTGAGGATAGTAAGATGCCTGCGAAGAGGGTGCGCGGTGAAAAGCGCTGCGGGCGATGTAAGGAGACTGGGCATAATACACGCACCTGCACGGCCGATATTGAGTTAGAGACTGATAGCGAGGCTTCTGAAGAATAGATTAGCTTATTAGGATTTTGATTTTACTGTGATAATAGACTGTAATAAGGTTGCGATGTTCATAAGCTTAGGAAAAGGTGCCAGCTCGCTTGGGGTGCCAGCTCGCTTATGAAACACGTTAATTAACTTAAATAATAATTTTTATTTTATATTTATTATATTTAATAAAGACATGCTAATATATCCTCTAGTAGGCATAAGTGTAAATACTACGCCTTGCAGGAGTCCTCTGCTTACTTCTCGTCCATCTCTACATGCTACCACCACTTGAATATGAAACAGAAGTAAGGTTTCTACACATTAGTCTGCCTTCTTTTAGGCTTCCTATACTCTGTACTTAGCGGTCGAATACTCTTAGTATACATCATGCTCCAATTGCATCGTTTCAACTATGTTAAACTTGCAATGACTACTTGTATTCTTGACTGATTACCCTTGCAGCCTCAGCTGAGCGATTTCTGTATGGAGGAGAGGCACAGAGGGTATCCCTCTTGGCAGCCTTGCGTCGTCTCGCTTTGCATGTTGCATCATGAACTGCGCCTCAACAACACTGTACATCTCAACTCCACGATCGTAGAGGGGATTTGGTTCCTATCGTTGCATCGATACAGCGTTACAGCCTAATAAATTATCCCGTCTGTTGGGTAAAGGAAATCTCTGAATAGAAGATCTTCGCCAGGGTCGGACGATTTGTCACTACAATGCGTCTGTTGAGAATTGACAGCTCTGGTGCACTCCAATTTACTGGGGATCTGACCGAGGTTCCACCCTATGCCATACTCTCCCATACATGGGGACCAGATGGAGACGAAGTCACCTACGACGACTTTGTCAGTGGAGCGTACCATCGCAAGGCTGGATACGCCAAGATACAGTTCTGCGGTATCCAGGCCCGGAGAGACAATCTGGAATATTTTTGGGTTGATTCCTGCTGTATCGACAAGAAAAATTTCACCGAGCTCTCAGAAGCGATCACCTCTATGTTTCGCTGGTATGCTAATGCAGTGAAATGCTATGTGTACCTACCAGATGTCTCAACCGGGATGCAAGGCCACAACCAGACCGGACCAGGTTGGCACTCATCATTTCAAAGCAGCAGATGGTTTACACGTGGGTGGACTCTTCAGGAGTTGCTTGCTCCGAAGACGGTAGAGTTCTTCTCGAGAGAGGGGAAGCTACTAGGTGACAGAGTCTCGCTTGAAGTGGCTATTCAAAAAACCACTGGAATTCCTCTTGCTGCTCTTAGGGGCGCTCCACTCGCCGACTTCACCATCGAAGAGCGTATGGGATGGGCTGAGGAACGCAACACCAAGAAGAAGGAAGATCGCGCTTACTGTCTTCTGGGCATTTTCGACATCTTCATGCCCTTGATATACGGAGAGGGGGATAACGCATTCGCCCGACTCAGAGATGCGATCCATCAGTCTTCATCGGGAGAGCTTTCCGCACAGAAGGAACAGATTCTTCAGAGCTTGAACTCTGGCAGTCCATTTACGAGAGTGAACAATATTTCCCGACGTTCCGGTGGCACATTTGAATGGATCCTCCAAGACCAACATTTCGAGGTCAATCCTCAGCGGCGAAAACAGACGGAGAGTTATTGCTCCTGGCTTAGGCATGGCCAAGGTGTGTTTTGGATCAAGGGCAAGCCAGGCTCAGGCAAAAGCACTTTCATGAAGTTTCTCGCTGGAACAGATAACCAGAATCCGTTTACCCAGGACCATCTCCAGTTATGGGCAGGGACGGTAAAACGACCACGGATTCTGTCTTTCTACTTTTGGCTAGCCGATGATGCCAGGAGGCAAAACAGTGTCCATGGATTTCTCTGTCACATACTCTTCCAGCTACTGTCAGATCAGAGCCCTTCATTTGTTACAAGTTTGATCCCAGCACATCAAGTCAGACAGAAACAAAAGTTCGACAACTGGGATGTAAAAGAGTTAGAGATGACGGTGATAAATGTCGCTTGTCAAATTGCAAACCGAACACCGTTGTGCATCTTCATTGACGGACTAGACGAATGTCTCGCGGATGACCTCAATAAGGTCATAACAGTCATCAAAGAGCTCCATCTCAGGTCTCCTTCCAACATCAAATTCTGCATCTCGTCGCGGCCAGAGCAACAGATCGAGAATCGAGTCCGATGTCTTCAACCTCAACACTTAGACCTTCACGATCTTACGTATCAAGACATTAAACGGCACGTTACCGATTCCTTCGATGAATGTTGGGGGTATGGAGCTCATACAACGGTAGAAGAAAGATTTAGACTAATTGACCGTGTCATTTGGTCGGCCAAAGGGGTTTTCCTTTGGGCCTTTCTTGTAACCAAACAATTGTGCGAGAGCATCGAGTCTGGGGATACATACGATCAGGTCTGTGACCAGTTGGAGCTATTGCCTCGGGACATGGAGCAACTATACAGCGCCATGTTGAACAAAACTGGTAATGCTAGCGAATCTAGAAAGGACGAAGCCGCAGCTTACTTCAACCTCATCACCAACTTTCCTTCCAAGCGTTCGCTTTTTTGGGGTTCCGGACCTCACATTTCCTACTTCATCCCATTATACGAGCACTACCATGGAAAAATTCCAAGCAATGATAAATCGATCAAGTACAATCGGGTTCGCCACAGAATTAGCGTGTTATGCGGAGGGATGGTCACTTTCCGTGATTCCGAGAATGTTTATGAACGCGTCAGAGCAGGAGTCGTCGAACTCTTCCACCGAACAGCTATTGACTTCTTTCGCGAAGCTTCGGGCGCAGAAATATTATCAGCTTGTAAACTTTCGCAGGCGGACAGACTTACATTTTTTGTCGATGGCATTTGTGGTTATTGCTGCAGTACGGGAGACTGTAATTATTCGACTTCGGACGGTGACTATTTGATTAGACAAGCCTTGAGTATAAACGACCACAGTCATGCAGAAAAAGAAAGGGTGATACGACACATCGACACGAGCTTGGCCTGGGTGTACAACAAGAAGTCCGGAAACCCTGGAGAGCTGTGGCTGTATAATCAGGCGGTCCGCTACATTATTGGGCGACAAAGTGTCATTGACTTCACGACACTCCGTATATTTGCTGGGGATGAAACGATTCTGCCCCGTCTCCTGAACTCCGGGAAAAAGATGAGCCAAAGGTACAAGGATTTTCTTCTACTCATTTACGCAGGCGATGACACATACCGTGGAATACCTATGTCCGTCCCCAGCATGCGCATGTTGCTCCGTAGCGGGGCGAATCCAAATGCTACGTTTTACTGGCCCATGGAGAGAAGTTTCAAACGATCACCATGGCTCCTGTATCTCATCAAATATCTCTATCAATTCTCAGACAAGTACACCCGCGTTCCTGGTGAGTGGGGAGGCATAGACTCTCGCTCCAAAAATCACGGAATCATCTGTCTAGATCTGATCAATGATTTTTTGGACAATGGAGCAAGTCTTGACGACAGAACAGTCTTTGATATTTCAGCATCAATGTACATTTCTATAAAGGCTGAGGTCAACGCAAAGTATCTTCTGGATGGTTTGCACGTACTTCTAACCGAGAAGGACCCAGTCGGGGCGAATCGGTTGCTGCGCAGAGCCGATATGCAAGCATCGTCGGCTTATTGTCGAATTCTTTGGCTAAATTTTGGCCGTGAAGTTAGCTTGCAAGATTCCGAAACAATAATGAATGCCATAGACCGCATGGGGTCATCTCCTGGGAGAGTGATTATGCACGATCAGAAATTAAAGGTGATAGAGAATGCTAGGGGGGCATATGACCTTCTAGAAGACGTCTGTTCCAGGTCACCGCGTATTATGGATACCTGGGAGTTTCTTAGGAAGCTGGGATATCACAAGAATGCGAACAACCTAGAAGTACTCCAAGGACCGATACCGATGTATGAGGAGGAGTGAGGGATGAAGGACCAGAAGGAACCTTTCCTAATTCGAACATGATAACAGCAAATAGCAGGGAATATAGAAATCTTTTTATATAGTTAACTAATAAATATAAGACTTTTCTTTAAAATAACAAAAAACTATTTTTATTATAATATTATAATATTTAAATAAATTAATAATAACTTTTAGAAGATATTTGCTATTAGATTAAGTAAATAGCACTTCTAAGGCAGTAGTGGCCCTCCTAGACTAGGGCTACCTACCTCGCTACATACAATACGTACAGTGCCTGGGCCGCCCGCAGAGGTACAGACCTACATGTAGCAGTCGCTGTACATACACTTTACGCAAAAGCATTTCTTAGACTTAAGACACCAACACAACAAATAGAGCAAGTAATAGTCAGCTAAACCAACAAGTACACAATCACCTTCCCCTCCCTCCCTCTCCAACAAGACGTGGTTGGCCGATTGTACACACGTGTCGCAGAGGATAAGGGGGGCTCCGATTTCTGTTGGGCCGGCGAAACACGACCAGCGACCCAGAGGCTGGCATGACGAACATGAGATGTGACGTAGTTAATTGCTTGTTTTTATGTTTATTTTTCTTGACGGGGGCGTGGTGGAGTAGGGTATGGATGGATATGTCGGATGGATGCTCGGTGAGATTCGCCCATCCATTATCTCCATTCTATCATTCATTCGTAGGTGGGTGCATCATGTTGGATGATTGGGAGAGGCAGGGCAGGAGAGAGAGGGGAGAGAGGATCACATGAACGAGGGAGAGGGGTTGTTGGTACGTCTTCGGTGACCGTTCAGACCTACTCTCTGCGTCTATGTGTGTATGGTTGAAAGATGGAGTGTGGTAGGCGTGGGCGACCTGAGCAAATCTATTCGCGTGTTTTCCTGTGTTACCTTCATGGAGGACGAAGAGGAGAAACGGGAAGGAGATGAGATGAGATGAGGAAACGTCTGTCGAAGCGAGGCGAAGCGAAACGCAGCGCAACCCCACGGTGCCGCATCCTCGCATGCCATTTGCAGTGCGGCTGGTGAGTACGAGACGGCGGTACTCGAATTGGTGTAGCTAAGGAGTCGAGTCTGATTGTTAATTGTTTGATGCTAGACTACCATACCAGTCCCATGGCAGGGCCAGTGGTAGGCTTGTCAATGTTTTGCCCAGGTCTTGAGTGTCTGTCTTTGGTTTCAACCAAAACCTTCTTGTCGGAGTGTTTGTTTATCTGGATAGAAGATATCCATCTAACTACATGCTATGTAGAGCGTAGAGTCTGGTATAGTGTCAGTGTATAGGGCAAAGCGTAGGAGTGAATGTACAAGTAGGAGCGTAGGAGTGCAACCCCCACTGTCTTCAGCCGCCGGCGCCGCCCACCTCTCGCCCACTCCCGCTCCCACATCCTACACAGTATGCACTGCACTCCCACTCTCTTCCCTTGTAGACATCTACTATCCAGTGTCTACGCAGAATTGTCACAAATATGGAGTAGAGACCGACAACAGTCCAGTAGGAATTTAATCATTGGAATTCCCCCAATCCGATTCCATTATGGATTGCCCGTATGACCTTTCTACGAGCACGCAAGTCTCGAGATTGTCAGCACTATCCCCATCCCATATGCATACCATACCCATAATTGTGTAGTTGATCAGCGACCTATTCTTCTTCCAGGCTTCTTCCAGACCAGGCTACTCCCAGTCTCTTCGCTTCGCTGTCGAGACTGTTGTTGTCGCTTTCGCCGCCGCCGCCGGCCACTGCGGAAGACGACACGAATCCAACACAACCTGGACTGTAGATGCAACTTAGACATCTGACAGCTGAAGTAAAGAAATTCTCCCCTACCCTACCTTCCCTTAACTCCGGGCTAGTATGCGCATGGGATATACGCCTTTGTCCTACTCGAAACTCCCACTCCCTCCAGTAAACACAGCGAGAGGGGGAGTGCAGTAAACATAACCACATGCCATTATCATCTATCATCGATGCCATCATCATACTATGCCATACCTGTTCAGCCCAATCCAGTTGAATTCGAATGAAAACTTGACTCGTAGAGATTTGCCCGTACACAGCGAGCGCAACGCAACGCCCAATGCACACCACAACACACCACCGCATCACCACACTCTCCCTACGAATGCACACCACACCACACCACACCACATCCCCCTTAACTGTCCTATCAACAACAGTAAACCATCCATGCCTCACTCTGCTATACCCATTCTACGTAGCATCACTAGTAACAGAGATTGCCTGGGTGCGACTTTCGTAAATATAAAACCCATCAGCGTCTTTCGGGACTGAATTCCGAGTAAACTCATTACCCACCCACTACAACTACACATTACTATTATACATACACTCCACGCCGTATATACTACAATCTACTTAGTACCTACACATCCACATCCTTCATCCTTCATATCCATATCCCAATTCCGTACATAATTATCCCACCGCCCTTTTCGCCTCGCCCTACGTTGAACCTACTTGTTAATTACCTACCCCATATCCATCGCATATCACTTCCACTTCTCGTACAAGTATCTCCAACGCACCCGGAGATCCATACTCAACTCCCTACTACGACTATAACTCTTCTGGACTTCAACTCCCTCCACGAGACCCTTATCGATCGACAAGAGCAGCAGTGGGGTCGACTTTACATCATTACTCGTCTCGTATTGTTGACTTGTCCTGTCCTGTCTGTCTGTCTGTCTGTCCATCAATCAGCAGCCAACGCCAGCCCTTGTCTTGAGGTCGAACAGTGGAGCCTTCATCCACTATCCGCATCACCATCCGCACCGCATCCATTACAAGTAACCCCCGATCATCCTCGCCCTCTCATCTCTCTGCCTACCAACCTCGTATCCACTTGGACCCTTTCGCCTTCGAGGGCCCCATCTCCTCGCCGCCCATCTTCCAACACCCACCAAAACACCTTGGACAAATCCAATCTACACTCTACATCTCCGAATCTCCACACGTCTCGAACAGTCACCGCATAACTGATTAGCATATATCCCCCCAGACAAGTCGCACGCACATCTTGCACTTCATCCGTCTCGTGTTTCCCACTTGTTTCTCCATCTCACCCACGCTACATTCCGCTACGCTTGGCAGTCCCGTCCTATCAGTGCGCACGCAGCTCAAACGCGGCTCAACTTGCCTGTCTTCCGCCCCCTACCCTTCCACCAAACACTATCTGCATTCTCTCAGAGGGTAGATAGATAGAAGCTGTAGTGAGGCGAAACGCGAAACCCAAAACGAAAACCTCCCACCAAGAAAAGGCACACGCGGTCGATCTTGTCCGAAGTCTTTTGTCCCCCTGCGAGATAGCGGGATAGATCCGTCGCAAACGCAAGATCCAACAAATTCCTTTTTTAGGTTTCTGCCCTGCCCTGCATTAACAGAAAGAAGAGTTGCGGGATTCAGTATAAAACCAGCGATCCCCATCTCCATCCTCCGCAATCTACACAAACTCCGCATCTCCATTTGATCGATCTCTCTCCGCGAGCAACTCCGTTGTTTTATTCTCCGCTGCTTGCCTCTGCTTTGTGAAGCATAAAGGTCGAGGGATTCGTCCACCAGAATCAAGCAGAGAACGAAAGAGAACGAGGTCTTAGCAAAGATCCATATCCGACCGGAAGTGCTTCCCGCCATCTACATCATCGCACATTCATCATCTACCTACGCAGCAGACGACGTACACAGTAAACACGTTGTGCTACTCGAGATAAATACGAGTACATAATTCCTTGGTGTTGTTGGATTTATTCGCCGTTCGACGAGTTTCCTCCGACCGCCGAATCCGTCTCGATCCGTCTGACGCCAACGCCCTGATTGGCTGGTTCCGACGTTTACCCTCTGACACATTCACTCTCGCGCACGTTTTCCATTACACATTCGACACTCGACATTCCACCGCCGGTCCGCCGTCGCCCGTCGCCCCCGTCTACAACCAGTCCAACCCGCAATTGGAAATCATCATTCAACCAACCGTCTTACGAGCATACAATTTAAAAAGAGGCGAACCGACTAGTCCGCACGAGTCTGCTCTGTACCCAGGAACGAAGGACAGAGAAGGAATTTCCAGAAATCTTGCCGAAGCTAGATACATTAGCCGCCACCACTACCACCACTACCACCACTACCACCACTACTCTTAACTACTTCCAACGGTCGGCCCTCCACCTGCCGTAAACTCCTTTTTCTCCTCGACTCACAAGTTCTACTTATAACGACTACCTGTCCTGTTGTTTGTGCACACTCGCAAGACACGATAGATACGACGCGACGCGACTTGAACTCCCATACCAGAGCATAGCATCACATACCGCACCGTACAGTACCGTATCAGACCGGACTATACTACACCCCACCAGACTAGACACGACCCAATTGGACTGGGCCCTGACCGTCAAAGAAGAAAAAGAGGGACAACAAACGAAGACGAAAAGAGAGTGAATAGCGAAGAAAGGGACAAGGACATTCCAACCTCGCCCTCAACTCTCAACACTCAACAAACACTCGCCCCCATATCAACCACCACCACAACCTCCTCCAACTCTCCTCCTCCATTAAGGATCCCCCTCAAAAATGGACATCATGTCGACCTCCCCCCCCGACACCCGGCCCTCCCCCTCCCGGCCCTCCCTACCCCTCCGCAAGATCTCCCTCGCGGCCTCAAACACAGTATACACCTACCACTGCCTCTGCACGCACCTCCTCCTCGCGACCTCCACGCCCCTCGAATCCCTCCCCACCCGGCGCTCCTCGCCTCCATCGTCCCAAAACGACATGATCCTCTCGCTCGCCGCGCCCCTCAAACTCGGCTCCCTCATCGGCACCGTACCCCCCACGGCGTCCGACGCCCCCGTAATCATCCGCTCAGACTCCGGCTTCGAGAAACGGTACCTCGCCCGCTGCGCGAGATGCCATCTCACGGTCGGGTATCAGCTCGACTACGCGCAGTTCCCCGACACCGAGGGCGCGCCCGCGGAGGGGAGGCGCGAGGATACGATTTACATCATCCCCGGGTCGATGGTGACGACGAGGGAGATGGTCATGGGGAAGTCGAGCGCGGGTTCGAGTTCGACGACGACTGGGGTGCCGGTGGGCAAGGGCGTGAGGATTGAGGGAGGGGGGAGGACGGCGGCGGGGGTGGGCGCGTAAAGCGTTGACCCCTTAGCATGTCCCCCCTCTACTCTAGTCTACTCTACTGGCTTTTATGATGGTTTTTTCTTCTTTTTTTTGGGATGGTTGGAGTCTTTCGGTGTTTTCATGGAGGAGTTTTTTTCGGAGTTTGATGGCAAGGCAAGGCAGCATGCATGCGTGCAGGACGGGATGAGCGTTTGGAGTTTTTTTTACCTTTCGGGGGGTTTTATGCACAACAAGACCGAAGACATAAACAAGATACAAGATGGATGGATGATTGATGACGATGTTTACGATACCCGCTACAACTACACTACACTTAACAACTACATTATACTACTTCACACATTTCAGTTCATGGGTAGAAATTAGACCGTTTTATCTACTATGTTTTGCACTGCTTTGCCTTTCTCACTATTTTGACTTTTGAATTGGTGTGCGCTTTTGCGTTTGTGATTGTGTGGAGGTGCTGTGTGTTTACTGTGTTTACTGTGTACGTCTTTTATGTCGTGGATATACTGTCGGGAGAGTTAAAAGGGAGGGAGAAGGGGGGTGTTTTGGAAGATGGCATTCACGATTCCCCCCCCCCCCCCCCTACAACTCCTACACCACACTTACAAGTACACTATACTATCTTGCTTTTGGTAGAACTAGACCAATCGATTTTAACTTGCACCGTACCTTACCTCCACCTCACCTCGTGCCCATCCAATGTATCTGAGGGGATGGGGTTGTGATTTTAGGAGCGGAAGCGGGAGTGTGTGTGTGTATGGCGTGGGATTGATTGATTGATGGAGTATAGGTTACTCGAGGAGTTTGGAGACGTGAGGTGAGGTGTTGATTTTTGTTATGTCTGGGTAGGGTCGGGTCATTAAACAAGTTGGACGGGAAGATTTAGGTAGATATCTGTGGTTTGTTTGTTGTGGGCAGGTAGGTATATGGTATGATATGTTGAAAGTTCCTGGACAGAGGGAAGGCATTTCATGGTAACAAAAATATTTAGAAGACAGAAGAATCTTCACAGACATTCACAGCCACAACACACAAACAGCACAACACCATAGACGGTCGAAGATTCAGGATTGCATTTCTACAGATGCCGGATGAGCGACATGACAGGACAGGACAGGAAACCCCCAGATGCAAGATAACCCCATAATCCTCGCTGGTCCCCTTCCCTCCTTTTTCCCAATTCCCCCCTACCCTAGTTTCCCTGCCAGATGACACCGAGGGGAGAAGCAAAAAGAAGATGATGACCATTGTCGTAGTATCGCATCGAACAGGTTGGAATAAACAAGGAAAACGCCGTAGGTAACATGCTAATCAGAGAGGAAAGAACAGAGACGGCCCGGGATATTCAGGTGGTCGTCTCGGCATAACTACACGGGAAGAAGGAACGGGAACAATCTAGTTCTCGGCGATGGTCTTGACGAATTCTGGCGAGAGTTAGTATGTCATCTTACATCGCATGTATGTGTCTACTCACCCCTGTAGTCGACCTCGCCGTTGCCGGCGTCAATCGTGCTCTTGAACAGCTCCTCGACCTCCTCCTCGCTCATCTTCTCGCCTAGGTTGGTCAGGATGTACTTGATCTGGCCCTTGCCGACGAAACCGCTCCGGTCCTTGTCGAACACCTGGAAGCCGCGGATGTACTCTTCGATGTCGAATGGCTCGCGGAATCCGCCGGGGCGGTTGAGGATCTTGCTGAAGGTGTCGAAGTCGACTGGCGGGGTTAGTAAGGACAGTTTCGAGGGTAGGTATGGGGACGTACAGTCTGCGCCGACGCCGCGCTCGAGGTCGGTGATCTCGGCGAGGGTAGGGTTCTGACCGCAGGCGCGGAGGAGATCACCTAGGGCAGAGCGGTCGACACGGCCGTTGCCGCGCTTGTCGAAGAGCTGGAATGCTTCGCGGTAGTTTGTGGAGGCCTGGGAGTTTGTGTTATCCATCATGTTCGATTGTGAGGTGGAATTGCGGTCGTTGCGGGAGTGGTAGTCGTTGGCGCGGGGCTAACGGTCGAGAGACAAAGAGAGGTTGAAGTAGCTGCGGGAGTCGGAGACGGAGACAGGAGACGGCGGGAAGATAGAAGAGTAAGGGACTTGTTGTTGTTTGTGTGCAACCACAACCTCGACCTCGATATCGTTTTGATTGCGAGATGTCAGCGGAGGAGAGAGTGGGTAATCGTTGCACAGAAACAGAGGTAAAGAGAGACATGATGGAGTTGTCGGTGGTGGTCATGACTCTCTTCTCCTGCGTCCCTTCCCACTCGCATCTTCATTCCGATTCCTGTCGTTCCTATCTCGTCTCCCGAGTGTCGTTCTCATTCTCGTTCTCGTTCCTGCCCACAACCGACAACCACATCTCTGGGTCTCCCCACGTCCCCATGTGATTGTGGGTGTTTGTCAGGACCAAAGAAATGTAGTCATTACTCACCATTGTGATGTGTGTGGGTGTGTGTTTGTGTTGTGCGTTTGGCAAGTCGTAAAGACGGTGTGGTTCAAGTCGTAAACGTCAGAGACTTCGTGAAGGATAGAATGGATATTCGAGCGAGAGAAGAACAGGCAAACAGACCGAGAGAGTGTTTACTGACAGAAGAGAGTCGATGTTTTGAAGTTGAAGTGGGAGGAAGAGAATCCGCATACACAGAGAAGCGGTGAGCACTGACACCCAGTAGGTCCGTGCACTCTCGTGGCCCCTGTTCTGTTGTTACGCTTCCTCGTCGCCACGGAAACAAAAACATGGACGACTTCAACAACCCCTCATCTCCATCTCTGACGAATTATTCCTTGTTCTATCTGTTGATTCCATCTGTTGCCGCCGAGCAGAAGAAATCATGCCGTCATACCCTGTGTTACTGGAGATCCCCTCACCCCCTGTTCTTTGCATTACGCTACAGTTCCACCGCAGATGCACCGTACAGAGTACGAAGCATGGAGTTCAATGCACTCGAGAACCGATTCGGATGGACCTTTTCTAGGGCCTTTGGATCAATGTTTCTGTGGGAGCATTTAATCGGAACATCTTGAATATGCATGTTAGTCCTGTTCATGGAGAGGGGCTGTTCTTGTCGGCCAAATCAGCACAGTCACGTGATGTCAACATTACCCCCGCCCATACTCTCCCACTATCTATTGTTGGGAAATTCTATGTGTCTATCAAAAGTTAATCATGTATATACATCTCCTTTTGACAGGATAGTGAAATTCAAGGTTGCAGTCCATGAAAAGCTTATACGGAGTACACGGACATTCAATGTCAACAATTCACCTCCCATACGTTGCTCCATATGTAAACCTCAATCTCTAGTTATACTCGGTAAAACACAACAATGATTCCAAACCTATTCCAAAACTTTCCCACTGAACCATCATCAATCCCACCCAGCTGAGTACATTATCATTCCACAAGCCACTAACGAACTAACTACGCCCACGCCCTACCCTAACACCCTCAGCTGAACCAACCACCATCATCCTTCCTTGGCACATCACTTCAAATGCGACCAAGGGCTTACCTGCCTCCGATTGTGGCGTACGTCTGGACTCCTACCTAAGTAAATGCTGATATGCAACATGCGGCTCTTTTATGTTATATGTACCTATGCTGAGGACGCTGAGATCTGATTTTGCTTCATCGAGAGGTTTTGCATCTTCGACAGTTGCCGGTGAAGGTTCCTAGATTACGAGGATTCTTACATGAAACCTCCGAGTTACACTACGTACTTGGACTGAACAGTACTACGTGATACGAGAATACACACGAGACACGCCACTAAACCTCCCATCTCTCAACGAAGCCAGAGCAAAGGCACACACGTCCGCGCTTCTATATCCACGTCAAAATTTCAACTCAACGTCAAAAAAAAACGAAGCAACGCAAACAAGTCGGAAAACAACTCATTCTCTGCGCCCTCAAGAGAAGTCCATACTGCCACCGAAATCGAAAACAGCACAGTAGAGGGCGATGGAACTACAACCACCAACGCTGCCCGCCGCGAGCATAACCGACGCGTACGCACTGGCGGGATGGATGACGCTCGTGGGGCTTGTGGTGTTCGTTGTGCTTGCTGAGACGCTGGGGCTTGGTGGGTTGGCGGGGGGGTTGATGGTTGCGCGATAGCATGGATAGAGAAACCGGAGGCGGTGATGGGTGGTAGGGGTGAAGGAAAAAGGAGGCCCGGAGGGAAAATGGGCGAGGGGAGGGGGGAGGAAGGGGGTTTGATACCATAGAATCATGCATTTCGCCGGATGTACACGGTAATTATTATATGACGATAGAAGGGTTAACGGAAGAAACATTATTTTCTCGGGCGTATAGGTGGGAGTTGTTTGCGCAGATTTTAGACGTGTGGAAGTGGTTGTTTTTTCGAGGTTCTTGGTGATGTGATAATATCTAAGTGGGTTTCGAAGGGGTCAGAGTGCTTGCTAAGGGAAGAGTTTACTTGAATTCAACTCAATCTATAAATCATTCCAATGTACGCACTGATATTGTCTGTGGAGACGGAGGCGAGGACGCTGCTTCATGTTGTGCGAGGTATATCTCGACGTCATGTTAAGTTGTGGAAGTTTTGCTGGCGTCGGTGTATGGAAAGGCCATATAAATGTACGACGCGCTCAAGCTGTGCCAGTGCCGCAGAACTAGGCTATGGAATATTGAAAATTATTACTGAGAGTGTGTGCCATCGTGACGTGACGTGTAGTCAGAATGTATGTCTTTCATGAGGCCAAAGAAGGCAGACAAAGTGAATTTGAGTGAGGACAGTTTCAACTATTTAGGACATTATAATTGATGAAGTCCCGTAGAAGCAAGCATAATGTATCCATACTTTTGCCTGTATGAATGGTGCTAAAAGAAGCATGTAGGTTTAGAATGAACTAGTAGAAGATCAATTGGTAGTAGATTAACTAGCAATAATTGGACTATCTTGTACTGGGCGTCGTACTTTAATCTTGGAGGGAATATTATCTAAATGATACTCAGGATATGACACTGACTATGCATTATTTGGTAGAATGAATCGTGTAAAGAAAAGCCCGTACTCAATTGTCAAGTTTGTGAGTTACATATTCTTTTGAACAGTCTTTAACATACACATCAGATGATGCGCACCAATTTCCAAAAGTTGTCGTCTTCAATCTTCGTTGCTAGTTCAGTTCTGGGATTGAGATGGATGATGGTGAATACTCCTAGGCGACGGTAATCCTCCTCAGCGACATTGCGACCTATAATCAACCCAGAGTACGTATAAGGCCCAAGGACAGGATGGGTTAGAATGAAAACGGCCTTGACTTCTCTATAGAGAGTTGCACAATCATTCGAACTAACCTCATCCCAATGCACCGTTTTAGAGAAGTCATCACCAATATTGTAGAGGGAAATCTCTGCGACATCCACAATCGGTGCAACGAGTGATATCACACCTCCCTGGGCGCCATCCCATCGATTGCCATTCTCCTGCCATGGCCAAGTGTGAATGTCAACGAGCCGAGCAACTACCTGCTGAGCAACTCCCCACTGACCACTTCCCCGGTACAGGATTATAGGCCCAAAATTTATCTGGCCATTGTGGCTTGCCCATGACCATGAAGGCCCTCGAAGATTGTCAGCTTGGAACCCTTTTGTGGATCTCCACAGGAGCTGCTCGGGTAGGTGCTTCTTGAAGACTCCAGCATGGTAACTGTCGTCTGATGCCCGGGCTACCTGTTTAGCAATACCAGCCAAAGCATTGAGCTTGTCTTTATCTGGATAAGACAGTTTCGAGCTTGAATAGCGCTGGGCCATGAGGTATCAGAATTCCGACATGTCGTGTTCGTTGTCCGGAATACTGAAAGGTCCAAGGCCGATTAACTGTTTTGGAGCATGCATACCACAAGGAAACGTTTCAGATGCCAACCTTATACCAGCACATTCCCAGAACAACTGGTCTCTTCCGAAATGTAGGATTCTTGGGGAAAGAATGCGCTCTTGCGTGACCCAGCCCCTTTTCCAGAGTGGCGCGTCCGCAAATGCGAAAGAGCATTGGCTCTTAGGATTCAGGGTCAAGTAGATTTCCATAACGGGATCCTTTACTACTGTCGCTTTGAAGAATAATGGCTGGATCAGGGTGTGATCTCTCTTCGAGAACAAACCTTTGTGTGGGTTGGCACCATTATCGGCAGAAATGCAGACATGGCAGTTTGAGAAAATATCAGCCATGTCGTGGAGATGGAAAAGCCAATCTTCCTCGGAACCTGGACCCTCCTGGAGAATGCATAGGCTATCAATCCATAAATATGACAAGCCCAGTGTTTGGGTTACTAGAATTGCATCTCTGAAGGTTTGCGGTAGAGTCGAAATAGCAATGTCTCCCCTCAGCTGATTGTAATTTTCGGCTGTAAGTCTTAAGAACTGAGGGTTTGGTCCCCAGCAATAACTCAACGTAGCGTAGGGTGCACCAGAAGGATGCCCTTCCATCGTAACCACTTTGATATTATTCTTGTCGCTGAGATCTAAAAGGCGTCTCGGCACGGATGTTCGTATTGATTCGCATTTGTGGCCCTCGGTACAATCCTCAAGCCACTTACGTGCCTGTAACAATGGGCCCAAATGGCCTGTACTAGTAGCACTGCACTCCTTAACGCATATCGGCGCATCTTTCGGCAGTTGATCGATATACTCATAGATCACATCTACCCGATCTTGAGAGTCTCCAGCAAGCTCATCTTCTTTTATCAACTTGAAAAACATCAAATCAAACATTGATGCTCTATGGGACAGTTCTTGCTTCCATAATATTAGGGTCGGCGATGCTCCGTTAGGAATATTGCGGATTATCCCAGAAATATCATAGTATGACGATAGACAAAGGTTTCACCGCATTTCGCTGATTTGTTGATTTGATCGAACTGCCTGTGATGGTTACCCTCATTCGACCCGCCATCAAACATCTCAACGCACTGGGGACAAAGCTTCCCTGATTGGAGTGGGCGATCAAGGTGTATGAGAGGACCCAGAGTTGTGAATTTGGATTCTATCCGGTCGTACTATGGTAAATTAATTGTGCTCTGAATGAGTAAGTAGGTCCTGCAAGCTGAGGTTGAAGGACTTATGGAATTTCTAATGCACGGAAAGAATAAAAGAGAAGGATGCACCCACGGTGTCTGTGAGAGTGCGGCCACAGAGTGGGAAAAGCAGCAGGTTGGCTGAAGAACATACTACAAAAAAGAATGGTGTAACATTTCAGGCAAACGGAGGCTAAGTCTCATTCATGAGGCTGTACATGATAAGATGTCGTACAAGCCTTAGGAGGCGTTGCACTGCCAAGTCAATTCCCGAAAGTAGTGTTGTACAGACTGACACGTCAGCTCACCGCAATTTTGCAAGGCTGTATCCGTGGGGATCGCTGTAAGTCTTCTACGGGAGAGCTATAATCCAGAGAATCCGAACACCGTAGATACACAGAGCTACTACTCCGTACACCACATCATCTATTGGTACTCAAGAAATTGGAGAATGGCGAAGCCTTCCTATTCCAGCCTTCCGCTCGAGCTGCGGCTTCACATCCTCGAGTTCGCTCTCGACACCCACCTAGACCCACCCCAACAGCTCACTGAGCAGATTACCAACGCCATAAAAACCGAGTATTCGCTAAACCAGGATTCGAAGGATATACAAAACATATTCTTCAACAAGACCCCAACCACTACAAGTTTGATGCTGGTGAGCAAGGATTTCAAAAGGGATGTCTGTCGTATTTTGAGCAAACCAACACGCCCTGTCCTCGATCTGCTTATTGGCTTTCCATTGAAACGGAAAAGGAGACAATATGACTGGCACTCGCTCATGCGTGAAGACATCACCCAGAGATATGAGTACTGGGTGCTGATGGCAACCTGGCTTCAACCTCCACGGATTCATCAAAAAGTTATACCGAGACTGGACATAAGAGTAAGGGGAAAAAAGGGGTTGGTGAAGGACGTTGGAGGTATTTGTTAATCTATCATTCTCACCTCAAGATTCCCTGACTCATCATGATTAGACTTAGCCAACCGCTGGCTACGAGCTGTTCTCTTGCCTGTGTTCGAACGCGGTATATTTGAAGATCCCTATAAATTCGTTCAAAGATTCTGCGCGCCAGGAAACCGTATCAATCGTCTCCGGTTCTCATTCATCGCTACCTCCGATACGCACCGCGTCAGTTACCCGCCAGTTGAGCGCATAACTGAAACAGACGTAGACGACCTCAACCCACTCTGGAACGATCTATTTGGTCTTTGTAACTTTTTCTCCTCCATGGACATAACTTTGACAGAAGCCCTTGCTCAGTACGTGGATGAGATAGAGTTAGCAGTCAACGACACTCCCGTCTTTCGACTTAGACCTCTGACAGCCAGCGCGGGATTGAGAATGAAAAACATGGCCCTTACCATCAATCGTCCGTATCTTCAAGCAATCGGCTTTATTTTGAACATTCGAATTCACGCCGTTATTTCGATCGATCTTCCAGGTGAATCCGGCTTCATGTGTCAAGGCCATATGCCAGAAGTACCTACATGGGAAGATCTGCTTTTGATAGAGGACGCAGAGACAGCGTAAGGGCAATGTATGCGCGAAAAGGCTTATGTATGCAGAATAAGTCAGCAACGACTTTGCCCACATCAACAAAAGCCTTGGAGAGACGATGCTTGGTGGCTACAACTGGCGGTAAAATCTTTTGGACCGATAATCATTTCCGAGATCTAAGACTTCAGAAAATTGTGTGATCCGCTGGATGCCTAAACACCTATCTTTCGTTCCACGTCACGGCTTGCCCAACGGAACATTTGCGACACCGAAGCTGAAGGGAACAATCTACCACATCGGGCATTGAAGGAGCCTAGGGAAGGTCTAGGATGGAAATGAATCCTGCATTCAACGTCCTAGAATGTTTACACCTGCGCAGTGAACACAACTCCGAGCAGGATCCGAGATTGTTCCTTAAGCGCTGACAATGACGTTGCGAGGAAAAATGGATAACAATGATAACGACCGTTTCACGTTCTCTCGGCAAGTAGTACAATTCAATAATGCAATACTCAATATCTTAGAAATGCGCCCTTAGTATGACTCCTATGTAAGATTTCGGTCCAACGTGGTGCCGGGGCGGTATGTAACTCGCAACACGGGCGAATTCGGTCATCCTTTACGCCCCCACTGACTAATTGAGGATGCACGACGCACCGCAGCGTTCACTAATCTGAATTGTAAGAGGATTTCATCAATTCCATGCCTGTATACAGTAATCTTCTTGTGCATGTTGAAAGGTATATATATACATGGAACCCGAGTCGTTTCCGAAGCAGAGCACCGCAAGGATCTCGAGCATTTGAGCGACCAATATTTGTACATCTGGGCCATTCAGGATGGAGGCCTTTGAGGAGGTGCTGTGGAAGTCTACCGCAAAAGGCGAGAACATCATTGCTGGAGCGATAGTAGCGGTGGTGGATAAGAAAGGTATGCATTATGCGGCGCCATCTTGTATTTAACACACAATTGACTAGACATCTAGGTAACCTCGTCTACAAGAACGTCGCAGGATACAACGGCGTCGAAGAAGATGCCGCCCCTTTGGAATTCGACCAAACTCTAGCCATCGCATCGTGTACGAAGTTAATCACCGCAATCGCAGCACTACAGGTCGTGGAAAAAGGGTTCGTCACGCTTGATGAACCACTCGACAAACACATCCCCGAACTAGCCAGCCAACCCATCATCACAGCGAAAGAAAACAACACTTTCGAACTGAAGTCCGCGACAAAAGCGATAACATTACGGCACCTCCTCACGCATTCAAGCGGTGCCGTATACGACGTCTTCGACCCAGCCATTATGAGCTGGCGAGCCTCCCGCGGCGAGACATCCAACTTTCCAGCGCCAAACCAGGTCGTCGAAGAAGAATCACTCATGCCCCGTTCTTTCGAAGCAGGTGAGGGCTGGAGCTACGGTACAGGGCTCGACTGGACGGGCCTTCTCATTAGCCGCCTCACCAACACGAACTTTGAGACCCACGTCCAAGAGCACATCGCAAAGCCGCTGGGCATCACATCTTTCACGTTCCATCTCTTCAGTAAGCCCGAGGTTGAGAAGAAGCTCGTCAAGATGTCGAACCGCAATGAAGACGGCACGCTGGGCATAGGCCGGACACCATACTTCCCGTCGACTAACGTCGGCGAGGCCGCGGGTCACGGCTTGTACGCCAATGTCCCAGATTACACGCGCGTGCTCGCCGACCTCCTGAAAGACGAGCCAGTCCTCCTCGCGAAAGAATCCGTGGACCAGCTGTTCACTCCACAGTTCGAACAAGGGAGTCTGCCACAACGCGCTCTACAAGCGAACTGGCAATTTTCCTGGGGCCCGCCACTCGGCCGCTCAAACGAGGGCGTGGTGCCGAACTTCGGACTGGGAGGATTCATAAACGAAAATCATGTTAAGAGGGAGAACTTTGAGAAGCCGGCGAAGACACTGACGTGGAGTGGGTTGCCGAACTTGCTGTGGAGTGTTAATAGGGAGAAGGGTTTAGCGCTCATGGTCGCGCAGCAGACGTCGCCTTGGGCGGATGAGAAAGCGTGGGTGTTCAACAATGAGTTTGAGACGGCGGTTTGGCGGGGTCTTGCGAAGTGATGATTATGTGGTCGGCATTGGGTTGAGCTGCAGATCGAAGTCAAGAGAGTGCAAAGCGGAGGGATTTCATTGGTAGCAGTATTGTAAAATCTTGATTGAAAGTTGAAACTATATAGATTGAAGTCACCTTCGTCGTAGAAGAGTCCACTGCTTGCGAACTGTAAATGAGTCCACTGCTTGTGAACTGTATATCAAACCACTACTTGGGAACTGAAGATGTATCCACTACTTGGGAACTGTAAATTAACCCACTACTTGGGAACTGTACACGAATCCACTGCCATGGTCAGATAGAAGCCAGTATCCTCTAACCAAGGCCACCGCTCGTTCCCACTTGCAAACTTGGTAGACAGCCAATATGCCTTGTGGACGTCGCGACCGGACTTCGACACAACGGCAATTTTGTTGAGATATATACGGATTTGGAGCAAAACATCGATGTGAACAGAAGGTAGGGACCTACAATCTGTGGCTGGGTAGGTTATACAGATCATGGAGTTTTCTGATCGAGGTCCTGGCTCTGCCTGATATAGTGGGCCTCTGAACAGCTTCTTCCATTCTAGCATGCTCCGGCACCAAGTTTGGTTTGGACTGGACACGACTCGGCTGAGTCAAGAGAATGATTGGAATAACCTGGTTTCAAGGGAGATTCCGCGTTCCGCGTATATGGGAAAATGGATATATATAACGTATATGATAGGTCATTCTTGGATGAAGAACCATTGTGAGCGCTTCTGCTACTCGTACCGACAACAATACGTGATGTAACAAGGATTCCAGCCCACACGTTCGGTTCTTTTCGAAAGCGTCGAACAGGAAGGCTCCAAAATAGCGCCCATATCTCAGCGTTTGGGTCCACGTGGCGGAGCCATGGGATTCAAGTGCAATTGGCTTCGTGTGACACGAGCCAGCCGGCGTTCCAAGGGGAACTAACTCCCGCTGAAAATCGCAGTGCTGAAATTAACCGTCGCAGACATTGGTCTATGAGGTGAAGTCAGTGAACTAGTGGACAGCTCTCGACATGCGGGAACAGGTGAAATGTATATATATGAACGATGCTTGTGTGCTTATAAATGTTCTGGGTATTATCGGGCGACAAGCCTTCAAGTGCTTTTGCGAGCACTTCCGAGACGGAAGACATACGCCGGACCTGGAGTAGTATCGCCAGAAAGTCACATGTGTTGACGCTGATCAACTCCAAAGAGTCGATTCATGAATTTAATACTTCGTTGTGGCCCATCTGGTCGAGGAGTATCAGAATCCCAGCGCAAATGTCCGATAAAGGCTCTCCAATTTTCGAAACGGCTGGATGAAGTATCGATTCGAAGTCGGGAACGTTTATATAGATGTTTCACGGTCCATCTGAAAAGCATGCATGGAGGGACAGGTTCCACACCTGTGGGATCGTATATAGGTAAGGGCCACACGTTGATGATTCGTCTCCCCGGAACTGCGCAACGCAAGTCTTTGCGATGAAGTGTTGGCCATCCAGTGCTATTGCGGGCACTTCTAACAACTGAGACGGACGTTATATGCAGTTCGCGATCCCACGTTGGCGGAAGGCCATTACATGAAAGTAGGCCGTATGAAGCGTCAAAGGGTTCGATTGGGCAGTATCTCGCGCTTTACACGAGGGCTCATTCCCATGCCCCCAAGCCTTCATTGGGGTCCATGAGTTGGGCGGGCGCCGACACTCCAGGGAAAATGGTTCTGCGAGTAGACCAGTATTTGTAGGAGAACGTAAGTCCCCGGACGACTCCTTGAGGCCATCATTCGACCGTTTCGAATTGCAGTACTCACACCAATAGCTGGATGTGTTACGTCAATTGCTTCAAAGCTCTCGAGTGTCCGGACCGACCGAAATCGTGTATATATATGTAATCGGGTTTTGATGTTTATATAGATGTTTCGTGGATCATCAGAAGAGCATGCCTAATGGGATCGGTTCCACACCTGGGCAATGCAGTATCGCGGTGAAGTGGTTGCTGCGCAGCACAAGGCACGTCCGTATATCCACCACCGGCCAGAAAGCCGGAGATAAATACTCCAGCACGGAGAAGGCCTGAGATATTTTAACAAATTAGGCCCGAAAGCCTTAGATATGTTAATAGACAAGGACCGAAAGCCTGAGATAGTCCAGCATTTTTGGGACGGTGACATGGAATTGCTGCTGATCAATCGTGTTCCCTATATTCGCTCGGCTGATGTGTTTTGGACCCGGCGTGAATATTTGTGTAGTTGTGTTCGATGAACTTTCACTTGTGGGGGTATATAATGGATCGATCCTGTCGCCGTGCGAGTTCTATCAAGGAGCAGGTATGACTACGGCGGAATGTTCTTCCTCCATACGCTCGTCGAGTTCGCGTACGTGATGATGGTCATGGCTGTGGAGCTGATCGTGGTTGTGGTGACTTCGAGTTCGCGTTTGGGTTGGCGCTCATGGCTATAGAGCTGATCGTGGTTGCGGTGGGACAATACTATGTTCGTCCCAAGAGTGGTCTGCTCCATAGTGAACCGGACAGAGCGTATGGGGCCGGGGATACGTTCTTCTCGTTTTTGTATATAACAAGATAAGCATAGAGCTTCACCACAGGCTCATACACTAATTGTTCGAAGAAGTGCATGGAATATTCGCGGGGATCCCGCGTGCCCATATGGTAATGTTGGCAGACGATGGAACTACTGGAGAGTAGATTTATGACGAACAATTCGATTTGTCCAATGACGCCGAGAACGCTCAACCATCTGCGAGATTGCGAGACCTGGACGGGTCCGAGGACATGGACCCCCGAAGCCGAGCACCTCCAATCTCTCCGTGTCGCATCAACAGATTTGAACTCCTCATGGCCCCACATCGATGACATGGGAAGCCAGCAACCCGTCGATGAGGCAATGTATATATCCATTGCAATCTCCAGTCTCTTGTGGCCGACGGTATAGTCAAGGCAATCGCGGTGCGGGAAAGCAAGGAATAACGAATACATGGGAAATGGTAATACCAGTCATGGTGTTCGTTCGTGCTCCGTCCGAACACTGACAGAGTGTTCGGTAGGAGTTCCGCAGAGCGAATTGAAAGCGAGGACATTCGCGTGAAATGTTCTTTGTCCTTTTCAGGCCGTCAAACTGACAATCGTCTGGTCCAACTGTCTGAGGCTTTCCGTGGCTTGATTCATACCATGGAAGGTAGAAAGGCAACGGCCACTAGAGGGAAGATTGGCAGTAACCGGCTTTCTAAGCAAGTTGCGGCGTCAGATTTCACTGCTAGAAAGAAGGCACTTGGGGCACAATAAGAAAAGGAGCCCAATCTCGCCGGCCGCAGGTTCCATGCTCACGACCGTCCGTTCAACATTTTCACACAGCTAGGACTGCCGAGTCAGCAGCTTCGCAATCTGACGGCATGTTCGACCGGGATGATTCGCAGCCTAACCTGCGGAGGAAAGTTGGAGAATAGATGGCAAGTTGGTTGGTTACCTCGCCGGGCTCTATTCGCATCGTGGTAGTTTGCGATCGTTAGGGTGTATATACAATATGGTGATAGGATATTCGTGGGGCGGTCAGCCAAACAAAGAAGAATAAGTTCATCGATGTAGACATGGTGCAGCAGTCCTTGGCTGGTGGGAGTGCTAGATAGCCACATTCTCGTTCAATCGCCAGTAAATGGCGCCAGTCGCCGCAGCGATCGCGGTGAAATCACCTTGGATTGAAGAAGAGCGAGCGGCATGTTTCTGAACCTCACGAAAGGCATTGCCGTTCCTGATATCGACAGCCACCGTTCATATACAGTCATGGTCAGGTTGCGTGGCACCTCCAGTTGAGATGCAGAGATTCATGCGGAAAGCGACCGGAAATCCGCGGGACCATTCATTGTTGTAATTGGTACTCCGTATATGGATGGTCTTCGTCTAGTATTCACTGGTCTGAAGGCTGGTATTCTGATATATAGATGGGGTATAAAGTTGGAAATTGAGCACACCTCCTAATTTTGGGGGGCGCTGTTGATATGATCTTATACACAGGTACCAGATGATAAGCAGCGAGAAGATCTGTCGTACCAGTTACCCCTTCGGCGGCAGCCTAGCAACATTTGAGAAATGAGCGGTCAAGGCCAGAAAACCAGAGGATAGTTGCATACCCGATTCAACTACTGCCCATTAGCCTTCATTGAGAGTAGAGCTATGGTTTAGCCAACCAATGCTCGACTTATCTCAACGTGCATATGCGAGCTCAGTGCGTGTGGTCCACTCTACTAGCAAAGATCCCGGGAGTTTCTTTGTTTCGGAGGAACGCGCCGATGGCATATTCGGAAACACTCATATTGAATTATTGTAGCTTCGGGTTGCTGCATACATTGCCCACCGCCAGTTGCTAGGCAAACGTCACCATCTAGGTACGTTGTACGAACATTGTGCCTGTCTGTTCATTTAAATTTATACTGTTCATTATCAGGTACAATGTCTAAAGGAACCTTTGAGACTATCTTTTTGTTCCCTGTTATTCGAATGCTTCGATATGGAATCCATAGTCTTGTCGATAAAGTACAGAGCAATTAGCGATAGTCTCTCTGAGCCTATTCCTTGCATACCTTACTAAAGGGCACGCGAAGCAAGGGGTCGGTCTGCAAGGAAGTCTTGGGCTGCGGATGCCGTTTGCCTGAGGACCAAACGACTCTGCAGGACGATTGATCAGTCCATGACTGCAGGGACATCCAATCCTGAAGTAACATTGTACCTTCACCACTAGACTGCATTAGGTCAAGGCCCTTCACACCTCAAAGCCAACCTCAACCCCAACTGCAACTCCAACCATGTCAAAATCATGGACAACGGCCATAAGAAACCCTGATGACGTCGACATGGGTTTGGGAGGTTCAGCCTCTAAACAGAGACGTCCGCTCTCCTGTAGCCACTAAGGCAGCTCCTTCGGCTGCCGCTCCCCCGAATGATATGCACCATGGCCGGAATGACGCCGCTAGATTGTTGGATCAGTGCCGATCCCCAGATTTACCCCAGCTTCTGGAGTAACCCAACTTCCCTGATGGGTATAGCGATGTCACACCGGCTTCGATGACGGATGCGTAAACCTCAGATACTTCGCAGTAGCGGGCGTGGCATGTCTCTCTCCCCGCGTCTTGTCGTCTCTTGGGCATTCAAGCTTAAGTACTCACGCGCGCCCTCCTTCGTCGCTCGCTCGCTCTCTCGATATTCAGCATACAGATCGTCACCATGGGCAAGATATTCAAGAGAAACGTGCTGAAGCACAGCGACAAACAGCGGACGCGGGCTGCCGAATTGACGCTGCGCGAATCCATCTATCCGTTGTGTCTTGTCACCATTCTCTTCTTTCTGTGGGTAAGCTTAACCCAATTGGCCACCAGAACCAGAACAAAGAAACCTTCGCTGACGTGTCTTTGATTTCCAGGGATTTTCCTATGGCCTGCTTGACACTCTCAACAAGCATTTCCAGGTCACGCTAAACATCACGAGAACTCGTTCTTCGGGTCTCCAAGCTGCGTATTTCGGGGCATACCCGCTCGCCTCGCTTGGTCACGCCAATTGGCTACTTCGTCACTACGGCTACAAGATCGTCTTCATTTGGGGACTGTTCCTATATGGCGTGGGATCACTCATTGCGTGGCCATGCATCTTGTACCGATCTTTCGGAGGGTTTTGCGCGGCCATTTTTATCATCGGTAATGGTCTGGGTTCTCTTGAGACGGCCGCCAATCCCTATCTCACCGTCTGCGGCCCTCCCAAGTATGCTGAGATCCGTATCAACCTTGCGCAGGCCTTTAACGGCATAGGCACGGTGGTCGCACCTGTCCTTGGCTCATACGTGTTCTTCAAGGATACCGCAGACAATGTTGAGTCGCTCAAGAACGTCCAATGGGTGTACCTTGCCATTGCATGTTTCGTATTCCTTCTGGCTGTAGTCTTCTACTTCTCACCGATCCCAGAAGTCACAGATGCCGACATGGCGTTCCAAGCACAGGAAACCAGTGCTGGAACCGACCACAAACCATTCATCAAACAGTGGCGCCTGTTCCATGCCACATTCGCGCAGTTCTGCTATACTGGTGCGCAGGTCGCGATCGCCGGTGCATTCATCAACTATGCCACCGAAACACGGCCGGGCACTGATAACGCAACGGGTGCACAACTCCTCGCTGGCGCTCAAGGCTGCTTTGCATTCGGCCGATTTGTCGGTGCTGCGCTGATGAAATTTGTCAAGCCTCGCTACATCTTCCTCGTCTACATGACCATGTGCATTGTGTTCATCGCACCAAGCATCACCCAACGAGGCAACGCAGGAATCTCCATGCTCTTCGTCACTCTCTTCTTCGAATCGATCATCTTCCCTACTATTGTCGCTCTCGGCATGCGAGGCCTCGGCAAATACTCAAAGCGCGGCTCAGGATTCATCGTAGCCGGTGTCTCAGGCGGCGCCGTTGTCCCTCCGATCCTGTTCGCCGCAGCGGACTCGCAAGACGGAAAGTCAGATGCTCCGACGGCTGTCGCAATGAGCGTCCCATTGGCTTTCTTCATTGCCGCGTGGAGTTACACCCTCTGCGTGAACTTCGTGCCTGCGTACACAAAGGTCGTGGACAGTTTCAGCACGACCAAGATCGGCGTCGAGAACGCGCATGCCCATGATCCAGAGGCGCAGACTGGTGGTGGTGTTCTCGCTGATGAAAAGATTGGTGGAGGCGCTACGCAAAACGAGACAGTCGATACTGAGAGGAAGGTCTAACATGACATTGTTGTTAGATAACCAGAAATCGAATCGCGGTTTGTAGTCAATTGAAGAGTACTGTACTCGTTTCGTATTGTGCAATTAAGCTTCGACGCTGTGTTCTACATAGCCTCGCCAAGTGGGACGCTCCCACATTGGCGTACCAAGTGGATCTCGCCACAAAGCTTCATTAGATACCCTCTCGTTAATCGTAATCTTCAACGTTCATCATCTCTATATCTGTTTACCAGCATGAGTGCACATGTGAACCAATGTAAATGCAGGGTCCGGATTTACCCTGTTACGGTCTTCAATCTATCGTACGTGAAATCTGCAGATTGCTGGGAGGATAGATTAATTGACATTGGAACCAACAAGCATCTTTATATTGCCTGCAGCTGTATGGAAGACTCCGGTGCTGTAGACATGTGATTGATGCAGGCTCACGGTTTTTGCACGACGCAACCTATTGTCTTTCAATTACTTGTACAGCCTCCAATTCACCTTTCAAGAACAGCATGATCATCTTTGAACTGGCGATAACTACCGTAAAGCATTGGACTGGTTTTCTCGTTAGCTTCGGAGTCATAACGCCTATGGACGTGGGGCATCTATCTCCAGATCGATGGTGGAATACCCCCGAATCATTGGAGTGCGGGGGTGGGGCCATCGATTACAATGCATCTATTCAGTCCCAATTACCTCCAAATGCCTTCTATACTAATCAATGCATATCTCCATTGGCCCAAATTGCCATAGTAATGCTCATTGCTGCTTCCCATTCGCGCGAACATGAATCATGCTGCTGTCTACTTCTCCTATATACACACCAATCGAATCCACTCTTGGATTAGTTTCACCTACCCTGTATTCCATCTACAGGCCCCCGTCAATAGCACTCACATACCCTACTTACCTGGACATGGGCCATGCAAGATGCGCTACGGCAATTGGTCTTGGCTAAATGCCGAGGATGAATTGAGTATGGAGATAATCCGGGGTTTTGGAGGGCATGCGGAGAGGTATTTGAATAAGGTGGAAGCTGTGTGACGTGTGAATAACTGAGCATCCTTCTTCAATTCCATCAAGGCCGTGAAGAGAGATTGCGTGAATTCACCATACCAAAAGATTCAAAATGGGCCTAGGAGTTCTCGAAGACCACCACCTCCAGCATGTCCCCGGCACAGCATTGCTAGCAGACATGCTCGATGCCGAAAACCACCAATACCACGGTAAATCCACTCCTCCCCATTCACATCCCAAACCTAATCAATCAATCCACCACAGGCCGCGACACCTCCGCCCTCAAACACGGCACTGGACGCAACAGCGACATCGTGCTGGTGCCCCAACCCTCCGAATCCCCCCGCGACCCCCTCAACTGGCCGCAATGGAAAAAAGAACTCCTCCTCGCCATCATCTCCATCGACACCGCCGTCGTCGGCGCGTGGGGCCCCATGATATCGCCCGGGTACGCGGACATCGCGAAGCAGTTCAACATGTCGTATAATTCGCTCAATGGCGGGCTGGGTTGGGCGATCTTCGCGATCGGGATATCGTGTTTCATCACGAACGGTTTGTCGGTGAAGTTTGGACGGAGGCCGATTTTCCTGCTGGGGAATTTGCTGTTGTTTATAAGTAGTGTCTGGGCGTATTTTGCAAATAGTTATGAGAGTTTGTTGGCGAGTAGGATTTTCGGGGCGGTCGGGATGAGTCCGTTTGAAGTGCTGACGACGGCGGTGATTGCGGATATATATTTTGTTCACGAGAGGGGGTTTAGGTTGGCGATTTGGGGGTTGTGTCTTAGTATTGGGGTTGGTGGAGGGAGTTGTATTTCGGGGTATATCATTCAGGTGAGTGGGTTATCTCAGTGGACGATATGATGAAAGTTGGGAACTGACAGTGTTAGAATCTCGGATGGAACTGGACGTACGGTATCTGCGCGTGCTTTTACGGCGTCTTCATCATTTTGATCTTTCTGTTCGTCCCAGAGACTGTGTACAAGCGCGATCCGGCGTACAATCTCGACCTAGGAACGACAGACCACACAGAAGACATCCTCGACGCGAGCAAAAAGGCTCCCCACGAACCCACCATCGTCGGCGAAGAACCCAAAGATACAACCACCAAAACCGAAGCCTTGCACCCGATCCATTCACAGCAGCCAATCTACACAGGCGCAGACGAGCAACCCTACACCTTCTGGCAAGAACTCCGCCCAGTGCGAGGCATCGAAAGCGACGAGAACCTCTTCCTCATCATCATCCGCCCCTTCGGCATGCTCCTCTTCCCCCAGGTCCTCTATGGCTTCATAACCTACGGCCTCTCCACCTCCTGGCTCGTCGTCATGATCTCCGTCCTCGCCCAGCTCTTCACCGTCCCACCCTACAACTTCTCCGTCTCCGCCGTCGGCCTCATCAGCATCGCCCCCCTCGTCGCAAGTCTCCTCGGCATCATATCCGGCCCGTTGAACGACTGGTCCGTCAAGAAGCTCGCTCGCTGGAACAACGGCATCTACGAGCCGGAATTCCGCCTCGCCCTCAACATCGTGACGTTAATCCTCGGCATCGTAGGCTTCTTCGGCTTCGGCGCGTGTCTCGAGAACCGCACCCCCTGGCCCGGCCCAGTTATCCTCTACGGCATAATATACTTCGCCATCGCATTCCTGAACATCGGGTACGTCTCCCTCTCCCCCCCCCTCTCCCCACAAACCCCCCAAGCTAACACTCACCGCCATATCTAGAATCTTCGGCTACATAACCGAATGCCACCGCACGAAAGCGCCCGAGGCCTTCGCGGCCCTCAACCTCCGCAACATCTACTCCTTCGGCATGAACTACTTCATCTCGTCGTGGATCACCAACCAAGGCCCGCTGAAGGTGTTCGGCATCATTGGGGGGTTGCATTGTTTCATCTTGCTGCTTACGATACCGATGTGGGTGTTTGGGAAGAGGGCGAGAAGTTTGACGGCCAGGGTGGGCGTGTTTAGGATGTTGATGGGGGAGAGGTGATGGGTTGTTGGTGGGTGTGAAGTGGGCTGGGGAGGAGAGGGGATGATGTCCTGTCGATGGGTCGTGTAGTCGCTGGAGCTTAAAAGCTTGTTTGGTTAATCCATCTGCTTGTCATTTGTCTGGTTTAATAGCTCCGCTAGACGTGACTCTGTTGGATACTCGTGCCTAGTATTGTGTACTTGGGTAAGGAGGGTCCGCACATCGGGCAGTACACCTGCTAGCTTCATAAATTTTCTATACCCAAGTATCAGCTTAGCTATTGAAGAGTGTACTGTAGCTAGTTAAAGATCTTAAAGACTTCGCGAATGCACTGTTGTGGGCATATGTGCCAACCCTTCATAGGTACACATATGAGGTGTCGTTAGAGTTCCACTCTAGTGGAAATATTTTCGAATGAACAGAAGACGAACATGCACACGTTGCAAAAGAGATATAGCATTAATATGTATTGAAGATATATTCCATACCTGCAGTAATTGGTGTTATACCTTATACCTAGGGAGTGTGGGAGGTAGAGGCTAGAACAAGCTTCCCCGCGGCGCCCTGGCGCTAGGCCCAAAATGGACCAAGGACATTCACTCCCCTTCCTTCGTGCAATTGACCCTCACATCTCGTCTCGTCTCCTCCTTTCCATGTAAAACAACAGCCAACTATGCGACACTCCTTTACCTGTTCCCTCTCTTCCACGTCGCATCCAACTTCTGCCGTGGCCGATTAAGCTGGCACATCCGCAATGGATCGAAAGCGCGTGTTCATCTTCTGGTACGTGACATTGCCCTGGCTCAGCTCAGCTCACTTCCCCACTCCACCCCCCTATGCACTCCGCATCGCACGGTCGCCGTTCGCATCACTACGATACGCACTACTGGGGGTCCAAGTTCCTCACAATTGTTTCACGATCACATTTATCTCCATCGCGACTCGCACATCTGTTAACACGAACCTAGTGGCCTCGTACTCAGTTGCTGGTACCTCACAGCTTCCGTCGGTACCTCCTTCGCGCTCGAGCGACCCGTCCACACAGCTGGCTTAACGTTCCTCGTATCCGGCTTCGCGATCGTAGCTTTCGGCATCATCAGCGCACGGAGCAAGAATTCGTCGCACCATACAGGCCATTATGAAGTAGTGCCAGCTCATTACGAAGAGGCCAATGGTCTCGAGAAGACAGCGCATGGCGCCTCGACAGACCGGAACCGTCTGGACATGACGACGCGTGTGCTGCTTGCAATCGCGCTTTCATTTATCGCATGCGCGCGAGTAGCTGTGACATGGCGGATACTGAAAGATATCGAATGCGCCCGGCCTTCATACCTACCATTGTTGCCTCTCCTTTTCGCTATTTACATTGGGAGTCGCGACCTCAAAACATGCGCATCCAAGATCTTGCGACAACCCCGTTCGCTCGGGGAAGTCGTGACACAAATTATTCATGGGAGCTCTACGCGCTTTGTGCTTCCAGCTATTTTGGTGTGGATTGTAATGCGATCCGAGTTGAAAGCGACCGAATGGCCCTCAACAGCAGTTTGCACAATCTCGAATGGGGCAATTGCATTGATACCGAGACTACAACTCGCTGGACTGCTGCTTGATTGTGCAGCTCTTATAGTGGTTTATAACCTCTTCAGCGAGCGCGGATCGAACAACAATGACTGTGCCCCCTCAACGACGAGTACCGCCAAGAGTGCTGTCCTCGTCGGCTTGGTGCTTATTGTAGGCTCATCCCATTCTCGATGCTTGATTCAATGTGCTCACCAGATCAGTTTGCGTCCCTCCTACTTGCTTTTATAGGTCTAATTCTCTTCCTTCGACAACCCGAACATCGACAATGGTTCCTTACGACCCCTGTACACTATTTTCACGATACCCTTGTTTTGTGCTTCGCGATACCCTTCATGATCCTGTGTTTTCTTTTCACCGTAAGTAACCCTCATCGATTGCCATGCTCGTGCATTGTTAACGACGGATCAGTCACGCGAATACGGCTTTATCGCAACCTTCTTCATTGTGACCTTCACCTTTGCATATGTCCAGATCCTGAGTCTACTTTCTATGAACACTTCATATGGATTTCCACCGAAATCCGTCTTCTCTTTCGTTTTCCACTTTCTATTGGTCACGCTGGCCGTATTTCTTTACGTGACCTCCGACTCCGGAATGGAATTCAACTTCAAACCAAAGATATCCATGCGGACTGGACGATACCAGATTCTCCTACTCCTCTCTGCGTTGTCCCTGATGACAATAGCCATGTTCAACATTCGGTCAAATACTCCCACCGGTAGCGCCTGGGAGCATCCCATTACCGAACTTATCGTCAAAGCCAAGAATCAGCACAGTTCCTGGGCCTACCAGGCGCACCAAAGCGATTCACTCAAGTCGGCGGAAAAGAACTACAGGATTCGATATGGCCGAGAACCTCCGCCTGGATTTGACCAGTGGTACGGATTTGCAGTCCAGAAAGGCTCGATCGTCATCGACGACTTTGACAATATCCAGGAGGACCTCGCACCATTTTCTGCTTTGAGCCCAGCTGAGCTTCGGCAAAGGACGACCGATATCATCAATAACAATCAAAACCTTGCGGGAATCCGGGTGAAGGGCGGCAAGGCTGAGGCGTTTGGGGAATTTCCTGGCACGCATGGCTGGATGGCTGATGGTGTCATAAAGATGATGGAGCCTTTTGTCGCACAACTTCCAGATATGGAGTTGGCTATGAATCTCAATGACGAGTCTCGGGTCGTCGTGCCGTATAGAATATTGCAAAAAGCGCGACCCCAATGGGAGAAGTATGATGGTTTCGATGACTTCGGCCGGCAGAAGCCCAACCCTGACATATCCGAGCCACACGACAGATTCACTTACTATCCCGGCTACAATCCGACATTCCACTCCCACGGCTCCATTTCCTGTCCACCGGGCTCTCCTGCTCTTACCAAGTCATACTGGCACAAACAGGAACTTTGTACATCCTGTGCCGCTCCACATTCAGCAGGGCTATTTGTGTCCAACTGGTCTTTGTCCGCAAATCCATGCCACCAGCCGGATCTCGCTGACCTTCATGGACTCCACATTAGTCCTTCCGCCATGGTCGGCACCCACGCACTGATCCCCATCTTCAGCCAAAGCAAAGCAACGGGCTATGCTGATGTTCGAATCCCCTCTCCTTGGAACTACCTTGACAAGACGCAATACACTACCAGCGCCGAGTTTCCAGATCCAGTCTTCTCTCAGAAAGAAAACATCTTGTTCTGGCGGGGCACCACGACCGAAGGAGTCAGCACAGGTTGGGGTGGATGGAAAGGCATGCTTCGTCAACGTCTCGTCCATCTTGCCAACAACTCCACCGATCCCGCCACGCCGAACCACCTCATATCACTCCCACTGGGCCGTAACACACCCAAGTTTTCCACAGTCACCCGCCATCCTTCCACCATCCTCGAAAAGCTCGCCACGAAACTTGACATTGCCTTCGTGGCCCCAATCACCCACTGCGGCGGCAACGACTGCGACATCCAAACAGCCGAATTCTCGCCCCTCCCGCCCGAGCAAAGCGTCCCCTTCGAACAGCACTGGCGCTACCGATACCTCTTCGACGCCGACGGCGCCGGCTTCTCAGGCCGCTTCATCCCCTTCCTGCACTCCAACTCCGCCGTCCTCAAGACCGCCCTCTTCCGCCAGTGGTACGAAGGCCGCGTAACCGCCTGGCACCACTTCATCCCCATTGACCTGCGCCTACACGACCTCTTCAGCGTCCTCGCCTACTTCGGCGGCTGGCGCAACGACGTCGGCAAATACTTCGGCGGCAAAGTCTGGGAGGGCCGCGAGCGCGAGGCCCAGGACATCGCCCGCCAGGGCCGCGAGTGGGCAGCCAAAGTCCTCAGGAAAGAGGACATGGAAGTGTATCTCTTCCGTCTGCTGCTCGAGTGGGGGAGGCTCGTGAGCGACGACCGCATGGTGGGGGACGCGGATCGCGGCGGTCGCACGCCTTCGTCCTCGAAGCCGGAGGATACGTACGGGTTGGGCAACGCGAATTATGATCCGGGGAATGCGACGGCGAGGATTCACGAGGGGGGGAAGGGAGGGGGGAGAGGGGGCAGTTGGAAGGATTATCTTTGGGATTGAGGGGTTGGTTGATTGGGGTGGTGAGGGTAGACAAAATATCTTTTTGTTATGATTATACATGCGATATCGCTTTTGAAATACGTGTGATGGCTTCAATGCACGGAAAGTTTCTTGCCATTGTGAGCCCCATCGATATACTGTAGCCGTTTCATTGATCCATCATCATGAGCATCCGTCGTCAAGTCAAACGTTGGGAGCCCTGAAGATTCACTCAACCACAAAAGCAAAATGCCTTTTCGTCAATGAGAACTCATCCACCGTCCGTTGCCTTCGGTACGGTCACAATATCTCAACAAAGACATCACCGCAATTGCATTAGCTTTACACAACATAACATAATTTCACAATTTCATTACTTGTCACGACTCACGAGTAGGCAGCCAGCTACCCAGCAGCGAGTGGAGAAAAACAGCCTCGTACAGACAGTCCTCCTTGCCAAGTCTCCATCGAAATCCCCCGAAAAAGCAGGGTCGTCAAGTGCAAATCAAGTATGCACTTCGCTAAACGCAAAAGTGCAAGTTACCTGTAAATCTCGGGGGAGGATCATCGTACGTTGCGTTGTCTCGAGGGCGGCGCAGGCGCAGGCGTTAGGCGGCGTGGGCGGGTCGTTTAGGCGATGTAGGCGCAGGGACGTGGTGATTGGTTGGGTTGGGGGTTGTGGGTTGTGGGCTATTTTTGGTGCGGGTCGCGGGTATTGTGCAAGTTGCGACGTCGCGATGGACCACGAGAGTGTTTTGTCGCTACGAGTTTGTGGATTATTTTATTGATGAGTGGGAATGAGAAGAGACGTTGCAAGAAGAGATAGCATAGAATGAGGATTGTATGAGAGGAGGGCTCTCTCGATCAGCCTCGCCATCGCAATCATGTCATACCCTTAAATTCAACCTGCCTGCCGCTCCTTGGCGTCGCACCGCAATGGGCTGCCTTATCAACCCCCAGGTCCCAATTACAGTGTTTCACGAGAAGATCTCTGGGACTCGATTCGCTGGGGGGCGGTGATCGCCTTGTTCGGAGGATTTTTGAGTGATGCAAGGATCGACGTGGTACAGCGTGCAGCGGGCTGGCAGAGGGACTTGGCTTTAGGCTTGCTGTGAGGCTTAGATGTGCAATTTTGGCATCATGGGGGGATATAAAGTGCGGAGTGTAGTACGGAGTCTGTGGTTTGGATTGTTGGTGAAGACAGACATTGACGCAAAACGAACTGCATCATATTTAGAACGACAACACTGTTACAAGATACGCATACATACGTGTACGCATCAACATCACGATCTCCATATACAAATCACCGCCACCACCACCCCCGAAGACGTTCAGTTAAAGAACACAACCATCCACCATGCTGGGCAGTTCCCGTGGCGCACTCTCCCACCCGCAATGGCAAGGCCCGCAAAAAGGCACAATCTACATCATCTTCGCCTCCAACATAATCTTCATCCCCTACTTCATCCTCTCCGTCGTCGAGATCAACCTCTTCAAGAAATGGGTCCCCGAGCACTGGAACGTCGACAACGATGTGTACGTCCTCTTCCCTCCCCTCCTTCCCCCCCTCATCAGCAGCTAACAAATGGAAATAGTCTAGGATTCTACCTCCGCTCCGGCATGCAAATCATGGCGCAGTCCCTCTTCATCCTCGTCACGACCCCCGTCATCCTTCTCAAACCCTTCCACCCGCTCCTCGCCAACCTCTCCACCTTCGTCTTGTTCGGCCTGTGGACCTTCTCGGCTGTGTATACGGCCATCGCGACGTACTCTAACGAGTACAGCTTCGATATGCGGGATCGCTGGGACGCTCTGGGGTTCGCGGAGACGGGGCTCGCAAGCGTGTTGGCGGTGAGCTTTGGCGTCGCGTGGGTGCTGAGCTTTTGGGGGGTGAAGAGGAGGAGGGCATTGGAGAGGGAGGGGGGTACCGCGCAGGGTGTGAATTGGGGGCGGGAGAGGGGGGCGAAGAAGGGGGGTGATGCGCTTGAGTTGGTTTGAAGGGAGGGTCGATGAGGAGGGACGGAGGGGGAGGAGTAATGTTTAATGTTTAATTGAAATGGGGAACGGGATGGGAAAGGGGTGGGGTCTGTATATGATTAACGATGTTGTAATGATTCAGTTGTTTGATACATGTCATCCACGGTACCTTTCCATAAAGATTGTCATCCAGGTAAGGCTGTATTCATTATGAGCACATCAATGAGCCGAAGTGTGAATGAACGATAGATTTTTTATTAGGTTCAGTCCTTGAGAAAATAGTACCCTGTCATTATTCTAATAGTTCGGTTAAGCTTCAGCCTTGGTCGAGTGATAATGGTATAGTTAGGTCCCTCATCGTTCTTAATTCCTGGTTCTCGGGCTCAGAAACCTGCAGCCATGAGTCTGGGATCGGAGCTCGAAGCCGATTCCATTCATGAAAGCTGGCTTCGTCTTCGGTTCGTTAGAGACGCAGCAACATTATTCACTCTCCCTTGCCAGTTGTATATGACCCTTGGTCTTCATTTTGGCACACTGAAGTGTAATAGAATGCGGCACGACTACTTAAGAGCTGCAGATGCCAGTATTGCAACGATAGACATCCAGAGAAGATAAAGTCTTGCAAATCAACCTCCCAAGAAGAATGGGCAAGCTCTCTAGCCACCAACCTGTCTCTATCATCAGCTTGTGAATTGAGCCTATGATGCACTCCATCTAAGGCCACGTACATGCGACAATAGACGATTTTGGTAAAGACTCACTTCAAGGATACATTCCTCTCATAGGCTATGTACTTAAACGGGACGAGAATCGATGTGATTGTATTGGGTGGGACCCAAGTACCTGGTCAGGTTGAACTATTGAAGTCCAGAATGGCCAGGCTAGAGTCTTGCAATGTTGGTACGGGAATATATTGTAGAGACGGCCATCTTGCATATAAGGGCCCTTTAACATCAATTCATCTCTGCATTCATCTCTCATCCATGTCTACATCCATGTCTACATCCATGTCTACGTCCATCTCTGCGTCCATCTCTGCATTCATCTCTGCGTCCGTCTCTTACGTCCATCTCTTACGTCCATCTCTTACGTCCATCTCTATCTCCCCGCTACAGGGAATCAGGAGCTCAAATGGAGGAAGGACCACTCAGCAAATCACGGTTCGAAGCCCTGACCTACAAGTACCCTCGTTTTTACCCCCAAAAGGTCAAAGACTTTACCCTGGACGACAATCTCCCACTCGCAGGACTCACGATCCGCAATGAATACAGGTCCAAAGCAGCTAAATTCGGCCTCGGTACCCTGGATGTTCTTCCCCTCGAGTTGCTTCAGGAATCGCTCTCCCATCTTGACGTATCCACTCTTACCAAATTTCGACACATCAACCGACGAGCCGCAGATGTGGTGGAATCCATTCCCGAGTTTAAAGCGATCGTCATGCATGCACCAAATGCACTCCTTGGTATTCTGAGCGTCGAAACAGGGCATTTAATATCCTGCAAAGCCTTGTACGAGCAACTATGCACGGCCGAATGTGAGCATTGCGGCAGCTTCGCTGGCTACCTCTACGTGCTTACTTGCAGCCGTGTTTGCTTCCACTGCTTCACAGCAAAGGAAAGATATTTACCTTTGAGGTATTGCGACGCGAGACGAAAATTTGGGATCGACCGAAAGATCCTCAAGACATTGCCCTCTATGAGGAGTATTCCAGGCAAATACTCACGAGAGCAATTGAATCGCCCCAAACGACTAGTCTTGGTAGATTCTGGATCGGCCTATCGAGCAGGTGTTGCGTTGCACGGGTCCCCTGGCGCCATGAGAAGATATGCGTCACATGTTTACGCCCAGGAATTACAAGAGCATAATATTAAAGCATTTCACGCCTCCGCTAACGGCACATATCTACCTCGACATCTATATCCCCATGACGCTGTTGAAGGGAATCCTTTGCGTTTTATGGGAATCATTCGCATGCCATGGCTAAACAGAGCCACCCGCGAGCCAGAGTACGGTGCTTATTGTATTGGGTGCATTAGTTGTCACGACAACTGCCTACTGAATCAGTTTGATATTCAGACACTGAGTCATCACGCCAACCCGGTAATGAGCCTGAGAAGAATCTACCAACGACTGCACAGACGACTGTACACAGAAGCATCATTCAGCGAGCATCTGAGGCAATACGGGGATATCCGAGATAGAAAGCATATTGGAACTTAGATGGTGATACACTGCAACAACCTTTGTTGTGATTTTTCCTTGAGTTTTCGATGGCTAACATCAAGTTCGTAGTCATAGCGGAACTTGCACACTTTGACTAGAACGCTCTGCAGCTCCAGGATAATTGGGTTCGATGCTCCGACACGAAATGATGATGTGAAGAGTCTGGATGAGGAGTATCAGAGGCTACAAGAGTTGGCTAATATTTCCGGGAAAGAAGGAAGGATGGTGGTAGGTTTGCGGAGTTTGCGAGTAAAGATATATAATAAAGCGCGCAGGATAGCTATGTAGTTGGATAAATTGAATATATGAGCTCTTCACAATTGTAGTACGCTTATAGTCAATCATTGATGTCCGTAACACGGAATGTATCACGGCATTGATCCACGAGATACAAACATTCAGTAGCCGCCGCTTGAAAAAAAATTCGGAACGATCGTCCAGTGATCGTCCGATTCAATTGTCCGAAGGTTTCCGCTGTATCTATTAAAATACTACGAATTCAGTGAACCCTCCTCGTATATCTAGCGGCCTTCTTTGCGGACTTGCCGACTATCACGGATGTTACTGAATATAATAGACCACAACAGCCGTGCAGTTATGCTGATCTCGTCAGATGCTCGGTATGCGGCACAACACCGCTCCACATCGGGTCTACAGTAGTGATGGAAAATAATATCGCGTCCTCCCGTAGATCTACACTGTGGATACGGTGCAATAATTAATATTCCGTCGGGGGACAAGAATTACAGTATATATAGTAGTACTTGCTGGTTTGCAAGAATAGTCGTGAACACACAACACAACAGTCATTCATTTTCCAACCACCACATTCATTTTTTTTTCATTCATTCATTCATTTACACATTCGTTTATTCGAACACTCCAATTGCAATTTCTATTATCCATATCAAAGCGCCCAAATCATCTCTCCGGACATCAAAATGGTTTCCTTCACGACGCTCCTTCTCCTCGCAGCACCCATAACCTCAGTCCTGGCAAACAACCCCGTCAAGGTTCGAGGACACCAGGTCATGGCCCGCCCGGACGGTCGTGGAAGTCCAACGGCGGGGACAATGACCTTCGAAATCATGACCAGCACGGGGATGATTTTATGCGGGTTTACGGATACGTACAACGGTCGCCAGTGGCAAGGCTACGAGAAGATTTTCCCTTGTCAAGGCGGCACTAGAGGCGGACAGATTTCGTGGAAAATGAGCGCCTCGGCGCCTCAGGTGACTTATTACGATCCCGGTGGCGACAGGCTGGTGTGAGTTACTTTTCAAAGTTTTCATCGGTTCTTAGAGGTACGTGACAGACTGGCTGAATTTGATAGGTATGAGTCGCTATACTCTGCTGCGAACTGGGAATATATTTCGAGGATGGAGGCCATCGGCGAAGCACCTCTCGTCCGCGGTCGAGGACAGGGTGGGAAGGTTAAAGCGCAGAACCCCAAAGACAAGGAACGTGAGAGGCAGAAGCTTGAGCAGATGGAGTACGAGTTAAGGAAATTGGATATCGCTCAAGTCAAGAATCCGAATTACGAGAGGGAGAAGTATCAGAAAGCGAAGCTTGAGCGACAGAGAAAGCAACAGCAGGGACAAGGAAGATAGAGGAAACCTGCGCACTAATGAAACTCGAGTCTATTTCTCGAAGAGCTGTTCCCACACAAGGTGGATGGAACAATTGTCCTGGCATAGCCGTAGGAGTTAGATTGCTGTTGTTATTCTTTATTGATCTGCTTTGCTTCTTGTTTGGATACCCCTTGTTGCACGTATGTACACAAACACCCAAAGCACTCACCGCAAGACCAACTCCAGGAGAAATCCCATAGTCCATTCTCATCCACCGCCAGCATCCAAAACACCACGTCTTCATCTCTCTATATGTAGGCATTCCACGAGTCCAACAACAGGTCTGGGAGGTGTTGGAAGGGAGGGTGGAGGCTTGGTTGACATCTGGTGCGGTTGCGGTGTGTATCAAAGATGGCACTGTACGCGGCGGTTGTTTATCGGTAGGACGTGTGCATGTGTGTCATGTGTTTAGAAATCCGCAGTACAATTTTGTGTATGAGTCGTTTGCATCAGAAAGTCATCACGTCGAGAATTCTTCAGCAACAGAGGAGAAGAATGTATCCATACAGTCTATTTCATGATCCATGAAGAAGAAAAAGCAACCAGTTGCGCTCAATATTATGCAAAAACCGAATCCCCTATCTACCTTTGTCTAAAATTATGGTAAACACTTTTGTCGCGAGTCAAGAAAAAAAAAGAAAAAGGTCGTGTGATTTCCCCCCGCATACGAGTCATGATCCTCATGATTGGAACATAAAGTTCATAAGACTCGTAGGTATCTAAGGTGTATGCACTGAAACCCCACGCCGACGCTTGCGCTCCGCGCTCCGCGTTTGATGTGATCCACGTATGCCCAAAAAAAAGAAAAATATTAACTCCGGAACTCCTTGTAACGACGACGCTGGAAAGTGCAGGAAGGAAAGAAGGGGGTATTACAATGGTGGTATGTCCCGTGTGGGTACAGTCTATGTGTGGGTTGTGTTGATTGGAATAAAAAGAGAAACCATGCTGTGGTGCAGTACATGTGAAGGAGAAGAAAATGCGCTCAGAGGGGAGATAGCAGTATGATAGAGGAAGGAAATTGGGCAATTACAAAGATGTAGGTACGTGAACCTGCCGAGGCATGCCGAAGGATGTTGGGCATGACAATGGCTAAAGAGCAGCTTGGCCCTGAAAGGTATTGATTGGAAGGTGAGAGATTAGGCGTGAATGGTTCGCCGTCGGTTCAACGTTGTTTGTCCTGGGATGTCATGCTTTCAACTGGCGGTAGCATATTGATGGCGCCATGTTGATGCTGGCGTGGAGTAATGGAGACCGGCGACACCTCTAGAAGTGATGCGCTGCGTAGGACCAAACTTCGTAGTTCGAACGCCGGGGTGATGACCCATAGGCCATCGATGCAGGCGGAGCAAGCTGGGAAGGCTCTGGCATTGGCGAAGCAGGGAGCTGCTCTGACCTGAAGTGATGATTGAATAAGCCTTTGCTTAGGCGAACAAGGCTGCGACGCTTGGGAGACGATTCAGATTGCCCCGTTGGTGAAGAGGAGCTCATCGACTCATCCAAGTAGGGCAACGGCGGTGTTGGAAAGTGTGGTTCGCCAAGCAGAACATCCTGTGCAGTCATACCCGCATCGTCAGGCATTGGGAAGCGACCATATTCGATGAGATCATCCGCCGTCACTAATGGGGGCGCGTCGGGCATGGCGACACTCGTTCGATTGTTCGTAATGTCCAGGTTGTTATTGACGCTACCATCACTGAACGACTGAAAGAATTCATGTTCACTCGGCGTTTGACTGGAGAATCCGCGGGGGCGTGTTGCCGGAGCCAAGTTGAACTGTTCGTTGCCATTGTCATTGCCGTTCATGTCGTCCTGGGCACCAAGAGCACGAGGGGCCAAGGGTATATCGAACGCATTTGCCGTGACAGTGGAAGGAAAACCACGAGGGGCTGTATTAGATACCTTTCCTAACCACCACAGCCGCTGGAGAAAGCCTTTTAGATCGTTTCCGTAAGTCTGACACTCCAGCATTTCCTTGTGTCCTCGCGTAGTCTCCGGGTCCCAAGTAAGCTGATGGGGAGAAACGTCATAGTTGGAGTATCCAATCGACACCACCTCTAACCATGCCGGTGCGACATCTGGCTGTCCCAAGAGGTTGAGCATTTGGTGGTTATAACTCCACTCCTTGCCTCCTTCTTTCATGCATCTAGCGACGTGATCACACCAATCTTTCCAATTCGTGGTGCGCTTGGTGCAGTCTTCGAATCCACAGGCGTAGTATAGCTTTGCCGGTAACACTCTGGGAGACATGATTGCCGGATCTTTAATACGATGCGTTCTGGAACAATGGGCTTTCAAATCATGTGGGCGTGAAAATACAGATGTACAATCGGAAACTGGGCAGGTATATTCTTCACCTGTCTCATGGAAATCCTTGTCGTGCCGCTTCCAGTCATGTTTATTAATGAAGCGAATAGTCTTTCCCTCGTGAAGGTATGAGTGTGGACAGAAGTACTTTTGGCAAACATTCCGAAAAATAGCGGAATTGCGCCTACCAGAACGCGCTGCACTTTCAGGAGCGGCCTGCGGTGTATTTGCGGAGCTTGGGAAAGCATGAGGATGGGCAGGCGGGCTGAAGGTATGCGAAGCGGGTCCGTTTGATCCAGATTTCGAATCTACGACGCTGACAGATCGTGAATATTGGGAACGAATGAGGTCTGGGAGCGCTGTCTCGCCACTATACGCGGAAGTACCCCGGATGCTGGTATCCTGTGCCTGGTGGGACAGGGGTGGTGCGGAGGCAGAGTGGAGAGGATCGGAGACTGCGGGATCGGAGGCTACTGTACAGCGGCTGATCAGCAACTGTGGAAAGGCCCATGTGGAGTTACCATACAAGAGGTTAAAGACCAAACATCATCCCACGCAAGGCGGGCACGCCATAATTCTTCGCGGGGAAGGCGTCGAAAGACCTGATTCCAGTCGATACCAACGAGAGGGTCCATTTGCGGGATAGGCCAGACTGCTGGTTCAATGGCGGGACTGTCAAAGCCCCTGGCCATTTTGTACTGTATCTGAAAAGCAAAGAACAAAAAAAGGAGCGTTATCGTCCGAAAGAGGTAAGTTTGGTTGCTTGGTGATCGGGTCCGTTGATTTGAGCTTGAGACGTGCGGGCGGCGAGGTATCAGGTAGGGCACATAAGAGAGTGGGGGAAAGGAAAAAGTAATACAACAGTAAGGATATTTCTAAATGCTATGGGAGAAGGTTGAGAAGGAAGCAGCTACAACAGAAAGCACACGGAGCATGGCGGTTTATCTACTCGACAGAAATCCAATTATTTCATGTTAACAGAGAAGTCAGTTGAGCACCGAAAGAGATCGCCTGCTATCGAAGGAGAGTCCAGGGAGTGTCAGGAAGTGTCAAGAAGCCGGCGTATTCTGCCAGGAAAGCAGGCCACCCCACCCTCAACCCGCTTGCGAGCAGAAAAGGTTGTGAAATGCAAATGCACAAGCACAAAAGGTTAGTGTCACCGTCTGCAATTTCCAGCATACCCCGGCACATGGGGGTTTCAAATCAGAACGCTAGTGTCCTCCACGTTGGGTGTGAGCTACTGGAGCGGCCTGGGCAGACTCAAACGTTCGGAAAGTATTCCAGAAGATGTGATGACAAGCCCAGTATTATCGAAGGCTCGACCATTTCGGGAGACGTAACATAGGTAGAGTAAAGTAGATTACTTTCTTGCCTCTCCGCCACGTCGGATCCGAAGTAGCCATCATCTGACGCAAGATGTGCTTAGGCCATAATGCAGGTACGTACTAACTCGAAGTAAACCCCCCTCGATGCTGCAGCTGCAGCTGCTGTCGATGCAGCTCCCCCGTCAGCTGTGAATTGCGGGGTCACTGTACTGTATGGTCCGCGATAGGTTGAGATCGAGAAAGGTGCGAGGCGGTCGTCATCTCCCCATGCATGACAATTTCCAAAAACCAGATGTGAGCGAAATGAAGAGACAACTACTCCGTACTGGTGTGCACGATCAACAGAAGCAGGCCAACGACGATGAGAGGCGCGTCGCAGGTGGTCGCACAAGGTTCGTGTCTGATAGAGGGGAAGCGGCAGCGCGGAGGCGGTGTGTAACTCCAGAAGCAACGGCTCGCCGATTGAGAAGAACGAGCGCAGGAAGCAGAGAAAGCGAACGTAAGTTTGCAACCACAACACCTCCAGTAGCAACGGCCAATGGGCCAGGAACCGGAATGATCGGAGCAGACAAGCGCCTCACAGTAAGACCGTCTCGTCCAAAGGCGTAGAATGTGTATACAATGTATGTTTTCTTCAGCCTGTTTCGATAAAACCATTGCATTACAGAGTAGTAGTCGCTTCCCACGCGAGAGCCGACGTTAGAAAATATTCGACAGGTGTCTCACGTTCACTGTACCGTCTCACCCGGCACCGCATGGTACGGAGGGAGAGAGAAAACAATTACAGATCTACACTTCGTCTCCCCCTACACCGGTGTACTGTGTACAGGCAAGGTTCTGGGTAAGTAAATAGGGGTCAATGGGTCCAACCACTGCGGTGGGAGCCCTGCAGACGTAGTGGCAGCGCCACTTTGGTTTTTGTTTTTGCTTTTGCAATGGATGACGGACACATTACTGCATCGCAACGGAGAGGTCGACCGTAAGCAGTATTTCCGAAGAAGCATAGTTCCTTAGGCAGCAACAACCACAACCACAACGAACACAACTAGACAGACCGCTTGTCTTCCCTGCATTCTTGGATGGAGGACGATGCATTGGCCATTCAAGACTGCTGGTGGTGGTGTCGTGCGATCGCCAGTGGCCGCACCTTTCCCGCGCTGCTGGTCGACGAGAAAAGTGAGGCGTGAAGGATTCACTTACTTGCAGGACGGCTAGGCGACCCGAGGAACGCTGGTAAACTTGGAGTTCAGTTGCACATTATTCTTCCCTGGCTATCAATGGTTTTGAACCGCCACTTGCCCTTGACGGTGAACGAGATGCGAGAATGCTTGAGCGATCTTGAAGTCTAGTACATAGCTAGTGTAATGGAACTAGTGGGTCGGCCCATGATGGTGTGGTGCCGGGAGTCTGCCGGTAGTGAATGGTAGCGTGTAGATTGGTGCGGTGTGGAGTTTTGGTACTACATAGCATGTAGATGCTTCATGTATGTGTAGTCTGTATTCATACGGCGTACGGAGCATGGCACTCGCCCTATGGGCTAGCCATCCACCATCTACTGTGTAATTGTATGTGGTATGGACGGAAAGAAACTTGGCAATGCTCAGGCCATACGAAGTACAGCTGCTTACCGAGGGATGCCATCCCATCGTACACCGGACGCCCTGGAACCTGGTATCGCATCGTAGACCGGGTTAGCAGAGCGGTAGGCGGGCAGACCAGGACAGACCAGGACAGACCAGGACAGACCAGGACAGACCAGGACAGACCAGGACAGACCAGGACAAAGCAGGACAAAGCAGAACAAAGTAGGACGAAGCAGAACAAAGTAAGATGAAGCTGGACAAAACTGGACAAAACTGGACGAAGCAGAACGAAGCAGAACGAAGCAGAACGAAGCAGGACAAAGCTGGACAAAGCAGGACGACGCTGGACAAAGCTGGACAAAGCAGGACAGAGACAGGGATCACGGCTGGACAAGATAGAAGACGACGAGACGGTGACGAAGCTGGAAGCCTAGATAGCACCCTTTTCCTTCCCTTCCTTCCCTTCCTTCCCTTCCTTTCCTGAATGATACTCCGTAGCCAGGTAAAAAAAAATTCAGCCTGGCCTTATCGGACCATGTTGTAGAGGTTGCAAGGGTGTGATGCCATTATGGAAGATAAAAGTGGATAACATGGTTAGCTGGGGTCTGGGCATTGGCCGTTTGGCGTTTTTCTTTTCCTCTGGTAGGGAGATTGAGGCTTGAGAGAGAAGCAAGAGAGCGTGTATGTTGTGCAATGGGTGTATTTGTGCGTGCCGCGTGCGCCTGTGTGTATGTGTGTGGGAGTGAAAGGAAAGGAAGGGCGCGAAGATGAATCATGGCAGCTGAGAAGTCGGTTGGAGCTAATCCTATCCGGGTTTAGTGCTCTGGCACTTCTTCTAGAAACAAACCAAACCACATGGACATTCACTCGTTAACTCTCCATTCACTCACCAGGTTCCGCTCTTCACCCATCCCTACACTGGCTGCATCTACATACTTACACTGTATGTATCTACGGAAAACGGAATCTAGCTACACACTACACAGTAGTCACACCCACCCCTCATCACTCCTTGTCATCTTACCTTCACCCCTGCCCTTGTTCTTACCCTGGCTGCGCAAAGGGGCACAGGGGACCACCCACCGCGCGCTGTGGTGTGAAATCGTGGATACCTCATACCCTGCTGCACTACTCCTCTCACCTCCCACACGCCTCCACTACTCTGCGATGCCTGTGCTCTTGCTCTGTTGTATCGCATTCGCATCCCGCGGTGCTGCTTTGACGGCAGCCAGCGCCCGGCGCCAGGAACACACACACACTCCCCAGAGCCGATCCCCATATGCGAGTAGGCGTGGAGTCGACAAGGCTGTCGGTCGTTACTCGGCGGCTTTCTTCTATGACGATGCACCCCTCCATATTCGTACAGACATGACATAGCATTCCTACCAGTATCTGCGCCTCGAGCACAGATACAACAGCACAACAGCACAACAGCACGACATCTGGGTTACATGATCAGCGCCACCGACAGGAGGTGGAGACTTCTGTGAATTACTACTACTGTGTAGATGCTACTGCTACGCATACGCACACGCGTACGCATACTCATAACGCCAGGCGTCATCTAATCTTGCCTGGCGGGGTCGGGCGTGATCTTGCCCACGATTTCATCAATCTCTGCCAGCACCTCAGGTGTGAGCTTGTCCAACACCGCTAGGGCCTTGCAGTTTTCAACCACCTGCTCGGGACGCGACGCTCCCGTGATCACAGCTGAGACATTGGGATTGCTAAGACACCAAGCCAATGACAGCTGTGACTGAGCGACGTTCAGCCTATCTGCAATCGTCTATGTTCACACATTAGCGGTCAGTATCACAAAAGATTTGCACACTGGGCTCGTGCTCACCTTCAATTTGATCGATTTCTCGATGGATTCCTGCCATTCCGTCTTTCCATAATACGAAGCGCGGAAGGAGTTGATGAAATTGTCGTCTTGAGCGAACCGCGAGCCAGCAGGCGGTGTATCTGGATTGTCATTGTACTTCCCACTCAGCAGTCCAAACTTCAGCGGTGAGTAAGTGGTAAGCCCTGTGCCGAATCGGCTGTAGAGCCTCTGGAACTCTCCCTCAACCTTGCCCCTGTGTAGAAGATTGTACTGTGGCTGTTCCGCAATAGGAGGGATGAGTCCCAACTGCTTGGCTATGCCACAAGCCTCTGCTATCTCATCTGCAGACCACTCGCTCGTGCCCCAGTACATGGCCCATCCCTTAACCTCAATCACGTGATTGAAGGCACGAACGGTCTCCTCCATGGGAGTAAGGCGATCCGGCCGGTGCGCGTACACGATGTCGACGTACTCAAGATCTAATCGTTTCAATGAAGCTCGAAGACCTTCAATGATGTGCTTGCGTGAGAGGCCGTGGTTGTTTACGAGAACCTCACCGTTTGCGCCTCCCCAGTTCAACTTGGTACTGATGACAATATCATTGCGGTTCCAGCCGTACTTCTTGATGGCCTGGCCCATGACGACTTCGGATTGGCCACCAGCATAGCTGCAGTCGTCTTAGTCACTTCACTTTTTCAAATTACTGTGCGACCAGAACTGACCTCTCGGCGGTGTCGAAAAAGTTGATACCGCAATCGTATGCCTGCTTCATGCAGGAGAATGTGAGCTCTATGATCGTTTTTAGTGGGTTGATTCAGTTGAAGAAGTCTGATTGGCATTCGCACCATTCTCTACGTGTCCACCGAATCTTGAACATTGTCAGCAACGTCGTGTGTGAGTAATCGAGTGCGCAACGTACGTGAGCCAACCACCGAGGCCAAAAACAGAGACATGAAGGCCAGAGTTACCAAGTCGACGGTACTTCATACCCGTCTTTCGAGGCTCTTCCCACGCCATCTTTGCTGTGATTATATCTTGTGTGGAGAAGTTTTGATTTCGGCGGATGGCGTACGCTTTGTTCAAAGCTAAAAAAGATTGAGATTGGATCAAAGGGATTGAAGGTTGTTGAATTGATTGCACTGCCGTCCTACAACAATTCTTCTTCTATTTATTCATTCAATCTTCGACGGAGTCAAGAGTCACCAACAAATTCAACCAACAAGAAATTTCATCAGCCTCGTACACACGGCCAACCAAGCAAAGCGGAATTTAAACCCCGTCCGCCCTTCGCCCTTCCCAAAAAGCTACCCCTCCACGCGTGTAACATCGTCTCGGCCCGGCATGACAACGGATCATCAGCAGTCTCCACCTACCAAGAGAACGAAAAACAACTCAATCCGGGCGATTTTCTCAATGAAGCAAAGATAGAGACGGAGATGAAGAGATTATGAATTTTCCGTTGCTGGGCCCGATTCTCTAGAGATCTTGGTACTCACAAGTTTACGCAATTCAGAGCGCAGATTGCGTCAGGTTGTGCCTTGTGGGTCTGGGGAATGGGGGAGATCCAACTTTTCCAATTTCTACATTGCGCATGGTTACAGCCGATCGTTGCACGTGACCTCTTCAAACATGACTTGCAGTGCTGCTCGACCAATTGAAGACCAGGAGAATGGTTGGCGTATCCGTCGATCGGAGCATTTCCATTAGTCTCGGCCATGCGACTGTTATTGTTGCTCTAAACATACTAGTTCTATACTAACAATACGTCCAACTTCTTTTCCAATGTTCACCACTTCGAACTATCAACTCTACCAGCAAAAACGGAACAATTCCATCTCCAGTCTACCAGACCGCTACACTGGCCTCCAGCATGATCACAGTTGCGGCGTCGCCGACGCCAAAGCTCTCAACAGGTATAGCTTCCGTCAAACCACAAATCTGAAGTCCAACCTCTTGTTTCCTTCGGCCTCTCGAGCCACAAGATCACTCTGATACAACGCCTTCTCTTCCGAAGTCATCTGACTCCATTTCTCCTCCTTCTTCTTGTTCAATCTGACCAGCACCTGTCTCTGCACTAGCATGATAACCAGCGCCAGCGCACAAATGGCCACCAGAACGGAATTGCCCTGCTTGTAGTACGGCGAGTCGTACTTCCTGTAGATCTGGGATCCGACCAAAGACCCAATTTGCACAATGACATTGTATGTCGCGGCGGATATCGCACGCTTCTTCACGTCGAACGTGTTCTCGGAGATCCAGGACGAGACGAGCGGATGGAAGTACGGGTAACCTGAAATCATCGTGATGAGCGTGAAACGAGACCACTCACGCCCGCCGTCGGGAAGAGTCAAGAGCGCAATGAGCAGAGGCATGATCCAGAACTCTCCGAACATGATGTGCAGGGTCCGTTCGTTGAAGTAGTCGCTGCTGTATGCGAGTGTGAGCATTGTGATGATTTGCAGGACGGCGGACGGGACCGTAAGCATGTTGGCATTGAAGGTGGTGAAGCCGATGCGCTTCAGGGTCAGGGTTAGGTAGGCTTGCACGGGCGTTGCTGGGATGTAGGCTACTAGGCCGATCAGGTAGAGTCCCCACATCGCGGGATCGGACCATGCGGCGCGGATGTCTTTGAAGGTTGCTGGCTCGTGGAGGGCCGTGAGTCCTTTGGCAGGGTCATCGCGGAGGATGCGCTAGGGGTGTGTGAGTATCGTTCTTGGATGAGGGGCTTTGCGGAGACTTACGTTGACCATGATAACTTCTTCCCGCTCGGTGAACCAGCCATTTCGCCAGAGGACTGTCTTTGTCGAGGTTGGCGATGCAGGGAGGTACAAAAATGAAACGAAGGCAATCACAACGGTCAAAAGACCCTCGAGCAGGAACAGCCAGAACCACCCTGGTTTGCCTCCAATACCGCGCATCTCCAAGATTCCAGCTGCCAGCAAAGCAGAAATGACGCGGGCAATGTTGAGGGTTGACCAGAAAGCGGCCAATCGAATGGCAAGCTCCTTGGATTTGTAGAAGTATGTCGCGAACAGGATGACTCCTGGGATGAAACCACCTTCGCAAAGACCAATGAAGGCGCGACCAAGGTAGAAAGATGTGCGATCGTGCATCCACGCCTGAGCCCAGGAAACCGTTCCCCAGCCCATCATCATCGTAGGAAGAACCCACTTGAAGCCATATCTCTTGGTGAGAAATTGAACTGGGAATTCAGCGGCCAGGAAACACAGCAATTGAATTGTAGTTCCATTGTTGTAGTCGTCGCTGGTCAAACCCAGGTCGGTGAGCAAGTTGTCCGCGAGCGCATTCGATACATTGCCACGGTCAAGCTGCAGCCCAAACATCATAAGGCATAGCCACGAGAGTAGGTACATATCCACTTTGCGCACCACTCGGCGCTCTTCGGCGTCGGTCCATGTAGCCTGCGGATCGAAGCGGTGTCTTCCCTCGTACGTCTCGTGGGGAAGTATAATGTCGGCTAGCTCTTCTCGACCGACCTTTGTGGGTGCCTTCAAAGAACCATCCTCGCTGAGTCGAGTCTCTCGTGCGACTTCGATGTCGTTGCCCATTGTGACAATATTTCAATGATATTGAAGATTATTGATCACTTCTTCGGAGCTGTTGAGCCCGAGAATTCCTCCGGTATCGAGATCGATTGTACCTGGACACTGCAGCTAGGTATCAAGTAAATGTGATCTGACTGCTTCTATTTAACAAGCAGTCTCTCGCCATGAATTCTCATCAACATGTCGCAATTGATCTCCATACAAACGCAATTCCCCGCTTGGACGATCATGGTGTTGAGGCCGTGGTGTCCCATCTTCATTAGTGCCCTGCCGAGGCATGTACTACCATGTAGTAACGGTGAACTTACCCATCCTGGTCTGCAACCCCGCTATCCCTCATTACTCCCCTGTATCAATTCGTCCTACATTGGTCATCTGTCTGCATTCAATTCGTTATTCTCAGTCGTTTGCTTGCTTCCTGCTGAGGATTTAGACTTTCACATGGCGGTGCAATCTAGATACAACCATCCCGTCGAGTGATACCGATAATCGCTCTCGACCCGATCGCCTGGTTGGGCATTAGACTCCAGCCCATAAAAGGATTCCAGACTTCTCGCCATCTCTCATTCACTCCCAAGTCCACACCGACGGAGCAATTTGATATCTAGTTTCGGAGGCCAGGAGATATCTATACTTTCGGATCGTCAAGGCTGAACACAGACTAGCTCTGTCGATAATATTACTCCATACAGCAACTTGCATCTCCGCGCGCGAATCATTGCTGCCTCATTCCGTCTTGCTTCAATTACACAAACACATTGCGTTATATTGTCTGACATTTACGTCGGAAGTCCTTCAGTATGCCGTCCGTCAAGCGTGTTCGCGAAGACCATGAAGACGAAGTCGATTCAAATATATTCGGCGGCCACGAGAGTGCTCGGTCTCAGCTCACTGAGCCATTGGTGTACCAAGGCACGCTCGATAGGTTCAAGCATCAGGACTTGACGCCTGCGATAGGACGAGAGTATGAGGGTCTTCAGGTTACTGATCTTTTGAAGTGGGGAGATGAGATGATTAGGGATTTGGCCGTGACCAGTATGTTACCATGGTTCACTGAAGTACCCAAAGTGTATCATTAGAAGTGCAGTGCTGATATGTGGAACAGTCTCTGAAAGAGGCGTCGTCTTCCTTCGAGACCAAGATGTCACGCCTACCCAGATGAAAGACCTCATGCTCCGCATCACCGAACTTTCAGGAAGTGTACGAATCCTTTGCGAACACCTCCCATACATACCACCATTCTAATTCCCAATAGCCATCCTCGTCCGGCCTCCACGTCCACCCCCTCACAGAAGAAGGCTCAGAACTCGGCGACCAAATCTCCGTCATCTCTTCCTCCAAGCAGGCCAAAGGCGGCGGCCTCACGCATCAGCAATCCGATGCCTCACGCCTGGCATCCGCAGGCTGGCACACCGACATCTCCTTCGAGCCCGTACCCTCAGACTACGCGATGCTAAAGATCCACACCCTCCCTCCAACCGGCGGCGACACTCTCTGGGCATCCGGCTATGAAATCTACAACCGCCTCTCACCTGCCATGCAGGAATTCCTACAGACCCTCACCGCAACACACGACGCCTCCTTCTTCCACGACGAAGCCCGCCGCCTGGGCAACCCCATCCGCAGCGGCATCCGCGGGAACCCCTTAAACCAAGGAACCACCCTCAAAGCAACACACCCCGTAGTCCGCACAAACCGTACGTCCCCATCCCCCCATTTCCCCCCATCCTCCTCCCCTCACTAACCACGATCACAAAAAAACAGCCGTAACCCACAAGAAATCCCTGTACGTCAACAAAGCCTTCACCAAGCGCCTGCACCCGCTCTCCTTCGACGAATCCTCCCTCCTCCTCCCCTACCTCACCTCCCTGGTCCCGAACTCCCACGACGCGCACGTCCGCTTCAAGTGGCGCGCCAACGACCTCGCCATCTGGGATAATAGATGCACGTGGCACTGCGCGACGTACGACTACGGCGGAGAGGCGAGGACGGGGGATCGCGTGTGTAGTTTGGGGGAGGCGCCGTTTTTGAGGAGGGGGGAGTGATAGCAGAGAGGGAGTGGTATTAAGCTTTTTTCGGGTGTGGGGGATACGAGAGTTGGGGTGGATGACGTGACGTGACGTGCCTAGCCTTAAAAGTCGCCTGTGAACGGAGTTTAGTTCGTTTCCCCCATTTATGTGTCCGTTATCTCATGTGACGTGATAGATTGGAACTGACATCGACGTGTGTGTGTGTGTGACACAATGTGTGAAGCAGGGGATGGACGTTGTGGTTATGTCGTACGAAGGAACTGCGGAGTATGCAAGGACGTGTATGCAGTGTATCTCAACCGCGAACTGTATTCACGCGTCATGTCTTCATTTGAAATATTCACTTGGGTTGGAAAAGCATCATGTGTTTATTTATGGATTCACGGTTTCATTGCTGAGATATGCTAGATACTTATACACTCTTGCACAGCACGGGAATCGTGAAGTGTGAGTGAGTGACCTGAACGCCAGATACCCATTCCACCGTCCTTAAACCATGTTATGGAAGACTACAAGTGTAGACCTCCCATGGAAACATCGAGGAAAGAAAGGAAAAGGTGGCTACTTCTCCTCCAGCAGCTCAATCGGCACGATGTCGAACTCGATTGCGCGGTCCCATGCCGTAGGTCCCCCACTACCACGCCAATACACGTGCCAGCCCTCGCCGTTCGGCGCGTCCTTGACTGCTTCGAAGGCTCCCGGGAAGACCTCGAGGCTCAGACGCTTGAACCCCGTGTCGCCGTCGTAGACGCTGAATGCGTTGGCGGAGCAGTTCTTCTGCTCGGGGCACCGAGCGATGTGGTTTGGGTCTGGGCCGGGGAGGACGCCGAGATTGGAGGAGCGGGAGGCGGTGGTGGAGATGGCGGAGAGGTAGGGTGTTGCGGTGCGGTCGTCGCCGGCGAAGGGGGCTCGGAAGGCGTAGTTGGGGGTTGAGGGGATGGGGATGGGCGTGAAGGTGAAGGGGGGAGTTGTTGGGTGCACGGTGAAGTTCTCCAGGCCGAGGAGCTGCGAGGATGGGAGGAGGACCAGGTGGCGTTGGTGCCAGGGTTGCTCGGGACTGTGAGGAGGTGTTAGATGCGGAATGAATGGAGGATGTACTTGACTTACGCATGGCATCGGAAGAAGTATTGAGGACCAAGGTCTGGTGGTGGAATGCCTCCATGTGGTGGTGGTGGTGTAGGTGCTGCGAGAACAGCTGAGATGCCAGCGAAGGCCACCGCGAGGACTTGGAAGATCATGGTTCAGACTGCCGGTGATGTTGTAATTGTTCTTTGTTGTGTATCAATCGCAGAGTTGGCAACGGAAATTTCGATCAAGAAGATATCAAGGTCTTCATAAATCAAGTGGTAACGGTGCCCATATGTAGTGAAGGTGGATGATCTAGTGATTGTAAATAACGCCTGGACGAAGCTCGAGAGAAACAACGCTAAGGAATAGGCAGAAATGAATGTAAAAGACTTCACTTCAATTCAAGCCTGTGCGGTGTGCACTTTTGTACCAAACGTATTTATTTCGCAAATCAAGGGATGAGGTTGCGTTTGTCGTGAGGGTCGTGAGGGGATCCAAGAAAGCCAATTAAAGCATTTCATTTACCCAGATGGTGCCACGCTTTCTCCATCCCTAGGGCGCGGTCGCTGAGTCGCTGGAATTGTGCAAGCCACGCTTCAATGTGAAACCTAATCGTGCAAGTTCGCCAATCGGAATGTTATATCGCGTTGCCACAACCGTGAAGCTCATAAGTGATATCTTTTTCTCTCCAATCGCTCCGATCGCTCAAAGCCCAAACAGCACAAATCTATGTAAAATGAACATCACATTGGAAATAACGCCTCCCGCAGTACTCCATACAGAAAGTCTCACAGATAGTAGTGACACACTGAGGTCTCGACCTTCATACATCCTTGCATGACAAGATTGGCTGGGGTCGCGGCTGGATCTTGCATGCTGCAGGTACCATGTTACACAAGACATCAACTAAGTCTTGGACTTTTGTAGTTACCAAAGAAGGGAGAATTTTCGTAGAATGAAGCTGGCCGCTTTGACGTGTTGTGTGCCCTCATGGTCTCTTCATCGACGTGAGCTCGTCTTTGACAGCCATCAGGCGTGCGCTGACCACAACATGCCCAAGAAGCAACGCCGGGTGGTCCATGTACGACCTTGGGTCCATTGTGGTACGGACACTCTTTGCGAGTGGCTTCAGTGAATGTTCCCCAGCAAATAATGCATATTTTTGAGTTTCCTGTAGTCGATTGGTCTCGTTTTATCGAAGGCGTCCTGTCAGAAATATTGCGGCTTTGTGGGCCCGCGGAATGGGAAACTCCGCCACCCGATGGTGCAGTATGCGGCGTGACTCCAGTATATGGTTTTGAAGCCGTACTCGGACCCCGCCTGGGAGGAGGCGTACCAAAATCTGATTCTGAATCAGATGGCGATCCAAGTCTCTGCTCACATTCGGGCCCACCCTTCTGCAGCAATATCGCTTCTGGACATGTATACTTCTTGCCATTAGATGCCGAGCCAGCATTGCCCACCGTAGATCCAAGTCCTTGCTCTCTTTTCATGCCTCCCGCGCGCATCGCCGATACCTCGGGAGGCGGGGGTTGCCTTAGGCCAGTAGAGATGTAGGAGTTTGGGAATTCTCGTTTTGGTCTGATAGTCGTCGCGCTGGAGTGACTGGGTGCTGTGCGCATCAGGTTTCGCCCAATTGGAGAGTGCGGTGCTAATCCTCGAACAACCGCACCAGCAAGAGCGGGCGAAAGCTTGCATAGTTCAACAAGAACATTCTTGACAGCGTGATGACTACTTGTGTGAATGATATCCTCCAGATGACGTGGGTTTATTGCAGGTGTTGGCGGATTGCCACGAGAGGGGGAGTGCGCATACGGAGGTCTGGAGGACGACTGATGTCGATGAGACTCTGGTTTGGTCTTTCTCTCTGAAGTGAAGCTGCTTTCTCGTTTCACACCATTCGACGATGTAGGGCGGGGTGGGGCATGTGACCGTGAATGTGACTCTGGCTCAGGCGAAGGCGAAGAGAGGAGCGTCAGGTCGAGGACCTCGATGGTACGGTCACGATCCCGAGACATCTCGGATGGATATACTAGCGACGAAGCATGTACTAGATGTTAACTGTAGAGCTTAGATCCAATCAGTTATAGGTAGGGATAACGATGACGTTGTGGTAAGGAGTGTGGGGGGATTAGATAGAGGGATAGTGTGGTTGCAGGTGTGGGTGTGTGGGTGTAGGTGTGAGAGTGAATGCTTCCAAAAGTGATCAAGTGGGGAAAACACGTCGAGTCTTCGAGTACGCGTGAACATGTGACTAGAAACATTGACACGTGACTCTCGGAGGGTTGACGGTCCGGCCACCCATCACTCAACACCCAACGAGCCATTCATCGCCAAAGCCATCACCAGCCAGCAAGAGACAGACAGCCACCAGCCATCTTACTACGATTTACGAATCAATACCGCCTCCTCCGCGATCCATTCTTATCACCCCACAGTGCTATGATCTACTAAGGGCATCGCCCGGGCTCACATATAGCTAGCTTGTCTATAATTCGCATGAGCTGGCGGGTCGAGTCATTCCCCCTTTCTGTTGGGAACGCTCCTTTGATTGCAGGAAGCGCATCTCCAACATGTAAAATCTCAGATTGTTCACTCGACTTTCATGCCACTGCGCGATGACGGCGATACGCTGTTCGTCCGTCGCTTTCGCGTCGGCATCGTATCGCACCGCGTCGCAGCACATTACATTCCAATTACCTACCTATCTACGGAGTAATTCCCTAGTCTAACACCAAATCAAAGTCGACTCGGTCGCAAGCCACCCACTTTGGGCTTGCCAGCCAATGACGGCGTGGAGCATCGTGTATCGCGCCTCCCGGACACCCAGGGATTCTCATATCCGCTTCCTCTGGCTTGCAGCTCACTCTACATCAAATCGCATCATCTGGCCTTCAAATAGGGCAAATTATTCGTGAAGCAATCACAGAAGCCGCGACAGGCATTGATTGGCAAGCTCATTTCTCCGCCCCATGCACCGTGGACTGTGCGCCTGTCAGCAGCCCTCTGGCTGGTTGCCACTCGAGTACCACTACGGCACTGTACAGTAGTGGGACATCGTGGAGCGAGATGCGGTCGAAGCGTTAAAAGGTCCCATGCCTCGCCAGCTAAATCAGTTGAAGTGAACGATTTAGCGTAACTAGAGGGACACTCGCACCACGTCCCTAGGTCAACCCAGCCTCGTGATATCATAATTTTTTTTCTACCTCTTCTTGCGCCCAGGCAGAGACGACTGAACCCATCTCGCCAGTTCTCCGCATACAGTCACCGTAGCCGTGCGATCTTGCAGCAGAAAAAGCAGAGGCAGAAGCAGAGGTATTGGCTAGTCTGATCAGCGACGTCAGCCTCTAAGCGAGGGGCCGAAATCATTTGCGACTAGGGATTTACCTCTATGCTTGTCTTCTTCCGTCTCCGTCTCCGCCTGCATGTCACTTTCTGGCACCCTTCTCGAAGATTTTCCAGGTACCAACGGCAAGGCCCTTGCAGGCTCCAAGCGCCGGAAGGACGTTTGTCTCGTACAATACAGGACGGCTTCCCCCCTCGCTACGGAGCAATAACCCCTCTCTCTCACTCTCGCTGCCCTCACCACGCGTCCTCGATTCTACCTGTAGAGACCTGGAGCCAGCGGCTCGTGCAATACTGGTACAACTCCCGTGCTTTTGAATTTAGACTTTGGACCATCCAGCTCTGACAGTAGCGCACCCGCTGTCGCCTCGCAGAACTCAGGTTCATTGCCTGACGATTAGAGGCTCGAGTCCCTGTGTATCAAACGCGCTACGACTTGGCACCTAGTCGACACTCTCAGCCCACCTCAAAAGTCGGCCACGCTCGGACGTTCAGACGATCCTGCCATCTCTTCCACGGCCTTTCCAGAAGAACTTGGCGCGCCGCTTGCCAGGCTTAGGCAATTGCCTGCCGCCCTCCCCGCTCCATTCGATGATGTGATAAACAACTGTGTCGCACCAACCGTAGCTTATCATCATTCTATGCCTTACACTCCTTGAGTCGTCTATCCGAAACCGTTCTACAACAAGACAGCCATATTCCTTAATACTCTTTAACTAGCGTCCACGTTCTATCGATAATCCGCCATTGCATTACCAACATCGTTTATTGCCTATACACGAGTTTATCAGTGTGAAAACCGCCCTTGGGGATGCTGGGCTGTCGACTCTACCATAGATTTCTAGGACCCCTGAATCAAGGCTGGAAAGCATCGCAAGTATGGAGGACAGTACAGACTTCCCAGAAGACTCCATGAGACATGTAGAAGCGTTGCTGAGTAGGCACCCGCCTCAAATGGTGCTGCGAATGTTCCAACATGTTATGGACTCGAGTGAGTGTGCGCGCTGCGTTGTGGTGCAATCAGGCTGACGGCGGTTAGGACGAAATTCCATGGCTTCTTCCCATACGACATCATCAAACTCGTCACTTCGTTCGCGACTGTCTGTAGCTTCCAGTTTCTCGACCATGTCCAGCTCCACCAGCCATAGTGACATAGCACCATCCATCGCATCATCCAGTTCATCGCGATCAAGGATAAGACGCCCAGAGCCGCGATCCTACCCCTCAGGCCTTGATCCTACCAGACCACGACCTACTCTAATGACGCCCACCTCTAATCCAAGTAGTCCGCTGGACGGAAGTGTCGAACCTATTTTCACCCCTACGGAGGAGGACATGACGAGCAACGCATCGCCTATCACGTTTCAAAGCGACAAAAGCCAAAGTCAGAGTCAGACCGGAGACTCTTTTATGTTCTGTACATATTGTGCCGAGCTTAATGTTCTGAAGACGTTCAAAGCGAAGTCGGATTGGAAAAAGCACGAGATGAGGATGCATGAGACAGGCGAGGACTGGCCTTGCCCAGTGAATGGGTGTAACCGGATATTCGATCGGCAAAAGGACTTCGTTCGACACCATGTGCGCTATCATTCGGGTCGACCGTTACCATCCGTGACCGATATAGGCATACGATTACTTCCGCGCAGGGTCTTTGGCTGTGGCTTCGAAAAATGCAAAGATGTTAGTATAGGGTGGGACGAGCGATGCGATCACGTTGCGAAACACATGAAGAACGGTTCTCCATTCGAGCAGTGGAAATACTCGAATGTCATTCGAAATCTCATTCGACAGGAAGCATTGCACGATACTTGGAAAGAGATATTCGGCAGTTTGGACGAACGACTAAAGGAGAGCAGATCTCAAATCGCCTGGTCTCCCGACAATACGAGAGTTCTCAGGCAGAAGCTTCAATGCTGTGATCTCAGGCCAAGTCGGGAGGAGGTTCTGATCACGGCATTGAGCATGCGTTCGGATCTACCCCTTGATACGTCGCATCTAAGCATACCCCCCGGTTTCATCACGCCGAGCCGAGACTCGGTTCCCAACGTCGATCAACTGTCGCGAGAACAACGAATGCATATTTTGATAGGGAACATGAATATCACACTGTCGCGTTCTCGCCTTGCAGCCGTGAATGCAGCGCTGCTGCAAGCGAGCAGCACCCCGCCTAGTTTCGGCACGTTCAACACACCCCCAACTCCTGACGAAGGAAATAAGCGCATCAGCTTCATGGATGTGGACTCTGCAGAGTTCGACCTGGCCGACCCGGGAATTCCTCAAATGCCGCAGCATCACACACCGCAGCAAACTCACATTGATCCTGAGCCCCAGCAGCAGCAGCACCACCACCAGCAACAGCAGCAACAACAACAGCAGCAGCAGCAGCAGTCACAAGCTCAACCCCAGCACGCTGAGTATGTCGAGTCTGGAAAGCCTGCTATGTTCGTAGATCCCGGCAGACCTACTGCTTTTGTGGATCCTGGAAGGCCCTCTTCTGGTTATACAGACCCGTCACGAACAGCTTATGTTGACGCCGGAAAGGCTTCGAATCCGTTGGGATGGTGCTATCCTAACTACTTTGATGCTGCGCCGACTTTCGAAGAATCTCAATACTATGATCGACCATCAACATTTGGTCAGATGTTCTCACGGCCTTTGCACAAGATCGGAAGCAGGCTGGGTTCGCGACACAGTTCGCCCCACTCGCGTCCTTCGTCTTCTAACGACCATCACGAGCTGAACGGCCCGGAATTTCCCATTCAACATCCCATGCAGCCTCCGCCGCCACCTTACCAACAGCAGATGAATGTGACAACGATGCGGCCACAGTATCGTGGTCTTGACGAACACCAGAACCAGCTACACCTGTTCACGCATCAAAACTAGGCACAGCCTCGTACACTGTCCAGTCCGCCCGAGTCCATTCGTAACGAACTTACCTTTCCACGCCTGTCATATATTTACCTACGATGTTTTGTATCTTTGCATAACCTTTGCAGCATTTCTACGCCAACCAGCATATAGACGCTCAGCATTTTCTTTCTGTGCAGTTGTTTCTTTTGACAGCATCGCACACGTTTTTTTTTCCATTCACGATACCCCGTGCTGTTTCATTTCCTACCTTTCTTTTCTCTGGCACATGACCTGGACCGTATAGACTGTACTATTATCATCATATCATAACTATGTGTATTTATTTGAATGATTACCTACCGCTCTGCATTCCGCCGCCTTGAGCAGAAGGATCCAAATTCAAAGCCAGATTACTGCACATAAGATGCTACTACCAACTGCAATTTACTGCCTTCCTGGACCTTCCGAATCGGCTGTCCGTTCGGTGCTCGCGCTGCAACGGACTCAGCTGCCATCTACCATGCTTTCATTTACCTACGGCGTTGGACACGCACCATGTGCCACGCAATAACCAAACGGTCCCACACCATACACACGCACGCACGCACGCCCTGCCAATTCACCAGAACAATACAATACCTAGAACGCAAAGCACCTGACTAGTCGTGATGCACATCGCATTTTACCCGGGCCGGGTCCCTGTCGCTGTCGCGAACCTCGGCCTGCCCCGTGCAACAAGGAATAGCGTGGGCCCATATGCTCACAATTGGACGTTCGGCCGACGTGATCTATGATTTTCCCTACATACACCCATCGCACCCATACCGTTTACGACTTGCATGCATACATAATCATTTAATGCATGGACATGACTAGGACGGGGGAAGCACAAAGCAAACCAAGATGGCATGGCATGGGCATGGCAGGGCAGGGCAAGGCATGCCTGGCAGGGGCACTTGTCTGCATTCCGTTCCGTCGTACAAACCGTAATGTACAATCACGCTGGGGTATTCGACGTTTTTCCCCCCGTTGGCCTAGCGGGCATTGGCATCGCATCTTTGACACGCCGACAATACAAATACTTGTAAGTTTGTAACTAACCTAACTCAACAGCGGTTCTGCATGCATGCAGGCGTAGGATGTACTGCACTGTACCTACAGCACTCACTGTACGTACATATAGAATTAACTATGTAACCAACGTTTAGGACTTCAACTTCCTAGCTCTCCATTACTATGCCTTGAGCCGGACATAAATTACACGCTTTATTCCCGCGCTTTTACGTTCCTCTACGTTATGTTCGATCGAAGTACCGCACGCACACGTGTTGTCGACGCGGTACCTTTCCGAACAAAAAAAGATCGCAACGCATAGCCAAGAACCAACCCCAATCATTCCATCAATTCCATCGTTCAAGTCATGTACCTGAGCCTACGTATCGCCGCCAAGGCTGCGTGGACCGCCCTCGTGTGATCTGGCTTGGGTTCAACAACCGTCGTGTTCCCCAAGTAGGCCTAGGAACGAATGAAAGAAAGGAAGGAGACTACACGAGTAATAAGGCTGACCGGCGCCGCATCCTACGTACGCCCACGCCTAGCTACACCTACAATGTACCGATGCACTTCGGATCATAGTCTACCTACTCATGGCAATCTCACGCACCCATCCCATCCCTTCCTAATCCTTCTAGGCGGCTTCTAAGATAGACTTTGGCGTTAGCGTAGGCTTTGGTAGCGTCGACTTAGCGTATCCGGGGCTACACTAACGTGCCATCGTCCCTCACTAGACTAACAATTCACGATTCGCGCTTCTAGAAAGAAAAGAGAAGGTTGGGTGGTGGGTGGGAGGGAAAGCTAGGCTGCTTCGAGACGTGTCGTCCGTATTACTGTCTACGCGTGGGCTCCCCCGTGCCCTGCGTAGGTACTGTGCTAGTGTAGGCTGTGTAGTAGGTTGGTTGGTGTATGGACGCGTGTTGACGCGGTACGCTGTGCTCACCATTTGGCATTGTTCGGTGTAGAGCAAGTATCTAATCGACAGTTAAAGCGCATTGTCAACGCGGTGCCCTGACGACATACCTATCTATGTATCTTCCTATCTATCCACGGCAGCGCTTTGTTCACATGCCTATGGAGTACTACCTACCCAACAAATCTACTCCTCACCTGTCCTCTCCTCCCCTCGATGGAGTATCGCCTTCCTCACCTCCCCCTACCCCCTCCCGAGCCCAGCCGGACACGGTAAGAGGAAGGGGCAATGGACGTACATGCACATACATACTGAGTCTGGACTTTTCGAAAGGTAAAAGTGTGGGGAGAAGGATGGGATGGGTTTGAGGCTCAAACTTACTCGCTCGCGCGCTAGCCGTGCGTGCATATGCGTGTGCCTGCGTGTGTGTGATTGGCATGGGGTGTTGGGGAGAGGAGGTTGGGGAGAGGATGATGGAAGGGAGTATGGGAGTATGGGATGGGAAGGTGTGGAGAGAGTTAGGGAGTAGGTGCGATGGGGGTTTGTCGTTCTGCTTTCGATGTGTTGTTTGAATAGTTATGTAGGGTGTTAGGAAGGGAGGAGGTTGTGGTGGTGTTAAGGTTTGCGGTGTCTGGATGGATGAACGGAGAAAGCGGTAACTGATCATTCGTGAGTTGTAGGTATGTCGATACAACTACTTCTCACGTCTTGGGTCTGGGGAGAGTGAGGTGACCTAATACCAAGTCAAAATGATACCATAAGAAGGAGATGGAATCTCGGTCTGTCGCTGCTCGCTGAAGATTTACGAGGGCCTTCGTGTTCGTGACTCGCAGCGGGTGGTGAGATCTGGGGAGAGTGGGAGAGTCGAGATCATACATATCATGTCGTATATGGAATCGAGAAGGACGACGCTAAGGTGGATATAGCTAGTCAATTAGATGGGATGTGTCTCATGTATAGTACATAGTTAACTGATGATGTTAGCTAGAACTTTGGTGCTTTTAAGTGAGGATCCGATATCACACTCTCCAGTGGGCGCATGGGATCAAGTGTAACTAAAGCACTTATCAGAGGAGATAGAAAGCGAAAAATTGCCTTAAATAGAACACTGCTTTAACGCTTTAACGCTTCAGTGGAATCAAAAGCGCCTCCCAAAAACGCCTCTCAGCCCAACCCCCAAAGCGATAGCTTGCTGTAGTCAAGCCTTCAGAACCATAAAAGATATGACCATGGTATATATAGTAAACCCATTCTGAACCCATTTTATGTCCATTCTACCCCAAACCCAACGTAGCTCCACTCCCTTGTCCCCCAAATCCCATCAAAAACAGCAACTGTCGCTCGCGTTGCACAGTGCCGGTACACTGCGCCGTTGTGTCCTCTCCATCACTACCCTCGCATGTATCAGCGCTTCGTGCAGCCCTGCATGCCTCGAGATATCGGCTTGGTGTTATCGTTGACGCTGTCGATGACGACGATGTTGAGAAGTGTGAGATGGGCAGTGAGCTCTGGGAGCTGTATGTTTGGTGCTGGTATTGGGGTTGTTGTGTAGAGATGTTTGAGTGCGGTATTTGAATTGGGGAGGACATAGTGTTTGATATGTGTATCTTTGTGTGTTCGGAGGTGTGGGGATTTGGTTTTGGTTTTGATATGGATTTAGTTAGAGGCAAGTAGGAGCGTTAAAGATATGGAGTGGATTTTATCCTGCTCTAACTGCGAGATAGTAAAATTGATATTGTATTGCTGTATTTGAAAAATGTAGAATCTCACTCCGTGCTTTAAAGAATCTACAATTGTATCCTTCACCGACTACATGTATTTTCCATCTCCTCTCTTCTCCTCCTGGCCCACGAGCGGCGAATATTTCGCGCAACCATCCCAACGCCAGATTTCCCCCTCCTTCTTCCCTCAAACAGTAAGCGATCATCAACACTCCGCACTTCGGATTGCGACTTTTGGCACTGGTCTCAAGTACACAGCCTCGCGTGCTTGTGAAGATTGGGGTTGGAATGTGTCCGAGTAGTGTACCGCGTTGTCGATAATTCGCGCATGTTGTGTTATGATAAATCCCGCATCGGCACGTGGGAGTCGTGAATACGGACAGCGAGAGGAATCGGGGTGAGATCGCTCGGGAATTATGATATAAAAATTCGCTTGTGCAAAGTGCGAATTGAAATGAGATATAAATGGTTTGCGTGATATTGTGTGATGCTTTTGACAGATAGGTCTTTCGAATATACCTGGCGGGGGAAGGCTTGGTCCGATAACCTGAATAACAACGGGAACCATTCAGAATGATTCAGGAGCATTCGACTTAATTTTCCTGATTGACTGTTGTCTCCTGCACCCGAGTGCGAGTTGTTTCGATGCTGGCGGAAACACTGCGTCACGTGACGATGTTTTGGTTCTCAATTCACCGAATTCACTAATACACTAGACAGCTGACACTGAATGAAACCACACCATTCGCGGAATCAGTGCACTATTGAACTGCAATTTGTTTCTCAGAAGGCTCTCAATTTCCATAGACGCTGCTCCGTTCCTTAACTGTGACGAGGTCGTGAAAAGAAGAAATGAGCAATCGCCTTTTGTCACCCGCGGATTTTTGCATCAAAACAGCGCCCGGCGCGACCTATATCCACTGAATTGAGTTGAAAATTTACAAGCGCCACTGTCATTACGCTGGGCGTTGGTATGGTGAAGAGTATCCCGTTTGCTCCATAAAATGGAACGAACAATTTCCGCCTATCGCATATCACACTGCGGGACATTGTGATTGTAACAAGCCTTGATAGTCGCGCAATCAACGAATTTCCCATTTTGAGTGATTTTCTCTCAATGCCGTCTCAATAACTCATACTGAACGCCACAGAAATTGTAAGATTGATCTTTCTTACATCCCATAACCACACTGACACCCAACACCCTAATGTTCATTGACCTATCATCCAATCGGCTCAATCATGGCCTTAACCCCAGGAAGCTTCTCCCCCAGAACGACTCCCTCTTCCACTAACTTACATACCACACGATAAGCCCAACCCTGACAATTCTCCCTCACAGCCGCTCGATTCGGCGCAGAAGGAGGCGTCTCTGCTTCCGCAATCCGCTTAATGCAAACCTCCGCCTCCGCATCGAGATCCTTCGCCAGCACAAACGATGTCTTGTAAGCTTCATCCTCAAGAATATTCATGTCGAGATCATGCACATAGTACATATTCTCCGCGTCGCCCGTGACCTGGAACCTCTCCCCCTTCTGTCCCTCGCACGCCACGAAAAGCGACCAGTGGTCCGGCTCGCCCTCAGATTGCCTCTGCAAGACGAGGTGGAGGGAGGGACGTTCCTGTGCTTGACTGGAGACGGTTTCTGTTGGTTCGAATTGGATTTTCTCAAGGGCCCAGGGTGTGCCGTGGCGTCGCCATGTGAATGGTCCCTCCGAGGCGCGCTCAATGCCTAGCACTTTTCTTGTTGAGGCGCGGGATGTCGGTTCGGAGAGAAGAGTCCATTCGGTGGCGGTGTGGTGGCGGGTGTAGGCTTTACCGTCGTTGTAGCCGTAGGTGTAGTCGCCTTCTTGTGTGGTTTGCCAGTCTGATGTTTGCATCGTTGGAATTAGGTGATTGTAATGCCTATGTGCTGATAGAAGTGCGTGCTAGATCAGTGGTGAGATCGTGTTCGGTTGCATTCATCAATCTTGATGGAATTGAAGGTTGGTATGACAAGTCAAGTTCGGGAAGCAAGCGGATTGATAAGGTAAGTAAGATTCAAAATACACGCATAATGAGAGGCATCATGTAGTACATACATAGCTCCCCCATTTAAACGCCCAGAGAATTGGTCTCTCCAGGCAACAGCGATGAGCATATAGACGAAACCACCTAAATATGTATGAGTCACGAAGTGCAGACATTTGTGTACGATAGGTTGAAATACAACGCCGAACTTACTGGTTGTTGGATTTCTTTTTGGCTCTCGATGTCGCAAACGCGCGCGTCGGGAAAGTAGTTGGGGCGGCATGGGACCACGGCGAAGGCCCACGAAATATGCTCTAACCGGCTAACAAGTAAAATATCCGCCGCACCAGGCCAAATGTCCTTGAACTAATTGGTAGAATACATAAGTAAGAGTTGAAGATTTATTTCTGATGGTTCAGTAAAAGCGTAGTGTTTCAGCACCAGGCGCGCGCTCCCTGACTCCTCTAAACCAATGACGAGGGGTTGTGGTTGCGGCACAGTGATTCATGTTATACGAGCGTCGGTCAACAGCAAACAAAATCGTTACTATTCTGCTAACTATCTACATGTGCGGCCGTGTTATCATTTCCCATATGTATTCCCATCCCATACCCACAACTAATCTGAAAGGAGTGTTTGAAAAAAGGAGTGTGCAAATCCGAACATAACCCAAAGCTAAACGAACGTGGTAGGTTCTGTGAACCAAAAAGCAATAACAACTGGATAACTTGTCACATCAATCGTGTCGAGGCTAAGCAACAGTGTCTTAGTAAAGCCCAATAGTGATATCGCCCCTGACTCTTGCGGTCAAGTGGACCTCGGCCTCGAGATCGAGCTTGATTCCAAGCATGAGGGCCGCAGTCTTGAGCTCTCCATTATCATCTGTCGCGCCCTTGAGAAGGGAGCCAGGAGGCTGGTGGAGGACTGAGTTGGGGCCGGGGGATACGGCACCTCCGAGGCGGCGGTTACCCTGGGCTTGGGCATTCTCATCGTAGCGGACAGCGGTGGGAGTACTGCGAGAGTTACAGTTAGGGGTGGTGGAGGATGAATTTGCATGAGGGTAAGATACTTACGGTGCAGACATGTTGATTGAGGAGATTGAAGACGAGGATGACGACGAAGATGAAGATGATCGGGTTACTGTGGAATGGGGAATTGTTGGTTCTGCAATTGTAGCCACTTCGACAGTTCTAATCACTGAAGGAGTGGGTCCGGGCGAAGGGATTTGAGCAGGTTTGGGCTCAATAGTAGACAAGGAAGGTGAATATGATGGCTTTCCCAAGGGGGCTGGATGGGCAATTGAGGATTCTTCAAGTTGCTGTAGAGATTCTGGACGAGGTGGAGGATCGGAAGTATTTGGATCTGAACGAAGAGAAGACTCGACTGTGGGATCGATGGGATCTGAAGTAGATTTGCTAGAAGTTTTGCTGGAGGAGGGAAGAAATTTGGATAAGCCCCGTCGAAGTCTACCTTTCTTCTTTGCAGATGTAGAGGAGTCAATCGTTGCTATGCTGTCGGAGGATGGTCTTCTCAATTGCAGAAGCTCGCTCTCGTACTTATATTTGTCCTAGCTTTTCCTTCCTATCCTTATTTCCGAAATCTAGCTCTCCTCGTTTGCGCTTGTCTAGATTTCCTATATCCCTCGATCCCCACCTCCATGTCCTCTAGCCCCTCCCGACGAGATGAGTTGCATCGCCAGAAGAGGTCTCTTCCAGCCTCATCCTGAACACTTGCAACGATGTACTCTTAGGAACTCGCCTACATCACCTGATGTTTCTCACTTGGTTACCCCTCAACATTCATTCTCTGTCGCACCAATAGAACTGCATACCTCTCACATACTGTTTGTCGGGAAAATAGACCCCTCTCGCTTAGTCCCGGGGAACCCTCCATCTCTGCAGATCCAATTGCATGCATTAGCCAATGGCGTGCCTATATGAAACAGGATGTGGTACAGAGGATAGACATGTCGATCTGGCCCCCTGCTAGTATTGTGTTCTCTCATTCGCTAGGCTACTATACACAGTCAACTGGTTGCTATAGAGTCTAGAATATCCACTTTCCAAGGCCTTTGGACTCCCCTAAATAGGCTACAATATACTCTGGAATATCTACTGAGATATAGATAATAGTTTGACGCGTCTATGTTCTAAGATATCAAGTCTTTGGCCGGCTAAGTGCAACCGTAGGGCGCAATCTTGAGTGGCGCTTAGGGAGCGGACCGAGCCGGCATCATCCAGGTACCATCGCACAACACATATTTCCCCACTTCCCACTTTAAAGCACATCCTCCACTTTGTTACTCCACCTCGTTCTCGGGCGACTCGGGAGCACCAAGATGCTGGGCTCGGAAGTTTTTGGGAAAGAGTCGGATTTTAGCCCCCATGCCACGTAGCTCGGACATCAGGAGATCTCTGATCCTCCACAAAAGCCAAGTTGGAATACGAACAACCAGTGCGGCATTTGCAACAGGTTCGCAATCTAGATGCCTTACGAAATGCAAAGGATCTAAGATAGACGACCTCTGGTTGGCTTCAACGTTTCTTCGCCTTTCAACTGCCGTCAAAGTCTCCGATTGTTTCATCTGCTTCCCGAAAAAACGAACGATAGTTGCATCCTCGATTGCCCGACGAGATCATGCCATGTTTCCTTTTACAGTAAACCAAGATACATCTCTTGCACTTCCCACCCGGGCAACCCCGAAATGCTTACGAAGCTGGGAAAAAGAAAGGAAAGTATCTGTGTGATATTTGCTCTATGTCGCTCGTGGTGTTGAGAAAAATCTGCTTCGCGAAAGGAAAAGTAATTTTTACACACGACAGGCAACCCATGTCTACGACAACGACGAGGTATTACAATCTGCTGTCACCTGGAAATAGGCTTCCCTCAGTTTTCTACCTTTTCTTCGCGCCGTTTACGTACCATGCAAGACGAGGAAACAGACAAGCTACTCGTAGCAGCCTTCACACTGCTTCTCGTTTGCTATAGACTCGTAAATACACTCGATTGCAGGCGTAAAAATTGACGGTCGATGTCGCTTATTGTTGCACTAGCCGCTGTGCCAGGACTCATGGGAACTCAAGAAGCGATACGTCAAGGGCAGCAGAAGGAGAGGAGGGAGGAGCACAGAGCGCGGAGATGCAACCTCGTCGCGAGATGTATCAAGAGCTCTGTGAGATCGAGGGAGATCAATGGTCGACCCCTAGTACTTCGGAATGGTGCAGTAAGTCTCGTTAACATTAGATTGATGAATGTCATACTATGACTTATCATTGACAGGTGCTCATCGATACATGCACGTCCGAAGGTACTGCCCCTGAGCACCAACTTGCAGGTTATTTCCTACCATATCCGGATACGCAATACGAAGGCCATGTAACTACCATCACAGACGTCGCGCCCGTAATGAACTGGCTATATGTTCACAGATCCTTTCACCAACTTCGATACGGCGTCCGCGTTGATGCTCAGCCAAATCTCCCCGGGCCGTTCGATTGCACGAGGCAAGATCGTCGCCTGACGTTCGACGGGTGGGAAGGATTCTGTGCCGCAGAGATTCTTCCGGGAATCTGGGGAGTGTTCTTCGATATCGATGATGATGGTCTGAAGGGCAAGATGAGGGAGGGTATCATTGCTGAAGGGACGCCCGTCTTGGAGATCGAACTCTGTCGCGTGGAGAAGAGATGGAAGAAAGACATGACGGCGAGAACAGTCGACCAGACAATCAACCGTGGAAACGAACTTGATCCTAACAACAATGAAGTCATCAAGGATCTTAATGGAAAGCCTTCGTTAGATGAAAAGACTAATGATCGAAGGGGAGAGAAGACCAGTGACGCCGATCATAAGGGTTTGAATGGTAAGGTGAATGGGAATACGAATGGGCATTCCAACAACAAGCGCGGAGCCAATGTTATCGACCAATCCAACCCTGATCCCAAGGAAAGTGAAACATCAAAGTCAGCCGATCGAAGGCAGACACAAGCCATCTTTAACGACTCCCCGCACCCAAAGCCTTCCACACAGACTATGCCTGCAACAGAGTGGACCACAACATCCACACCTCGGAGCAGCTCCCCGAACTCTAATCACTCAACCACTCTCCGCGCCCAACAAAGCATGCAGCGCATTCACGAAGCATCAAAACGAGTCAGACAGGCAGCCCAGCGAGTCGAACATGTGTGCTACTCCCCACCATCTACTCCAATTCAGACATCGATGGGATCTTACGACTTCCCCATGCCCCCAGCCAGCCCCAGAAACAGTAGTCCACGCAGCAAAGCCTCACCCAAGACGATACAGTCCCCGCCGACAACCCTCGTCAAAGTTGAAGCGCCAGTCGTTCTATCCACACACGCTCTTCGATCACATCCCCCAAAACCACAAGAACGGTTGTCTGAAACGTCAATTGAAAGGGAAACCCCCGGAACGCCAGTCGATTACTCGCAATTGATTTCATTCACACCTCCCTCGCCAGTCATACTGCGAAGAATCGAGGCGTTCGACGAATGGAGCTCTATCGAAGAGCAGACTAGTTCAGGGATGAAGAACATATTCCGTGCACTAGGAAAGGGGAGCATGAGGCGTTCCTCGAAGATGGGCGACGACCAGAGCGGGGTCATGGACAAGAAGGGCGGGCAAGAAACAAGAGGGAGGGATATGACGAGGAAGTGGTTTGGCCTTTCGAAGAAGACGAATCAGAAGGAGGACGAAACCACTACAGCTACAGACATAGGGAGAGGGACGAGGGACGAGAAGAACGCGAACCTGCTAAGGAATCAGGGTGTTGCTGATGATCCGCATGATTCGCATCAAGAAGAATCTCCGCCACCGCCATCAACAGGTAGTAGGACGCCCATTGTGTAAGTGCTGTCTCCCTCCAACAATTCATATTCTCATCTTCTTGCACTATCACTGACAGAGGTGTTTTGCTAGTGCATGGGTTCGACGGAGCTTGAGCGCCGCACGTCCAGATCCAACCCGCTTTGCATCAACCCAACAGCGAAAGCGGGCAGAATCTCATGCCAGCACAGCCAAAGTATCTGTAACAGGCCAGATTTCACGTGATAATCACCAATTCTCAGCTGTTCAAGATCATCCCCTTGACAAGAAGGCATTGGCGCTACCCAAACGTACCCAAGACCATCAGCGTCGAAGGCCGCCGCCCGCTCACAACAACTCAAACCTGCAACGGAATGCAAGACAGAGCATCGACAGTGCTTCACGACCAGAGTTAAAGAAGGGTTTCTGGGGCAGACATAGCCTTGAAGGTATCCGCTCACGGGGTAGCTTCGATGGGTCTAGGAGGGCTCAGTAATGATGGAAGTTGAAGAATGCGGTCTTAATTGGGCAATCAATAAAAACAATAATAGGTTGGAGAGTCATCTTGTTCTTTGTCTCGCCGTTTGTTGACGGTATACACGATAGATAAGATTACAGCTTCGTGAAATGAAGAATGAGAAGGGAAGGACTCAAGCTTATATTCATTGCTTCTAATTATTGCACATTCGTCGATACTTCATGATATAAACAGTGAGATCAGACCACATGTTAATTATAAACTCAAGATCTTAAATGATGAGAAGCAAATATCATCTTTGAGATCGGACGTGTTACCAACGAAGGATAGTTCTAGATGTAGAATGCACTACCCATGGATCATAACAAATCAGATTCCGTTCAAAGATCGTTTCAAACTAGGGTTAATGATCAACAATATAGGCGCAAGAAGCTGCGACTGATGACAAGCAAGGCTTGCATGTAGGAGTTGAAAGAACTGTATATTGGAGATCATTTGTTGCAACATCTAGGCCAGGACTTGAATCACTCATCCTAACCCTCCTCCTAGTCTTTTTCTTCCCCGTCCTCATCCTTGTCTTTCTCCTCTTCGTCCCCATCATAGTCGTCGTTCTCTGCGTCTTGAGTCATCATCCTCATCCCATCTCGTCAGAACGGGGCACGAAGTCGAAGTTTCGTCGGAGTACGGTAGAAGATGCTCCCACCCTTCCCATAGCAACCTGGAATGTTCCTCAGTATAGCGCCTAGTATAGTGGTATATTCTCTCTTCCGGAGGCCTCATGTGCTCTCTATGTCCTGATCGGATAAGCACGTGGTCCCAAAGATCGCCTCTCAAGCTACCCAAAGGGGGCCGGTCCTCATGGTTGCACTCATACGCATCATCGAATATAGAGCGGCCATTGTAATCCCAAGTAAAGATATTTGAGCCTCGTTCGATGAGCAATATAAGAGCACGCGCATCGTCACGGATATCCCGTACGCCAAAAAACCCAGCTGTGCGTGTTGCAAGGTGAAGACAGGTTCTCCCTGAAAGGTCCCGGCCATGTATGTCTGCTCCTCTATCAAGCAACTCTGTGAAGATGTCAGCGTAAGAATGGCCTTTGCCCTCATTACAATGCAGTAACAAAGGTGTATTTCCGTTTAAGTCCCTTTCATTGAGATCGATGAAGGGTTTACCTATATCCAGGACCTCCCTGAGCGAGTCCTAGGGGGGTCAGCAAGTCGAGGTGAGACTGGAACCGGTACGAACTGACCAGGATACTCTCTTCCATGACCAAATGTACCAAAGTGTATCCTGTACCATTCATCAAAGTTGGATCTGCGCCAGCTTCTAGTAATAGACGTCTGAATTCTCTAGCGTTTTGTATTTCATCTTTTTCCTCATCGCAAATGCAATCGATTACGTGAAGAGTCAGTGGTATACTAACCGCAGGGTCTCGGTGAGCTTATGATAGAGAAACTTGGTACGAATGCAAAACACAGACTTGTAAGAAACGAACATACAACTCGAATTCTGGAACTATACAGTCTGCGGCTCTTTCGTCAAAATCCGCGCCGTTCTCGAGGAGGAATTTGCACATTTCGGGTTGGTACATGGCGTACTGGTTCGAGTGAATTAGGGAGGATCTTCAATAAATGGGGGTTGATATCTTACAAAGAGCAATGGGGTTCCATATATGTCCCTATCTCTCAAACTGCATTGACGCTCCTCTAGAAGCCGCTTTAGCGAATCGACGTCTCCTTCCCTAACAATATCAAAAACGGGAGAATCCAATGGGAGGGTCTTGCCGATGGAGATGACAGGGTTCAAGACTTCTAGCCTATTGTGGCTGTGTTGAAAATGAAGATATGCCGTTAGAACTACTGATTCCACAGACGTTTCGGTGATTCGAATCTTTGCGATAGTTTCTGTCTTTTTTTCGCGGGTAGCTCGCCAACTTTGGTAGCGAGGGAATGGGAGAGAGTCCCTTTCAAATAGCGTGATCCGTATCTCGTGTCCCTGAATATTGACTACCTTCATACTTCGCTTCTGTATAAGTCTTCCGTGTCCGCTTGATTCGAATCTTGGAGCTGTTAGCATGGTTAGTCTTAGTCTGTCTGATGTTCAGTAGAAAGTGCGACCTACAGCCTTGATTTACGCAAATACTTTGGGAAGACTTGATGATGTTACGAAGACGTTTCAGTTCCTGCGGACTGATATCGTCGAACCCATCCAGGGATTGTACTCTTCCGTTGATGTGGACCGATGGAATGTGATTTTGCTTTATCACGCCTGACTTCAAGACGTTTGCGAGTGTACTGAGGAGGCGACCTGCTCTGCCGCCTACCTCTATGCCCTCTTTGCCATCTAACTTTTGGAAAGTCTTGACGCTCATTTTCAGGGAAGAATGGCTTTCGACTTTTTGGACAATACTCGGACCTTGCATCGCCCGGTCAGGGCGGGCATACTGGGGATTGTTCGATCGTTCCGAAAGCCCACTTGCTTGGTCTTGAGGAGCGAGAAGCGGCCTGTGGATGCAGTCAGTCTGCACGATACTAGACACTCGTGCTGATTTTGGTCAGTTCGCTGTACAGAGCGATCGACAGGCTGTGTGCGAGGCCGACGTACTGCTTCTCGCATCAGACAACGTAGCCCGCGATAGGTGAGCATGGCTACTCACCACCCAGAACGGTTTGCGACTCCAACATCTCTGCCGGCTGCACTCTGCCCAGCAGAGCTCTCGTGAATGCTGCCGCTCTACCGGCTGCATAGGATCTCCACAAGTCGCTCTTGTGCGAGTCGGCATAGTCGGAAATGCCCCGGATGACCAGGCATTGCCTGTTTGTATCAACACCCGCAGCTTCCATCTCGACGCAGAGCGCGCCACCGCATCTCGCGCCGATCTCGTCACGCAGCTCGCCATCCTGAATGACTGCGGTACCAGTTGCAATGCGTCCTTGATGAAAGATGAGCGTGTCTTTGTCGTTTTCGGTTCGCTGGGGCCGCTTGACAAGTTCGGTCGGATCACACCCCACGCACTTCGATCCATAGTCGCCAACGTGGTGGTACGTGGCCTTGAAGAGTCGGTCATGCTCGAAGCCCGGGTGCTCAAATTTCTTCTTCTTTGCGAATCCTTGCAATCTGCCAAGCTGGTCATCGAAACTGGTTCTCCCCATCTCAATGTCTGAGACAAGCACGGCAAGTGCGTTCGTGAGCCTCCGGTCCGGGTTGCCAATTGTGCCTACCAGTTCGAAATGCCCATCGACCTTCGATCTGCCCCGATCATAATGGACGCAAGCCGGCTTGCCATCGCCAGGCCATCCTACCACAACGTCCCCGAGGTGAATATTCTCGAGAGGATCATCGGAGACTTCTGATCGAGGAATGGCCCCTCCAATGCCTACCAGGACCGCCATCCGGATGTTAGGAAAAGTCTTGAACAGCGAACTCGCCAAGCGCCCGGCGTTGACATTTCCCGTTTCTCCCTGTGTACAGGTTGCAACTACCACCTTATGACCACTTATGGACCCACAGATGTACGTGTAGTCGTCGAAGTGAGTGTCGTAAGGCGGAGCGGGGTGCTCTTCGTCCAGCATCAAGCGCGCGGGGAGGAGCTCGACGTCCGCGACGGGACATATCCACGCGACGTGGTAGTCCTCACGGCTGAGTCGTTTGCTGGAGGCCATCTTTGTGTACGAGTGAATGTAGGTGAGTAGGAATTGTTCGCGAAGGAAGAGGGGCACAACATGTCCAATTTTCAGCCTTGTCGCTGCCTGCTGCATTTGGGCGAGAATGCGCCTCAAAGCCTGGGCGTCTCACACTGTCCAATAATCCATGGACACTACATAATGACCACCAGTGAGCGATGATTGCAGACTGCGCCGCAGCCTGACGGTCACACCGGAAGGTCGCAGCAACTGCATGCGTTTTCTGCCTCACGCATACTGTGTATATAGCCTTGCAACAGCCGTGAGGACTTCGCTCTTATTCAATGTTGTTTTTTGCTCATCATGTCTGAATCTTCTAAAGGCAGTGACGCGGTGAATACATTTCGCAAAGCCTGGGTTGCTAGTACTGCTGACAGCAACCTAACGCTTCACGGCTTCCGTAGGTTCAAGACTACACACCTGCTGAATCTGCGCTTTCTCGAGAACGAAGTCGCTGAAATAGACCGAAGGTTGTATCAAGCCGGCCTCAGCTTAGGCCTCGACCACTCAACGACTGATCGACTCGGACTTAAGCATTGCAAACGAGATACCGAGAGCCCTGAAGTAGACGACATCATCAATGATGAATCGATGATGAAACTACGCCATACTTTAAAGCAGTACGGTAGGCAGATGCGCTCGCATATCTTCGACAAAAGCTAACTACAGTTTGATAAATAGACGAAGCACTTGCCAGCTTCAACAACATCATGAGCATGGAGACTTTCTCGCTCCTTGACGATGAGCAGCAGTCTAGTTTGCGAGATGATATCTGCCTACACGAGAAACACAAGACTCGCTTGCTCAGGGTAGATCTTGGGACTCGAGCGCGGACGGATCCCTTCCAACGCTGGCTTCATCGGTATCTCCGCGCTTTTCGGTACTGGAGGCTTTCCACAAAGTCACTTAGCGACAGTGAGGGCCGGGGGTCGATCGCCAAATCTACCCGATGGTCGCGTCAGAACACAGTGCTGATCGCGGAGATGATTGGGCGGGTGACAACCGCGGTGTTAACAGCAGTCTTTCTCATCGTTCCGTTGGCTATAATGTCACACCAGTCGTCGAAGAATACCCAACTTATAGTAATTTCGGCCTGTATCCTCATTCTTGCATTCCTCATGTCGTTCTTTCTGAGGGTGTCGAGCTTCGAAATGATGGCTGTTACGGCTGCATACGCTGCGGTCTTGTCGGTCTTTGTTTCCAATGTACCGCCTTGAAACAAGAATATGACTTTCATACGGAAACTGAGGCGTTGTCAGAGTGTGGAAGACATGCAGATGATGCGCGGGCCATTAGGGATACATGCGCGGAATGATGTGTGGGAATTTAGGGTTCTACAGTATCGTATTATGTTGTCAACTAGGCTGTCTAGATACCTTCAGCTGCGCCATCAGGTGGAAATTAGGATTGCACAAGGCTACAAGATATACTTAACACGTAGGTGTAGTAATGCGTCAGGTAAGGTACTTTTGGGGTCCGCGCAGACATTAGGGCTCTGCTAGGAACGACGAACGTGTTGCTCACAGGTCTTAATGAACTGTGTTTTGTTTATGGATTAATTAATTCACAACAAGGCTTATCGTCGATGACTTGGCCGCAGGCGATTTCGGACCCCATGAAATCATTGCTTCTCGTGGCTTGTCGAAACTGACGTTTATTCGGGTGCCGTCGCCTAATCATTTACCCGTGTCTCTTGCGGGACTCCGATTGGTTGATTTGTTCTATCGTAGTCAATCTAACAATAACTATAATAATAAAATCAACAGAAACCAACTACCATCCCTTGTACATCACTTTTCTGAGGACATTGTCTTACCTTACACTATCCTTTCATGCATTAGAATCCAAAATCTAAAAAATTATTATCATAATGGCAGTCGGCAAGCCCCGAATCCTCTTCTTCAACCCTGTACGTCACGCCCGCGCCGCGTACGAAGCGCTGCAGGAAGTAGCTGCAACGGAAGTTGTCACGAGCACCTCGCGCCAGCAATTCTTCGACGACATCCCGAAGAAATATAGTGATGTTAAGGCTATCTATCGGACGTCTGCTAGCGGCGCTGTACGTACCAACGTACCCTTGAATCTAAGACAGCCAAAGGAAGAAAGAAAGACTGAAGTTATATAAAATACGTATGAATATGTGGCTGATCAACGACGACAGGTCGCAGGGCCCTTCGACGAAGAACTCATATCCCGTCTCCCAGCCTCCCTGAAATATATCTGCCACAACGGCGCCGGGTACGACCAAATCGACGTGCGCGCCTGTTCAGTCCGCAACATCACCGTCACGTACGCGCCGTCGCCTGTGACAGCTGCGACCGCAGATCTTACATTGTTCCTGCTTCTCGGTGCGCTGCGTAATTTGAATCCTTCACTCAGCTCGCTGAGAGCGGGCAACTTCAAGAAGGGAGTTAAAGAAGGTAGGGATCCGGAGGGGAAGACGCTTGGGATTCTGGGGATGGGAAGGATTGGACGCGCGGTGGTGCAGAGGGCGAGGGCGTTTGGGATGAAGGCGGTTTATCATAATCGCACGAGGTTGACGGGGGAGTTGGAGGCTGGGTGTGAGTATGTTGGGTTTGAGGAGTTGTTGGCGGTTAGTGATGTTATCTCCGTGCATGTTCCTCTCTCGGAGGGGACGAGACATTTGATTGGGAGGGAAGAGATTGCAAAGATGAAGAGGGGAGTTGTCATTGTGAACACGGCGAGGGGGGCGATTATTGATGAGGCGGCATTGGTGGAGGCGTTGGATGAGGGGCATGTGGGTGCGGTGGGATTAGATGTGTATGAAAAGGAGCCAGAGGTGCATGAGAGGCTGGTGAGAAATGAGAGGGCGTTGCTTGTGCCGCATCTTGGGACGCATACGGTGGAGACGTTGGCGAAGATGGAGGAGTGGGCGATGGAGAACGCAAGGAGGGGCGTCCTGGGTGAGGAGTTGTTAAGTGTTGTTCCGGAGCAAGCGGGAAAGAAGCTGGATTCGAAGTAAATTGACTTAAATGATTACCAATGAAAATACTGTACCCGAGTTACTGTTGATTGTCCAGTGTTGGTAAGTGATCTATGTTATGGCTATTGTGAATATTAAAGCCAGTCATTCAAGTGTCTCTGCTATAAGCGCCAGTAGTTGTGGTGAACCTAAATTCTTTTCCAACGGCCCATACTCCACGCTTCAGCCGGGATCGCCTCTGTCACATCTGGTTTTGAGAAAATGAATGTGCACAGACTGATCGCAGCATGCGAAAAATGCAAAGATGGAACCGTGAACTTGAATCATGATTCGTATTGTGCATAGCTGCATTCTTTTATCTTGATAACTAGTGTCATTTTGTTACTACCACAAAAAGTCATTTTTGAACTGTCTGGAAATCTTCAAGACGCCTTCACCATCCTCATTCCGGTTGGTAATTGATGTTGCCATATCGTTGGGAGAATTTATTTGATGATACCCCAAATTCGAACTGCTGACTTGAGGCTCGACTGGATCGGAAATGACTTGCGAGAGCGAGTCGACTTGAGACATAGAATGTTGATGCCGGTTATTGGGGCTAAGAGCACTCTGTGAAGTGAGATCAGATTGTGGGACAGAGTGCTGCGGTGGCGCATCGACGAACGCAGGTTGAGGCGCTTGGTCGGGGAAATAAGGAGTTGGAGACGTGATCGTATCATCTAGATAGGAAGACTGAGCCATTGGCTGCATAGTCGGAGGAGACATTTCTTCTGTAGGATACTCCGTTACTGGTTCCTCCTCGATACCAGTTAATAAAGGCTGGCGATTCCCATCTGATACTCTACTCTCCCACCACCGTCGCACGTTCTCCGGAGAGTCCAGTGGAAATGAACTCCAGTGGGATGGCTTTAAATTGCTTGGTCTAATCGAGTTTACTCCGTCAGATTCGTTTTCGGACTGATACTGGGACGGAGCTTGGGCAACTCCAGATGAGGCTATGTGATGGAAGGCAACTTGCAGCTGCTCGGAAGACACAGTTGACAGCAGCCCGAGGAGTACAGACTCTGTTTCGAGCAAACGTGTTTCCAAGCTATTGATGTACTGCTTTGGTGGCCCGCTATTGATTGCGAGACGTTAGTTAATTTTACCATTGGAAAGACTTAAAAAACAATGAGTAGAATTGAAGTTACCGTTTCTGTTGAGTCGGCCACTCGCAAGCAATGTTGTTCGTTGTACATTGGGCGCACCGGGGTCTGTAGGAACCAGTATCAGAGCATTGTCAACGGAACAAGGACGGTTGTTCTACTTTTCTCCACTACACTGTTTAAAACGTCTTTTAGCGAAACTCGAATGTCTATACATGTAAATTGCCAAATACCTTATGCTTCCTTGATCGGCAAGCTATACAAGCCAAGGAGATTCGAGTCGTCTTACCAGTACCGTCTGCACTAGCCATTCGTAAATGGTGCCTCGAAGAACTAACTCTTGCGAATTCTTGACTGTCTTTTCGAGCTCGAGTACGTCGTCGAACAGGCGTGGTAGCGCTGGCCTTGCCCGCAGTCTCGTCGAGACCTTGCCTTTCTACATCTCTACCCACCATTCCTTGGGACAATGACACGATAACGCCACCTTGAACAGCTCAGTACCAGATCTAGGAAAACAATAGACGTTCTCGATTTGGCTAGTCAGTGTTTGCGTATGACCTGCTCATGTGGGTGAATTGATGATTGAAATGATGAGCGGATGAAGTTTTGCCGAATGGCTTCATCGGAAAGCGGGATGACAAAGCGGCGCATCACGTGGCTTGCACTTTCAGGTTATTTCCAGACCTCTCCTCGGATTTAATGAGTTCTATCACGGAAGGGTTATTGGACACCAGAAGCCTGTATTTGCCTTGTTTGAAACTCTATTTTACATCAAGTAAAATCAATACACCCAAGCTTGTTGAATGTTTAGCAGCCACAGAATTAGCAATATCTTGATGCCAATCTCTATAGTTATAATAATTCATCAAAAATTCTCCCATAATTGATGCAGCTACATTGTAAAAGTGTAATCAACGAGGACAATTTATCATTGGAAGTTTGTCCTTTAATCGCCGGTTGTCGCTACCATGGACTTCAATGAAATGGGTGCGAATGTCATTGTCCTGATTTTATATATTATGCGCCCATCTCATAATCTATGTTAAATATCGGATCGAGATGGGAAATTTATTCGACTAGAGTTATTTTTTATACCTGTCTTCCGTAGCCGCATCTCCGACTATACGAATGGGCTGAAGCCCGGTGTTTTCGTAGCGCGTCGTCGCGGCTAAACATTGAGCATGCTGTCTTCCGCGGCTGGCCAGATTATCCTACTCACTAGAATCCTTTCCCAACTCAGAATTAGCTTTCTAGGGTCGTTGCAACCGAGGGCCTGGGATCTGGAGAAATGATGCCGCCTGTGGGGAAATGCGCGGACCCATGTGGAATCTGGGGAAGTGCGGAGTACAGCTAGGCTTATCTTGATACCGACAGAAGGTATAAAACTGATTGTCGAACTCCTGCCTTGTTTGTTAAGATATTGTTTCATTTCATCAACGTACTTCCACTTGTTTATTTTCCTTGTCTTCCGAGAAGTCGACTACGATCACCACGATGACGGAGAAAAAGACATCGCTCGAACAAATCGAGAAAATCGATACGAACATTACAGACCAAAATGATGGAGAGCCTCGCTCAGAGAAGGGCGTTCAGCTCGACTACTCTGGATCACACAAGAAGACATCCCCGGAGGAAATAAAACTTGTGAAGAAGTTGGATCTGTGGATCATGGTGAGTGCACCAATCTGAGACATAGGCGTCCATAACTAGCAGCTAATGATTCCAAGCCCACCTTATGGCTGATGTTCTGGCTCAACTATTTGGATCGTAATGCCATTGCTCTCGCTAGGCTCAACCACCTAGAAAAGGACCTTAATCTTAAAGGCACTGAGTACCAGTCTTGCGTCTCTATCCTGTTTGTTGGCTATATTTTAGCCCAGGTTCCATCGAACATGTTGCTGACTCGTGTACGGCCATCATGGTGGATGAGCTCTTGGATGGCAGTCTGGGCGATAGTATCTGCCTTGACTGCACTCGCACATAACTACACCACCTTGTTGCTTACGCGATTCTTCCTGGGTCTGACCGAAGCCCCCTACTACCCTGGCGCTCTGTATCTACTTTCTACTTTCTATACTCGCAAGGAAGTAGCAACTCGGATCTCTATCTTATACACAGGTAATATCCTCGCTACGGCTCTGGCAGGACTTATCGCGGCAGGCATCTTTCACGGCATGGATGGGGCAGCTGGGCTTGCAGGTTGGAAATGGCTTTTCATCCTGCAAGGCGCCGTCACTTTTGTCGTCGCTTTGGGTGCTGTCTTCACCCTTCCCGATAACCCACTCACCACTCGTTGGTTGACTGAGAATGAGCGACAGCTGGCTCACGATCGTATCGCCCGTGAGACTGTTGGCAAACGCGAGAAGTCCTCTACCTTCGCAGGCTTGAAGGAAGCTGCCTTAGACTACCGTGTCTGGGTCTTCGCCTTCATGCAGCACATGCACCTGGCCGCAAATGGATTCAAGAACTTCTTTCCTAGCGTGGTTGAGTAAGTCAACGATACGTACCAAATCATTACAAGCCTGAATAAAACGGAACGCTAACGATAATCCGTAAACAGAACCCTCGGCTTCAATACTACGATCACCCTAGTTCTCACCTGTCCTCCATACCTCGTCGCAGGAGGTATCTCCATTCTCTGGTCGATATCCTCTGGCAAATACAATGAGCGGACGTGGCATATCACGGTGGCTAAATTGATAGCCATTGCAGGTTTTGTGATTGGATGTGCGACGCTCAATACTGGAGTCCGATACTTTGCGATGTTTGTTTTCACGATTGGCACATACGCTGTCAATAGTATTATTCTTGGCTGGGTTGGCAGTACCTGCGGACAGACGCAGGAGAAAAAGGCTTCAGCCTACAGCATTGTCAATTCAATTGCTAACATCAGCTTCATATGGACTCCGGTAGGCCTTCGCTGTATTGAAACCTTGATTTTATCGCTAATGGCGTTGTTAGTACCTTTGGCCAAAGAGTGACGAGCCACGCTACGCAATTGCGATGGGGTCCAGCGCCGGTTTTTCGTTCGCAACCATGGCTGCCGCTTGGGGTATGAAGTTGTACCTGAAGAGAATGAATCGTAAGATGAGGCAAAACGATGATGAGAGAACGCTATTCTATGTTTACTAAACACTGATTTTGGGGCAAAGAATGCTGGGTTACTGTCCTTATTGCGTGGTGGAAATAGTCACTTATATGATCTCCACGCGTTGCTTTATCAATAGCAGATATTAATCTGATGCGGAAACAATGAACAAAACAATTCTTTCTTCGACTTCCAACTTAAATTCATTTCTTGAATGGTGTGAAAGAATATCCACGTGATCGATTTTATACGAACACCGAGGTTGAATCGGTCCGACTTTTCCCCCACCTCACCCTCGAGTTCCAGGCAATTCGTCTCTCTACCTCCCATTCAATTCATCATTTGTGCCTAGTCGTGATTGACTTACATATCAGCCCTATAATAAAGGTGCATCGGATCATCGGATCAAGTATGTAGCGATCGACACGAATTGCCTGAGAATTTTACAAGGAGGACCTGCCTAAAGCGATCATCGTCGTAACTGCTCATGTTCGCTTGAGAAGGGTCAAGTTCTCCCAAAATGATTAATGAAATTGGGACCCTTCGCTCACTTCCCAATGGCGAGAGTGTTTTTGTTGGCAGCTCTTCCGGTGTCTTCTTCATCAATACTGTCCGACGCGCATTCTCACACGCTGCAGCGACTACCAGCCGTCGCCGCTCCGTGAACGACCATTCTGTCCTAACCCCAGCAGCTTTGGCTTCGCCAGAGGAATGCATTCTTGGCCCAGAATCACAGGGAGAAAGGCTTCGCTCCGACAGAAATGTACCTGATGGCTTAGGCGACCTGCCTCCTCACGCAGTTGCCACAGATTTGGTCATTTCGTACTTTCGAACCTGGCACCCTTTGCTGCCCTTTTTGCATGGGCCAACCTGTCTGCAAGAGCTGGAGTCGCTATATTCGAGGGACGGTGAGTCCCAGACAAGAAGACCTCGGTCTCAAACTCTTGCTATCACGCTACAATGCCTTTTCAATCTTGCAAAACTTGACCGACCCGATCTGCCATCGTTGGGAAACTCTCACATCCGATCCGATGAACAGCTTCTTTCCTCATTGGGTCCAATCGCCCTCCGACGCGATTTGGCCTCTATTCAAGCTCTTCTAGCTGCCCAGCTTTACTTTGTCGCTACCATGTCTCTCCAAGCTGCTTCAACAACGGGTGGACTGATATTGCGATCGGTGTACAAGTCAGGTTTACATCGATGCCCGTTTCGATACTCTACCTTGGACGCGAGCGACCGGGATATCCGTAAACGCGTATTTTGGAGTGTCTACACTCTAGATCGCTATATAAGCCAGTCTCTTGGATACCCGCTTGGGATTCAAGACTCCGATATTGATGTTTGCTTGCCCGGCGCGGTCGAGCTTCACGAGCCTGTTATGCCGGAGAAAGGGATAGAAGAAGGTACTTCTCCGCAAGACTCAATCTTACATCTACCTGCCAATCACCCACAACGACAGCATGCCTCCGAAGATAGCGAAACTGAGAGCCCGGGAATTCGGACGCGAGAAAGTATAGGCCAAGCTCATGAGGGAGAACGCACATTCAACCCTTCCGCGCAGAATGCTCCAAACGAGTCAGATGCTGCTTCTCAGCGACGAAAACAACATCAATCCGTTCAGGCCAACTTCGTTCGATATTCGGGACTAGTCGGACGTATGCTGGAGACATTTCATAAATCAATTCATGTACGATCGGCAAACCGACAGAACATCCTACTCCTCAAAGCAGATATCGACGCTTGGGGAAATGATATGCCACTGAGAACCAATTTCCAGCCAGCCAATGCGGATTCTGAGTCGATCGGCCACGAGGTTTTCTTTCAAGTTGCCCGACAACAGTTGATTCTCCTCGTTAACAGACCATCTCTCTCACTGGAGCCTTCGTCTGCGGAATTTCGGCACGCCATACAAATCTGCATAGGAGCATCCAGATCAATAATTCAACTACTCGAGGGGCATTTCAGCTCACTAAAGATCTTGTTCTGGCCAGGTTTCATGTCGGCTGTTTGGATGAGCGGGCTAGTCTTGGTCTTTGCTTGCCAGCTGAAACTCCATGGCATGTCCAATGGAATAAGGTATGTTTCTAAGATTGCGACCGGGAAAATTCGCGACTAACATAAGAAAGCGACATTTCCGCCTCTTTGCGAATAATCGAAACAATGACACAAAGATGGAAAATAGCACAGAATTGTCATGACGCTTTGTCCATGCTTCTAGAAAACATCCAACAACCTCTCGCGCCAATATCTTTACTAGACTCTCATACGGACTCCCGGGTAGACCAGAATTTCGATAGTCACCGATCCCAACACAGTCGTTCTTCAATGCGAGGTGAGAAGCGAGGCTGGCAAGGTGATTCATATGATCAGTCTGATAGACGCGAGACCTCTCGACGGAGGGTGTCCTTTGAAAATGGGCCAGCGGTGTCCCTGCCTCGCGGACCACTGCCCGGCCGGGCGAGCGCAAGGCACAGTTTGGATGGGTTCGCATCCGCCAGTATGCTTAACAACCAAGAATATTATAGTGGTACGACGGCTGCAGCTCCTTCAACTGGAACGAACCATATGCAAGGCCAGTACTATCCGGGCCAGTCGGCCGACATGCCACCGCCGTTGCAGGATCGACATTTCATGCAGCAGCAGCAGCAAACACAAATGTGCGAGTTTCCCATGGTCAACGAAACGCGTGGAAACGACCTTAACGTGCCGCCGACAGTTGCGCCAAACTTTGAATTTACAACATCATATGATGTTTTCGATGGAGCAGCCTGGGGTTCTCTGCTTGAGCTTGTTGAGCCGCATGAGTAATGTGTTTTAGGGACGTATATTAACTACATGGAATTTTTGTTGAAACTTCGGAATACATGTGCTTAAGAGAGCGAGCCACCTCTCACGTGGGCCTCGCCTTTGGCAATGTTACCCTTTAGCTCCCTAACGGCTGTCTTCAGCAGATCCTGCTCATACGCGGACAGTTTCCCAACTGGAAATGCCTTGACGGCCCCCTCGGTACCGAATTCAATGGGTACTGCGAAATACTCCACATCCAGGGTTTTAGCAATCTGCTCGCCATTGGGCACGCCGGGCAAGTACACATAAGCTGGCTCTACAATTCCGGTCTCGCCCTTTGAAGCCTTGATGATTGCTTGTGCGAATCTATATATCACTTAATTAGTTGTTTGCTATCATCCACAGTCTCATTACAGCTATGCACTTACCGGAAGCCTGCGTAGGCCATGCAGGTAGTCGCGGAGCCAGCGCCTGCTTTCGATTTCACGATCTCATCACCGCCAAATTGGACACCTGTACAACGATTAATTGTTAGTTAGAGGCGATTAATGTGGATAATTATCACTTACGATACGTGATTGCGTCAAGTTGCTCTTTCGTGAGCTCGACCGGAGGCTGACTTTGACTGAAAAGCGGCAGAATAGTCGCTCCAGAATGACCACCGACGACTGGGACCTTGAACTTCTGAGGGTCCTCTTCACCCAACGTATGCGCGACAAATGTTGATGCGCGAACGACATCCAACGTTGTGACTCCGAACACTTTGCGCGGGTTGAATACGCCGGCGTTTTTGAGTACCTCCACCGCTATTGGCACGGTGCTGTTAACGGGATTCGTGATGATGGCGACGAAGGCGGTTGGGCAGAACTTTGCGACACCCGACAAGAGGTCTGCAATGACGGTGGCGTTTGTTTTGAAGAGGTCTATTGCATTCTATTATCAGCGATTCCGAATGTACATGTATCACAAAGGTGTTACTTACCATCGCGCGTCATGCCCGGTTTTCTCGCAATGCCTTTGATCCATTAGCTTTCACGTCCATGTTAGCGAAATGCGACATAACCCACCGGCTGGGATAATGACCAACTCGGCACCAGTCAATGCCTTTTCGAGACCATTGTCTTCTGGTAGATAGCCGCTGACCTTTGCGGGCGTGTCGATGTGGTTCAAGTCTGTAGCTACGCCAACGGCATGGACGATATCGTAGAGTCTCAACTCTGTCACAAGTCGGCTCTGCAACCCACGATTAGTCCTCTCTTGTAGGCCAAATGAACAAGACAAGACAACATACAGATTTGAGCAACAAACTCAAAGGTTGACCTATCTGGCCAGACGCTCCGAGAACCGCGACTTTTGTCATTGAGAAGTTTGAAGGGATGATAAATTGAGGATAAATTATTTTGGTGTCGTTCAGATAGTTATCCAAAATGTGTTATGTACATAAATATTCCACCTCTCGCGCTGCCTTTTTACCAACTTTATATCATCCTAGTCCACTCCACTTTTCCGCCAGGCGCTTGCTGGAAAATGAGGTGTCCCGATGACCTCAAGCTGTACGTACGACGGTAGTAGGAACTCTGTGCTGATTTGCTCAGGCAGGAAGGGTTGGTTCAGAGTGCGGGTAAACTATTAAGCGCAGTTCTCCGCGCGGGGAAGAGAAGTGTGCTTGCTATGCGGGAACAAGGGATGTGAGATTGGTGGAGATGGTTGCTGCACCGGGCCGATGTAATTTTAAATAAAGGATTATTTCATGATATTTTGGAATAAATGACCAGGTTATGATTAGTGGGAAACTTACCATGATATTTGGTCTGGCTGTAATTTTGCGTGTTTGTAATTTTGTGGGATACAACTAAGATTCAAGCGTTCAAAGTAAAATTCATGCAATCAATCAAGGTGTAAAGATAAATTACTGCGATAAACTACTACGGGGCGACAGTTCACAAACACAGAGAGGTCAATCGCAGCGAGCAAAGTTGAGAAGACACTAGGAGTGCTCATAATTGCTTATGCAGTTTGAGTGCCGTAATTACCATCAATCGTTCAGATTTCTTTTTACGTTTTTCATAATTTACAGTGTACTTAATGAAACGATCTTGCAACAGTTCAGATCGGAGAATCGATGCCCAAGGGAAATTTGATTGACTTTGAGCGCATGCTAGAAACAAAACCAGAGCCAGAAAAAGCAGTCCTGCGCCTTACTATCATCCTACAATTATTAATCTGTCCTTTGTGGAAAGGCCTGATAGGAGTAGCTCTGTAACATTTCCGTTCAAATGGAAGAGTTTGAGGCGAAGGTTGCTATTTGTTGGCGGCAATAGATCAGGAACGAACAGGCAAGTAGTCGACTGCGCCCACGGGATAAGTTTGCAATACGACATGATCCTTGTCACTACCTGCATTCATTCGAGTTATAACTCGGGGAGAAGCCAGAAGACCATCATACTGGAGAAGAGTTTAGGCAGAATCTTTGCCGTCGGATACGACCGAATCTTGTGCAGTACGTCATCGTGGGTGGACGTTAGCGTTTCTAGCAAGAAAAGAGCAGATGTGAGCTTCACATAGTTTCATTCTACAATTTGAAGAAAAAGCTGGGTGTATCGATGTACCAATTATTGTGATGTGGTGGTGCGAGAATGGTCTTTGCACCAGTCCGGCCTTTCTTGTTTCTCCCGCACAAAGAATGTCCGGACACGGAAATTTCACGCCTGTAGACACCCTTTTAGTAATCTACTCACATGTCTCGTATAATTCGGCGGCAGGAAAGACCGGAATAAGACCTCTTGGTGTGGAGCTTATTTTTCCCCAGTGGGGTCCCCAGAAGCTTGGAGGAAGAAACCCCGGCATGGCATAAGTGTGATGAGAGCATAAGGACTATCAAGCACTGGCTGAATCTTGGCTGTGGAAGCTTGCGTGCATAATCTGTAATTAGATGAAGTCTTGTCGACGCCTTCCGTTGTTATGGAAAGCTTCTTTTCTATGTTAAAGTTGATATGAATACCAGTATTCGTTGTAGGTTTCGCGCCTTTACAGGAATTATAGAGGGCATACTGTTCGCTAACGGACCATGCACCTTATACATAAGCACTGAACTGATTCTATCATTGATATCTGGGGCCCACTATCATAGTGTGGGTTCATTTACTAGCACGCCCCTAATTCCCCATGGGTCCCGGTTGACTCCCATATAAGACCCCCTTCTCCATCTTTCAAAAGACGAAACACAACCTTCTAACATTTCACTTTATCAATAGAAGCAATGTCGTGGTTAAAAAAACATGCTCGTGGAGATAGTCTCCCCATTTACCAGATTTGTTTAATGGTGTTGCCTTCGTTCATGTTGTATGGCTATAACCAATCAAACCTTGGAGGTGTAACTGGGTTTCAGGACTTTACAAGGCAGTTTCCCAGACTCGATACGGTTCACTACGAAGGACCAGAAAAAGCCCATAGAGCAACTATTCAAGGTAAATTTAGACCGTAACTCCATCAATGATCGACTCAGATTACTAATAGTCGACTAGCAACTGCCGTTGCAATCTATACGATCGGTTGCCTGATCGGTGCACTTGGTGCAATTCCCGTCGCTGATAGATTGGGAAGACAACGCTCGCTGGCTATCTTTGCATCAATTGCAAGTATTGGTCTCATTCTCCAAGCGTCGTCGTTCAGTCTCGGGCAACTTATCGTTGGGAGAATCGTTAGTGGCTTGGGAGTTGGCGGCGTCAACACTGTGGTCCCTGTATGGCAGTCGGAATGTAGTGCTCCCAAGAGTCGTGGTAAGAACGTTATCATTCTTGGAACGTTCATTGCCTCTGGCATCGCATTGGCCGCATGGATCAACTACGGACTGTCTTACTACCAACAGTCGCAATTATGCTGGCGCTTAGCCTTGGGCATGCCCCTGGTGTTCTCGATTCCGCTAATAATGACACCATTCTGCCTTCCCGAATCACCTCGATGGTTGGTGATGAAGGGTAAGCTGGACCAAGCACGGTCGTCATTCTCCGTCCTCCAGGGAACAGAACCAGAGAGCCAGTCGGTTCAAGAGTCTATTGAGCAAATTCAGACTTCCATGAGCGATCACAGCAAAGAGAAGACACCTATCAAGGATCTATTCCGCAATAACTCACAGAAGAACATGTATCGCATATCGCTTGCTTTCATCATCAATCTGGCCGCGCAAATGACGGGAGCCAATGCGATTACCTACTACGCTACCACAATCTTCCGGGAGTCTCTCGACTTTACACCACATAGAGCTTCTCTCCTGGCAGCTTGTGTTTTGACTTGGAAGATATTTGCAGCATTCGGTGCATTCATTGCCGTTGATCGCATCGGACGGAAGCCACTTCTGATGGCATCTGCCTGCGGTATGTCCGTCTGCATGGTTGCGCTGGCAGCATGTGTGTCGCAAATATCCGTTTCCAAGGCCGCTGGAGGCGTGGCGGTCTTCTTTCTTTTCCTCTTCATGTGTTTCTTCCCACTTGGCTTCCTTGGGGCCAACTTCCTTTACTCCGCCGAGATTGGAACGCAGGAACTCCGTGTGTATCTCTCCGCCATCGGTGTCGCGGTAAGTAATCAACCTTCGAAACCCCCACTGAAGCCCTTTCTGACAAAAACCTTTAGACTCATTGGCTTTTCAATTTCGTCGTCGCCGAGATCACCCCCATTTGCTTCGCTAAGATCGGATACCAAACATACATCATATATGGAGTCATCGGTGCTGCGTTTGCGCCTGTGATCTGGCTGTTCTTCCCCGAGACGAATGGGCTTACTCTTGAGGAGATCGACCAAGTGTTTCAACAGCCGAAACATTGGTGGAATGTCACGAGCTACGCGAAACACTTTGCTGCGACGGAGCAGACCCCACCGGAAGGATATGACATGAAGAACTCACAGGGCGAGCGCAAGGAGGTCGTAGAGACTGCTGCGGCTTGATTAGTCGCAGTTATGGGTGATTGGAATACTCGAAACAGATCCGCTGGTTGGCAATTCATGGACACATTATCTGCATGGGCACTGCAGGTTATTCAATAACTACCATTTCATGTACAATAGATTCCATAAACAATGAAGAATTTTGTATTTTGTATGAACTTTCAAACATAAGGCGATCAAGCAAAGAAAAAGACATGGCAGAGGTAGAGATGTCCGGTGGGCTCTTTGATTTACTTGAACCAGGGGTCACATGGAGATTCATATTATGTTCTTTGCATTGGATTTATAGGGAAACGTCCGTTGGCCAGTACGATATCTTATTGTAGAATAATCGCTATGCACATCTTTGAAGGGTTTCCACAGCTAAGTGGCATCGTCACATTTGCTTCTAGCAGCAATCTATCTTCACTAAACATCACCAATACATGGTTTAAAGGTTGCGTAGAACATACACTGCACTCAGAGAGATTTTAAAACTTCCGAAAATCCGGATCGAACAAATTGATGCTAGCAGCGAGTGAATGGAATTTAGCGGCATGGACCAAGCGTGCGGTTGAAGTATTTCCGGGGAAAGTAAGACCGTAAATGACGACGCGGCTAGAAAGATCGAACGCCAGATGGTAAATGTGATAACCAATGAGAATTGATACAAAGAACAAACAATATCGCACCCTCTAGATGCGCTGATCATATCGACCATCTATTGCGGGGAAGCTGGGCGGAAGTAGTTCATCCCGAGGTCGGCCACTGCGCCCCTCATAGTAAAGCATCGGCTAAACCTTTGCCGGGCGATGTGATCATCTCGCCATAGTCAAATATACAAGGGTTACAAGTAGTCAACGATTCTGTCTTGCGAAACATCATCCACTACTCACATCTAATCATGGCACCACGAAAACTGAAAATCGCAGTCGTTCCCGGCGATGGAATCGGCACAGAAGTCATGCCATTTGGCGTGCGCTGTCTCAAGGCCGCCGCATCTGTCTATGGACTTGACTTAGAGTTCGAGGAATTCGATTTCGCAAGCTGCGAGTATTACTTGAAACACGGCGACATGATGCCCAAGGATTGGAAAGATACGCTGTCGCAGTTCGATGCCATTTATTTCGGCGCTGTCGGCCTCCCGGATGTTCTCCCCGACCATGTCACGCTATGGGGAAGTCTGCTCAAGTTCCGTCGCGAGTTCGACCAATACGTCAACCTTCGCCCTTGTCGCCTCATGCCAGGAGTTCCGAGTCCATTGGCGAATAAGAAGGCGGGAGATATCGATTTCTGGGTTGTGCGAGAGAACACTGAGGGCGAGTACAGCTCGATTGGCGGGAAGATTTTCGAAGACACAGATCGCGAAGTCGTCATCCAAGAAACCGTCATGACGCGCGTGGGAGTCGACAGAGTTCTTAAATACGCGCTCGATCTCGCCAATAGTAGGCCGAAGAAGCACTTAACGAGTGCGACTAAAAGCAATGGCATTAGTATCACGATGCCTTACTGGGATGCTAGGCTACAGGAGCTGCAAAAGGCAGAAGCGTACTCTGGGCTCAAGATCGACAAGTTTCACATTGATATTTTAACTGCTTGGTTCGTTCTCAGACCTGAGCAATTCGACGTCATTGTTGGAAGTAACCTGTTCGGAGACATCTTGAGCGATCTGGGACCAGCTTGTACAGGAACAATCGGCATCGCTCCATCTGCAAACATCAATCCGGAGGGTAAATTTCCAAGTCTCTTCGAACCTGTGCATGGAAGCGCACCTGATATCGCCGGCAAGGGAATCGCGAATCCCGTGGGGATGATCTGGGCTGGTCAGATGATGCTCTCGCATTTCGGATTTAGCGACGCCGCAGACGGTATGCTGAAGGCGATTGAAAATGTCCTTGCAAGACAAGAGGCAACTGTGGTTACGCCAGATATGGGTGGAAAATCAGGAACCACGGAAACGTTGGGTGTGGCGATTGAGAAGGAAATTTTAAGTTTGGCAAAGTAAATGTATCAATTGATCCCAGTGTAAAAAGTGCAGCCTTGAGCTAGACATACCATGCCGCTATGACCATATTTATGCCACCCTGTGTCTCAAGAAAGACTTGCAGTAAATCTCCGCTTCATCAGTCCGACCGGACTAGGCATGCTTCACGGTCCGCCTGCTCACGTGATACGTGAGACATTGATAGACCACTGCGACAACCGGACAACGCAGGTACATGTAGAAAGTCCTATTCAACTGTGATAGAATATTAGTCATTCAAAACCACAGGAGTGCTCTTCACGGATCGCAAGTCGCCTTTTTGAGACTTATGTTCCGTCGTATATTCTATTTGTCTACAGAACGCTATCATGTAAAAGGCCATGAAATGAAATAGGGACGAATGCTCAAGTGCATTCGACCCCATCACAATGTACATAATTCTTCAGTGACCGCTCATTGTCATCGTAAAGAAAAAGAAAGAATTGTGGGTGGGCACGTAAGACAGAAATCGATCTGCACACGAAGCCTCACTGTTTCGCCTGTATCTCGACACTGTACCCGCAGTGACCCAAATAGCTCTTTCTAGCACCAAATCAAATCCTAAAAGTTGGTGCATGAGCACCCTTTCAGTGGGCACTGCAGATCTATGCTCGTTAGAATCGGGTAATGTAAAGATCGAGAGGAACTTACTTGGGAAACCAACACATCCTGCGAACCCTTCTGCCTCGCAGTTTCTTCCAGATGCTCCACAGTCTGCAATAATAGATTAGTTCTGTGGCTCATATTTGGATACTTCTGACTGACTGGTAGTTTCGCAAGGTCCAGTGTATGGCTCGAATTGACCGTAAACGGAGCAATCGACTTGACGGCGCGCGATTCTTGATTTGGCAACCGCCAGAGGACTAGCTGAGTAGACAGATGCGATGAATGTGCACAAGATGATTGGAATGATGAATGACTTCATTGTGGTGGACTAATTGCGTTGGGTTGGAGAACTCCAATGATGAAAGCTGCTTTGAAGAAAAAGCGACCGCATTCACCGCGACCTTTAAATACATTAAGCGATCATTGATAGATTCGGTCCGTAAGACACTTCGCAAAGCAAAACGTCTCTCTCATGAAGCAACATCACCCGCGCTCCACTCCGCTGTCACTCACTCCAAACCGCACCCGCTCATCCCGCCCTTGGCACCCCATAACAGAACCCGACGTGTCTTACAACTTCTCGCTATCAAGTTCTGCCAAACGCGGATATTGTTTCAATCACGTTTCCAAACGCGGACTGTGCGCCTAAATGCATGATTACCACAAGCGGTATCTGAGGCAAAGCCAAGGTCGCCAAGAAGCTTGCATCTGAGCTAGATAAGATGGTTGTGTAGATCTATCTACGAAGCCGTCACAGATGTGATTGGCGTTGTATCATGGCGTCGCTGAGTTCTCCACTATGGGCATTGTTTGGCCTCGAAGCGTGTCGCTGCTGGGTGGGGTTGGACTTGAGAGCATAGCGCCTATACTGCAGACGAGAATGGGGAAGCAAGCTCCACCCATCTGTGCAATCTATATGATGTTGAAACCTTTTCGAAATCCGTGACCTAAGTGAGTAGAATGAGGCGGTTCGTAGGGTCGGGTAATATAGACAGTGCAATGATGTTGAAGGTCTCCCGCACTTTCTGTTTGGCGCGAGGGAAGATGCTAAAAATAACATACAAATAGACAACTCTTCTAAATTGGATCCATAAAATCAAACGTCTCCCATGACATGATCTTTAAGACGAACCAATGTAATTGGAGGTCTATTTCCCATATCTTGAATTCTGAAATCAGCAAGACGAGATGCTTCGACGAATGCGGTAAGGTTCGGATAGCCGTAGTTGCGAGCATTCAAGTTAGCAGACTTTCTGCTCAAAAGATGCCCCACTTCAGCGAGGTTGGCATAACCTCCTGCATAGCTAATGCTGTTGCTGATAGCCTCCTCCAGCGCGTTAAGTGCTACCTGGTCTAGTGGCCTCGGGGTCATTTGTGGGCGAGCTGCGGCCGGGCGGTAACCTTGCTGCGGCGGTCGTGAGGCAGTCGGTTCCTCACTTGGGTCTACAGGTAGGACATCGAAGTATGTGAATTTATCGCATGCGGCGATGAAAGCGTAATTGGTTTTGCGCTCGCCAAAGCCGTAGACTGTAAGACCTTGCTCACGAATTCTGGTTGCGAGGCGGGTAAAATCGCTATCGCTTGAGACGATACAAAAGCCAGAGAAGCGGCCTGTGTACATTAAATCCATGGCATCGATAATCATGGCACCGTCAGTAGCGTTTTTCCCAGTAGTATAGGCGAACTGCTGAATGGGAGTTATGGAGTGTTTCAGTAGGCAAGATTTCCAGGCACCAAGGCCTGGTGTCGTCCAGTCTCCATAGATGCGCCTGACACTGGCAGTACCATAATTGGCGATTTCAGCCATCAAGCCGCTAACGTGCTTCGAGGAAACATTATCGCCATCAATGAGCACGGCGAGATTGGAGCTGTCGGGCTTTATGTCTCCGTTGCTTGCAGTTCTTGGTTGCTGGATAGACATTACGTTAGGCAAAGATCTTGCTCCAATAGCACGATTATGTATATTTATTACAGTAACTAATATGGACAAGGTAAAATTCACCAGCGAAAAGATGGATAACTTGATGCGAAAGGTTGATTGGAAGGAAGAGTTGAGGGGAATGTTGATCACTCCCCCGCACTAGCGGCATTCCATAAGCCGACTACTTGACACGTGGTGGATTGTGAAGTGCTAGTAGCTTTTGCGATTCCATCTTAAGCTGTGCTGTACCATCATGCTCTTTGCATTACTTTCTGCTCAGAAGCCAAAATCTAGCCCTTTGGAGCGGTCTTGGAGAAGACTCACTGCGGAATAATACCACGTGATTATCACATCAATTCATCCAAATCTGAACAAAGATACGAGGATTTCATTGTCTTAGTTAATCCAGAATACAACATCAAAGACACGAGCATTGCATTGTTTCAGTGCTTTGAGGTAATCCAGAACATAATATCAGAGATATGAAAGAGTGGTTCCTTTTAATATCTATTTCAAAGTACCTTATTGTACCTACCTTACTTATATGATGAGATATTGTAGTGATAGAATAGTGGGAAGCCGCCCTCCGGTGCAGCTCTTGAAAATCGTCGAAGATCAGTGATCTCATCAAACAAGATCCTCTACGTCTCACAGCCTAGATTCATCCGCAATGTTGCCCTGCTCTGATGCTTACAAATTCCACATTCAGCTCATGTCGTGATGATGTTCAGGAAGCAAATCCATGCATCTCCGCACAGACATAAATTACCCGATTTGGCAGGACGATAGTAACGCACAGACATAAATTGCCTTTCTCGATTAGGACTTTGACGATGGACGGTAACAAGCGCATCATCTGGTCGTGATTGTAGTGTGGATGACGTGGACTGAAATCTTTGAGTCATATCTTTCGCAAAGTGTGGAAGAGGTACATATAAGAAGAGTGACCAGCAAACGGATAATGAGCACACCGATTTCAATCAACTCATAGCAATCAGTTACTTTTCAACATGTCGCTTCGTACTACCGCTGCTACTCGCTTTGATAGTTTCGATGTCCATCGAACGTCCTACAAAACAATCGGCAGCCATGAAATAGAGGCGACGGTCCTCATACCGAAGGCCGTGAAGCCTGGAAAACATCCTCTCTTTGTCAAATGGCACGGGGGCGGCTTGGTACGGTGTATCCCTCAGAGTATATTCTGAAAGAAGAAATCACTGACATGCAAATGTAGACCGCGGGAGAAGGGGCATACCCAGACTGGTTTCCCGCCTACCTGGTTTCGTTGCTTCTCAGAAACGATGCCATTGCTGTGCTGCCAAACTACCGCCTAACACCAGAGCATTCTGGAGATGAGATCCTGCAAGACATTGCCGATTTCTGGACGTGGCTTAGAGCGTCGTTGCCTGCATTCGTCGCATCAAAGTCGCCGTCTACTGAGATTGACCTATCGAAGATACTTGTCTCGGGAGACAGCGCCGGTGGATGGTGCGCTATTCAGTCCATCCTGACTCTACCACAATCTACATTCAACGCCTGCTTACTCCAATATCCCGTCACAAACCTCATCCCTACTTCGCCGGATGATACACCATGCGGAGAAACTATCCCACCAAAGGAGGTCCTTGATGAGTTCATTGCAAACATCGTCCCAGGCACGGTCGTCAGCAGCGCGATACCGCCCGCAAGATCTGATCTAGCTCCCATGCTACGCGCGCACAGACGATGGACAGAGTTCTTCGGCGATGCAAAACACCTGATGCCGGACACGAGAATCGAAGATGCGACCTTCCTGGCACCGACGTATATTATTCATGGAAAAGATGATACAAATGTTGGTGTTGAGTTGACACATGCGTTTGTTGAAAAGGCGGAGAAACTTATACCGGGTGCGCGTTTCAAGGTCGCCACTCCACCTGGGGATCATGGGTTCGATACTGAGATATACGAAGAAGACGAGCCTTGGCTGAAAGATATTTTGGAGGGCGTAGAAGCAGATTGGCTAGCATAAAGTAACAATAGATTAAGTCATCAAATCAAGTCTCTCTCACTTAGTCGAGTCCTTCTTCCCTAATCTCATAGGTGATATTGTAAACACTTTGATATCGCATTTGCGCAAGTGATAGCAGTCGAAACTCGAGGTACACAATGAGTCGAGAACATAGGCTATGATTTGCCGCCACTAGCGAAAATAGAATACGCAGATGTCTCACAGGTTTCGATCAAATGGTCACTTTTGTGCAAGACAATAGCACAATGTCGAGTCATTGTTCTATTGTATTCGTTTGAAAGAGAATCAACTTTGGCTTTGAAAGAATATTATCAAACAGCGGCGGGAAATGTGCCAATTGAAACATGTCTTGCAGAATGTGAATGGTAGACACTGACCCGCGGCCTCCACTTTCTTGTGTTTGTTGGGAGCGATTGACTACATTGTGTATCGCGGAATAGTTTCTTGTTAACAACACAAACCAATCATCCTATTACATTGAAATGCGACGAGGAGATAAATCGAAATGAGCGCGCGGCAAAATCCCAAAAACAAGTGCTACGTGATGCATTGTATCCCTCAGTTCTTTGACTGATGCTAATTTGGGAACACACAACAATGATTATCAACGTTGCTATACAGAGTCCCTGATAGATAATGTGGTCTTTGTCTTCAATCATAGCGCCTTTGTGCTTCCTTAACAGGTCCAGTGATGAACAGCGATGAACACAAGCCACCGAATTCGAGGGTATAACTGGGCGCGATACCTCGAAGGTTCAGTCTGCAATACCTCAAACCTTGATCTACAACAACGCCTAACACACATACAAACATCACCATCATCATTTCGAGCACAAAACCGAGCAAAATGGCAGAAGAGTACATCCCGCAGGGACCTGACGACTTCGAAAACGACTTGCTACAGGAACTGGATGAAAACGAGGAAACGCCTACTGTCGACCAAACACAGCAAAATAACCCCATTGCGCCTCGGAGAAGCCATGGATTTGGCGATAGCGGGAGTGAGCCGTCGGACGATGAATCCGATGAAGTAAGGAAGCGTCGAGATAACGCTCTCGAAACGTGGCTAAAGTCGCGGTACCTTAATTACAACATGCCACATCTCCCAGACTATACGTATGGAATCTCCGTACGAGATTTCCTTACGATTCCATGCACGTACAAGCCTCATGGACGAGATCTAGCATGGCTCAACAGTGACCAGGTAAATGCAGCTCTGATGGTCCTCGCGGACAGTTCGCGTCGCGATCGCTTGATCCTCTTGTCTGACGCAAAGGCTCATGAGCTATGTCTCATTGGGCAGGGTGGGAACGATCGTCTTTGGTGCCAGGAAAACGGCATTCTTGTGGAAGCACTTAAATCAGACGCAAATAAAAGTCACAGGTGGATTGTCGTTCCTTGTAACAATGCAATGATGAGCAAAGAGAACGACGGACTAAATGGCATTCATTGGGGTCTTATGATCATCGATCGTTTGACCAAAAAGGCGCGATACATTGACGGGAATTTAAAAGTAAAGAAACAGAGAGGGACAGATGAGTGGGTAATTCAAAGGTCCTTAGGGGTAGGAATGGCTGCTGGGAAGATTTTGTGCGGTATCGACCGTGTAACCGAGTCAAAGCTTGGCGAGTACGATGCAGAGACCTTGATGCATGTTCCTCACGACCACGGTTTAGAGAACAGCTTCCAGGGAGATGAATCATCCGCGTGTGGTCCATACTTGTATGCGATCTTACGGTTCATCTTGGAGCACGATGAAGCCTACCTTGAGGATCTTTCTGGTTCATTTTCGCGTGCGAAAAGAGCTGACAATGTTGCACGAATGAAATTTGATTCAAAGAAGACGCGAGCAAGAATTCAGACTGGGCTGGAACGAAAATGGAGAAAGGACGATAACTCCTCTCCGAGGTTTAAAGTCAGCCGTGAAGTTGGGGATATTCTGCGTCTTCCTAACGCTCGCGAGACTTTCAATCGCTGGATCAGGTTCAAGTATCCATCCATTGCCCTCGATCTATCTCACGACGATTTCGACGACGATCCTAAACCCCATAGGCCAAGTGGAAAACCAAATTCAACACCTAAAAACAATACCTCAGCGGGACGGAAGACACCTGAGCCACCAAAGTCAGTTCACTCAACGCCACCACCAAACGCTACTCAGACAGGTAGTGGACCGAAGGACACGCAGCAAGGCAGTGGAACAAACACTGCGCAGCAAGGCGAGGCACCAAACACTGCGCAGCCAGGCAGTGGATCAACCTCTGCGCCCACAAGCAATGCACCTTCCCCTAAACCTACAGGCAATAAACCACCGGAGGGAGAGGATCCTGACAAGTCGAAGCCAACGAAGAAGCCGAGCAAGACAGATAAGAAACCAGTAAGAAAACAGCCAGGAGGCAAGGGCGACAAGAAAAACAATCCCAATGACCTATCGAACGTTGAGAAGGACTACACCGATCTCAGTACTGTGCCAGACTCAGAAATCGAAGAATGGGTTAAGTTGACTGGACCACTCAGCGATACCCACGAACCAGGTAAAGATATCTGGTGGGATAGATTTCATCTGCAAAAGGCCTTTATGGGAGGATGGCGCCATTTGGAGAGGAAGAAAGATGAGAACAAGGAAAGCAAAGAGAGCAAGAAAAAGGAAGCGAGCAGGAAAAGGTGGAAGACGGGCCCAGCGGAGGTAGACACTACCCTCAAGAAGGGTGGTGTCGACAGGGTCCCGGGTAGATTAGAGAGCATGGCGAAAGGGAAGGAAGTCTTTGATCGACGAGATCATTTCGAACTGATTCCGGATCATGCTCGAAAGCAGGTACTGATGGCTCAGGATGATTTGAAAAGCCGAATCGGCGCATCTGCCACTGCCACGGCAGCCGGGAAAGCAGCTAAACCAGCTAAAGAGAAGCGCAAACATACTGCTGCGGAAGAGGGTACTGAAAAGCCGGCTAAGAAGCCCAAAGGGAATGCGACAGAATCGGAGGAAAGTTCATCGCAGGCCAGGCCATCCGTAGGTGAACAGACTGAAGATGTAGCTGGATCATCCGCCGATCCCGCGACGGAAAGGGGCACGAAGAGGGACGCGGACGACGCTGATGTAGAAACCGCTAGGCCTGAGCCATCGAAGAGGAGGAAGTCGGATTAGACATACTAGAACTGGGAAAGCAGCGAATAGATGGGGGGAAGGTTGTGTGTTTTTAACTGCATTTATGGAGTAGATAAAGCGATTACTAAATAGAATAATTCTGTTGTCTTCATTGTTGTTGTATATAATATTATGTTTTGTTTGCACCTAGGCCTTTCAAGTGTGCAACGCAGTCAATTAACTCATCAATGTTTGATCTTGCAATATATTTTGTTAAAGGTTTCGAAGTGGATCGATGAGTCTAAATTCTTTCAAAGAGTAAATCTCACAAATTTGCAATATAAGATGAATTCGGAGTGTTTGAATCTAGATTTAGTTGCCTAGCCGTCTCTTTTACCTTTACTCTCACCTAGTGTTAAACTTCACCCATTAGAAAAAAGACGCCCACATTCCCAAAACAACAAGAAGCCCTTTTGGACAGGATGGAACGTGAGCAGGAATTGACCAGAACTGAACCGTTGGATCGATACGGGCTGGGCGGTTTGCACCCCGTCCACATCGGCGATGTTTTTAATGAAGGCCGCTACCGAATCGTCGATAAACTTGGGAGTGGACAATCGGCAACGGTTTGGGTTGCTCGCGATCAATAGTAAGTGTTGAGTCCTTCTCACTATGTCGCGTCTCCAAGAAAAGATACTATGATACAAATCGCACCTCTAGCACAAACGACTCTGTAGTTTCCTTGAAGTTCCTGAGCGCAAGTGAGACCGAGAAGAGCCATATCGAACTGAGCATCTTCAGAATGATCGAAACGATGAATCTCGGTCACCCAGGACGTCAACATGTGGCCAAGCTTCTGGATCACTTCTATCATGAAGGCCCAAACGGGATACATTTGTGCACGGTGATGGAGTTTGTTGGTCCTACCCTCTTCGATGTGCTGGATGTCTCACCAGGTGAGTGCATGAAACCGAATCTGGCCCGCCATGTTTCTCGGCAGCTGCTACTTGCGGTGGATTATCTACACTCGATCGGAATTGTACACGGCGGTAAGTGAGAGTAATTCGAATAGTCAAAGGAATACAACTAATTCGTTGCTAGATTTAAATCACGGCAACATCCTGCTTCGCTTACCCGATCCTGACGAATATCTCATCTTCGACAAGCCACAAGTTAGGGAAGTCATAAACACCAATGGATTTCCTCTTGGTGCAGGATACCCGAAATATGTCATAGAACCTATTCAAATCGCCGAAGTATGGGAAGATGATGTCGAGATTTTTCACGATATACAAATCATCGACTTCGGATCATGCAAGTCTTTCACCTGTGCGTATCATTGCCTCAGACTAACACTGAGTAGCCTTCCTTGACACGAGGCCTGACAGCGTTGCGCATATGCCTATAATATTCACCCCTCCAGAGGTGATCTTCGAGAAGCCATTCACAAAGGCAATCGATATCTGGACCCTCGCATGTGTTGTAAGTAACTGGAGGGCTACACGACGCTTTGTACTTTCTGACCTATTATTAGACATACACCATCGCAACGGGAGACGATCTCTTTGAGGGTGGACAAAGGGATCGCCGCGATCTGATACCAGAGATGTACAGAGCGATAGGCGCATCGGCTGCCCCGTGGCTTATGGATGCAATAGTAGATGCTCTGGCGCGTGACGTTTGGAATACCTTACCACCTATCCGATGTAAGTGTACATACCCTTCTCATTTATTCCTTCTTTGCTGATTATTCGATACCACTGGATGTTTTTGAAAGTATCAGCTAATCAAGTCGTAGTCCCTCTTTGGGATGATAGAATGGCAACTCTGGAGGAACGCGTTCGATTCAACATTTTCTTCAATAAGAAAGAAGAGGATTCCGACGAAGACGACTCCAATACCGAATCACACGAAGAAGACTCCATTGGCAAGAACAATGTAGAGTTCACCGAGCTTCTACTCAACTACCTCAAGGCGATGTTGGTCGTCGATCCGGACAAGCGAGCCACGACAACGGAACTGCTTGAGTTAGAGTTTGTAAAGGACCTTGGAACGGAGTGGCTAGAAGTCAGCGACTTATACAAGTCCGACACTAATAGCGAGGGTGAAGAAGCCCAGACTGATGAGGCCGATCTGTCAAATCAGATGGCGCAGATGACACTGAGGCGGAAACGCACGTCCTGATACCCAATTCCGCCAGACTGGAACGAAATAACGAGGGAACGGAGCTGAAAACAAAGGCGAATGCATAAACTTTATTGTGTACTGAGTAGTATTACCCCTCTAGTGATCAAGCATAGTGAGCACTCACCGCGCCTTTGCTATTAGTGAATGCGAAGAACCCTGAAAAGATGTCCTTCCCACGGCTCATAGATGTCTGGACAAGCACTATGGTAACAGTTCATAATGCAAGTCAAGATGTAAATGCACGGGTCGATGCTTTTATTGCATGGATCCCCCGCGATCAATTGGCGCACAGGTGCGGTACGGCCCGAATGCAATCGACCTGCCACTGACCGTAATTCGTCGGCAAAACATTCCGTATACGAGCGATCGAGCGATGGACTTTGTAGATGTGATATAGTGCATACCACTCAGCCCAGTCCGTACGTACGTACATCGCATTCGCAATGCACTGTAGCTGCTTCGTACTCGTACACTCTCTACAGCCGTGGCTGAGTGGACGCCTGGTTTACCGGTGGAACGGTAACGGCACCCAGCTGCATAATGACAACGGTCTAGAATCGGCAACTGTATGAGCAAATACGATGATTTCAGGTGCACCTGCGATCAACTAGGAAGAGCGCTGCAGAGCCCATGCAGGTAAGATTCGTTTTGGGTCTACGTGCAAGGAGAAGACAGAGCCGTCTTGGTCAAGTGCTGATTTGGGGCCAGGATAGGACGAGTATTTGGATTACTGGAAGGAAGAAGAGATCGAGATAGGTATACGTAATTATGGATATGATATGCTAAGCTGCTGCTAAAATTGTGAACATCATGATGAACGGGTCCTGCCCCTTTGCGTTGGGATGCTTTGTTTTAACCAACTTACCACCCTACTTTTGGACGACATTTCGCTCAGTCTTCACTCATTCTTCCGGTTACCTCCAACCTTGTTTCAGCTTCTCGATAGCTTCGGTCTCGGATACAACATCCGCCATTTTGGCATTCATGTCAAATATGTTCGCATCGTGAACGGCAGGTAATCTATCGCCGCAGGCTTCGCTCACGACCTTTTGCAACACGAGTTAGGACTGATACGGAGGAGCTCGAGTAAGTGGTTATAAGGGATAGAACGATAGCGGATAAGAGGAGAATCGTCATCAATTGTAGAAAATTGCCGGATAGAAAGACGTCGCGATGCGAAGGATGGAGGTGGAAATACACGATTGCCAAGACTTGCTCTTACCATTGGACGATAGCCCAGACACATCCCATCCAACGTACTCGCCCTCACGCACCCGCTCGTACTGACACCGCACACTACCAACGTATCTATACCCTTCAATTGCAGCCTCGTGTTCAGGTCTGTCGCGAAGAATGCGCTGGGGTATCGCTTCGTAATCACGATCTCGCCGGCTCTCGGTACCAGTCCGGGCACCCAGTCCTCGAGTCCAGATTGATTGTTCTTCTGAAAGACAGTCAAGACGGGCGCTTTCTTGAAGAAAACACCCGCATCAGACATGTCCGGCTCTGTATACTCCACTCGCGTCCATATCAATGGGACTTCACCCTCGCGGGCGGCGTCCACCAGACGGCCGATCGAGGCGGGAGCTGCTGCCGATGCAGGGTTCGATGAGGTATCGAGCGGCGAACCGGGCGTCCAGTAGGCATTACAAACGTCCACGAGTAGGAGGGCTGGCTTTGTTCCCCATCCAATCTTGTGAGAAAACCCCGCGGCGACGTAACGCGCCTGATTAGAACGGGAGTCGTCCGACGGTGGCATGGTGGTTGGCTGTTGTACTTGTTGAGTACGGGATGGGTATGGTTTGGTATGTTGTTAGCTGGGGCCGGTCGGATTACATCGGTCGTCCTGTCTAGCATTGTCCGTTCTGATGCGCGGCTCGTTGACCGGTGGACATCCCTCGTCACGCTACGACTCTACATGTCATGAGGGCAGGGCTTTCATCCAGATGCACCGGGATGAAAGAAAGAAAAGAAGACGGGAAAGGAAGCAAGAAAGAAAGAGACGAAAGAAGCGACTGCGCGTCGACCACTCCTGATAATCTACAGTCGCTGTTACACAGTACAAATACAAGTCATCGGATAGGGCAAGACAAGTCACGCCAGGCCAACGTCGGAGGATATGGCTGGATAAGACACGGAGCGGAAGCTTGCTGCCGAAGAATGATGAAAGCGCGACGGCTTCCGCGCATCCTCCGCGTCTGTCGCTCTGTCGCTCTCTGATTATTGCGGAGTATGATTGAACCGAGGTATTATTGGCCACCAGTCCCCAGGATTCCATCCACCACTACTCGAATCAAAGGATGCGATTTTCCATCTGCGACCCGCATTCTGGAAGAGGGCCAAGGGAAGGGGATTATGGATGCGTCTTGTCATGATCCTTTCGCCTACAAACTCCTCCTTGCCCTGCGTCCTTGCTCCTCTTTTATGGTCGGTCATTCGGTCGGCCAAGGCTGGAGGGAGGCAGTACTTGTATGAATAACTAAGTCTACTTGTAAGGGACTTACCGCACACGCTGTCCGCTGTCGCAATTACCGGGTGACTACCCGGAATCAAGAACCCCAATAGGTACCTTATTACCGTATTACGGGAACCATCGACGCCTGGCTTGCCCAATTAAACTATCACTCTGCGATTGAATACCGCCGCGGTCAGTACCTCGGATCTTGGCATTGGAAATGATCGGACTTCCCCACCAGAAACCGGCCACCGACCTTCCAATGCTCCCTCCTTCACCCTCATCTGTGTCTTCTATCGTCGCCATGGACGCAAAAGAGGGTCGCATAGGGAATGCGTTTGCTTGCGAGCGCTGTCGCAAACACAAGGTTCGATGTGTGCCTTCAGAAACAACTGGATTGTGCCAAAGGTTCGTACCATTTTGCTTTATTCCAGCCCGCCTTGCTCGCGACTACACATTTCCTGAACCGGCATCTAACACGTGCTTTCTCTACAGATGCCAGAAGGCCCGCGTCGAGTGTATCGAACATGTCGCGCGCAGGAGACCAGCAAAGCCTCGCACGACTGTCCAAAATCCAAGTCGTGTTGCTGAGATGGAGAAAAAGCTCGACAAACTCTCTGCCATCGTTACCGCAACATCGCCGGCTCCTAATTCGGCGTCGGCAACTCAGCCTTCCCTTCCGCCAGTAGCCACCACTCTTCCTACCCAGATCTCAGAAATCGGCCGGCGCACTCCAACTCCAGTCGCAACGCCAATAGTGTCTGCTACAACGCCTTCGAAACCCTCAATTTCTTCTATTCCTCCTGTTGCGCCCGTTTCGTCTCTTCATTCTGGCGGTCCGGTGTTGCCGAATCATGGATCCCCGCCTGAATCAGCCTCGTCCTTTTGGGAGTCACTCAACGAGACACTCTCGGGTGTGGGCCAGATGAACTCAATGATCCGTACCATTGGGGGCGCTCACATGAAAATGCTCATCGAATCGTTCCGGTCGATGTCCGACTTCTTCCCTTTTGTCACATTACCAAGTGGCGCCTTCTTTCAGGACCTGCTACAGCAACGGCCGATTCTCATGTTCGCCGCGTTCACTGTTGCCTCGTACGATTCCGCGACTTTGCAGCTGACCCTGAGTCGGGAGTTCCGGAATGTTGTGATGGTCAGGACTATGAAAGGGGACAAATCGCTAGATCTGGTACAAGGATTACTCGTCTTCATCGCATGGCATCACCACTATATGGATTCGCAAGCGATCTCAATTCGGACCCTTCTCCAGCTTTGCATAGGAATTGCGACCGATCTTGGATTGGACAACCTCTCGAGTGGATCGTATTCTCGCGACCAGTCGCAGCATCGTGAAGGGAAGCGGGCCTATCTCGGGTGCTACTACTTGTCTTCCGCTCTCGGAATGCTTGATACCACAAAGAGCCGCATTTTGTCCTACTCGAGTATACTTCGTACATATGCGTCGGAACTGGCGTCCGGCTGGGAACACAAAACAGATTCCATCCTACCCTCACTCGTGGAAACTTGTCACTACGTCGAAGATGTCCAGGAAACCTTTCAAAATCACTCGGAACCCGCTCTGGTTGTTCGATCTCAGGTGACGCGACTGAGCGACAAATGGGAGAGCATGCGGGCTGTTTCAAGACAGCTACCGGTGGACTATAGTATGTTGATAACGAGAGAAAGGTGATTCATGTTGCTAACTATTTGAAGAAACTCTACATTGGGTGCAGGCCGCCGCCAAGGTCCACCTCTATCAAATTGCTGCGGGATTGGACATTCAAGATCGAGATAGCACACCCTCCGCCCCGGGTTTCCAACTCTCTTTGCGAATAAGTAGTTTGCGCTCGATAGAGCAATTTCTCGAAACCAGCCTACAGCTTCCCGCCGACCACTACGAATATCTTTCCATAGTTGACTGGCTCAACCTTATTGCGACCCTCACCATCCTCGGAAAACTTGCACTACACGCAACGCCAATGCCCGGTTGGGACACGAACGAAGTACAGGTCCCAAGGATGTTTGAACATTTCCGCGAGGAGCTCTGCGCCAAGATTCCTCAACCACGGGATAACGGTCAAGACAATCAGGAACATGTTTTCGAGCGATTTCGCCGCATCACAGCGATCATGAAAATGTCTTTGAAGAATGTCCACGGCCGGGGAAGTCCGAATGGGTCAAGCTTCGAAATCACATCAAGCTCACGCCAAGCTGTCTCCATTTTGCAGGAATTACCACCGCTAAAATTGAATGGCGTCGTCAATGGGGCAGAGCAGCTTCCGACGCCTTGGAAGGTCAATCCCAGTTTCGATATGAACGGAAACGACTTTCCATGGCGATTCCTCATGGGTGTGCTTTGAAGAGGAGTATGTTTCACATGAATTGAACTGCAAGATCCACGCAGCACTGCGTCCTATACACGATTCGACATTGCAAGATGGAGTCGTCCGGTTACTGGCTCATGCTGAGTGGAAAATTACACAACGGCTATTCCAGTGTAAACCACATGCAGTGTCTTAGAGAAGACGTAGACCAGTTACCGGCAAACCGACAGTTGTTTTGATACATCATGCATCTCCGGCTCCGGTCCCTCCCCAAGAAGGTACGTAGTATATTCAATCTCATGTTAGATCTTCTTTCTCATTGACAGTTGTAGGCAATCTTCTAGTAGCGAGGCCGAATACGAGGGCGCCGGATGCTGTTTGTAGTAATATGCTCCGAGACTTCGGGATCTGCTGCACGCCGCGCCCACGCCTATGCACTGTGGCGGAAACGCGTATGATTTCGTGGTCAGAGAAATGCGCCGACCAAGCCTGTCGGAGGCAGTCAGTCGTAGTAATGATCGACCCCCAAGAACAAGAAGCAACAACCTCCCGGACCGGCATATTTTCAGGCGAACACCATGCAGTGAGCCATGCAAGAAAATTCTGCAACGCGCTACCTACATGTTATGATCTAATCTAATAATGAGTGGCATCTTGCCCAGTCACGAGTATACAGAGTTGGAGATGGGATATTTGCATTATACCTCAGTTATTTTCCTGGGCTGAACCTGATCTGGCCAGGATCAGCAGCAGCATAAAGATGTCAACAAAAGGCGGCCATGGCTATGGCAACAGCCACTTTTCTCTATACGATACCAATCAATGAATTCAAATGTTTCCTTCTACCACAGAAAACGTCCATGTCTGCCTCGTGCGAAATCAACGCCAAGATCAAAACTTACCAGGATTTCATCCCTCTGGACAAATTGTGTATCAACGTAGCAGTCATCCAAGCCAACGCACTGCGTTTATCACCTAACCCTACCGTGTCCGTAGGCATCCAAACACCTAATATCACATGCAATCAGGAGAGTCGACTGTCCGGACCAATGAAACTTGTAACTGACATTGAAATGATAGCTTCCACCGACCGGTTCTACCCCGCTATATACTCACTTCGTGCATCCCTGTTCGTCGGGGATTCTACACCATCGGACACCGAACAACGAATGCGCAGCTCCGATCTTACCTTTTTTCTACATACCTCCCCTTCTTATGCTCAATCTAAATCAATTAGTCTCACCGCATTCTCTTGTTCTTTGTTCCTGAGCTTGATCGCTTACTACACGACTTTACGACTGCTACGCCTCGCTGTACTCCCCGGTTGGAGCGAAACGAATACAAATCCGACCCAATTAGGAAATCGCTGCATACATTCCCACCTCATCCTATCGTGAGCTTTACTCCTACGCCAATAATCGTCCCACCATACGACTAATCCCCCGGACAGATCGACAAACACCACCCCACAACTCGAAACAAGCAGCCAGCCAGCCAAGCTCAGCAAACGCACCCGAGAAACTCCATCCTCTACTCCACTCCCTCCCTCGCTTTCTCCAAGACAAAGCTAGCTATAACAAAAAATGGTTCTCCCCGTCCTCCCCTCCCCCTACCCAACGCGCTTCTCCGCGCCCAAAGCCTCCCTCTTCCGCCTCTTCAGCACCACCTCCCGACGTTCGCCCGCTGCGATCCAACAGCTCGAAGACAACAACCCCCTGTCGCACAAGCACAAGCGCAATACAAGCACCAACAGCAGGCTGAGCTCCGAGATCAGGAAGACAACTACCACGACTACGACGAGCACGCCCAGCTCGCCCGTCAGCGGGAGGAGTTCCGGCGAGAGTGCGGTCTCGGTCGAGAGTTTCGTTTCCAGCTCTGCTTCGAGGTAGAGCGGACGCTTACCTTCTTGTGAGTTCGACGTTGTATTACATTTTCTGGCGATTCAAGTGCTAATTGGTCCAGTAGTGGGATAATCATGGGTTGCGGCATGAGCAAAACCACGAGAGGCGGCTATGGTGGCACGCAGGGCCAGGGTGGAGACAGTGGAGGTGGCGGTGGGGATAGCGGAGGTGGTGGCGGCGGTGGCGGTGGATAAGACTTGTGAGACTTGAATCCTGGTGGTTCCTGGTGGGTTAATCTGCTAGACATGAAATTGTACGGCATGGTTTGGGAGTTATGAGGTTATGATGCGGTATGCATTTAACGGCTGCTTTTTCTTTTGTTGATATCGGATGGGTGGGATGGAATCAGGTGGGTTGGGTATATACCTAGATTGATACGGTCGTTGCGGTATTATGGCGATGGGAATATTTTACGAGGTTTTAATGAGATTGTGTTCTACATATTCGTGGTCTTGATGATGGCGTTGATGGTTATTTTTCTACTATCTACTTAGGTTATTATGTGTTGTGTTGATGACAGCATGGTCTTACGGAAGTTTACAGCTAGAATGAAACCACGAATATTTGGAGAAATGTTTACTTCTTAGGCTAGAATACGAAAAACGACAGAAAGCCTTGCAAGGGTTGAATGTTTATCACGTCTTCCTCTGAGTCTGCGCGGCGAATTGTTTACGATTAGATATAATTCTTGCTGTACAAAACAAACGATGAGATTAGATGTAACGACTGTCGGGGTAATTATCTACACTGTAAACCCTTCCACGTTTCTAAGACTACTGCAGAGCCACAGAACTATAGAAGAGTCCGTTGCCAAAGTGATCAATTTTCTTTCCCTGATATGAAGTAATTTTACATCGCACCAGGAAGTTTGGTAAGCCCTATCATAGGTTAGATGATTGCTGTCACTCTAAGGGAGGTAAGTAACTTACAGCCATCAATGTCTTCCTTGACCGTAGTCTTGATCGCGCATTTGTTCGCCTCGGCGACGGACTGCGTCTTGAGATTGTTGCTGACCAGACTGGTGGAGTCCATTGCCTTCTGAAGCGCATCACCCTTCCATCCGAAGAGATAATCGCCGTGGGTACCGTATCCACGGCTATCATCGAAGCTCCAGACAAACGGCTGAGAGCCATCTGCGGGCCACAACGACTTGTCATTGAACTGCGTCGTGTTCCACATGGTCTCATAAGCGACTTGAGGCATGCGCACGGGATGCGAAGCTGGGCATGGTCCGGCGTTCTGGAACGCGCCCTTCACGGTGTTGTACATGTGGTCTTGGTGGTTAGGGCTATCGAGGTTCTTGCCGTCCCAGCAGGCGGGGAAGTGATGGATGGCCATGATACCGGCTGGGCAAGGCTGCTTGGGGAAGTCGTTGGTCTCGCTGCCTCGCGTCATGACGTCCTTCAAGCAAGTGTATCGGAGTCCTGGGTTGGTCTTGTCTGGGCTGGTTGGGCTGCCGACAGTCATGCGGAATCCCTGATCTGGTGTTAGTTCCACGTCACATAAGGTGGTGATAGAATGAAATACTCACGGGCTTGAACGAGGTAATCTTGTTCTTTCCATTGGAGTTGAAGTCCTGTTGGAGATAGTAGATGGTCATGCCACCAGTCAAGGAACCCAAGAGAGCATTTGGATACTGCGGCACGCGCTTGTATGATCCGTTACGCGCCTTGAAGTACATGACTGCAGTCCAGTAGTTGGAGAAGTCTTCGGAGAAGCTGCATGTTGTGCATGTAGCTTTGGTACCGATATCGCCTTCCATCGAAGCGTTGAAGGCATTTCCGCCAACGATTTGATGGAGATGTGCGGAGGGTACATTTCCAGGCTACAACGCATCAGATGAGATAGGTAATATGAGTTTTTAGGATACTTACCTCGACTACAGGGTCTAGGCGCTGCACTGATAGCGTTGCGCATCCGAAGCGGATGTACGCATGAGCAGGCGCGGTGAGCGCAAGGGCAACAGAGAGCCACTTCATGTTGACAGAAGGAGTATGTCTATCAGTAATTTTGAGGATGCTCAATTCTCTCCAGTAGACTCTACCATTTCCAAGACTGTTGGAGAATATATATGTGAGTTCATCGCTCTCCAACTGGTAGCGGCAGTGGCGACAACGGGCAGGCCATCGCAGCACCTTGAAATATCGTTAATCTATAGAACAAGCAAAGATCCCACGAAGTGCATCCCAATCAATAAATACACGATTTCTACCATGCTCATCCAATAAAGAGAGTCGAAAATAATAATCCGGTCGACATCCCGGCTCGCTAATCTATACAATGACCGCGTGTTACATTACCTCTTCTGCCGACATGACTGGCACTGCCGAACTGCGTCGGCAATATCTCCTTGGGCGACTCTACACTATCACTTTCTCCAATAAAGGAGTAAGGGATGAATCCATGTCTTTCCCCTCACGGCTTCCCCGCATCGAAGTCCTCTATGGCTTTTAAGGTTTTTAAGGTTGGCATGACCAGCATCCATGGGGTCGAATGAGCCTGAGTGGCTTTCTCTAGATTGCGACGAGGGCTTCACGTCCGCGCGAACGTGTTTCCGACCATCCATAGAATTGTGATAACCCCTAGCCTAGCATTCCCTCTTTTGGTGACCAATTTCTTGGACTTCGATGGGTTTTCTGAGAAGCACTGACGCAGCGCGTACAATATCTATTGCAGTGTACAGAGCGGCGGCGTCCTACCGAACCGCATGTCAGCTCACCACGTGCTTCATTCCTCACCAGTATCTTGTGCTGATAAACCTACCGCAACGCCGGTCTAGTACCATACGAATTGAAGTCTCAGACCGCGTCATCAAGGCATAGTGCAACCAGTGCCGAGAATGAAGATAGGCCTGTGACGTTGTGCTCGCTAATTCTCGAGATACGAATTTCTAGAATAATGGCAATCGACTAGATAAAACTTGACTTGATACGTTGAATATTGTAGGTTATTGAAGTGGGCTATCTGGCCAATCCTTCTCTCCATCAACCAGGCCTATCATCAATCAAATCATCTTGATGACTTTGCGATAAAGTCAGCCCAACCCCCCCGGGGCTGGATACATTCAGAGATAATGGCATTTTGTTCTACTGTGTATGTATGTACATCAATACAAACGGCGCTATTACTCGCGGGTTGTACACGCTGGAAATGTCCTAACAACCTGACTCATAAGCATAGCCCGTTTTGTACAAAGATCTGCAAAGGCCCATTCAGACATCGACTCATGCCCTTTTCTACACCGGCGGTAACTTTCAAGAACCCTTTCAAAACGTTTATGGCTATGCGCAGACATCCGCGACTTTTCCGTACCCTCACAAAGATAGCACACCAGCCTCATTTACCGGTCACGACGCAGATCCAAATTTAACATGACAGGTCAGGCGTTCTCCACTACAAAGCTTAGCGGGAACACTATCCTCATATCTGGAGTAAGGAAGCGAGCACGGCGGGTCTGCGACCGAGGCATTGCAGATAGCGCCATGCGGTCGCCGATGTTGATGCGTAATTGCGAGCATGATGGCAGCGATTAGAGGTGGAACGAGGCAGGTACACTGTGCAGGCAGACTCCAGAGCCGCACATACACAGCCACTCCACTGCTAAAAGAGCTCACCGCGACCATGATAGCCCCAACTTTTCATCGAGGATAAATTGACAAGCTTTGCATTACTATTATTTTGAAATCTGTCAAACATCAATACATTTTATCAATCTGTTGACGTTCTTACATCAACACCTCAACCATTCATCATGGGTTGCTTCGGTTCCAAACCCAAACCCGACCCATCACCCGCGACAGCCAACACGTATGCTCAGCCTGCTCAACCTGCTCAGGAAAAACAGAATGAGCCGACACCAGATCCAAAGCCAAAAACCGCGGACAGCCATGAAGCATCTTCCACCGAGAAATGGAAGGAGGAACAAGCTGTAGCAGCAGCAAAGTCGCTCGACCGATACCCTGCGCCACAAAAGTCGAGCTATAACTCGACAAAAAAGAAATCTACAACAACGACTTCCCGAGGGCCAGCTGGATCGAGCTACAATGCCAACACAACAACAACATATGTATCTTCATACTCTGGTGGAGACTCTGGTGGTGACAGCGGTTGTGGTGGAGGAGATAGTGGGGGTGGTGGAGGAGATGGAGGCGGCGGTGGTGGAGGATGTGACTAGAAATAAAGTGTGTTCGCCGATAGGGTCTAACTAGAACATGGCTCAATTTTGTATGTTAGCCATGTCGAGGTATGTAGGATATGGCTCGCCATTTTCCTCGCAATCGCAGCAGTGAAGGCCTCTTCGGCTTACTATTACGTGCATTGCGTACCTGTGAACGGGAGTTGAGGAGGAGTATGCGATGATAGATTAAGGTTATGATGTTTCACGAAGCGTTCACGGAATAGGCACCCTGTTACTATTTGATCTCATTTACTGCGCAGGTTGAAAGAGAACTCTCTTGTATGAATTTAAATGCTCCCCCATTATTCTTTTTATTGAGATATTGAAATTACCAAGTCATCCTTCATTGTCTTCAAAGGCTCCAATCTTGCATCCACCGTTTCATCCAACTTGCTTGTACAGGACCTAGCTGACTCAAGGTGGGGCTGGTTACCTTCGCATTCTTTGTCGAGATATCCACATCATCAGCTCCAATGTATTTCAGATTCCGGCTGTCCTTGAAGAAATCCAAAATCTTGACGGCTGGGTTCGCTGCAATGGCATCGTGATCGTCGCCATTGACCCTCTCTAACTCAGATACCCAATCCTGCATACTTACAGCTTTCGGGTTTCCAATGTGTTCTTGAACAGCGGGCAGCAGATCGGTCCAACTCTTCACCTTAGGATTGACAAGATGATACACTTGCAAGGCCCGGTTGTCCTCGGACAGACTGAGCTCCAAAAGAACAGTTGCAAGCGCATCGACCGGAAGCCAGTCAACATTGTCTAACAAGGAAGCGTCGGGAATCTTGCCCAGGTTCTTGGAAGTCTTCAACAGCAATGGAAACCATTCGTTCTCGTTCCATTTACCACCGCTTTCGCCGATCGGCCCTGCGATCTGTCCGACGCGGACAATCGACGCCTTGACGCCTTCGTTTTCGGCTGCGGCGGCGAGTATCTGCTCAGCGATGGCTTTGGACTCCGCGTAGCCGATTGATTGGGCAACGGCTGGGGTTTGCGCAATTTCTTCGGGGATGACTTTGACGCCGTTTGTGGATTGGGGTTTAGTCTCTACTGCGGAATGCCAATTACCGACCGAAGAGATGGAAGAGACAAAGACGATGCGAGGATTGTGTCTCGATGATACGCTGAAGTCAACAAAGTTGCGGACACCACGAATATGAACCGCTTCAAAGGATGCCAGCGCGTGGTTGAAGTCTACCTTCCATGCATTGTGTATGATTAGGCTGGCATTTTCGCGTAGATCGGTGAACGTTGTTGCGGGAAGACCGAAGTCAGGTTTGCTGTAGTCTGCCTGATAGAAGCTGACACGGGACGAATCTAGCTCAATGGGCTTGGGCCATGACGATAGAGATCGCGTTACACGCTCCTTTGCATCTGCCGAGCGGTCGAGGCACGAGATCTTAGCAACCTTGGGATCAGCTACCAGGGCTATGAGTAGATGAGTACCAAGGGAGCCAGTGGACCCGGTCAGGATTACGTGAAGAGGTGGTTGGTCTACCACAGGCGTTCCGGAAATGGGTGCTGTTTTGGAGCCTTTGACATATTTCTGGAGGATGCTTTCCATTTTCTGTTGTCGCTTCAAAGGATCGGGCTGATCTTGTGACACGCCGTTGGTGTATGTCAATTTATGCTGAATTGCTTCGGATATAGCATTCACCGACGGATTCTCGTAGATGAACTTTGGCGAGACCCAGGATACATCTCGTTGCTTTTCGGCAGTTATACCGGCCTTGAGCAAGGATATGATCTCGGTAGCTTGTAAGGAGTCCAGACCCAAGACGAAGAGGTCGTCTCCTTCATTGAAAGAAGACTTTGGGAATGCGGAGCCTACAACCTGTTTGACAAATTTGACGATAGAAGAAATGTTGCTCGAGTCGTCAAGAGTGATGTGTTGAAGATTTCGCGAGATGTCCCTTGAGTACAGTTCTGAGATCTGATCTTCGTACTTCGCTCCAGTTGAGGCGCGAATGATCGTACCCTTGGGAGACCTATCGAAAGGTTTGTCTTTCGATGAGACCAAAACCATGTCTCTAGTGACTCGTGCATGTCCAGGTGCTTCTGCATTTGCTTTCTCGATCGTTGGCCATACTTGCTCTATGATTGCAAGCGTATCTGTATTGTCTAGGTCCTTTGGCTCTAAGATGAGAGATGGCTGCGGTCGGCTGTGTCCAATGATCAATGCTCCAGAAAGAAGGGGATGGGCAGAGATCTGAGTTTCGCTAGGTACTGGATTGAACTTCTCGCCATTAGACAGAACAATGATGTCGTCGGCGCGGCCGTGAAAGCGCCACAATCCAGGCTTAGTCGGATGAGGTTTGAAGAGGTCTTTGGTGCGCCAGACTTCGACATCGGGAAAATTGCAAGATACGTTTCGGATACCCTCCAGGGCTGGGTTGCGGTGCATGATCATTTCAAACGTGCCGTCAATAGATGATTCCATGGTGACCTCTTGTTTAGGATGCCATTCAAGGCTGGCCCAATCCTCTCTCTTTGGTACCAGTGCCTGAATGGCTCCAGTCTCGGTCTGTCCATAGAATTGGCACACGTCTGTCACTTTGCTGAGGGCATCGCCGGCAACTTGGGAAAGCGGCCCGCCTGCGTAGAGGAGAAACTTAAGTGACTTGAGTTTCTCGAGTCCACCAGGCTCCTGGATGATCTGTTCTGCAATGATTGGAGGACAGAAGATGGACTTTAGTGTGAAATGGTCCATGATCTCGCTGACCAAGTGACCAGATGGCGGCCGTGATGGGGGACTAAGAACAAGGGTTGCGTGAGGATAGTATATTGGCAGCATGACCATCGACGAGAAACCAGCAAGGTGAAATGCCGGAAAGGGTGAGAAGAAGTGTTCATTTTCTGGAAAGTCCCATAGCGACCAATTCTGGTTAACACGCCCGGGAACAATTGGAAGGTTGCGATCATTGTCGCCAACTGCGAATGTATTGTGGTTCATGTAGATCGGTCGAGGTGGCCCCGTTGATCCTGAGGAGTGAAGTATCAATATTGGGTCCCATTTCGCCTCTTCGTATGACTTTGTGAATGGATAATGCGGTGTGTCTTTTTGAATGAGTGTTTCTAGAGGCGTAATAGGATGGGCTGGGATGGCATGGTGATCTAGAAGTGGCCTAATCACAGGTTCAACCTCTGGCGCGAAGAAAAGATGTACGCATTTTGTCTGCTCGAAAAGAGAGCCATTCATCCATGGGGAATTTCTCAAGGAGGGAAGTAGGACCTGGGCGGATTATTAGTTGTCCAAGAGAGGTATATCACGATTTCTGCAACGTACCTTATATCCGCATTTGACGGCGGCCAGGAATACGACCACATAGCGTAGATCACCAACGCCCATGTAGGCTATGGTGTCAAAATTACTACTACGACCTATTGTGTTCTCGATCCATCTAGCAACCTTATTTGTTGCTGAAGCGATATCGGAGAACGTAACGTCCTTGAATCCATCGCTGATGTTGGTCGTCAGAGGCACTGAAGCGTACGGTAGATCTGGCTGTCTCTCTGCGGTTTCATCTACCACAACAGGCATGAGCCTAGATCCGTATAGTTCAGCCATGATGACAAATTTGAGAATGAAGGAGATGTCGTAAATTGAAAACGTGGGGCGTAAAATGAATCTTGGACGGATCAGACAAAGGAAGGAAGATAAGGAACTTCGGAGATAAATGCACCCTTGAGTACTTTTATGAGGTTCGATGTGACGACTGTGCCGCAAACACGGCGGACTAGCCCTCTGTATGCAGATTTACAATTGATAGGCGTGAAATCATCCGAGGAAATAGTCCCTCGTGCGAGTTTTTCAACGGCTCGACGATCGCCGTTTTTGCATGAGTATATTAAATACGGCGTAAGCTCAGAACTAGCAAGGGAGTCCTTTACGCCTCCCACCACATAACCACGCCACATCCAACTGTTGGAAACTTTACCAATATTGTTATTCCATGCTCAATTCCAAACTCTCGGATTTTTTCCAAGGGGAATTGGATAGCCAACACGCAGCAAGCAAGAAATCCAGGATTACGAGCGAAATGCAAACTTCAATCCCAGTTCGTTTTGCAATCACCATTTCAAAATCGCAGCACTAACAAGAATTCTAGATGCATAAAGCCAGTACATTTCGATGGATGCGTACGTTACTGTGCAATGAAGCTTATAGCATCTGGCTTTTCACGCGTAGTGATCTCAAAACCATCGTGCTTCCTCAGTCGATCTTTGGGGTGCTCGGTGCGCAATCCGGATCCGGATTAATCGTTCCACCCGACCGTTATAAGCACGATCGCCTTCATCGAGCACCCTTGGTCTTACTTTGGGTCTGGATAGTGCTTCTACCATTTGCCATCGACAATCAACGTCGCCCTGAAGCCATCGAGGAAGACAAGGCGAACAAACCATGGAGACCCCTCCCTTCCAAGAGGCTGAGCCCGAGACATGCATTTTGGCTGATGCTTGCGAGCCACATAGCTGGAGTAATCTATAGCTTGTGTGCGGGAGGCTTACGCCAAAAGCTTATCGGGATTGCCTTGGGTTGGATCTACAATGAGCTTGGTGGGGCTGACAGGTCCTGCATCGGGAAGAACGTCGTCAATGCCCTTGGATATGTTACATTTAGCACCGGGGCTATTTCAGTTGCAGTTCCTGGAACCTTTACCATCCGTGGATATGAATGGTTTCTCCTGACAGGGTTGATGGTCCTGACGACAGTTCAGATGCAAGACTTACCCGATATGGAAGGAGATGCTGCACGAGCCCGTAATACCGTTCCGTTGGTCATTGGGAGTGGGCCGTGTCGATGGTCAATCGCTATCTTGGTCCCCTTTTGGACGCTGCTGGTGATTGGATTCTGGTGGACATTCTCATTGCCCGCGGTTCTGGGGGCGATCATAGCTGCGTTCGTTTCTTGGAGAGTCCTCAACAGGCGGACGGTGCGAGATGATAAACTAACGTTCCGTATCTGGAATCTGTGGATCATCACCATATATGCAATGCCTCTGGCAAATGGTTCCATTTAATAGGAACAAAGCAAACAGCATCGGATTCCTAAACAATGAATACTTACACACATGTATCTTCCGCAGGCTTTACTAGGGAACGATGAAATGTTTCAGGCAGTGACTGCCTTTCGCGCGATTAATCTCGAAGCAATAAAGACCGTGGATATGATGACGGTGTAAGCGCTGAGTGGGAACTATGTCTGTGTATGATTGGCGGCTGAACGGTTACGATGAACTACGGTCTCAAGATCTTAGCTGCCGCTTTTTGTAACCTTCAAAGGGGAATAAGCAACACTTTCGCCCTGTTATCCCTGTCACCAACGGTGATGCTTGAATCTCGCTGTTCTGTACTACCAATTTCGACAAGGCGATATTACTTACATGGATACTTGCAGGGATGCGCCGTTGGGATCGCCAGTGGCCTTTCTCATCAAGGTTGGATCAACAAATGCAAGGCGGCCGGAAGTCCCATATGCCTCTCTGCTTCTTACCAACAAGGTTGTTTTGAGTATGAGCATTGCGCAATAATAGGGATAGAAAATATACCAGGGCACTGATGGAAAATCAACAGACGTGCTCTCTCCACTCTTCACGACCCATTCCCCGGCTCCCTTCAACCTTATTTCTCCCGTTGGACCTTTTTGATCATATTTTCAAAGAGTATTACTCAACTTCAGGTGAGGCTTTCCCCTTCTCTACTAAGATTCAAACATTCAGATTTGAATCAAGTTGTCTCAAGTGCAGCGTAACTAATCGGCGAATAGTAACAGGAATGCTCATTTTCTGATGCTTAACTATTAAGCACTGTGGACCTTTATCTGCGCCATACGAGTCATTTTCAATTTCGGAGAGCAGGAGTTGAGAATGGAGCCTCACAATATCCCACCCGATGATGACCATCGCCAGGGCTATATAGCGGCCATTGTCGTCGTTACCACTATATCGGTCATTATCGCATGGCTCCGAATGTACACCCGCATCTTCATAAGTAGGAATGCGTGGTGGGACGACTGGATAATGTTCATATCATCGGTGAGAGCTTTCTTCGACTATCCTATCTATTCCAGTCGCTAAATAGGATACAGTTCCTTCTCATCCTTACGAACGGTATCTTAGCCACGTCATTTCAACTCGGATTGGGGCGACACATTTATTATGTCCCTAAAGAACAAATACCGGAATGCTTCAAATGGCTGTGGGCGGCCGAACCGACCAATCTCTTCGCTCTTTACGCAGTTCGGCTTTCCATCGCGCTCTTCTTCCTTCGCCTGATCCCAAAGCACCACAAGGTTTTTCGTCGCATTATCTGGGGTTCGATATATGCTCTCACAATCGCGGACATCTACGTGACAATCAACTACTTCATCCAGTGCAGGCCATTGAAAAAGGTCTGGCTACCAGACACACCGGGCGAGTGCCTGACAGATGCGCTGTATGCTGCTGCGCCGTGGTTGTACCAAGCCGTTTCAATCATCGCAGACCTGGCCTTGGTTTCAATCCCAATAATGATGTTCAAGAGTTTGAACTTGCCGAAAAAGACTAAAATTGGTGTCATCGCATTGTGTTGCTTGGGTATCTTGTAAGCTATCACTACTGGAACCTGACAATCTGTGACTAACAAAAATAAGCACTTGCGCAATTGCAGTCGCTAAAACGGCTCTTTTGCCCGCTTTGTTCGATCATGAAGAGAAGGATAAGACATGGACTCTGGCTCAACTGTGCTTATGGGCAGGGTAAGTCGTGGATCCTGTTTGTCTGGTTCCAAGCTAACATTTTTCAGGATGGAGATATGTGTAGGCATGATCTGTGGGTCTTTGCCCTGCTTGAAGCCCCTCTATCATCATATCAGAGGTGATCGAAGGACTTCATCTCATATACCCTCTTCGTACGGATCTGGTAGTGGTGAACCCACGTCACGATCTAGGAAGAGCAAATACGACATGAACATGTCAGTACATGTTGATAATCGTTCGAGGTCCGAGGATTCGATCCTCCCAAAGAAGCCTTCGGATGAAGACATTGAGCTTGGATCCTTAGAGAATCACCGACAAGAGAGCGATTTGGTTACTCCAATGAACACACTAGATGGACATGGAGCGGGCATCTTGAGGACAACTCGTGTCGATTTCAAGACCGAGGTTGCTCGTCCGATTTGAGTTTATTCTTCATCTATCTCATTCTATAGAGCTATAGTTGACATACCCATTTTCGTTATGATGGCAATCAATATCTGCAAGCAAAAGGCATGCATATTCTTTCGTGACTGTAATAAGTTGCCGAGCCTACCGGCGAGCCAAACAGCGACCCATTTGCTGAGTTCGGCAAGTCAGATGTGACAGCAAATCTGCCGGCAGCTGCAGGTTCCCCACTGTAAGAAAGGATATATTCCCCATTCTGATTGGATCTCCAAGATCTGCTCATCTTATTCGGGAGTCATTAATGCTGAACTCACCCATCAAACGGGCAAAAGATGAGCAAATAACGCTGATGCAGAGTCTGTCCTACCACACTGAGCTTGCCCAGCTCGCGACTTCTCGACCGAAAAGGAATGTCGACGTGAGAATTTCTCGCCTTGCTGCAGAGTCCTTAATTTTCTCGCCGGCTTCATGAAATAGTCGGTCCGGTTTTGACGCTTGTAAGATATGGTGAAAGTAAACATGGGTTGTGTCGCTCCCTTGACTTTTAAGGGCAGCTCGTCATCGATAGACCTTCTACCTATTCACGGTACGGACCGTCGCAATGACCAGCCCCGTCTACTAACCATCTACACCTAGCCTAGTGTCTTGCTTGTTTGCCCTCAAGCATCGTTGTGTAATAAGCTCCCGTTTGGGTAGGGTTTATTGTGGGTGAAATAGATTTCGGTCTCCGAAGACGCCCCGTATTATGTACATGGACTACGACGATCATAATTGTTAGGCGAAAGACAAGCCTCATGAAGCTACGTTGTTAATTCGCTTAGGACTTGAATACCTGGGCAGGTATATAACACAAGCATAGGTGCATAAGTTTGTAGTCTTTGCTAGTCCCTAGTGCGCAAAGGTGGATCTGGGTTTTTGAACTATGGCCGTGCGAACCGTTCGAATGCAAAGCGGGTTGGTCTCGGTTTCGCCAGGGTCGTAACATCGAGTCAAACTAAAAATCTCACCGAATCTCAACAGTCTAGTTGGCGAAAGACATTTATTAAGTGAAACTAACCGAAAGGTATTGCTAATAGACAATGGCAAAGATAAAAAAGCTGCGGGACTCCAACTGGCGACAAGACATCTGGCTTTTAGGAAGGCATTACACTTGTCTCTCATCTGAGTATCGAGTAAACAAATGAGTGCGTAATCATCAGGAAATACTTGGGGATTACGTTGACAAAGAAAAGGCGCATGATCACAAGGCCAGCAATTATATCCAAGGCGTACCGTTCGGCCAGTCATTCGGTGTGTTTCTCAACGGGTGCAACCGTTACGTGCGCTGATCCAGCGAACAGGTTCCCTAGCATTAGCGTGTAGTAAGTAAAGTGTCTCGTTGGAACATTTGTCCGATTCATTAAATGAAGTCTATACTGTACAATTTCTCGTCATAATTACATGCAAGATGCGTTCTTAGACCTTGCGCTCTAGAACAAGATAACCCAATCGATCAATGCAAGCTGCATTCATGTCGCATTTCCAACATCAACATCGTTTCAAAAGCAAAACTAATCCCCCTCTATGGATCCAAACCCCTTGTACTCATCGCCCGAATTCTCGCACCATAAACCCAAAGCATGACCGGACTCACCAACGCCAACGCAAGCGTGAGAAAAGCCAGCAATGAATTCCCCCAACCAACACCAAGTTTATCATACATCTGCGGCGCAAACAACGGGAAACTGAATCCGCACATGGTGCGCAAGAATGCGCCAACGGCAGCTGCGGAGGCTGCGTACTTCGCGGAGTAGGCGTCTACAGTGTAAGCCTGCGAGCACTGGAAGGCAATGATTAGACCGATAGCGAGAATCACGCAGCCAATGTTGGGGACGATGAAGTGGAGGTGGTAGTGCGCTCCCCATCCGTAGAGGAACAGTCCCGTGGGACAGAGGATGCCGCCGATGAGCATTGGTGGGACTCGCCATTCTGGTAGGCCTTCTTCTGTGTGGTAGTAGGTTTTGAACCAAGCATATAACTACATATTGCTTAGCATGTGTCCTTGCTTTTTAAATGGTTAGTGTTTACTGACCTTGTCCATGAGTGGATGACTGAGTTGCAAACCGATCAAAAAGCCAATGCATAACGAAAGATAGTTCAAGCTTGCAGGCCCTGTGTTCTGATCATAGACACCTTCCCACACTAGCGGAAAGGTCGATAGAACAAGATACATGACACCGTAAAGGTAAGCACGATATATGCTCGGAGCTTGTACAGCAGGATGAGTAAACATCATGATGAAAGGCAAGATCAATCGCTTTCGCAAAATCTTGCTGAATCTCTCCTCAGTATCGTATACGGTACGGGTTCGACGACCGGTACTCTTCTGTATCCTCTTCGCTTTACGTGCGAGGATGGTAGGAGCAAAGGTCTCGGAGAGAAAGAATAGAGCGAGGAGTTGGACCACGACGTCGAAGATTGATGTCGACCAGAAAATCCAGCGCCATGTGGTGCCTTGAGAAATGTAGGCACCGCATATTGGGGCGACACAGGGTCCGATGAAGGTCAACATGCCATAGATGGCTTGTCCTTTTCCGCGCTCCTCTTTGCTCCATGTGTCAGCTAAGACCCCGTTGCAGATCTATGGACTATAATTAGCATTGATTTGCACTTGTAGTCTTCAACATAATCTGAAAACATACTGCTTGAGGAGCACTTCCACCAATGCCACTTAACAAACGAAAGACAAGCATCTGGTTGCGAGTCTTCGCAAACCCGCACATCGTATTGAATACCAGATATATCAAGTTCGCGTACTGCAGCACAGTCACACGTCCAAAGAGTTCAGATAATGGCGCGAGGACGAATGGACCTTGCGCGTACCCAAGCAGGAAAATAGACATTACGAGTTGCTGCATGAACCCCTTTGGGATATCGAATTCATCGCAAATGTCTCCAAGCGCTGGGGTTACCATTGTTGAAGAGAAAGGTGAGATGAATGTAAATAAGGAAACGAGAATAGTAGCGGTCCACTTCCGCTGCCAGGACCAGTTCAATGGGTTTTCAGCGTCGTTTTCGCCGTCCCATGTCACCTGCTTTGTTAGCTCTACGGATCTAAGATCATGTCTTCCTATTAATGATGAAATAGGGCATACCTCAATGCTTTCGGTTTCCCCATCGTCACTGTCAATTGAACGAAATCCGGGATCATAACCTGTATCATCGTACGAAAACTCCTCGAAGAGGCGCTCAGTGGAGATAAGTCGTCTTTGCGAATCACTTTCGAAAGAGAATCTTGGTAGCGCCAATGCATCATCATCTTGGCTCTCAAGATCAGCGACTGGACGTTTCTTTTGCAGACGCATTAGAAACAAGTTTCATGAAAAGCGAGTGTTGATTAAACGAAAGTAGACAAGCGAATGTGATAGCGAACTGATGCAAGTATGCGATACGTGAATGGTAGAATTTATGTATGATCAAGTATGGCTATACACTGAACTCTGAAGCCCCGAAGTCTTATGATTGTGGCAGTACAGTGCGGTGACAACAACGATTGAGGCGTATTGTCCTGAGGCCAAAGAACAGCTGAGACAAGAGTTATGTCTCCACATAGTTTACAAAAAGCTGCCCAAATGATGATCCAAGATTGTTATCAAGACCCTAGAAGATGTCCTAGAACAATTTCCAAGATAAGATGAAAGACAGAAATAGTACCAGAGTCGCGTGCTCTGTGACTACAATCAATGATGTCGTCACGTACACCCAATGAGATATCGAAGATACATTTGACGGCAGTGATACCATTCCAAAGCCAGCCTGCAAGGGCAACGTCACTAGATGGCTGTGCTTTGATGTTCTGCCAAGTATACGTAAGAGGTCAAGAGGTGAAGATCTCGCTTAGTGTCTGGTGAATGCGCCGTGATTGGCGGAGATGTCATATCGCTGAGACGAAGGCTGGACCATTTTCTGAAAGGGTCTTGTGTTTCTTGATTGTATTTTTTTCCCTTCAGTTGCTTAAGCCTCACGCGAGTGGTGGATCGACGGTCCCTCGTGTGACTTGGTGATTTGGCTGAGTTTGTGCTGTCGTAACTTCAGGCTGTGTCCTGCAGCCTCGCGGACTAAGGTTACGCGTTTAGATGAGATTTGGCAATGTACACTTCACAACTCAACGTCTCTGGTGACATGTCTACATTCGGGCTTCTTGTCACGACCTTGTCGTGTAGTCAGTCTCTTTGGGCTGTGCACTTCACGGCAGCTACCATGATGGCCGAACTTTAGATGATTGAAAGATTGATGGCGTGAGAAAAGAGTATAAATGAACAGATAGATTCCTCAGGAGATAGATCATCACAACAATCGTTTCAATAACAGCTCGTTACTTGCTCTTTGCAACTTTACTTTCGCTTCTTACTGCAACAGTACAACGCTCGCTTTAAGACCCATTTATTAACAATAATCGAACTATACAAACCCTCAACATGCAACCCGACATGGAAATGTTTGTGCCTGCCGGAGTTACGGAGCCATCAAAGCGTCGTCCAACTCTTCCACGACTTGCAACACTGGATACCTTCAATCTCCCCGAAGAGAAGGTAGACAGCATGATCGCCCCGACTACTTCTTCAGCACTCCCTACCCCAACCTCAGAACTGCTCGGTGGCCACCCATTCCGAATTCTCATTGCGCCTTCTGGCTTCAAAGAAAGCCTTGGCCCAGAACGGGTCGCGGATGCAATCGAGGCCGGACTTCGCAATGTCATCGATAGCCAGAGCGTAGTGATGAAGAAACTACCCCTACACGATGGTGGTGAGGGATTCTGCAGGGCTCTTGTAGCCACAGTCGGCGGAGACGTCATCAAGCAAGTGGTGACAGGCCCCGTAGGTCGGCCCGTTGACTCTTACCTCGGCTTCGTTGGTGAAGATCGAAAGACGGCCGTACTCGACATGGCGGCAGCGGCTGGCCTAAGGCTTGTCCCTCGAGATATGCGCGACCCTACAGTCACTACCACGTATGGTGTTGGCGAGTTGATGAAACATGCGCTCGATAGAGGATGTACAAAGATTATCATTGGATGTGGGGATTCCGGGACTTCTGATGGTGGAGCTGGAATGCTTCAGGCTTTGGGAGTCCGGTTGCTTGATGCCGATGGTGAAGAGCTGCCCAAGGCAGCTGGTGGTCAATCACTTACGGAGTTATCTAAGATATGCTGGGGCGGTGTTCATCCACGACTTCGGGAAGACGCGGGTAAGTAGACATAACGCCTCAGACCAGAAACGAGTTAACTTGCTATAGAAGATCGCGTTCAGATAGAAGCCGTCTGCAATGTCAAAAATCTCCTTTGCGGTCCACGAGGCGTCGCTCGCGTCTATGGGCCACAGAAAGGTGCAACACCGGAACAGGTCGAATTGCTTGCAGATGCTCTTGATCGGCTCGCTGGTGTAGCTAAAGGATGTCTCAACAAAGACATCTCCCTCGAACCTGGTAGTGGGGCCTCCGGTGGTCTCGGAGGAGGCTTGCTGCTGCTTGGCGCACGCCTGCGAGCACGCAGTGAAGCTATCAACGAGTACTTCGAATTCGATCGTGTTTTCGAGCAGCAATGGGATTTTGTCATAACGGCGGAAGGAAGTTTGGATTCGCAGTCGACGCAAGGGAAGATGACGACCGAAGTCGCCCGCCGAGCGCGAAGACATGGCGCGCAGGTGGTGGCTTTGGCTGGGACAATTGGCGAGGGGGCTGACGGGTGTTATGGAGCGGGAATCAAGGCTTTCACAAGCATCCTCAAAGGGCCTTCTTCACTTGAAGACGCCATTGCAGAGACGGAAAAGCTGGTCAAGGACGGTGCGGAAAAGGTTATACGTATGATACTGGTTGGGCTGGCTCTTGGTAGGCGACAATACTGAGTGCACAGCCCCAGCGTCAAGAGCCCTAGAGTCTTGGTAGTTGTGATGTGTTGTAAGGAATATACATGAAACACGGCAACTTAAATGTAGTCTAACTTTATTAGTAGTTAACCAAGTATATTATATAATATTGAATCTTATGACTTAGCTTTAGACATTGTTAGGGTTCTTAGCATCTAATCCTTAACTCTTTTCCTAAGCTCTTTACATCTTCGTCTTCCTTAGAGGTTTTTGCACTGTAACACTCTGCTTTCCTAACTTAACATTACACAGTTCCTATTTGTCAGGATTGTCAGCCAATCCAAACAAAGCTCCATCCAGGCTCAAAGACAATCGAATAAAATCACAGAGGGGAAACTTGCCACGAGTTGAAAGCGAGTTGAAAGCACGTCGTACGCTTAATCAAAAACGTCCACCAGAAATCTCTCCCCACGGGCTGCTTCCAAGAAATGCACAGCCGTAGTCTGCTCATCGCTCCATACATCATGCAAAATCTCGACAAGTGCTGATTCAACAGAATCTTTAACACCACGGCTTCCACAAACGTATATCTTGGCCCCGGCCTCCCACATTTCCTTCACCAACTGCCGTTGCTCTCGCATTCGATCCTGAACATGTTTGCATCCATCTGTCTCATCTTGCTGGCGTGAATACGCTCTCTTGATTTGAACCGCACCTGTGGCTTCCCAATGGTCGAATTCCTCTCTGTAAAGATCGTCGCCTAAATTGTGGCAGCCGTAAATGAGTAGAGCAGGCGCAAGATTTTGCAGTGACGTCGATTGAATGGCTCGCTGTTGAATGAATCCTCTGAAAGGTGCAATACCAGCGCCGGCAGCAATGCAGATAATGGGCGTTAGGCTGGGGTCTTTCGGCGGATGAAAGGCATGGTTGGGGTGGCGAATGGAAACATGAAGACGGTCATCTGGCTGGAGACTTGCAAGATACATGCTCGCTACGCCTACATGCTTACCCTCGCCACCCGGAGAAGATTTGTTGAGGACGGAATATGTAAGGGATGCAACATGAGGATCCGAAAGTGGGGAGGACGAGATGGAGCTATTGCAGTCAGTCATATAGGACTCGCTAGTCGAGGCTGAATACTCACTACTGCCGTGTCCGAATAGGTGGTAGCATGTTTAAGAACACACCAATTGGCATTTGGACCAAGGGAAACTGCTCCAAGATATCTAGCACAGATGGCCCGAGGCTGTTGCCTTCCTCGAGTCGAACAATGGCATCGCTCGCTAGCGACTGTAGGTGCGCCTTGGTAGCAGTATCCTCCACATACATAGCGATTCTGAGAATATCCTTCCTCGTCGCTGGTGTTGAAAGTTCAACATAAGAGCTGAAAATATCCGACGCTGACGTTGGTCCTTGCATTGGCAACAAGGTTGCTGGGTTTCCTTGAATGAGAATCGTGGCATCCCGAACTAATTTGAAGCGTCGAAAGACCCGACTAACGGTAGAGTTTGGATTGATAGGTAAGACTGCAAGGTAGTCACCAGCCTCAAATGAGTGCGTATCTGGAAGCCGTATTTCTATATGTTTTTTGAGGGGTGCTTCCGAATTTGTCAAAACTCTTGCAGCATGAACAGTGGCCTCGCAAAGATTCTGGCGCAGGATCGAGCATCGCGGTGCCGATATACTCACGTCCATACCATGGCCGTCAATCGAAGTGTCTGAATCTGGAATTGCATAATGCTCTCTTAGTGCAGGCCAGAGAACTTGGTCCTCCCATAATTCAAAGTCCTGAAAATGGTTGTTTTTGGCCACATCCGTTAAGCCTAATGGCACCAGACGCTTCGCTCCTTTCTTTTCCAACAGTTGATCAACTACCTTGGGAATGCGATGGAATGTCTGGCGCCATTCCGAGCTACCGACTCCAAAGACTGCATAGAAAACGCCGTCTTCGAACGTATCGCTCGTATTTTCCAGCCAATGAACAAAATCGATGGCATTATCTGGCGCTTGGCCCTCGTAAGAAGCAGTCAAGATTATTATCGGCTTCTCGGATCTGAGACCTTCTTTTGCAGAGTTGAGTTGATCGACCACAGAGGCTGCAAAGCCATGTGCCGATGCATTCGATGCCAGCCGATGTGCAAGAGCTTCACATGTACCGCTGTTAGAACCGAAATAGATATTGATAGGCTTTGCGCCAGGATATTTGTTTCCTGAATTCGGCAGGGTCTGCATCTTTGGCTTTGTGTTTCGGGTATCTTTGAATCTCCCGGAAAGTTGAAGTTCCAGGTCCATGGCTGACATTCCGTGCCGGAGCGAAGCCCGTATCATAAAGTCCTTCGGCTTTATAGTTAGCGTTTCAGAGAGCTTCAGAGAATAGCCCGGATCCAGCTGATGAAAGTCGAAATTCTGGAGGAGAACGGACATGGCTAGCAGCATCTCTTGCCAAGCAAAAGGTCGCCCAATGCAAGCACGCATGCCATTGCCGAATGGCTTCCAGCAGTTAGGGAACTCCTTGACCAGGCGATCAAAATTTTCATCTAGCATCCTCTCGGGTTTGAACTGGCAAGCATCGTGTCCGTAAACGATAGGATCAAGATGAGTTCTCGAAAAAGAGACGACAACAGGCTCCCCTTTTTTGATTGCATATTTGCCTTGTAATGTGGTATCTTCGAATGGCTCGACCAAGACAGCTGGTATTGGTGAGCATTGTCGAAGAGTCTCTCGTAGCAACTGTTTACCAAAATTAGGTATGTGATTTGTCGATTAGAATGAAGGTTTATGGGGGCATTCCACTTACAGCTGGTATATACTTCAAATCAGAGAGCTTATCAATAGTGACCCGCTCTTTACCCATAATCTTGTCAACCTCTTGTTGCGCCTTTTGATAAGTATCTGGATTCTTAAGCATTGAGTAGAACGCGAATGAAAGAGTCCCAGAAGTTGTTTCATGGCCAGCTATGAGGAAGGTGATGAGGTTGTTAACGATGGCCGCGTCACTTAGTGTTGCACCGGTCTTGGGATCAATGCCGTCCATCATAGCTGTCAAAAGATCTTTCCTTCCCTCTACACTCTTTTCCGCTCTTCTGGACTTGATGAGCTCCTCCGAAGTCACCCGCATAATGGAAATATCCTTGGCAAACTTGCGCGCAGCTGAGAGAAACAGTGTTGTTGCCAACCGCGGCCTTGCAGTCCGCTTTCCTGCTTCGACAAGCGCGTCGCCCATGCTTTTCACAAAGGGATGAACTTCTTCGCTGTAGAAAGAGTTGAATCGGTATCCCATAGTGCACAAGGCAAGAGTGTCAAGAGTTAGACGAGTGAAGTCGTCGGTGCTATGGATGGGGTTCTCGGGGCCATGGCGCGCCCACTTCAGCGCCATCTGCGAGAGGACGTCGTACATTTCATCGAAGGTACTTTGAATTGCATTTGGCGCGAACGCTGGGCGAAGGATGCGATGGGCGAGTCCCCAATTTTCCTCTGTGTGATCCGCGGTAAACAATCCATCGTTTACAACATGACGTATCTCTCCTAAATCAGCCTGGATGGACTTTTTGAAACGTGACTCGTCAAAAACTTCGTTAGCGAGCTGCTGGGTGCCGATGAAAACGCATGTTCCCATTCCAGGGAATTTGAGCCGGAAGATGTCGCCTGTCAGGACGTGGGTCAGCAATGATGAATCTTGGAACTGCTGACACATTGTGAATTAGTCTAACGCTGGAGATCGAGTCACGAACCATGTGTATCAAAAAGGCGGTCATAATCTTGAAGTGAGTCCTCAGACTTGAATTCTGCAATATTGCCCAGAAAGGGTATGCCACGCGGTTGTGGTATTGAGCAAGATTTTGAATTAGCACGCGACATGCTGAGTGCGTATGTGTATGGTTGCACGGCTTGTGCGGTCTGCTGCGACTGCTATGGATGAGAATTTAGATGCGACAGCGAATGGCATATATATATACGTTGTATACTAACACAAGTTTGATCGAAGTCCTGAAATTCGCCATGTCCTATCCCACGAGCTACTATACCCTAATTTGCTGTTTCGGGAAGATCGCCGCGACATAGCACAGGTGAGAACAACGCTACCCTAGAGATCATGCCGTCGGTCATTTCTATAGGTGCGACCATTAACGTTATTTCCAGCGAAAGTATGCGCTACTTAGTGGGCGATCTACTGACAGCCAAATGCAGTAACACGCAACACGCATTCGTCTTACGCAGTGCCACGCATATTTTAGGAAACCGTTCGTGGTGTTAACAAGGACCAGTGATGAGCCTCATCTCACGCGCTCTTCTCTAAGTCCGAAAGTGCGGGTTGGCACGTAAGTAGATCTCATGGACCCTATGGGAACGGAAAATTGAGAATAAGCGATGAATCCGGGCCTGAGACAACGAACTATACCGAGCAACCCGAGTAACCCGAGCAACCCGACCCAGATTGAACAAACTACACCAAAGAAGTGATGAAACTGGATTTAATGAGCGGGACTTAGCGAACGTTGAGTCCTAGACTAGTTAGGAACAAGCTACACTGAGTGTACATGGATTTCATGATACAATCGTATTAGACCATTTGCAAACTTAACGCCTACAGCTATAAGTTACTTTACAAGTACCTTATTCACTTGATAACTCGCCCGTCTCAGAGATTATATCACGTACCTTTAGAGTAACAACATCTGCTTTATAGCGTAGCCAGTTACCCTAACTGTTCGGCCTCTCACTTTGTCCAGTAAGTACGCCCTCCACCAATTCTAAATCCCGGATGTCAGAAGAATCAAGGTCCAGCGTACAGTAAGCACTGAAGAGCAATATACGAATCAAGGAACAGATGCAAAACCATTACAGAGTGTATGAGACATAGACTTGGGTATTCTATCTTTACTACGAGAACAACGCGCCGATAACTGGCAACCGGCTGATATATGACCTTCCTATATTTTGTTGCTCTAGTGTTTCCCCTTTTTTGAACGATGGTTTTTTAGATTCAATTTCTGCTCGATTTGCCATCGTAAACGGAGGATAACGCCATGCAGTGAACCTTTCGACCCACCAAGGAATTCTCACGACAGCTCTGTCGTGACTGAAAGTATCGAAGCCCCATTTCCCGTGGAAATTACCATATCCAGAATTTCCTACTCCACCGAAGGGCGCTGACGGCACGTCGGCGTGAACAGCAACGTCGTTTATGGTCACACCGCCAGATTGTGTGGAATCCAGAATTCGGTCAATCTCTTGCTTGTCCTGGGAGAAGATGTACAGCGCGAGAGGATGAGGCATGCTATTGATGGTCGCTAGGGCGCTCTCCAGAGATGCGCTGATAACTGGAAGGACTGGCCCAAAAATCTCCTCTGAAAGTAGACTATCGGTCACTTTGACTCCAGTGACGATAGTTGGATATATCAGCTTTTTTCGCCTATCGTGAGTGCCAGTAAAAGATATTTTGCCTTCTGTTTTCAATAGTAAGGATTGCACGCGATCGAAATGTCGTTCATTGATGATCCGAGCCAGAGTGTCCGTTCCCGACTCAAGGAGGACATTAGCCCAATGTACCAAACGAGCATTAAATTCGTCATATATTTCCGGATCAGCAAACACGTGGTTCACGCATATGCAGATCTGTCCAAGGTTGACCAATTTCGCGTTGACCAAGCGTTTCGCAGCGAGATCCAAGTTGGCATTCTTAGTGACGATGGCTGGAGCTTGACCGCCCAGCTCCAAAGCAACCGGAGTGACGTGTTTTGCAGCAGCAGAGGCGATGATGCGCCCCACCCTTGTACTTCCTGTATAAAAAATGAAGTCGAACTGATATTCCAAAATGTGGGCCATATCTTCTGGACGTGCGCAGAGGACCGCGATTGCAGTATTGTCCAGATACTTGGGTACCAGCGTCGCCAGCAGCTGTTCCGTGGCTGATGCCATCTCAGAGGGCTTCATAATCACTGCATTGCCGGCAGAAATAGCGGCAATAGCAACAGTGATGAGTGTCGAGATTGGGTAGTTCCATGCGCCGATGATGAGCGCCAATCCACGTGGCTCCTTTCTGATCCAAGCTTTGCCCAATGTACCGTACACGAAGCCTGCATCTGGCGGTGCGCTGCCTGCAGCCCACTTCTGTAGATTTTCCAAGGCGTAGAAAAGATGTGTTTTAGCTTCGTTGATATCCGCCATTAGAGACTCGAACGCATGCCTGTGCAAGTCTTCATGAAGACTATCAATAAAGGCACTTTCGTTCTCATCAAGTAGCCAAAATAGCTGCTTCAATTGCCATGTCCGCCATTTCAAATCTTTGGTTCTGCCGCTGCTGAATGTCTGCCGTAAGGTTTTGTAGGTAACATTGAAATTGTCGAGATTGCTCTGGTTGGACATGGTTACAATTCAGACATTTATGAGACTGTGTAAGGTAACGAATCCACAGCAGGAACGTGGATGAATGAAAGTTTGTGTGACAAATTCAGTCTGTGTTGAGAAAACATGTTAAGTATAAGACGAATTTTATGATGAGTTTGGGAATAGATAGGCCTCACCTTGAATGATGATTATTAGGTGTGAAGCCACCTGCCTTAGTCGAAGATCCTGCCTAGCCGAAAAGCGTAGGGTTTTCGAAAAGCCCCGACGGCCATATTTGACTCGCGCAACAAATGCCGCACTCAAATCACTTATGCAGTGAAAACTTCTGATAGGCCAGAGATTTGAAGCTGCCATTTGATTGCTTGGGATTTGGAAGTCTCTATACCCATTCGAGATACTGTAAACGCGGAGTACCATTTCGGTATGGAAATCATTTAGGCCGCGTGGATGGTAGCAAAGAGATGCACATCAGTATTCGAGAAGCGATACGGCTACCGTTCATGGACTTCTCTGATTTGTTTCGGGAAGGTCTGCATCAACTCATTTCGGCAATGTCCGTCATAGACACCAATTGCAGAAGAATGCAAGCCGTTAAGCCACTACGGATTCTCGCTAGCTATTGGTGCAATTACATAGTATATACGTATGGATGCACAAGCCTATATGTACAGAATATGAAACCTTTGAAGACATATGAGAGCGTGAATAGCCTTCGATCAATATCTACGTAAAGGTGCTGACGATATCTGAGAATGCTTCAACAAGACGATCAATGTGCGCCTCCGTATGCGTCAAGTTCAGCATAGCAAAACCTCTTCGGCCAATAAGAATGCCTCGTTTGAGCAATTCGAAGTAAAAGATGTCTCGTACTATCTCTCCTCTTTCAGAGACAAAATGGAAGCCGATCGCACTACCAAAGCCAATGGCCTTTATCTCTAGCGTTCCCTTTTCCAACACCATTTCATTGATCTTCTTTCGAAGCTTGTTGCCCAAATTATTGATCCGGTGAATCTCGTCGGCTGTCGTGAGTTTCAACCCTGCTATACCGGCAACCATAGTGAACACATTGTTATTGAACGTGCCAGAATGGGCAAGGAAGTCCTTCGTCGTAGGATCAAACTGTTGCATGATTTCGCGCTTCCCACCGAAGCATCCGAACGAGAAGCCACCTCCAATATATTTTCCAAGGGTCGTCATATCCGGTTTGATCCCGAAGTAGCCCTGAAGCCCGTGATAGTCAAGCCTCGATGTGACCACTTCGTCGAAAATCAACACGGCGCCAAGCACGTCGGCAGCGTCGCGCAAGAATTGCAAAAACTCCGGGTTTCCTAACACCATACCTCCTGAAGATTGGAGGGGCTCAACCAGAATCGCTCCGATCTCAGCACGGAGGAGGGGTCTCGTTGCTTCGATGTCGTTGAAAGTTCCAACCACGAATTGATAGGGCAGATTTGTTGGTGAATCTGCTCCGAGCGGGAAACTTATGGTACTGCCGTGATATCCATGTTTGAAAACAAGTACCTTCCAATCGTTAGAACTTGATCGGATCGTTGGCCTGCATAATTACCTCTTTTCGTCCCGTGAATGCTAAAGCACCCGTCAATGCGAGTGTATTGGCCTCGGTTCCCGAATTGGCGAATCGCATAAGCTCCATGCTAGGGAATCGCTTCTGAATAAGACTTCCAAATTCAGCCTCTTTGCCTATCACACTACCTAAGTTCATGCCAATAGACAGCGCTTCGTGGACGGCCTCATGGATTCTTGGGTGCGAATGTCCAAACATGCAAGCAGAATACTCTGACACGAAATCGATGTACGTATCACCATCCATAGACGTCACTGATACTCCGCTCCCAGATCGAAGAACGAGGGGGAAAGGCGTCTGGTGAAGGACAGTTCTCGTATTGCCACCTGGCAGTACGGAGGCAGCATCTTTGGCTGCCTTGGCGGATCCAGGGTTGGATTCAATGAATGACTGAATGAGCTCTTTCAATCTCGTATCCGTCTCAGCAATGGCCTCATTCCTATCTTCAGCCCAATTCGCGTGACGTTGCTCAGTATAGAGGGTCTTCAGATTGGATGACCGCACAAGAGCGGTCTTTGCTCCCGTGGGGAACCAGACAAAATCCCCAGTCTTAGCAAGAAACTCTTCCCCAGTAGATTCGTCCTTGAATACGGCTTCTCCTTCGACGATATACTTTACTTCGTCCCATTCCGTTTCCCAGGCCGGTGTTTCCTCTTCGATGTCGGCAAGAGTCCAGACACCAGCAACGATCGGCTTTTCGGCAGTTTCCCTGTACTCAAATCAGTCGGTTGGCCATCAAATTATGAACCTGCGTACGCTGAGCCCACAATATCGGTATATGCCCCTGGTCCTTCTTCTATTCTGCAAGGAACTTGTGCCGCGCCCTGAACAACCTGAATCTTTGGAGCCATGATTATGCTGAACCTCGAGAAGTCTCAAATGAATTAGAAATCGCGAATGCAGACTCATCTCAGGGAATCTAGCGAGGACGCGATAAGTATAATCATCTTGTACTGTGCCATGACCGGGTGAAAGGGAAATCTGCCGGCGGTGCTTTTAAGCCTCGCAGACTAGTGATTGAGGGGTGCAACGACGATCATAACGTGGCACCCTGGCTTAGGAGGATACCGGTCCGTGCCCACGGACTATTTTGAATTTCGCTCTGATAAATTCGATCTCGACCAGATTCCGGAATTCCGGACTTTTCTGGACGAGAGACTACGCTGATCAACAGATGTATAACAATCAATGGATGTAGAACAACTTCTGGCATCAATCCGTACCCAGCTTCAGTTATCCCGACCCACGCTTCGTATTTCTTTTACGTCACTAGCTGCTCTTCTGTACCCATCATGTCTGACTGGATGGAGTCTGACACCTTTAAAGCGCAGTACAATGGCGCGGAGGATTTTGCGGGGCGTGTTCCCCGGCCAGATGAATTCCCAGAAGATCCCTCTACGTCGCGCAGCTACTGGATTCGCAACCATACCATCGAATTGGATCAGATCTGGCGTGATAGAGCTCTCCCAGAAGAGACGGACGTCGTAATCATAGGGTCAGGCATTACAGGTGCCGTGGTAGCATTCCAGCTCTCTGAACAGCAGCCTGATATACGCGTGGCGTTGTTGGAAGCACGCGGTATCTGCACGGGCGCCACGGGCAGAAATGGAGGCCACATTTGCAGGCCTGAAGTGTGCCATTTTGATGAGACGGTACAGGCATTCGGAGACGAGGATGCAATGCGATTGAAGAAGTTTGCGATCAGGAACCGTGACATGATGATTGAGTGCATCGAAAAGCTGGATGCGACAGAGAAGGTCAGCTTGCGGCTCAATGGGACTGTTGTGGTCTTCGAAACAGAGAATGAGAGGGACGCCTTTCAGAAAGACATCGATTACGCGACCTCGAAAGGGTACAAGTCTGAAGGCTACATTATCGGTCCTGAAGAAGCGGCGACGGTAAGTCTCCTTGTCTGCCGACCACTCGTGCCATGTGGCTGAAGGACCGCAGAAACTTGACTTGGATGCCTCTCGGACTAATTTTGGTGCTGCAATTCTGGAGAAGTCGGGAACCATCTTCCCTCGAAAGTTTGTGGATGTTCTTCTCCAGACGGCATTGCGTCGGATGCCGAGTCTGACGATTCACCCTTACACCGCAGTCGAATCTGTATCACGCCCAGATTCGAACAACAGTCTATACAAAGCACACACAACGAGAGGCGTCATCCAGTCCAAGGCCATTTTCCATGCCACAAATGCGTATGCGGGCCACCTTAACGTTGACCTTCAGGGCGCTGATGGGGTATTCGGGGCGAAGGGCCACATGCTCGGTATAAATCCAAACGTAACTGGATGCAGAAAGCAATTACAGCAGGGTTTTGGATACGGCGACTTCTGGCACTATCTCCAGCAAAGGCCAGGCAATGGACCATTCTTGTACGGCTTCGCGACTGCTGAACTATTGAACGATTATGATGATCGGATCACTCTTCCGGCAGATCACGAAGTCCGTGCTAAGATGCTGGGTTTCCTCGAAAGAATGTTTCCTGAATGGTTCCAGAATCTCGACATATCCAGGGACGTACCGTACGACTGGACTGGGATTCAAGGATTCACAATGACTGGGGCTAGCATTGTCGGGCGACCGTCAAAAGATAGTCTTGGTGAATTTGCCAGCGTAGGACACAATGGGGAGGGTATGGGGAGGTGTTTTGCCAGCGCTACAGTAGCCACTGAGGCAATGATTGCGTACTTGCTCGGTAAATCTTACCAGACACCGGATTGGTTTCCGGAGGCTTTCCGTAGAAACATTTAGAAAGTAAACGAGGATATGTAAAGCTATAAAATAAGCTATCATCATGGCTCAGGCACGAAGGCGTCGTTATCAACTAAATGTGGTAGTTACATCATCCTCGGTGTACCAGCACCAGACGTCAACGATGCTGTGGGAATTCTCCCGCGGCTTGAAGTAATGTGCTTATATATTTGTGACCGAACCAGAGAGTGAAGAATATATATCAATCCTCAATATAAAATGCTCAAGTCAAAAGTACCAGGGCGGCAAATTCGTTGGTCTGGGTCAAACAGCGAGATTAGGGATGGTGACAATCTTGACACAGTAAGATCGTAACGAAACCTTTGCATGGTGCTGCTTAAAAGTTCATCCGCTAGTCCTTCGTCAATCTTGTTCAATCCGTGGCCCCCTGCAATCCATCTGTAATACTTCCAACCTTGCAGAAATCCACCAAGGTCCGACTCATAGTCTGTAGAGGACCCGCCTGCTCGACTGATATTGAGGGCCAGAATCTTGGATACAATTATTATCAAGGGATGGTCACAAGACCGACTATGCCGAAGGATTGCTTCTAATATATCGTAATGCGCTATAGCACTCTGGAGAAGAACTTCAGGAGTGGACAATCCTTCGAGAAGAACGGCTGAGAGTAGCGACGCGTGCATTGCTGAAGAAAGTGCAATGAAAAATATTGTGGCATGATTCAGTTGCTGAGGCACAAAAGCCAGGGATGCTAGGAGAGCTTTCAGAATATCGCCCATGAGGAGAGCGTGGTCTGCAGCGTTGGTGTATGTCGGACTGCCCGTGAAAGCGGAATCCAGCAATAACTCAAGAAAATCCGCCCGTGCATTGAGAAGTATATGTATTCCGTGGAACCAAATCATGGCTTCGAATTGCCAAAGTAAGGATACGTTTTGAAAATCAGCGATACGGTTGGGAAACTGTATAAAGTACTGTTCCAGTTCGTCTACGATAGCTTTGTAAGAGGAACTGTCGTAAGTCGGGTAGGACAGAGCCCCCTTGAAAGAGTTTTGAAGGGGCAGAAACAACTCGAAGAACCCTTCTAAGGTATGTGGAAAAATGACGCCTTCCGCGGTGCCCGGAATGGTATTATGCCAGTCATGATCTGACAGCTGCGGCTGAAATAGTTCTGTTCCATGCCGAGTGAAGGACTCTGAACATGATCGATTGTACAGAAGCATTTGGACATTGTTATCGATGCTTAGGAGGCTCGCAAGCCTTCTATCAACCTCATTTGAGATGAGAGGTTGCGTCATGGGACACGAGACATTGATAGAGAAGAAGCAATTTGCGAGTGTAGTCCAGCGAAGGGCCATCGCAGTGCTCTGTTCGTGCAAGTAACAAAGATTAGCAAGGAGATACAGGCAGTATACATCGGTACGATGAACTGGACGGCTCTCTGCGAGGAGGGCAGCAATGTCCGCAAGGGCCCGAGCACGACTCTGTTCTGGGTATGTTTGGTCATCTTCGACTGATTGACACAAAAGGGCAGCGCAGACAAGGAGCGTAGCGTGCATCGCATCATTGGCAAGAAAACTACCATCGACGCTTGCAATCAAAGACTCGTACTCATTCTGTCTGAATGCGCTCAGTATGCCGATGCGGTAAACCAGAGCAAAGACATCTCGTGGGGACACAGCCAAGGCGTCGTCAACAGTGCTCAGAGTTGACGAGCACGGCGCGTCCTGAACATCCAAGTGACCATCGACCTCGGAGCTGGTGGCCGTCGGACTGTTGCACACTGGACTGAGTTGATGACCAGCGTGGGCTGGAGAGACGTGCTTGCGTGGTCGTCCCCTCGCTCGCACGGGGCGATTGCGAGTACATTGAAGGGACAGACGACGACAGCGTGCGCATGGGGCGTCCTCGGAGCATTGGACTTTCTAGAGAACTATGAGAAGGGGATCGACCTGTGGAATGTTGCAGGGACGCACCAGCTCTGCGCATCGGTCGCACGCTCGTTGTTGGGCACCTGGCATCTCGCGAGATATCGCGAGCTATCGGTGTGACTAGAAAAGGCCCTGCTGGAATTTTTCTTTCCCCGCCTGGAACTTTTCTTTTCCCGCCTGGTAGTTTTTAATGTCCGGCCGTAGCAACGGGCAATTTGAAAAGTCATTCAGGAGATTTCGCATTTGAATGGTAAAATAGGCCTTGCGCCGGGCATTTATTTTATGGTTGAGGTTGACACTGCCGAGGAAGGACCGGAAAATACAAGACGTCACACGGGTTTTGTCCTCCGTCGGGGATTTATTTAATGTGGCCCTACGGTCTCTTTCTCTGACCCCCTCCTCACATACACACCCCCTCTCTCTCCAAAACGGCTCTTCTCTACGCGCTGCTTCATACAACGAACAGTGCAGTCGACAGTCCTTCGACAGTCCGTCATGGCGCACGCATGCCCCAGGCGGCTGCAGCTCGAGCCACGTCAGAACCAGCAATTTCGTCAATGTGAATCTACTTTCCACAACCAAGAGCGCCGAAAGTACTAATCGTGTTTCGCCAGTTATGCGCGTGTGTCGTACGAGTCTTGTAGCCATCAAGGGTTATGGCCATCCAATGTTGACCGAATCGCTGAGCCTGTTCCATGATCGGCCGGCCTTGCTCGATGCCCTCTTCGCAATTGCATCCCAGGTCGACGATTACCGCTCTACCGGCGACGCAGTTGCGCTTCTGGAACCTTATCATAGAGTACTACGCGACATGCAGTCTCTCTTGGGAGACCATCGTCAGAACCCTAGAGACTTTAGGGAAGTACGATTGGCGTGTGCCCTAAGTGCTCTTGTCCTTCTCCTCCTGTCTATGTCTAGCACTAATAGCGATTGGGAGTATCATGCATCGCATCTTGTTCATCTGATCAATAGTTCCAACGTTGATGTTTTGAAAGAGACTCCTCTTGGCTTGGCCTTGATTATGCTGGCCGCACATATGGACATTGCTGCATTTGCCATAGGACGTACGGTCGTGCCCACTTGCGCGTGGTCGCGATGGCATTTAGACGAGCAGCATGATGCATTCGCGGTGCCTTTTCAGATTCACGAGATCAATACGGGCGTCCCCGCGAGCTTGCTCTCTATCATCTCAAAACTAGACCAATGCGCAAGCTTGTCCGAGTCCTGCCGTGGAACACTTGGTCATTCGAGTGCTGTGCTTACCACAGAGCGCGAAAGGTTATGGATGCTGCTCGAGGCCTGGCAGCCACAATCGCTTCCTGAAAGTATGCTGAGCCATCAGCGATCCGCTCTACGCATCGCTCGACGAACCCTTCACCGTGCAGCCATGCTGTTTCATGCTCGCGTCTACGGTTTCCACGCGAATCTCCTTGATCCCCTTGACCATCTTTCGGAGACGACAGGTGCGTCATTGGTGGAAGAAATCGTCACCGGTATCCGTCATCTCCTTCATGACTTCAAAGACAACGCCAACCCAATTGGAAATGCCATGGCCTGGCCGCTAGCCGTTGCAGGCAGCGAGTGTGGTAGTGAGTCGAACAAATTTCTACAACATGAGGTTGTTAGCTTAATCCATGACATGGCGGATTCATTCTATATGTTGCACTTGACACCGCTGGAGCAGCTCTTGCGAAATTTGTGGGAAAAGCACACACTGATGCTTAGCACGGGTCTTACTGGACGCCTCAGTTTAGAATCCATAGCTACAGAAACCAATACGATAATTTTATGCTTGTAAGATCAAATATCGTGTGATGTAACCCTGACTTTCTCTGGAATCACGACTGCTTCGCAGCACGTGCCCAAAATGTCCGGCGGCCACACGCTGATTGCGGGTCTGGTTCACTATATATATATATCAGTGGGCCACCACTCAATTCAATGTAATATCAGCCTACTATCTCTTCGCTTCTTCTACCAATAATGGCTCAAAATGTCGCACAACATTGGAGAGCTTCAATCCCAACAGAGCCGTCAACTCGCTCATATTGGCATCAACAGCTCGACAGTAATCTAGAAGCACTAACCGAGTAAGTAAATTCATGTACAGCTATACTACAAAACAATTTCCTAATCCACTTTCATGCTCAGAGGAGAACTACCGAAATCTGCGGATTACGTCATAATCGGGTCTGGATTGACTGGTTCTCTGGTCGCGTATGACTTAGCTCGAACCTTGCCCACTGCGACTAGTATCGTCGTTCTGGAGGCGCGGCACGCTGCCAGCGGAGCAACAGGCAGAAACGGAGGTCATATCAAACCAGGAAGAATCGCCTTTTTCAACGATTGGAAAGAACGCCATGGGGCTCAAGTTGCTGCTGCACAAGTGGCTTTAGAGAAGGCAAACTATGAAGAAACTGTGGCCTTCATTGAACAAGAGCAGTTAGCTGAGGAGGTTGAGCTGGTCCTACTCCAAGCTATGGATGTTGCGATGAATCAGCAGGCACTTGAGAAGCTCAAAACGGCTTGGGAGAACCTACGTCGTGTCGGTGCCGATACTAGTGACATGCAATTTCATCAAGAGCCTGAGACGGCAGAAGTGCGCCACTCCTGCTACAATTATAAAACACGAAGTTACTGACATGGAACTAGGCTGTGCGGATACCACAGTGTTTGGCCGCTGTCTCCTATCCCGCTGCGAGTGTTTGGCCTTACAAACTTGCGACCGCCGTACTACGGAAAGCAATTGGACTAGGTGTCAAGTTGTACACGTCAACGCCTGTCAAGAGCATCGATAAAGCTGTATATGAACCCTTCTGGACTATTCAAACACCGAGAGGCAGCTTGCAGGCAGGGTCTATCATTCATGCTACGAATGGTTACGCATCTTCCATCCTACCTGAACTCACAGACAAGCTAGTCCCCTGCAAGGGACACGCAGCAGCAGCACTTCCTCCAAAGGCCTATTTCGAATCTCCCCTTCAGAATACGTATGGGATTCATTGGGGCGATGATTATGATTACTTGATCCAGAAACATCATCATGCACGACCACTCATATATGGAGGCCGAGACCTCGTGGGTAGTGGCGATACCTTTGTCGGCGTCGGTGATAGCGATGATAGTACGCTCAACAACTCAATTGCAGAGTCGCTAAGAAATTTTCCGTTCGAAACATTCAAAGACTGGAAGTCGGAGGAGAACGAGACTTGCCCAGGGGACACGCAAGTTTGGTCTGGGATCATGGGCTTCACCATAGACGATTTTCCTTTCGTAGGAAGAGTCCCTGGCAGATCTGGTCAGTTCATATCCGCCGGGTATGGCGGCTCTGGTATGGCCCGCGCATTTCTCTGCTCCAAGGCGCTTTGCCAATTGATTCGTGGTGAGGAGGTGGATAAGAGAATTCCCTCCTTCTACTTCGATTTGGATAAGCGCTGGACAACGCCAGAAACGATATCAGCCCAAATCGCAGAGTGGAAGGCTATGACAGCTGAAAGCGCTGTTTGAAACCTTGAACTTTATTGGATGTTCTCTTCAATGTCGTTTCGGAATCAGTCACGCCGAGTTTAGTCCATAGATAGATCTATCGCAGCAACCAGGATCAATTCCTTGTCTACTTTGTACTATGTTCATAAGAAGAACTCCACACCTGCAATGCGTCTGTGGTCAAAGCGCTGCAAAGTGTAGCACACGTAAAGGGCGCAGATCAACAAATGTCCGGCGGTCATTTCATGCATCGTGTTCGATCCTATCGGGCGCTAAGGATTGGGGTAGAGCACCCCCGCCTTTTTGATGTTAAACATGCGGAGATATGTACCTAGGTACGATACAAAGATAAGGTTCATGGCCGTGCTTGATAAGACATCGTGATAGACGCCCTTGAAGACGTAGGCATATGGCCCACTATAAGCACACTTAGGACCTACTACAATCGCTTTTTCCTTCACCCGCATCCCCTTTTGCCTACTGCCATCTTCATTTCCTTTCGTGGCCCATCATGAACACGAACGATATCAAAAAGCTGTCTACACGAGACACGACAGTGTCGGACACAACAGCATTGGAGACTGGAGTGGTATTACCATTTGGCTATACACAATCGTATCGACGCGTTCTTCGTACGCTCGGAAACGTTTGTTTAGTCATTTCGTTGACATCGTAAGTGTCCGTTGCCAGATGGTGCTGCGAAATTGCGCCCATATAACTCTTTTCGTAGACCACTACCAGCCATCATGGTCACAGCGTTTTATCAAATTACATATGGAGGCTACTTTGGTTTGACCTGGTGAGCACACTAATAATGCCTTTCGAAGGCTGATACGAATGACTAATTTCTCTAGGGGCTGGATTATCCCGAGCATTCTTTATCTGCCTCAAACTCTTGCAGTCGCTGAATTGAGCTCGTCAATGCCTGTCAATGGCGCTTTTTATTGGTGGGCGGCTGCACTGGCTCCTCCACGATTGTCTCGTGGCTTCGCTTTCGTCACCGGTTGGCTTGCCATGTCATCAATCGTCACAACACTGGCAAGCTTCTCTTATGCTGCGGCATCAACTTTCGTGTATGGAATTACGTTAACAGGCGTATCCTGGGAACCTTCGAATGCACAAATCATGCTCATTGCCATGTCAGGTATGTCGCTACAATGCATTCTTGGTGCGTGGCCTAGGACTTTTAATGCTGATACATTGTGCTAGTCCTTGTGCTTTGGTCCTCGCTGATGTTTTTAAGACTGGAGTCAATCAATGTGGTATACATCATTGTTGGTATGGCGTCAAACCCGTACTATAAAGCAATACCTAATTTACTTCTTTTAGCAATCTCTTATCTTGTCCAACTGCTCGTATTTACTATTGGTCTCCCTGCTACGCACGCTGCACAAGGACGTGCATTCACATCATCTGAAATAGTGTTCGGTACGATTACCAATTATTCGGACTGGATGCCGGCAGTTTCAATTCCCATGACGTGGTTCTGCGCTGCATGGGTTAATTCCGGGTGGGTCGTTCCAGCATTTGTAGCAGAAGAAACGGCGGACAGTGAGACGTCAGTACCGAGGGCCATCATCAGGTCCTATATACTCACAGCACTCATTGGTGTGCTGCTGTGCGTCATGTGTGCCTACTGCATTCCGGACATGGACATTATTGCTATGGATCAAACGTAAGTCAAATGCCCACCGCCATGTTTGGCATCATGACTGAACAAGTGCGCAGCGGATTTCCACTCATGCAATTACTCGTCGAGCACTGGGGCGCCCGCATTACATCCATCTTCATCCTAGCATTCACACCATTTGGACTGGTAGGTGGAAGTGCCATGCTTCTCACCTACGCATCGCAGATCGCAGCTTTTGCGCGAGACGGCGGGCTCCCGTTTGAGAAATACCTTTCGCACGTCAATGAACGAACCAGTATTCCTCACTACGCTGTTGGCTTCGAGATCATCGGCGCCGCCATCCTTCTCCTGTTCTCTTTGTCGCCTTCCGGCAGCGAAGTCGTTTACTCGCTTGCAGTGCTGGCAGCTGTCATTACATGGGCAATTCCAGTCGCACTCAGACTTGGCGCCGGCGATAGATGGCGCCCTGGTCAGTTCAATCTTGGTAGGTGGAGCGTGCTAGTCCATGCCTTCACCATTGCGTCACAGATATACCTGATCGTTATGGAAGCCTTCCCGCCCAGAGCCGCATTCGACGCTTCTTCGTTCAACTATAATTGGGTACTTACAGTTGCGGTGATCCTTATCTCACTGGGTTATTACTACTTCATCGGGTGTCATATCTACAGCTTTGATGCCGAGCGGGTTCGTACTTGAAGGCAGTGAGCCATGTCGGCATGGGCCCGTTACGAGATCATCGCTTGTTATGAGGGCGCAATGTCGGTTTTGAAACCTTGGTCTCCCAGCTCTTTACATCTCTCCCCGCACCGTCTCGGCTCTGCAACCGTTATCCTGGATGTCCGCTTGATGTCAGAATGGGAGACAGGGAAATATGAATAAATCACTAATTAAGTTCTCTGATCTTGTTCCATTTGGTTTGGTTCTGTATTAAGCCAAATCTCATAGCGCTTTTATGTCCTATGCAGCCTCATCATTTAATTAACTACCCATGTACAAAGTCATAGAACTATAAAAGTACGCGGTTCTTGCGTACTTCGCGTTGCCTTCATCCCATGGCGGTTTGTTGCGTCATATCGATATCCCGGCTTAATTTGTTGACCGCCTGGTTCAACCTGTCGACCTTCCGGATCATGTTGTCGACTTTATGGTTCAACTTCGTGATGTGTTCTAACTCGGTGACTTCTTGCTCCAACCGGGCGGCCTCCATTTTCCACTTGACAGCTTCCTGCTGCCACATGATTGCCTCTTGCTCCCACTGACCAGCATCCATTTGCACCTTCTTCATTTCCAACAAAATCGAGAACCTGATCGTTTGCTCCAGTGATGGTTCAGCAGCTGTTAAATCCAGGGTTGGATACTAAGCAGGGTCAGCTAAGATTAAACATCTGCCAAGGTAGCATACTGAGGAATCTTGATCACTTCCTGATCGTGAGTCGGCAGTGCCATTACCAAAAACCTGGCGTTGATCTTGATTGGGCGAGTTATGGGCTATCGGTTGCATTTTCTACTCAGTTCGGATACGACCGGTTGATTTCGAAAGTTCAAGTAACAGAAGTTTAGAGAATTTGCCCCGTATGACCTGAGTTATCATCGGAAGGGCTAAAGCGCAAAATTTGTGGATGTTAAGTAACGAAGCGCTGGCAGTAGAAGGAGGGCAGGCCACGATTTTATATTCCTGCGGATCAGAAGTCACGTGCCCTACGCTATAATTGAATAAGTACACTCAGTAATAATTTAGGTAGCAGTGAAGGAAGATAAAATTCGATTCTTAGAAATCCTAGATAGTGTAAGATGTGCTTGCGAGGGACTATCAAGTATAATAAACTAAGAGTAGTAACAGGATGAATTAAGTAGTAAATAAAGATGAACTTTAAGAATGATTTATGTAAGAGGTTCTATGGAGAGAGCAACAGACAACAACCAAACCCCTAACGACTACTCTGCACGGAGCGCCTTTTCTACTAGGACTACTCTAGAAATCGCTGTATTCTTTTGTACTCTTCTAATTTTTGTATTTCCCTCTGTAGCCCTTACTATTGCCCTGCAAAATTAGCCCTTTTTAGCAGTGCACCTGCCTTACACTCCTCCTTCTGCTTACGCTTTTATACATATTCTGCTCCGTGATGAGTTCGGGTAGCTATATATTGCCCCTATTCTCCTCTTCTCTTCTTCTCCCTCTTAGAAATTACGATCGTACGCAATCACGTAGGCAGCTACATAAGCAATCACGCTAGTAGGATTAATTATAATAGCTATTAGGTGATTACCGTTGCAGGCGGATATTAGGTCAATTTCGATCGCTATTGTAGGTAGAAATCCGATCGACTGTATCAGTCCTGCAGGCAGATATTGATCGCTATCAGAAGTGGCTGATTGATCATGTAGTTGATGGATATTGCACATAAACAGTGGATCGCTGCTGAAGATGATTGATAGATCACTACGATAGGTGGTTGATGGCTCACGTTGATTGATATTCCTAGTGGATATTTAATTGATTTGATCACTATTGTAGGTAGTCAATCATCACGATTGCAGGTGATTGATCAATATTGTAGGTAGATATTCAATCCGCGTATAGACGCCTTTATAGTAGGAAGCATCACAGGCACGGTCCGCGATCGGTGGATAGGGTTGATAAATAGATATTTGCTTCTGTCGATAGGCCTCTAGAGGTAGGTAGATAATGCATCGATCTATCTATACCCTGCTTAGTGCCTTTTCCTATACACGTGATCCTTGAATAGCTTCGTCCATCCAGCTACATCACACTACTTATGTGAAGAGTTGTTACCAACACCAAGTGATGCTATTGTTCTTGTAGTCTACTTAATTAAGAAATGTAAACCCCAATCAGGTTAGCCTGCTGCCATTTCGATATTCTAACTTTCAGCCAATGGTCAGCCATTGGTCAGCCAATGGTAAGCCATTCGTAGCAAACAGTTAACACGGTAATGATTAACAGGTACCATCTCGCGAAATTGCACGCGAACCATGCAAGGGACCACGAGATCCCACGTTTCTTTTAAAAAGTCTATAGTCTAATCTCCTTGACGTCTCCGTATATGTATAAGCACTGTGATGCTCGTATAGTAGGCTTTTCAGAAAAACTTTGCTCGAGGTCCATCATTACGAGGAGATTAATTTCAGGGGAGTAATTTTAAGCAATCATGAAGTACCTCGATGATATGTTCCGTTTTATTGCGACGAGATTGAAACACACAGCAGAGGGTACAATGGAACAGTGAAGGTTGTGCGCACTGCAACACTGACCCTGGTATCGCATCATGGCACCTGAGTTGGCTGGATCCTAAAATAGAACCATGTGAGCCGTAGCCGTAGCCGTGACCCGCAATTGAAGTCGGCCCATTTGTCTAGGTTTGTCCATTTTCTAGGTTATTGTTCTTGGTCTTAACATGGTTACTACGGATGGGAATTTCGGCGCAATGACCCGTTCTTCGATCTCCCATGCAGCTCTTTGCATTCCTAGTTCAGTTAGATGTTATATTAGTTCAATGGAAAATGCAAAATGAATTCTCGCTATTGGGGACGAATTCTCAGTGTTGAGACCTATCATTAAAACTTTTCTTTTCGCCATCGTACATCAGGATGCATTGCTGAATTGTGGCTCGGCATGAGATTATCGCCGTTGAATTTAACAAGATGGACAACATCAGTGTTCCAAACTCTAAGCCTTTGTGATGAAGGGAATCTTGAAAATCCTACGTTGTGGTTGTTGTTCACAGTTGATCGTGTTTTCGAACACCCTACGCTGCAGTACTACGTTACGAATCTGATATCGTCTGCTAGCACTGCGACTATGCTCCTTCCCGAGGCCCTGAATACGAGAATATCCTGAGGTCTCTCGGAGAAATGCACTCGTACAAGTTCACCAGCGCTGCTTGTGGTTACAAACACCAGCGACTAGGTTAAGGCCCCCATATGCCTATACGGCGCGGCCCCTGTTTTGGCGGGGCGCCCCGTTGGAAGAGGCAGGTACCCTGCTCTGGCCAGCCGAAACCCCGTCAGGGCGCCTAAGTCTCCATAAGAAACAGGCGATCAGCCCCCTCAAATAACATCGTTCCACTACATTAAATCGGGCGTATATATTATCGTCCCCCACGATCATTATCGTTTCTGGCTCATCGAGCATATCTACATTCGTTTCGTTCCGTTTCGTTCGTTTATTGTTTTCGGAACAGTCTACAGACGTACTGCGACAATGATGGCAAGGATCCACTTGCTGTCAACGCTGGTGACGGTGCTTGGCCTTCTGGTCAGCTTCTCATCAGCAGCGACAAAGATTCGTCCTGGTGCAGACCCAACAATTATGAAGGTTGGTGATATGTACTACTCTGCAGAGGCAGCGGGAACCGGCATCTTCGTGCGCCGCGCCTCGTCCCTCATTGGCCTTGGTGAGGACGGTGTCGATAGGAAGCAAGTTTGGACGGACTCGAATAAGGTGGGCGCAGTATGGGCGCCTCAAATTAGCCGCGATGGTGGACGGACATACATCTATGTAAGTTTTGCACCTTACATCATCCGCTATTATAAATAGAAACTGACACTTTCAAGTTCACCATGGGCCAGTCTGCTGCTCATCGTATGTATGTCATCGAGGCCAGCGAGCCTTTCGGATTGTACAGCCAGGAGAAAAAGCTCAACTTGCCGGACGACCAATGGGCCATTGATGGCGCTCACTTCAAGTACGAAGGTCAGCACTACTTCGTCTGGTCTGGATGGAAAGACTCCACCAACTCCCAACAAAATCTCTACATCTGCAAGATGACCAGCCCTACCCAGCCCACAGGCGCCCGGTATCTGATTTCGCAACCCGCCGAGCCCAGCTGGGAGCAAGCCGATGGGTCCAGGATCAACGAAGGTCCCGAGCCCATCCTCGATCCTGAGGGCAGGCTCCACATCGCGTATTCCGCGAACGGCAGCTGGGGCACTAAGTACTGCATTGCCGATCTGAGGCTCAAGAAGGGTGGCAACCCGCTTCAACTGTGGGACTGGTTCAAGTCTAATGGGTGTCTGTTTGGCTCGTATGCGGAGCGCATGATGAGCGGCTGGACGCCGACTGTACAGATCGATGGTCCGGGTCATAACACCTGGGTCATGCCTAACGGCGAGATCTCGTCGAGTCCCAAGGGCACAAACAGAATTCCCTTCGTCTTCCATGGTGTTCCAAAGGGTACGGAGTACAAGTGGGCGAACAGGAAGTGGTTCACGGGCAGCTTTGTCTGGTGGGCTGGCACTAACTATCATCGTGGAGGAGAACATGCGGCCGATGACAAGGGGTACAGCTTTAAATTCTTCGAGTAAATAGTTTATTTGATGATCTATTGTAATTCAAGCGTGATTAGCCGTAATGTCGCCATCTATTTGATCTTATTGCACTGTTGTTTGATTGCTAGAATTGTGAACATAGGCAGGGCAGTCATGGTAAATGTCGCATTGATTTTTATCGTTGATTACCGTTGATTGATCTTTCGTTGACTGAGGGATGGTTAATTGGCTACATGTTGATATTTTGGGCAGATGAGCTGCATATTTGAATACGACCTGTAGCTTTTAAAGAAAGCGTTTCTCGCACCCACAACGATTCGTCAAGTTTTGTTCATAATTCGGAGCGAAGTAGATTCAAATCTTCCAACGCCAGTCTGGGTGCTTCCATTCAAGATCCTGAATCTCCTCCCTTGATAAATGTTCCAGGTTCTCGTGCGCTTCTGCATGCACCACCTCCCGCTTCCTGTTGTCAGACTTCATCCAGAAGTATGCAAGAATAGCAACCGTAGTCCAGAGAACCGCACAAGTAAGATTCAAACTATTACCAATGCGATACATCGGCACATCCGTAGGCAAATACGTCCATGTTGCGATGAGTCCACCGAGGTTTCCAAACATGACTTACACTAATGTCAGCAAATTGTGAAATTGTGTGGGGAGGAAATAGACAACATACCGTTCGTGCCGATAGCAATGCTCCGAGCTGAGTCGCTCAAAACGTTCGCGCTAACTTGTGCATTGCACATTGCACCTAAAGTGAATGCAGTACTGGCAGTAAGAAAGATTGCCCCGTACCGCACGTTGGCGTTTATCGTGGCTAGCAGGATGACGAACCCTGCAATAGCTGTAGGCCCAGTGACAGCAAGGAACAATTGTCGATGATCGAACTTCCAGCTTAGCGTCGGGATCAATAGTACGAAAAAAGCTCCGACAATGTATGGGGGTACGGTAAGAAGTTGCATCTGTACAGTCGAGCGGCCCGGATAGATGGTTTTGATGATACTTGGGAGGAAGAAGGAGATGGACAGGACAGTGATGTTGTTGAGCATGAAGATGCATGAAGTAGCGATGGTTATTGGATTTGTGAACCCACGCCTAAGCTTCGTGCCATCAATTTTATCCAGCAAGACGGCTTGAGCGAGACGCTCGGATTTGACGCGATCCACAGCAAGTTCTTTCTCTGCTTCGGACAGCCATCGCGCGGTATCAGGCCTATCAGTCAGGGTTCCGAAGGCAATGATCGCGATACCAACAGTGATGATGCCCTCAACAGCAAATATCCTTGTGTATCTGTTAGTGACACAGTAGTACATGGTCAGTCCAGGTGGTAACCTACATTTCCCAGCGGTGCAACCCCCCGAAATGTGACAATTTGAGGATTCCAGAAGCTAACAGGCCCCCAAAGGCGCCGGAAAGGGGAGCCATTGTCATGTAGAGCCCAAGGCGAAAGGCAAGTTCACTGCGACGATACCATCTAGAGAGGTAATACGCAATACCTGGCATCAATCCAGCTTCAAATACGCCTAATAGAAAACGAACTGCACATGCTTGTGCGCGCGTGCGTACAAAAGCAGTGGCGATTGAAACGATGCCAAACCCGAGAGTTGTTGCGGGTAAAAACCAACCAGGGCCTGACCAAATCAATCAATATTTCTCTGAACATCGTGTGGCAACAATAATATACCTATGAGTTTACAACAGATTGTTGCAGGGATTTCAAAAAGAATGTATGAAATGTAGAAGATCGACAAGACGATGTTGTAATCGTATCCTTCAAGTTTAAGGTCTTTTTCAAATCCAGCGAGTCGGGCATTGCCTATCACATATTAGATTGGTTCGATGAGGAACCATGCTTAAGCTCACCTATGTTTGCCCGGTCGATGAAACACATGAGATAGAGTAATGCTACTGTAGGGACAACAAATAAGTCGATTTTGGTGCGCAATTTGTTCTCTCTTCGACTAGCGCCATTGGCTGCCTCAACAGCAACTGGTTGCAAGGTGATGTCAACCTGTTCGACGAATTCTGTAGATGTCTTGGTTGTCATGCTGAACGATTTTATTCGAAGGTGATCAGTATAGCTCTAAAGTAGGCAGAGCTTGATCGGGTGTGTGAAATTGAAAAGCGAACAAGACGCAGTTTGTGTTACTACAAAATACAGACTAACTCCTTATTTAGATAAGACGATGAAGGTAATACCATAATAGATATGTCTCTATAATCCTTATTTCAGTCTTTACTAGTAATCCTAAACAAGATTCTAGCTACAGTATGGCCTACATGGATACCGGCAAGCCTCATTCCGCTCACGTGATCGGAACGCATCGAAGGACTCACGTTCCGGATTGCAGTAACACGGTTCAAGTTTTCCATTGTTCATGTAACGACCATGAGTTAACTGGCATAGTGTTGTACCGCGCCTTATTCCGCCTTTCGAGGTGTACTTGATGCCAGCACCCCTATACATAGGTAATTTGTGACAGCTTGACCAACATATGAGTTCCCAAAATTGAATGCTATTCTTAAGATTGTGATTCTTAACTCTGTTTACACTCCATCAAGTAATAGTCACAATTCGCCCATATGGCAACAACTACATTGACAGCCTCTGCGGAGCCTGTCGTTTCCTTCGACTCTTCAACCATCTTGTTGGCTTCGTCTACTCCTGAAACAACCACACCGCCATACGCGTCAGGTAGCCCATCGCTTGCCTATGTCGACGAAGAAGCCGAAAACCCGCCTAAGTTCTCCACCGTTCACGAAGAGCGTCGTTATCTAAAACATCGCCTCGCGATTGCCTTTCGAGTATTCGCTCAATTCGGGCTAGGTGAGGGAGTAGCAGGCCATATTACAGTGAGGGATCCTGTAGAACCAGACAGTTTCTGGGTCAACCCCTTTGGGACTCACTTCGGTCTTATACTCGATGAAGATTTGATCCGAGTCGACCACAACGGTGTGGTTGTAGAGGGCGGAAGCAACAAGCGATTGAATTATGGTGCGTACTCTACGAACTATCTACTGCTGGGCTGTCGCTTCCCAAAATGTAAGAAATGAGTAATTGATCATCAAGCAGCTGCATATGCGATTCACGCAGAAATTCACAAAGCGCGTCCCGATGTTCTTTGTGCAGCCCATTCACACAGTTTATACGGTCGTGCCATGAGTGCCACGGGTCGAACATTGGATATGCTCACGCAAGACTTTTGCGTCTTTTACAACGATCACGTTCTGTATTCTAACTTTGCAGGGCTTGTTCTGAATACGGACGAAGGAAAAGCCATCGCGCGATGTCTCGGCAATAAAAAGGCTGCACTTTTAGGGAATCATGGCATTCTAACAGCTGGGCCAACCATTGAAGCAACGGTTGCTTGGTTTGTGCTTTTCGAACGTTGTTGCCAGATACAGCTCATTGCTGATGCAGCGGCCGGTGGGCGGGGAGTGCCACTGGTATCGATTGGACATGGAGAAGCTCAAGCGACATGGGAGGCAGTCGGCACGACTGGGAACGGATACTTTCAGGCTCTACCTCTGTTTCAGGTAGCAGAACGCGAGTTTAACGAGCGGACGCTGCTTGGGAGGGGAGTTGTAGCTTCATCGTGAAATTGTGATACTAAGAGCTACTTATTATTCATTTCACAAATGTGTCGAAATAAGTTAGGATGTCCTAGTTGAAGTATTTCATTTGAACAGTATTTACGTTTGGTCTAAAAATTGTTCGACTTGCTTGAGTTTTCTTACTCTGCTTCATCAGGAGTTCAGAATATCACCATATGCCCATCAATGTAGTCTGTACTTTAGGATGGTTTATTGTAGAGATGGGAAATTCAACTTGTAGATTTGCATTGGTCATAGTTCTTCTTCCCTAAACTGTAGGTGAGGGATGCAAGGCCTCTGGGCCCATGAGGAGTTCGACATATTGCTATTCGGTCGAGCGACTACATATACAATATAAATCTCAAAACATGAAATAGAATGAAAGTACAGTAAAAACAATGGGTAAGTGTATCTTTCTTGTTGACATCCCAGATCAAGGCGACCCCTCTCTTAGATCAAATTTCCCCTCAACTCCTGCTCTCGCTCGATAGCTTCGAATAAGCTCTTGAAGTTTCCGGCACCAAAACCTTCGAAATTATTTCGTTGAATGATTTCAATAAAAACAGTGGGCCGATCCATCAAATGCTTTGTAAACAATTGTAGAAGATAACCCCCCTCGTAAAAATCAATCAGAATATTCAAACCTTTCAGAACCTCGAAGTCTTCTTTTAATTTGATGCCTGAGCTCTTAAGCCGGACCTCTATGGCTGTGTAGTACGCCTCAGGTACTTGGATAAACTCGACACCGCGTGCCTTTAGGCTCTTGATATCGCGGACGATATCGTAGGAACGAAGAGCTATATGCTGAACACCTGGACCACCGTAGAAGCCGACATACTCTTCAATTTGACTCTGTTTCTTCCCCTGGGCAGGCTCGTTGATCGGCATTTTGACCACATGATTGGGTGAACTCATGACAATTGACTTTAGTGCAGAATATTCAGTGCAAATGTCTTTATCATCAACGCTCCAAAAGCGGTGAAACCCAAGGATTCTTTCATAATAATCACATACATTCTCCATCTCGTCCCAGTCTTGATTACCAACACAATGGTCAATGTGAGAGAGTTGTATTTCCGGTAACAAGCTGGCGATTGGGTCGGCAAAGCTGTCCTCTGTGCGATATCCAGGAAGGAAAACACCTTTGTATGAGCCTCTCTGAATCAATGTATGTGTAGTGTCACCATAGCTTTGAATGACTGCAAGTCGGACAGTTCCAGACTCATCGGAGATATCGCAGGGAGGGGCGACCGATCGTCCTCCGGCAGCGATCGCGACAGAGTACAATGCGTCAATATTTTCGACCTCGAAAGCAACATCTACATGGTAGTCAGCTATCTGGTCGGTCTGAATATAGGTATTTGCCTACCTTTGACAGCATCCCCATGCAACTCTTGATGCTTGTGTATTTTGCCAAGCGCCTGCAGGTCCTCCTCATTGACACGGCTATTGTCTTCTGCTCCTCGCAAAGCCGACGTGAAGACGAACACAACGCTGCCGTTACGAACAACATTGGAAGCAATATTCCGAGAACCTGTTTCTAATCCACGATATGCCAGGCGCTCAAAGCCCATGTGCGTGATGTAAAAGGCAGCGGCCTGCTTAGCATTTCCAACCCACCACTCAATATGATGATATCCCTGATACGAGAAGACATCCTGAGCAGAAACATCCATGCCTGAGGTTTCCGGAATTGTGTGTGACGGCATTGCAATGGTTTTGAGAATTTTCAATGAAAGTGGATATTTTGTTAAAAAAACTCCTGAATTGAATGACAGTAAGTCCAATCTCAATGGTAAATATACTCATTAAATTCTGGTCCACTGTTTCGACTTTTTAACATCCTTTTGTTTGCCCGACTCCTTTCTTACAGATTTTCCATATGCGAACCTAGATGCGCGTCCGCCAGTTGCCGTAAGCAATTTACCGCTAGTAACCGCTTTCTTCACAATGAGTAGACAACTCTGCCTGTCATAGCGTATTCGTGGTGCGCATTGAATTATGGCGACGAAGTATGCATAGTAACTTCCAGCTGCGAAGCGATGTACTATTGGCTGTAGCAGATATGAAGGCTTCATACGCGCGCACAGCGATTGAACGCGGGAGCGTTCCTAGCAGCGGACCTGTTTGCGAGTCAGAATGCTAGTATTGGTCAACTGTGATGCCGTAGAAGTCTAGAGTTTGGTTCGATATACCTAATTGATCCTAAAGAAGATGAGGTGCGGAATTAGTGCGAAGAATGACCGGATTATCGGAATTCAATTGTGCGTCGTTCCGTTTGTCCTTTGTCATGCTCGGTGACGGAACCACTGACGCCAAGATGAGGATGGACTGGGGTCTCCTTCGTTTGCCAATGTCAGCATTCTTCCGCTATTCTGTCAATCTCATTTTCACGGCTCATGTCGAGCTATTCTATGAATTGTGCCTCGGTCCACTCACTCTAAATACCGGGATTTGAAATAGCTACCCCATATGTACATGGGAATGTCACAAGCCGCATACCGAAATATCATGGATTGACCTCAGTATGTCTCCTGCAACGGCTTATCAGCATTCTCACGACAACATCCAATCGCTCATCGACATCGCAAAGGTGCATGATGTTGCTTACACGACGAATATACACGAGCGCACCGCCAAATCTATAACAAAACACTCTCTTGCCGCACCCGAGGAAATACCACTCGTAGTGTTTACACCAGAATCTACCGAGAAAACAGCCATCCTTCTCAAGGAATGCAATGCCCGGCGCATTTCCGTTACATCATTTTCGGGAGGCACAAGCTTTGGTGGTGCTTTGACCGCAACTCGAGGCGGTGTGTGTATAAGCTTCGAAAAGATGAAGGATATCATTGCACTCCATGAAGATGATATGGATGTTGTTGTGCAGCCAGGTCTTGGCTGGGTAGAGCTGAATGCGCAATTGAGGGAAAAGGGATTGTTTTTCCCGGTTGACCCCGCTCCAGGAGCCAGTATTGGAGGAATGGTTGGTGATTCCCAGTATTATGACTAATGTTTCATCAAACTGTTATGACGCTAACACGTCCTCAAGATTGCCATGTCGTGTTCTGGAACCAACGCCTACCGCTATGGAACGATGAAGGAGTGGGTCATAAGCCTCGTTGTTGTTCTTGCCGACGGAAGCATTATCAAAACGCATCACCGCCCTCGGAAATCGGCCGCAGGATACGATTTGACGCATCTTATGATAGGATCCGAGGGCACGCTGGGCCTAGTCACTGAAGTTGTCCTGCGTCTCACTACTTTGCCCAAGAATCTACATGTTGGTATGGCGATTTTCGACAGCTTTCAACAAGGTGTTGATGCTGTCATTGCATTCCAGAAATACGGCCACAAACTCGAGATGCTGGAGCTGGCGGACGGTCCCCAGATCCACGCTATTAATCGGTCAAAGCTTGCACAACTACACCTGGAAGAGAAGCCGACATTGTTCATGAAATTTGCGGGGGCTAGCTTGCAAGCAGTGAATGATCAAATCAAATCGGTGAAGCAGATATGTTCGGCCACAAAGGCCATCAGGCTTGAAGTTACGAATACATCAGAGCGAATCGATGCAATTTGGGGTGCACGGAAATGCATTGGTCACGCACTTGTGGCCATGAAGCAGGAGCCGACTGATGTTTTCCTGCATACTGATTGCGCTGTGCCCATATCGAATTTGGCAGCACTTGTTAAAGGCACACAGAAGCTCATCAAAGATTCCAATACATCAACTTCAAAGAAGTGGTTTTGTGCGAATGTGGGCCATGTTGGAGATGGGAACGTCCATTCAAGCGTTATAGTTCCTATAGAAGACAAAGAGAAGGCGGAGAAGACTTTGAGGGAGGTAGCAAGGTTGGCTTTGCGCCTTGAGGGCACTGTGACTGGCGAGCATGGGGTGGGTTTGAAACTGCGGGATGCATTGATCGAGGAGGTGGGCATCAGTGGTGTCAATGCAATGCGACGAATAAAGGCAAGCTTGGACGAGCATAGTATACTAAACCCTGATAAGATTTTCACTTCAGGGGAGGCAAACAAAATGAAGGCAAAGTTGTAGGTAGTGCTATATGCTTGTCACTGCGAGCTGTGGTGGGTTCATCAAGTACAGGCGTAACTGAATATTAGATCATGAATTCCTTAGATTTAAGATCTTTTCTACAACTTGTATATGGATAAACACTTGAACAGTAGATAGATGCATAATAGTATCTAATCGAACCGGGACAAAGGCCCTAAATAGACACTCGACGGAAGTAGACACTGGTTGAGTCATTGGGAAGATTTCGGTGAGATCGCAAATCAATAAACACGAAGAACCCCATATGCTCTCATCGGAATGATTGGTATAATTTGTCAATAGATAATACAATAGTGTGAATGAAATGCCCGACGTTCCCCTCTTGTGGTTGTAACAGCTGACTGCTTATCCCGAACTTTTTAGCCCACCTGAAGTGTCGTTCTTGGTAATCTACATCATTTCCAAGCTCTCAAGGTAATCGCTAGTACCTTTGTCGGGGTCAGCGTCGGTGGGAGTGCAAGTAGATTCTCCAAGTGCACTTGCATGCGCACCGGAGATGAACTGTCCATCATTATAGCCACCGCCACCGCGTATCATCATATTGTCCAAAGAATCTTGGAACCATCCATTAATGAAGTCTCCGTGGCCACAATATCCATTGCCAGAAGCGGCGCCGCATGATAACTGGAATGGCGCGTCACCATCCCAGCCTCCAGGTGCCACGGATTTGGTGTTGTACCAGACACCATATCGAAGTTGAGGAATAGCTTTCATGCCCGCAGGGCACTTTCCAGACTGATCAGGAAAGTCGTACTGTGAAATGTCATCGGTATTGACGCAGCTGGGAAAGACAAGAGATAGTTTGAGATTCTGGTTGCACGTTTTGGTGGGAAATTTGGCGATATCCGGCTCGCGATCGTCCGAACCTTCGCAGAACCATTCGAGATTGTTCCTTGGTTGAGCATCTACTTCATCTTGGGATTGAGCAGATGCGTTCCCCGATATCATTGCGAAATCTAGTGGTATGGGAATTTCGGACCTACTGTTGACATAGTAGGTACTGAATCGGAAAATTGGAACTTCAGTAAATGTTTCGCCATCGACATAGTATAGCGTTGGAATCCCTAGGTCCATGTCAATAAATAGGAGCATTGAGAGCCAATCGACATACAGTAGACGGAAAAATCATTGCCATTCTCCCCGCTGTAACAACCCTGCTGAAGCTGAGAGGAGGTTGGTAAAACGTTGGTAATGGCGTCACTGTTTATCACCACGTTATCAGTGCAAGCTCTATGACTTTGAACTTTCAGCCGACTTACCTGCCAAAAAATGTGTGCATGTGAGAAGTATAGAGGCCGGGTTGAACGATTGCATCAATGTTTTTGGTAAGGAATGGTTTGTGATGAATTTCGGTCCATGATGAGACTGTTGAAAACACACTACACCCAGCCAGGAGAGCGAATAAGTACCGCATTGCAAGAAGAGAAAATTGAAGTATAGAAACGAATGATTGTAGTGAAAAGAGTGACTTCGAGCAAAGGCACGGAAGAGTGTTAATTGAGGCTGGATGATATTTCTGAAGATGCACCTGTCGCCATTTTTATAGGAAAGACCATGAAGTTCGACCCAACCATGACTGATTCAAGAACGGCGGCAGAAGGAGTACTGTAATCTCGACCGTGAAATCAAATCATCCATGAACCCAAATACACGAAGTCATCAAGCAGGTTCCCTTGAAACATGAGCTAACCACGTAGAGAATGGAAGATTGCACGACATTACGCGTATCTATGTTATAGAAGATCATTAGGGTCAACTATGGGATGGAATTTTGCACATAGTCATGTTGAACTCGGGTGACGGTGTTCTAGGCTTCGTTGGCTCTGTGGGCCGATGAACCTAGTACAGCGAACGTGATCGGAACCGGAATCGGAACCGGAAACCGGAATCAACTTCCCTATTCACCTCACAAAAAACTTGCGTTTACGAACCCGTTTACTCATTACAAATTGTCTGCTGGTAATTCGAGGAGCTTTCGTCAACCTCGGGTTTGTTTATTTCGCCTCCACCACTACACAGTTACTCCTTCACACTGCCGACATAGCCGTGCCTTCATCATCGACACTTGCAACGGAGATTTTGACCAATATGCACCTGGCTGCAGCAACAGTGAAACCAACGGCACAAATGCAGGTTAGTATTTTCGGGAAAGGCCTGACTGGTGTTGGCTTGCACGTCCATATTCCCTCTATGGGTGTCTCATCTCTGGCTGTTATTTTCTCCCCTCACGGGTGCATCGGAAAATGCTCCACAACTTCAAATCAGATGATTTGTCTTCTCACCGTAAAGTAATGTTATCCAAGTGAATTTCCAAACTCATGAGCTGCACCGAGAACTTTACACTAGCTTTAATAGGTCTTTTTCTTTGTGTAAAGGAAATTACCAGAATCTGGCCCTACAGCCTGAGTGTATACCTTCTGTAAATGTCTCGACACATCCTTAATGTTTTTGCACTCAGAGCCTCTCATAATTTACGGAGTTGTATCAGTCCAAGAATCTACACTATATCATTCTGATTATCATATCAATCCTTGAAAGTGTCGTGAAATCTCCATCTCCCAGGCAGAAAATCCCGGCTCGCCCGAATTTCCTGCTCGAGCTTCTGGCTGTAATGCTTGGCTTGACCCAGCCAAATCAAACGCGTCGTACAAATGGAGAAGATCATTGCTAAGGTTGAATATATCGGGTGTAGAAGTGCTCAGGTGTCCGTTGTAATAAAGCCCATTGTCAGCCCACAGGTCCTGTATACCATCTTGGTTTTCTTTCGATCCAATGTTCTGGTGCGCATAATCCGACGCCTGCGGATCGATAGCAACAGCTCCATCAGTATTTTCGGCCTGCCTACCAGAACCATGATCATCTTGTCCTGCTGTATCTCCTTGGGCGCCAAGTGCCTTTACCACGGGTAGAATGCCACGAATACTCTTCCAGAGTCTGCGACTTGAGGAACTGTTACGGGAGAAACCCTTGACAAGGGCGACCGCCAACAAGAACGCATCTCTACATGGGTCTGCGAATGTGCTTGACGCATGGCATACGGCCAAAAGCATGACAGCGAGGCCACTGAGCAGATAGAAATGATAAATAGATTGTTGGCGGGCATATATGTCGCTTGTTGAATTCAAATCGTTCAATACCTCGATACTGTCTTTGGCGATATCGACCACGAGTTGTGCACTTTGCATATCCGACTTGATGTTATCAGGTGTCAACACATGGTGTCTGTGAATGAGAAGACGTAAGTAGTTTCCACGCAGATAACATAGTGTTCGAAGACGATGGAGTACTCGAGGTTGACTCTTCGGCGCCAATCCTAATCGAGGGTGTCGGAATTGCAGATCTTCTGGGATTGACTGAAGCCAGTTTTGAGCAATGAAGTCCAAGTAGTCTTCAGTTTCCTTGGGAATGAATAATGATGGAGATCCATATGGCGGCAATGCATCCCATACTCGTGAGCATAGTCGTCCGTATGCTACCATACACTTAAGATATGGATACGTTTTATCTGGCTCCGGCAACTGTGCATCGATATCGCGATCATTGAGCGCGAAAGAAAGACTGGTTCCAAAAGTCCATCTACGATCTAACTCGTAAACTACCCAGAATACTTGAAGCGCAGCATTACGAGCATCTGGGTCTTGGAATTGGTCCATCAAGCTTTGCTTCCGATGAAGCCCCATTTCGAGAGCATGACGAGCAGCTCGGCCGATTGCACGCCATGAAAATAGCTCTTCTTCTATGTGGCAGAAATAGATGCTCTACTGACTATTAGTCCTCCTGAAGGGAGAAAGGTTACAGTAGAGCGATAGTATACATACCAACATAGCTAGGATTTGTATATCTTTGATTTCAATCTCGCATCCACTCGAAATGCTACCGATATGGTGTTCCACAGCACTTATCAATTGGTCGCAGCTCTCATTCCTTCCCTGGGGCTCATGCGTGAGTGCGGTTGCCAAAACAATTTTAAGCATGTGTACGTCTTTCATAGAGAATTTCTGTTTCCCAGTTGAGTGCTTATAAGGATGCCGGGCTAGATCCCTAATCTGCAGACAGTCACGAGCTAGCGCCTCAGCGACAAGAATCGGGTGGCAACAAAGAACCTCTTCCTGGTAGATACCTACCAGCCTCGTCACTTCATCGTCAGAGAAGCTCAACAAGCAATCTTGGAAGGACTTCGGTGCTGCTGAGCGTTCTTCTACCGCTGGGTCTGGTGTCGGGTCCCGTGAGGATGCAGTCGTAGAAATGCCAGGAGGTCCCTCTGGGTCCGCAACAATACCCATACGTGAAAGCGCAGATTCTGCCAGATTGAAACTGAACGCAGGTCTTGTAGGCCCAACAAAATGAGGCTGCTTAGGCTTGTCGTCTCGTGTCAGGCCAGGATCACAGTATATTCGATCGGCAAATTGTGAAGATTGAGAATGGGCGTTTATTGCCGCTGGCAGTATCGAGATTCTTTCTGAAAGAGTGCTGACAGTAGCTATTAGGACGTTTATCTGCTGTTGCATTACCCTCACGTTCTCGCTCAATGTTTTGTCTTGACTAGAATCATTCAGCGGTCAACCTATTTTGAGCTGTCAAAGTACATACGTGTTGTGTAATGAAGTTCCTCTATCCTTCTCCTTTGGATGGTGTCTTTCCTGCGCAGCAGATTGTGAGATAACGCAAGGAGCACCTGTTGCTGAGCAGCGCTGGCAGTCCTCGTCGTCTTCGAGACGGATACATTTTATTTTTCCTCTTTTACACTCATTACTATACAAACTTTAGCAAGACCGGAATGGAGTAACTGGGTTAACCGGGTGGCCTCACCATGCAACCGAGGCATACTTTGCGCGCTTTGTGCGGCATCGTGCTGGTGTCTCTTGAGAAGTTCGTTTCGAGGCCTGAGATATGCTAGTAATTGGGGATTGGCTCATAATGGAGGTATTGGTATTGTTTAGGCAGTAGTTCTGGAGAGCGAAATAAAGGAGGATCCCCTGGGTGTCGGTGGGTTGAAGGGGTAGCTTTAGCTAGAAGCGGGGTACCCGGCACCCTGTCTGACAAGCTTTTAAACAACGGTCAGTACCTTGACACAAGTCTGATAAATTAGTATTAGAGTTTCCTATTCGTGTGACTTATCAGTATGTGTATTTAAACTAATTACTTAATTCTATTTGCTAGAATTAAATTTATGCAGTATAATTTTTTGAATTAGTATTGTAGTTCAAAACTTAAACATTTCTTGGTGAATTAAGTATCACGGCCCAGATCTACCCCTAGACTTCTCCTTTGTGCATAGCTTCATGTCCAAGCACCTGTGTATTTGGCTTGTACTTCTTGAATTTAGAACGCTCTTTTTGAACATATCATCCAACTCTTCAAAGTTGAAAGTAGCAGTCTCAGGTAAAAGAATAAGTACGGTTCCCCTACGCCCAAGGCGCTCATAGAGATTGGATCCCGGCATTTCGGAAAAGGGAGGTCACGCCAGGAACATTGTGTAGACCTTTGCGCCCATCAGCACGCAATTCCACTTCACTTGGAACTGGCAAAGTAATGACGTTGTTTGGCATGTATTTACTGCTGCTGCCTCTGTTATTGCAATTTCAAGTCTCCTAAGACAGTACACCAATTATGAACGGACCATATCCGCTGTAAAGATCTACTGCAAGAAATCAAAGCCCGGCAGAGGGGTCGATCGGAACAATGAAATAAATGACTGAATTGCTCGTTGCAAAAAGCCTCATTGAATTCCATCGCTTTGTTGCGGGTTTATTGTTGCTTACTTGCATCTAACTTGCAATGTTGCTACCGCGAATTCGAGTAAAGCCCTCTCCCTCTACAAATGCCGACAGTCTGGCCAGACTACCTGTCTTAAATTTTAGTACGATGTTTGCGTGTAGCGTTTCCCGTTATCCCGAGTCTAAAATTCTGTATTCACATATGTGGAAGGTTTTTGGTTATTTAATACTCAGCAAGGAATATACTCTCGTGTCGCATATTTCTTTGAATGGCTCTTTATGAAAGCTTTATTTATGCTACTACGATCAAGTTTTGAATATCGGCCAATTCAAGATATCCCGAAAGCAATAAAATCGCATCTAAGATTTCCTTTCAATCCGACTTCTCTTTTGCCAGCGTTGATGTCATTAGACGGTTAGAAAGAAATTGGAGAAAAGGTAGTTGGTTCGTGTTGGTATTTGGAGTGGAGACTGGTTCCACGCTAGTGTAAAATTGGAGAACCTGGAAGCAGAAATTGGAGAACGCTAATGTTTGAACTCTCATTCTCGTAATGTACATCAAATGTGCTTAAACTTGGAGAATTAGGAGACGGATTTGAAATCATCGATGCCAGTAAAATTTTCTCGCTCTATAGATATTACGGAATGGCACGACTAGCCTACATTCAATAATATGTTGAAGTTTTTGCGATCTTTGGAGATTTCATGAGAGCGTGGCGGCAGCATGAAGAATGTCCCAAGAATCACATTGAGTCCTAGGAAAACAGTTTCACCACGAATATAATATATAAAGAAATAGGTCAACAGTAAATTGTGCTTCGTTATCGATCTGGGTGCAACTTTCATTACTCATTACGGGCGCAAGAGACTTTTGTACAAAGTAAGAACGTTTCCCGCTACATCCACAACCGGCCAGGGATTATTACTACGTGGTATTACACAGCACCAGGCCGATATGACACCATAGGCCAGGTTACGAATTGAGGACGTATTGCTCAGACTGAAGTTGCCGACGGTTTCTGTCATGAGTATCTTATCACCATCGCCTAGAGAGGGAAGCGCCTCTTCTATGATATGGCGGACCCAAAGAATGATGCCCTTTTCGATTTCTGCAACAGTCAATATCAATGCGTTGAAGACAGCTTTCGTTAACTTCACTCACCATTGAGAGCAAACTGAGAGCATGTTTCAGCTGTCAATTCAAGCCAACGACTCAGAGAAATCGCACCTTCTACCCACGGCAATGCATGTTGCGGATCCCAATGATACGATAGAGTCCTTCGATGATGCTCGATACCGGACCGCACAATTATCATGAGTGAATGGGCCGAATGCAACGGTCCATTATAACTCCAATCAGAACGTTTCTCATCAACACTGTCCACCGCCAGTTTTCGCGCGATGTGTCCAGGGTCCCATTGTCCGGTGAACTGATGAAATGGGGGAAGTGGGTTCCGACTGAGTCGCAGATACACCATCATCAGATATGAGATCGACTGGAAAGAGATCGACGCATCTAGATTGCGGGGATCTAGTATGGATTCAGGTGCTCGTTTCCAGCAGCGTTTCCATCTTGCCAAGGCTTCCCTAATGACCTGTTATAATTTGTGCGAGTATGATGGAACCATCAGATCTTACTCCATTTCTGCTAAATCTGACGGACGTAGTGATCCATTGAAGGATAATTGGCGCAGGTGAAATGTACGCTGAACAATAGCGTGGAGCAAGACAAAACAGCCGAACGGAGAAATCAAAAACTGAATCTCGGGATCTCCAAAAAGCTGTGCAAATGCCGTTTGGAAATCGGGTGGGGGTGCTTCGTTTGCCATTATTGCAGCCCAACTGTCCATTGAAGCTGCGTTCCATGCCGCCGTTGAGCAAGGCAAGGCACTTTTGATAGTAATGTTTGTCACCTCAGGCGGTGTTCCATTCAGGAGTGAGTAGGTATTGAGTATACAGAACGAGGCCAGATATGTGCGCAGAGCACTTTCCCTGTGACACCATCTTGTCCAATTCGATGGTTCGTCTCCCGATGGCTGAGGAATCCGGAACTTTTGCACCCAGTCCAGTAGCATTTTACGGACCTGTGATTGCTCCAGTAGAATCTCCGACTGCTTCTGCCATAGTGCGAAATAACTCAGCAACACAAGGGCTTGCAGTCCGCCTAAGTCATAACGATCCGATCCACTGTTATTCTGCCATTTCCGGGTAATCAGATCCAAAGCGACCTTCAATAGAAACAATGCATCCGCTTTTTGGAAGCGATAGACAGCGCCGATGGAGGCTATTGCAACCACAAGTTCGGGATTACACTTACTCGCGGCTTCAATGTCGAAAGTGGCTTTGTGTACAATAGGCACGTGGCTCTGGAACTCACTGAAATAACCTGTGCAAAAGCGATTCAAGGACAGACATGAAGGCATTTTCTCGATTTGACTCGGCATTGTTTCCATGGCCGCCAGCAAATGTCGCCGGGCTTGCCCAGAAACTCGCCAAGGGCACACCAACGGTTTTAATTCGGCCATATCATCTGGTTGGGGATTGTCAAGAACTGCAGTGGAATGTGTAGGGCAATCAAACACACCGTCTATTTCTAGAGCAGATGAACACGGTTCGACCAGTGTAGCCATGGCATCTGAAAACGACATGTTCACGCCGTAGTGTAGGAAAGATCCTTCGTCTAAGGTCTCCACGAGATCCATTCCCATGAATCCCACGGTATCCGTGAATAGGCCAAAGTCCTGAAACATGGGCAAGTTAGCGATGGATCCGCCATCAGCGCAGGCTTCGCTGTCGTCCATAGCTAGACCATCTGAAGACAGAGGCAAGCTCGCTATCCAGTGGTCTGGAGGGGCTTGGGCTTGTTGCTCGGCAGTGGATGCGACCACTGGCGGGTGAACAGGTGTACATTGATTTGAACGCGAAGCTTCAGACTGTCTTGGTGGTGCAGTTTGGCCATGTTCTGACATATGAACTAGACGGGTATGTCGCGTCAGAAGGTCCCGGCGAGTGAAACTTTTTCCACAGTGGCATGAGTAAGGTTTCTCTTTGGTGTCTAAATTATCATGTCAACGAAGTTTAGCCGCATGCTTGTTTCAGCACGAACGTCTTCTTGCGTGTCTTTGCAAATGCTCAAGACGAGCGAAGCGACGCGAACATATGGAGCACGCGAAGTCTTTACTTTCCGAAGCATTGCCCATATCGCTCTTCGGGTAAGCTGAGAGCTGTGGAGGAAATATATTTGGAGAAATATTTTTTGGAGAATCTGTAGGTGGAGAAAACTATCAACCTAGCAAGGCACGCTAGGCTAGCACGGCTAGTAGGAAGATACAAAGGTACATAGCGATGTTTAGCGTGGCGCATACGATGCACAACTGAAGTCGCGGATTGGTGGTAGGTCTGATAAGGTACCTGTCCCCCTGTTAATCCAAGTCCAAATTGATGTGTTGGAGCGATTACTGGATCGATTACCAATAATATACGGATGACCAATACTTTACGGAGTACGAAAGACGTTGGAATTGCATAAATAGTAATGCTGCTAGCTGGCTGCTGTCCGTTCTATGCATCCTCCAATACAGCACAAACAATGAACACACAGACGCCGTTGTTGGCCTATCTTCGTTACCAGAATGGTCGCATGGAAGATAGCTTTGAGTCATTTTCACCTACAGTACGGACCATTTTAGGCCACAGATCAACTCGAAACTTCTCTTCCGAACCTCTCGCCCCAAATACGCTCGAGATATTGCTTGCCGCCGGTCAGAGCGCATCCACGTCTTCGGGCCTACAAACATGGAGTGTCATTGCTATTTCTGAACCAGAGCACAAGGCCGAAGTCGCAACCCTCTGTGGAGACCAGGACTTTATTCGACAGGCTCCATTATTTCTACTCTTCTGTGCAGATCTGAGTAGATTGAGCAAGATTTCGGAGCAAGAAGGCCTACCAGGCAAGGGTCTTGAACACATGGATATGTTTCTGATGGCAACCATCGACGCAGCCCTGGCTTCCCAGAACGTTAGCTTGGCTGCTGAGTCAATGGGCTATGGCATTTGTTATGTAGGCGCAGCCAGAAACAATGCGCGAGAACTGTCCAAGTTGCTTCGATTGCCACCACGTGTTATTGGTCTGTTTGGAATGGCAATCGGGAAAGCAGATTACAGCACTCCGACCTCGATAAAACCGCGGCTAGATCAGCATGAAATACTCCACCGCAATTTCTGGGACTCCGACAGACAGGATGAGCACGTTATTGCATACAACAAGACTCTTGGGGACTTTTACGAAAGTCAAGGAAAGGTAAGAAAAGATTCTTGGTCACGGCATGCCGCGCAAAAATTGGCGTCAGGAAACCTAGATGGGCGCGAGATGCTTCGAGAAGTCCTTGAAGAACGCGATTTCCAATTGAAATAGGCAAATTCTTAAGTTCTATCCAATAGAAGCAATGTTACATATATTAATAATTCAAGCCTTGTATGTAATCGACCAAGGATTTTTTGTGAGTTCTTTTCTAAATTAAGCTTTGGAAATTGACAGGATTTCAACTTCGTCTTCAATTAATAGTAGTTCAAGAAGCGGGCAACGAAAGCTTTGAAAATTGTAGGTATGCTTGCCCGAAATGACTGAGTATATCATTCAATGGAAAATTCTACTTCGAAACGATGAAAAAGCAAGTATTATCAAAAAACCTGAAATGATTGCGGCACCAATATGAACAGATGTCGACTTCAGCAGCTATTTCGACCTTTGTTCTCACTTCACTAACGCCCATTCCACCACTCTTTTATTGTGTTCTCTAACGCAATCCTCGGTGCTACAGTTATCGAGCTCAAGGCTGCACCCCCCGCCCCAATGTAGAACGCTGTATCTTCACTGAATCCTATATCCTTCGCAAATTTCCTGACATCTTCTCCATGTCCAGCAGCAACATCACTGATGCCCAACCCTGCATCAAGCGCTGCTCCAATATCCATACCGCCACGCGCGGCATCCAACAAATCTCCAGCAACAGGAACATTACCAAACTCGTCCAATGCCGCACCCTGAATGTCTCCAGACATGGCGGCTTCTGCAGCAGATGCATGCCCCATCACGGCGCCGACAAAGGGAACAGCTGCGAGGAGTTTTTTCCCTCCCTTTCCTAAGAGTTTGAGGGCTTTGGCGCCTTTTCCGGCTTTCTTTGACTGTTTAGCTGCCATAGAAAACAAGTCACCCTCCTTGGCTGCAGCCTTCATCTCTTTGGTAATCGTTGGATCGACCCACGCACGTTTTGGTGCCCCATCAGCCCCAAGCTCCTGTAGCATCTCGACGCGGCCCTGGTCCAGTGGCACGTTTTCGCTGCGCCATACGGTGTATTTTCCGACCTCCAGCTGTGCGTCGGGTGTCAGTTTCATGCCATTGGCTTTCTTGACGTCATCAATGGCGGGATCAATCATCGAATAGTCCTGCGCTCGGTGCCGTGTCGTCACTTCAATAGACCCATCTTGCGACATGACCGCTACATCTAACCCTTGGCCTTTCCGACTATGTAGTCTCTGGAATTCTTGTTGGTCCCAGTCTGGCTTGCTGATTCCCGATTCAGGAGCATGGCGAGCTGTGACTGAATGGCCGGCTTGCACATCGGCACCTTCCATTGGATCTGGTGTCTTAGTGGTATGTAACGGCGTCTCGGGCGCGGGACTGGCGCGCTGCTGTGCTGCTTGCTTGTTTCCATACTCTCGCGCTTCCGATTTTGTCATTGTCTTTGCCAATGGCGTGAGCGCAGGCCGGGGTTCAACGAGTGATTTCCCAAAATCGCTGTTATCAATGGAGCTCATCAATGGGTCGAAGCTGACAAAGGATTCGTCAGGAACGCCTTGATTGCCTGTTGGGTCTATACGTCCGATAGGGTCTGCATGGCAATATAGATACACATTCAGCCCATCCCCAGTACCAAGTGGATCAACGTTGATCCAGCGGGCTAACCAGGGTGCGTAGTAGCGTGCTTCATGATATGAAAGCCCACTTTCTTCGTCACGTTCTTTGGACGTGAAGCGGTAACGTTTTGGTGTTTCGAGCGTAGGCGTAGAGGCTTGGTAGGTTGTGCTTCCATAAGGCGAGTACTCCTCGTATGAAAGGGTCTTGGCTTCATCATCGAGCTCGATGGCGCTGGAACCGTTAGGTGTCGCTATTTGGTAGCGAATCAACCGCGCTGGAGCACGATCAGAGCCAGCTGTATCTTCTACACGGGACTCTACCAGAGCGACTCTGTTACTGTTGTCGAAGACGTGTACGCTTTCTCGTTCGAAGAATGTGGACGACGTCTTCTTGCGGAAGAACTCGACAGGTCCGAGGTAGAGACGCTCTTCAGTGAGATTTGGTCCCTTCTCAATAACCTTCCGAATGCGCTTGCCTGTTGAGTCATATGTGTAGTATGCTGTCCCACCGCCACCGAGATCCAGTTCTTTCATCTGATCAAGATAGTCCCATTTCACATTCCCTGTTGCTCGCGAGCCTCCCAGATGAGGCATATAGATCGTATTCCCGTGCGTATCGTACACAAAATCATTCCGGTCTCGACCAACAGTACAGTAGCTGAGTCGATTTCCAGTTTTATTCAATTCTATCAAGCTCGACTCTTCGTATTTGAAAGTTCTTGTCCAAGTCCTGGAAGCCACATCGACTCTGGTATCTGAGCTGTCATGCTTCATTTCAATCATGTTCGCCATATCATCGTATGTGTAGCGCTCAGTATAAAGCCCCATAGCTGCAGCATCACCGGGATGTACACCAAAGCGCTTAGAGTCGGACTGGGTGTAGGGCACCGGAGGCCCAGGGGGTTGACCAAGATGCTCGCGGCCTGTTGCTTCAATGAGTTGGTATAGGGCGTCGTACGTGTACGTGTTGATTGGGCCGGCAATGACGTTGCGGAAGAAGTTGGTTTCTTGTGCGTTGTCGATGACGTGCATAATGTGGCCCACGGGATCATATGTGTAGTTTATGTCTTGCAGCAAGTCTCGTGCGCGATTCGGTATGTTGTCTCCGCGCCAGGTGGTTCGCCGTTTAAGATCCCCAGTATCCAGGTCAAATTCTGAAGTCATATGAACCCCGTTGCCGTAGTCCACAAGAACTCTCTTCCCCATGGCATTGTAATCCAAGTTCTTGATGAAACGGGTCCAAACGAGTTCATCAGAGGCCGACTCATTCCGAATGTTGTAATCAATTGTGACTAGAGAGAGATTTTTGTATCCGAGACGAAGCCTACTCTGGGCATCTTGTGCCGAGCATGGGAGCTGCGAGGTAAGTAGACGATTGAGCGCATCGAAAGCCGACGAAGCTCGATATGTATCGCTTTCGAGTTTCGTATCTAGGACTCCTGCCAGGGCCGATGCATCAAAGGGTGTTCTTGGATCATTCGGGAGAATGCTCTCCAATACCGCCCAATCTACCGTGTTTCTGTACTCACGACAAATTCTTTGTGTCGTTTCAAGTTTATTCCCTTTGAAATCGATTCGTTCCGTTGTTGATGCCATGGCCTGGTCTACCGTCATATACACTGTCCCGCGAAGGTTACGCGCCTCTGCTTCTGGGTGGCTTTCGCCGTATATGGTCCGATGGACTTGAACCTCCTGATTAGGTCCACCAACATGCAGTGCATCCCCGAAAACAAAGGTCTTCACGAGCCTATTCATCTGATCGTAACTCGATCGCGTGACGTGTCCTCTATTGTTCCACGCACGCATAGGCTGGTTTAGCACATTGACCAAAAGAAACGAATGTCCCTTTTCCATAGACATGGTGTGTAGGGGTCTACCGAGCATGTCGTAATGGTTCTGAGTAACGATACGGCCTCTGTCATCTCCCTCCTGTATCATTGCGTCACGAGCTGCGAGGACATTGCCAATAATGTCCATTTCCGTGCGCGCATATAGCTTTTTGTCGGTGCCGTTGAGTTGATGGTCTTCAGCAGCCACTTTGTTATGTGACATTGCTAAAAACGCGCGACCCAGACTATCGAGGTAAGTGACGCTCGGTGTATCTGCGTGCGGAAGAGTTTTCTGTGCGGCTGTCTCCTCTTCGGTGCCCAAACCCCCAGCCTGTCTTCTTTGCAGCCATGTTTTGAACTCGTGGCCCGCGAGAACCTCATCATCGAAGTAGCTCTTCATGAACCTCTTTACGTCAGGATCTTCTCGCGGATCTAATTTCACCGTGTCGTTATTGTCCCATACGGTAGAACTCCAAGGGTCAAATATCTGTTTCGTGTACGTTGAATTCGGATACAGCGTTGCAACCACTCTCCCAAGTGCGTCGTAAAAGATCACTGGACTAACTCCTGCACGAACATCAAATTCAAAATTGTACAGGTCAGTGAAGAAAGGTTCGTACTGCCGTATGGGCAAGCCTTTGTTGTTATAAACGACCCAACCGTCTGAAATCCAACGCGGCTCAACGTCATGGTCTGTCAATACTGGCCGTTTGTGTCCATCGGCATCTGGTTCCAGAACAATATTGCCATCGCTATCCCGCTTAAGGACAGGGCCTGATTTGGTTAGACTCTTCTGCTGAATTTGCCTCCCAAATCCGTCGGAGTATGTAAATGCGTGTTGAACCTCCGTCTTCTCATCGGCCCTAAGATCAGACTTATGAGTCATACGACTCAGCGTGTATGTTGTGGCTGGCTGTGGAGATTGAGTATCTTTTGTGCGCATGTAGGTAAACGCATCGTAGAGGATTCGCGAGGTGGCACCCTCAAGCACCGAATCAGGGTCTGCCATTATGGCTTGGATGTACTCTGAAGTTAACGTCTCTTCAACATCAGGTTCGAAGTGTGAAAGATCGTCGCCAACCTGGGGAGTATCTTCCAGTTTGCCTTTTACGGCAGTCCCAACCGCAAGACCGAAGGCGTCGTAAGCAACTTCATTCCGATTACGGTTTGCGTCTGTCATTAGACGAGGCTGAAGTACGCGATAGTCATTTCCGTTTGACACAATAGTCCCGGTGGAGTTTCTTTCGCCAATTGTCTTCCTGTTGCCAATCGAGTCTATTGTGTCCACGATGAGAAGGTTATAGTCGTCATACGTGATAGTGCTTTCGGCGCCAAAAGGGTTGCGAAACCTCTTTGGAAGGTAGAAATTTGAGCGAGCAGCTTGGAGCTCAACGGTAGGATTACCTGCTCTGAGAGAGTAGAATGTCTCGCCAGATGGAACCCAATAGCAATCATCAGGGTCGGTAGGTGCGAAGAGACCCAAAGCTTTCAGGTCTGCGCTAATGACGTACCCGCCCTCATCCGTAGATTTCCTAGTGAGTAAAGGCCGAATATTAGGAATAAGAGGGCGGCCGTCATTTTCGAGATGTTTGTCCAACATGCTAGATGTGAAAGCAAGCCGATAGCTTTGCCCAGACAGAGCCATGTGATCCATTTTGGTTAGAGGTAGATTTCCTGTCAGGTCAGATTTCCGGAATAGAGTGCGAGATTGCTTTAACAAGCGCTTCTGAAGCATCGATATGTCCGGTTCCTCCTCAAAACCGATTTCTGTTGCAGATTTAACAAGATCGAAATTGTCTTTTGTCCATGTCTCGTAAAGAAAGGGAGTTTTTGGATCTCCGCGATCAAACCCGGTCAACTCGAACGACCTAGCTTCACACTGTTGGGGAACTCGGTAAGATCCAGGGTATAGCGTATTGTCGTCGATTTTGTTCGTCACTGCGTTCTCTGAATATGTAACGTACGTTTTTCGCTGCACTTCTCTATCCCAGCCGGTTGGCAGAATCATGTCTGGCTTACTTCTTCCATAGCCTACCGTAACTTCTTTCAAAATTTGTCCAAACTCGTTTGTTTCTATAACCATGGAATGTGTTATGCGAGGCTCGCTACCCCTTTCGTACTGGTGCGATATTGTCTCACGCACGGTAGCATGTATAATAGCGCTCTGGGTGTTGGAGCGAGGTTGAACCAAACGCACGCTGAAGTTGGTCTCTGTTACAGTGTGTGGTAAGCGTGAAAGATCCACTTCGTTCTGATCTGTGCTGGATGGCGGTAGAGAGTCATCAGTATATACTTCTTGCCGCAGCATTTTCCCTTTTAGGGCACGACAAGCATCGTGCTCGTCCTCTAGCCCAACTTCAGGAGAAAGCACAGTGTCCGGCAAAAACCACTTGCGGGCTACATCCTCGCTGAGTGAAGGGTCACTGAAGTACTCGTGCTCATAGTGTAGTGACACCGAATTGCGATCCAGAAATGCGCCGAGATGGAACCATGTCTTTGTGTGGACGGGCGTAAGATCGGAAGCGAGCGACACATTCACTCGTTCGGATTCTGCGACCTTTCCTGTGAGTGCAGAAATCTCGGCGGTATCCCACTGCTCGACCATGCCGAAACCGCGAAACTCGCTATCTTCTGGGTCGTAGTATCCATGGTGGTACGCATAGGTACTAGCGAACATGCATTTGCTTATCCGATCATAAGTTCGAACCGATTCTACTACATGTACCGGAAATTGGAGTCTTGTTACCCACGGCATTCCCGCTCTCTTGTCCTGGAGGTAAAACTTTGTAGATGGGGCATATGTCACCTCGGTCACTGAACCAAGATTATTGTCCACTCGAGTGAGGAGATGAGGTTTAGTGGTCATGAGGTCTAGATACCGCATGGCAATAAAGTCGGACTGGTACGGCGATGAAACAACAAGGCACGTCGTTCCATTGCCAAGTAAATCAACAGCATCAACGGAGACATCGTTCTCCATATGCGACAATGAATCCAATACCAATGGATCGCTCCAACTGTTGCCGCACTGGTTGAAGAATACTTTGGCACCTTCGGAGTGCAGATAGACAACATCTGTGGTTCCAGAGCCATCGATGTCGGCGAGAATGATACGATTTGGCCTAAAATCTAGGTGAGAGTCAAAGATGGGCGATCTACCCATGGTGACTTTGGCCCCAAATCGACCAAATCCTAGATTAGGCCAGTAGCAAATTTCTTCATTGCACACTCGAACAATGTCTTGGAGTCCATCGCCGCTGATATCGGCAAAATGTAAGAATTCTGGTTGGGTAAATAGTAGGTGCGTAGGGCCCTCCTCTTCGTCTGTAAATGTCGGGAAGTATCTTGGAGGGCCAAAACCATCCTCGCCAAGTGAAGGATACCAAACATTCTCGGAGGGAATAAGCGCATCCGCAACTCCATCACCATCTAGATCAATGAGCTTTACCCGAGCGTCAAAAAGATCAAGGTGGTTTATCGTGCTTTTTAACGGCGCGAATGGAAGCCAACCTTCTTGCTTGTCGTTCTCGTAGAACCCAACGACCCCTGCGTCTTCATCATGATAGAAGACGGAGGCTAGGCCGTGACCAGCAACGTCGAGGAGCCGCCACTGGGAGCTCGCAGTCACGTTTGGCGTGTTAAGGACGAGCTCTAGAGGATCAAACATGGGTTTTTGAATCAAGCGTTCCTCGGCATATGTCGTATTGATCGGTGCTGTATTCCGATTGAAGTACCAAGCCGAGCCTCCTGTGGTTAGCAGTCCTGGAGAGCCTTCGCTGTAGAGATCTGCAAATTGGACACCCTGGGAAGCTAGGCCTGCTGGGGTATTCTCCAGCACCGAAGAATCTACATCCTTGAGTGCAGGATCGAGAAATGGTTGAGAGTAAGCCAAGTCAATCGGAGGCAGCAGCTTTCGGAAATAGCCATCTCCTTTCCTCCGGTACCCACACTGTTGAGCAGAAGTTAGGAACGTGTAAACGCCGTCCATTCCCGCTGCTGACTTTGTGTTGTAGACAAAGTCGGTGGATCTGACTAAACAATCCATGCCAACATTCGCCTCGGCCTGGAAATGATGAAACATAAGGAATCGCTTGCATAGCCGGCTAGTACGAATCTCAAATCCCGCAAGATAATGGGAAAAGGAGTCTTGTCGGTGTGTCCATTCATGGGGTGTTGACACCGGCATGGGCTTTGATGCATCGTGCTCGCCATAGTCAAAGACAGCTTGGAACAGCCAACCAGCATTTTCAATCTGCGCTTGATCAACAAATCGCGGTCGATTGCCGTTTTCATCAAGCAGAGGAGTGTTGTTCCCATAAACAATCGATTTGAGATAGCGATTACTAGTACGCCGAATATCGTTCGCAAGTCCACGATTCTGTTGATGGACATCCGCGAGATCAATGCCAGCACCATCTTCTTTCTTATATCGATACAAAACCGCATTTCCCTTGCAGTCACGTATTTCTGAAACAAGCCATGTGAATATCTGGCTTGGATCAACTGGATTGATGATGCGATATTCTTCCTCCAGTCCAAAGGTCGTGAGCACATTATCCGGACTGGTGATGCGCCAATGCACATCGGCCGAGTCATTGACTTTGCTCCATCGCTCAATGCGCGAAAATGAGTCCTCGATACGTGGGGAGTACCGGCGGATTACATATCCCGGTGCAGAATTTCTATCCTCAAAAAATGTTCCATCATCGCGAAGAACAGGGACCAGATCTTCCGACCCCGAGAGAAGGAAAATGTCAGACTCTTCGTCGTCCTTATAACGCGGTAATTGTTTCTTTGTACTTCTTGTTATGCTGGGTAGCGATAGTGACCAACCTAGCCCAAATATGCCGTTGCCATTTCCTGAGTCGTACGAAAGTGAAAGCGATGGCCCGAAACCAGAACGTCCAGAACTTGCGGGTAGAGGTATAGAAAATGATGCAGTTCCAGTAACGGGATTTGTACTAAATTTCTCACCCATAGAACGGATGGCACCGCCGCCCTTTGGGAGAGATACATTTGGGAAAGCCGAGCCTTCCTGTTTCTGTTTTCCTTCTGTATTATCGTTATTGCCGTTGTTTTGCATTCTGACCTGTTCTGACGGTACAAAAGTGACCATCAGTTTGCATACAAGAGTTCTCCTTCGAATTCAGATCTCCTCAAAAGGAGGAGATCGCATAGCCATGGCAGCTGAAAGTAAATGTCCAGACCAGAAGGTCCGATGTGGCTGATCACGTGATATTGCCCAGAATCAATTTACGCCTCGTGCAAACCATTTGCCAGTTCAGGACGACAGAGGCAGCATTGGTTTCAGCTCCGAAAAGCAAGGTGAATTCCTTTCATCACCATCTCGTATCTAGATCGGGTCATGGCTGCTTTGATGAAGATGTGACGAGCGCAGATCGATCAAAGCTTTGCCAGAAGCCCTCCACAAACTGTAAAATACATTACAATCACGACTAGATTGACTACCGTCGTGAACTTAACAACTGGTCATTAGCGATGATAGCTGTCTGGGGATGTAGATGTCTCGTCGCCGTCGGAGATTCGGTTGCAGCAGAAGACTCTCGCCATGAGACACTTGGGAGCTGCCACATTCGCCGTTCTAATGACCCATGGTTTAACTTCAGGTGGTACTACGTGCCCGATGGCCAGCTTTCAATGGTGCGAAGAAACCAAGGTTTTGATAGTATGTACGGATAGTATGTACGGAGTGCTGTGTCGATGATCAAGGTTTCAGTATTAAAGGGTGAGGTGGGGGTGGCTGATTCTAGTAGATTTGCCAAGATTATCCTTAGCCTTCACCTATCAGAAAGCCAAGCTAAGAACGACATGGCTTTCAGCTGAAAGTCGCATTGTTCGTATTTGCCAATAATTTCAGAGCTGAAATCCACAATGAAGACCAAAGCCCATGGGCTGGAAAGAGTGGACTGGCAATCCAATCGATACAAAATGTTGGGTTGGTTCAGTAGTGGAACACATGATCGACTGTCTCATCTACCCTTCAGCTCACAGGAGATGCAATTCGAACTTGGAGCAAACTCTAATGAAAAATCGTGATAAACCTCTCTGGGAGTCCCAAATTATTCTCCCGACATGCTACAAACATGACGCCGAGCTCTCGTAAGTACTCGTAACACAACAGTGAATGGATGTGGCAGATGACTAACTACAGCACTACAGGAATGCAAACAAACCCTCAGACCACTGACTACATCGTACACGGTACGGTCCTAACAGTCGACGGGACACCTCTTGTAGACTATATTATCAATGCTGTGGACGTCGACATTCGCTCCGAGCAATTGCTCGGCAGCACACGAACATCCAAACCCGACGGTTCATATGTGATTCCATACTATCCGGACAAAGTCAAGCCGCTCGATAGAGGATCAGCAGACCTTAAGATTTATGTGTATGACCCCGCAAAAAAGGATGTGGTACTGGCAAAGTCGGAGATCAAGTTCAATGCGCCCAAGGACTGTACCATCGATATTGTAGTCGGCGGAACGACCGTCAAAGGTCCTCCGGAATTTGATGTATTGGCAGCCAAAATTCTTCCCCTACTTGGCAAATTGGAACCGAGTCAGATTGTCGAAGATGATGAACATCAGGATATTTCGTTTCTCGTGGGCGAATTGGACGAGCAGCGCGAAAGAGTCGAGTTCTTTGCGTTGGCGTGCCAGTTCCACGCGGAGACCAAGATTGATCCGGATATCTTCTACGGCGTACTTCGAAAGGGTTTACCCACAGACCTTGGTCAACTGCTTGGGCAAAGTGTCACTCAATGGAGAGACGCTCTGAATGCCGCCATGTCCGAAAACATCATTCGTACACGAAGCAACAAAGAACTAGAACCCTTGTTGCAGGCAGTCGTACGGCAGGGAGTCAGACGCGCGGTCCAGATTCCCGGACAAGAAGGCAAGACAGCGCTTGGTGCACTCCTCTCAACAGGATTTCAAAGCCCAGCACTCTTCGTCGAGGCACTTACCAAAGCCGAAAATCCATCGGTCGAGGAGTTCTGGGCGGGTCTTGAGGCAAAGCCAGAGTTCAAGGGCAAGGTTGCGGCATTACAATCCACGGTGCAACTGGGAATCCTCACACTAAGCCACACGCCACTGGTACAGGAACTACAGCGACAGAAGAAGAATTTCGCAGACCTCACACAATTCAGCGTGAAAGGGTGGTTAAAACTTATCCAACACCCCGTGTCTAAGATTGGAGTCCCTCCAGAAGTGCCCGGAGACACGGAAGACGAGAAAGCCCTGAATTATGCGACCGCGTTATCCCATGCAGTAGAAGACGCGATGCCAGCGAAGCATTTAGTCGACAGGCTGACAGATCCAGATGATGATGCAGAGCAGGGACACTTGCCAACAAAGCCACAATTGCTGTCTTTTCTTCAAAAGAACCCTAAATTTGACTTCACAACGCAGAGACTGCCGGATTACCTGTCCAAGAATCGTGACGCCTTACTCGGATTAGAAAGTCCCGACCTAGTCAAGTCCACAGTCCAGGCCATTCAGAGGGTATATTCGATCGCACCCAGGTACAACCAGACACGAGCTCTTATCGCAGACGGTATACACTCTGCAATGCAAATATCTCGCATGGGCCAGTCAGCCTTTGCTGCCAGATATGGTACCGCACTTGGTGGAAAGGCAGAAGCATACAAGATCTTTGAGCGCTCCGAGCAAGTCCATGCCACGTCATTCAACCTCATTGCAACCTATGGCTTGATAAACAGCAAAATCAAAACCCCGGTATGGCTTGATTGGAAAGTGTCTCAAACCACTGTAGATGGGCATATTCCAGATCTAGAAACTCTTTTTGGATCCATGGATATGTGCGCGTGCGAGGAGTGTCGCTCAATCGATGGTCCAGCTGCGTATTATGTCGACATCTTGCACTTTCTCAAGGACCGCAGATTGATCGACAAAATCGAAAGAGATCGCGATGGTAATATTGACAAGGTAACGTTAAAGCGACGTCGGCTGCCCGGATCCAATGTTGAGGTGGAGATGAATGTAAAGGACGTGCTATTCGACCGACGTCCAGACCTCGGAGAGATTGAACTCACCTGTCAAAATACCAACACACCTCTTCCATACATAGACTTAACTATCGAAGTACTCGAAGATGCGATCCGTCCGCCCCCAAAGTTCAAGAAGGTCACGTTACCCGATACTGCAGCCGTCGAGCTGAACGCTTTAAACCTTCAGAACATCAGAGCCCTTTTCACACCTCCACTGACTAGCTTTGCTACCGCAACGGTGGTGAACCGGGGTGAGTGGTGGGAAATCGATGAGTCCGCATATACATACTCGATTCAGATAGAAGAAAAAAAGATCAAAGCCGTTTGGCGGAGTAGACAGACCAAGGGTTCTGCAGCAGAAAGAGCGGCGAATCCGCAGTACATGAATGCAGGCGCCTATGAGGTTCTTCGAAAACAGGTGTATCCTTGGAACCTTCCATTTGACCTATGGACCGAAACAGTGCGGACGTATCTGGCTCACATTGACGTTCAGCGGTGGCGGGTCACGGAGGCGCTTTCTCCCACTCCAAGACCACAGACGCTCCAGAGGCTAGACATTGCCCTGGAGCAGCTCAGGCTCACCAAATTAGACGCAGATCTCATCTCTGGTAACACTACGGGGCAACCAGATGCTTCCCAAACCGGCCTATGGAATCTTTGGGGTTTCAACACGGAGGTGCTAGATGTAAACAATGGCATCCCGGATCCCTCCAATAAGGACTTGATGATCACAGGTGGTCTTTGGACAACCGTCCTGACATCTCGGCTGGATATTTTCTTGAGACAGTCTAGTCTTAAGTACAACCAGCTACGAAATCTAATACAGATATACAAACCACCAGAGAAGCCCGTTTTAAGCATCAATCCTATCAAAGGCGCCAATGCGGGTACCTGCAATCTCAAGGACTTGCAGCTTGACGGTGCTGACGTGGGAGCACTTCACTGGATCAGCCGTTTCATTCGCCTCTTTCGGAAACTGGAAGGCCATGGTTGGACTGTACTTACTCTAGGCCAAGCCCTGAATACATTCGGCTCCCAGTCACTACTGTCGCTAGCGCACATCGAGCGCCTTCGTGCGGTGTTGGACATACCTCTCCAGGCAATTCTGGCTTTCTGGGCGCCGATAAGCACACATGTGTATATCGACCACGAAGACGAAGATGAAGACGTCGAGCCTGCGTCATTTTTCGCTAGTGTCTTCAAAAACAAGACGGTCGTCACCAATCCTCCAGACCCAATCTTCAATGGTGATCCAACAAATCTTTCGGGCTCCCTGTCCGCTAGTGCACCGGCGATTTCAGGTGCTCTGAACATTGCGGCCAGAGACCTTTCTGTCGTCCTCCAGAGTACTATCATTGTAGTAGACGACGAGCTTTCGTTAAGCAATTTGTCGCAGCTATACCGACACTCAGTACTTGCCAAGGCCCTAGGTCTGAAGATTCGCGACTACCTACTTCTTTTGAAAGTACGACCTTTCGAGGTATTCGAAGATACTTCTGCAACGGTGGCGTTTGTAGAAAGCGTTTCTAGGATTGTTGAATCAGGGTTCAGTTTTATAGAACTAAACTATTTGCTTTGCCATGATTTCACTGATGAAAGTCGCGTGCATCCCACTGATAGTAGCCTATCACAAATCCTCGAAGAACTGAGGAGCGATTTACAGAAGATATCAAATGAAAACACTTTTGACGATGAGGAAGAGGCGGATGAGAACGGTGAAATAACGAAGAAAAAGCTCATATTGTTGGGTTGGCCCGCCGATGTTGTCACCCAAACTGTCGCTATGCTCAATAATTCGACCAGTTTCACCGTTCCAATTGGGGCGCCGCTGCCCAATAATCTTATCTTCCCCGAAGGTCTGCAAGACAAACTCAGTTACGATGCCACCGACGAGACTGCGCTTAGATTGACGTATACTCGTGTCATGACAATTGCTGAACGAGATGAGCTGCTCAATGTGCCACACGCTAGCAACGAGTACAAAGTAGCTATCAACGCTCTCTTCGAGATCCCGCGAACATTCTTCAAACGAAATCTCAGTAGTTTCCTTGCTCAACTGCAGGACTTTTCCACCAACCTTGCTGATCTGCCAACGAGTGTGAAATTTCCTTCAAGTCTGAAGAGGAAATTATTCTTTGACCCGACAGCGAAGACGCTTCATTTCCTTGGGGTGATGTCGGAGTCGGAGAAGCAGGCAATATTAGTTGGCGTGGACCAAGTCGCCAACGTAGCATTCGTTGAAGCTGTGGACGCACTTTTTGCAGCACCAGATACGTTCAACACCACTGCAGACGTTTTCTTGACACACGAAGACGTCTCCACCATGTTCGATGCTTCAAAAATTGACGACAAACAAGTTGCCACGTCGGACCGTAGCGCGATTTTGCTCAAGAAGCTGCTTCCCGTGCTCAAGGATCGACTTAGCTCCCGACTTGTGACGCAAAAGGTGGGCCAATACCTGGGCGTAGAAGACCAGATAACCGAGGCGCTCTTGACCAAGTGGGTGAGAATGTCAGGTGGCTTTGTGGGCCTTCAATTCCGAGTACCGGCATTCATCGATAGCAGTACAAAAGTGCCTGTAACCAAAATTGCGTTTCCAACACAGTTCAACGCTCTCGTTCTGCTCAAGAAAATTGCCCTCATCGTGTCGAAATTCGGTCTTTCCAAGAAGGAGTTAAGGTGGCTATTTGACTACAGGACCTCAACACCTTCAGACCCTACCACTGGTTGGCTAGATTTGAATGCTTTGCCCCTCCAGCTTGTACCAGCAGATGCAGTGCGGTTCCTAGGATGGGAGAGACTGGTAACCTTGTTCCAGCTGCGTGACAGCCTTCCACTCGGCACAAATACGCTAGATATAATCTTCACCATGGCTAGAAATTCAGGTGGAGATCCAATCCAAGAGCTCAGTAAGAAGACGCAATGGCTACAGAAGGACGTGGAATATCTCGCAGGTCCAGCAGTGTTCAACCTCGCACTCCCTGATGCATTCCGCGATGAGATTGCTCTGACGAAGATAGTCGATGCACTAAAGCTCATTCGCAAGATCGGTTGCTCTGCTGCTGATGCAGCGCTCTTCGCAAAGCCCGAGCTTGGTGAAATAGAGGCACGAGCAGTCGTGCACACTGTCAAGTCAAAGTATGACGAAACTATGTGGTTGACAGTAGCGCGACCGCTGCGAAATATCCTTCGGGAGAAGCAAAGGGCTGCCCTAGTTGCCTACCTAGTAGCACATCCTCTTCCTGGCATAGTGCCAATATGGCAGAGTCCCAACGACCTGTATGCATACTTTCTCATGGATGTCGAAATGGGCCCATGTCAACTTACCAGTCGCATAAAGCAAGCCATTAGCGTAACGCAACTCTTTACGCAGCGCTGCCTTATGAATCTTGAGCGTCGGCAAGTGCTAGCGAGCTCCGAGTTTGACGTTCGGTGGAACGAGTGGAAGACACTGAAGTCATTTCGAATCACTAGCGCCGCTCGTCAAATCTTTGAGAAGCCAGAAAACTTTCTCGACTCGGCTCTAAGAGACGACAAGTCGCCGTTCTACAAAGAGCTCGAGACAGAGCTACAACAGAATGACCTGACTCAGTCGACGGCTGAGGTCGCCTTTGCCAACTATTTGGAGAAGCTTGATACCGTAGCTAGTCTAGAGGTTTTAGCGTACTACCACCAAGAGGAAATTGACGCCGCCGGAAACACTTCCATCGATATAATTCATATCTTTGCGAGGTCTCGCGGTACTCCCTCTCAATACTTCTACCGCAAGCGCGTAGATTCTGCTGAGTGGACAAGCTGGGAGAAGATGGATGTAGATGTTACTGGGTCCCATCTTATCCCAGTAATGTGGGGTCGGAGACTCTATCTCTTTTGGGCTGTAATGACGGAGAAGCAAGCGAAAACAGCAATCACGATGCCATCAGGGTCTAATGGCGTACCGGTGGGCAATTCCTTTTGGGAGATCAAACTCGCTTGGTCTGAGCTCAAGAACGGCAAGTGGCTTGCAAAGAAAATCTCTGAAGATTTTATCCTGTGTTGGAAGGCGGGTCATGTGTATATTCAGGATTTTGACGAACCGGATATGCAGAAGAAAGAAGGCAGATCTAACTTGACATTTAAGGTTGTTGGCGGTGGCGACTCCACGTCCCTCCGCATCGACTGTAAGCAGATTATCACCGCTCCGGATCTCATTGGGTACTTCTTTTTCGACGGGATGAAGATGACACCAACTGTAACATCATTACTACGTGGAGAGCCGCTCCCTGCGTCGATTGATCCGCTTCTCTTCTTTTACAGTTATATTGCTTGCCCGACAGGAACGACGCCAAGATGGATGTCCTTTGGCCAAATCGGAGATGGAAGGACCGGAGGCACGTCTGGTGGTAAGCTCTACCTAACGACAAGAAGATTCAGTACAGCTCTGGCCGAACAATCCAAGAGCAAGGTGACAGCAACAAAAGGAGAAGCCCTTGTATTGAGAAACATTGTGGGCCCAGGCTTATTCAACATTATCCATGGGCATCAAGATCATCAATTCAGTTCGCAGCGGCCATTCTTCTTCCAGCATCAAAATCGGTCCTTTTTTGTTGAGCCTGAGGATGTTGCTCTCCGGTATGACCCTCGTATTTGGTTAAAGGATGCCGCGAAACTCAACCCCTTGTTGCTGGATGGTTCATATTTCAGCCAGTATCTGGAGAAAACGCGCATTCCCACTCCTCATCAACCCTTCCCCGGCCCTGAAATTGTGGGTCCTCTCGTAGGCAATCCCTCCTTTGACATTAGCACGACTGGGATTCAGTCCCATATAAAAACATCCATTGGAGCAGCTCGAGAGTTGCGGTCGCTCACCTTGTCGTCGACTATGAACAGGAACATAGATAAACTCGACCTGAGTCGTATCGACGTCAAGATTGACAGCATTTTCCCAAGGAAAAAGGTCTACAAATTCTCTTCCTTCTATCACCCCTTTGTGACAGAGTTCACAAAGCACCTGAACCGCGACGGTATTGATGGCCTACTTCAGCGTCCTGTCCAGCTGTCCAAACGAGTCTTTTTTGGGGCCGCCTTTGATCCCAACAGGGCACATGTAGCAGGCTCTTACCCGGAGGAAGAGGTCGATTTTGATTTGGGGGGAAGCATGTCGCAGTACAATTGGGAACTTTTCTTCCACATCCCCATTCTTATTGCGGAGCGACTGAGTCAAAACCAGAGGTTTCAGGAAGCGCAAAAGTGGTTTCACTATATTTTCGATCCGACAGACACTTCTAATCTCAAATCGCCTATGCGTTACTGGCGAATGAAGACCTTTTTCGAGACGGAAGATCCGCAATATGCCGAGGAAACTATCCAGAATCTCATGCGCTTCCTGGCAAAACGAGGAAATCCACAGGAGCTAGCTGCGTTGTCGGCAGATTTGAGGAAGCGCCTAGAGGTCATGGAAGAAGCAGTCAAAAGATGGCGGAAGGACCCCTTCAATCCCTATCTTGTAGCACGAACCCGCACAACGGCCTTCCAGAAAGCGGTTGTGATGAAGTATCTAGACAATCTAATCGCATGGGGCGATCATCTCTTCCGTCAAGACACAATCGAGTCCATCAACGAGGCCACGCAGCTCTTCATTCTAGCTGCCGAGATTCTTGGGGAGAGGCCATCCGAAATCGCTCCTCGCGCGAAACCGCGAGTTCAAACATTTAACACTCTGGAAGATAAGTTGGACAGCTTCTCCAACGCTCTTGTCCAGATCGAGGAGCTCGTCCCTGCTGCCCCAAGTAACAAAGTCTCCATTCGCCCAACAAAGTATCAACCGCAAGTCGCTAGCTCTAACATTTTGTACTTTTGTGTACCCAAAAATTCGAAGCTGTTGGGCTACTGGGACATTGTATCGGATAGGCTCTTCAAGATTCGCAATTGCATGAACCTCCAGGGTATCGTCCGTGAGCTAGCACTCTTCGAGCCACCCATTGATCCAATGCTATTGGTTAAGGCTTCAGCTGCAGGTGTCGATTTAGGGAGCGTCTTAAGTGATATGGATGCTTCATTGCCGTATTACAAGTTTACAACCATGAATGCCAAGGCAAATGAAGTGTGCAACGAACTGAGAGGCCTCGGATCGGCACTTTTGACGGCCCTAGAGAAGCGGGACGCTGAATCACTTGCCCTTTTGCGCGCAAGTCACGAGATAACGACACTGGAAGCCGTTCGGAAAATTAAGGAAAAGAGCATCCAGGAGGCCTCCGAAGCACTGAGCGCCGTGGGAAATGGGAAATCCGTCGTTCAAGAACGATTCAATTACTACAACACCATTGCCTTCATGAATCCCTGGGAAATTGCGCACATGTCAATGGAAGGCCTCGCGCTTGTTCTCCAAATCATTGAGGCAGCTACACAACCTGTCGCGGCGTCGCTGGCTCTCATTCCGGAAATTAAGGTCGGCGCTCCGACGTCAGTAGGTGTTACCTACGGCGGCGCAAATCTCTCGTACTCGGCATCATACTTTGGCGCATTTTTGTCTCGCTCAGCTGGGCTTCTTAGCAAAGGTGCCGGCATGGCTGCGACCATGGGAAGTCATTGGCGACGGAAAGACGACTGGGATCTTCAGAAGCGTTTGGCGAGCAAAGAGCTCGACCAATTTGATAAACAAATCGCAGGAGCATCGGTGCGGCTCGAGATTAGCACCCAAGAGCTGTCCAGCCACGACTTACAGCAAGAGAATGCAAAAGAAATCCGAGACTACTTAGAGAGCAAGTTCAACAACGTCGAGCTCTATGACTGGATGATTGGCCAACTCTCGACGCTATACTTTCAATCGTATCAAATGGCATATGACATTTCCAAACGCGCCGAGAGAGCCTATGCATTCGAGTTAGGTTTGCCAAAGGCAGATTTCGTCCAGTTTGGGTACTGGGATAGCATGAAGAAGGGCTTATTGGCTGGTGAGAAGCTTGCCTACGACCTCAAGAGAATGGAGCTGTCGTACCTGGACCAGGATAGACGGGAATACGAAATCACAAAGGCCATATCACTTGTCCAGCTTGACCCAGTTGCACTGATTCAGCTCAAGGAAACGGGCGAATGCTTCTTCGGAGTCCCAGAAGCTTTGTTTGACCTCGACTATCCCGGCCACTATTTTCGCAGAATCCGGACCGTGGGAGTAACGGTCCCTTGCGTTGTTGGGCCGCATTCGAGCTTCAGCTCAACTTTAACGCTCCTGAAGTCGTCGGTCCGCGTCGGAGCCACACTATCGAATGGGAAGTATGGGAGGCGTGACAATGATACACGGTTCCGAGACTTCTACGCTCCATCGCAGTCCATTGTGACATCCACTGGTCAAAACGACTCCGGACTCTTCGAGACCAATCTCCGCGATGAGCGATTTCTCCCATTTGAGCGGACTGGCGTGATAAGCTCGTGGAGACTACAGCTCGGCCCGGCAACCATGGCACAAATAGACTTCCAGACAATCACCGACGTTATACTCCATTTCAAGTACACAGCGCGGGAGGCAGGCGAGCCTCTCCGCTCCCAAGCCATTAGCGAATTGAAAGCAAAGACGCTCGATTCTATCGCGATTGCAGAGAGTCAAACCGGCCTGGCTCGCTTCTTCAGCCTTCGTCATGAGTTTCCCGACGCATGGCATCGACTCTGGCAGGCACCCTCGGGCCAAGGGGCTACAACGCAAGAGGCGAGACTGCCCATTCTTACAACGCGATTTCCCTTCATGTTCAGACTCGTAAAGAGCCTCAACATCTTCCGAATCGAGGTTTTTATCAGAGTCAAGGAGAAGTTTTTGAAATCTACACATGGGGCCGCCGCGGTCAAGTTTGCGATAGTCGGAGAAGACGCACCGGAAGATGAGCCAAATCCACCGTTGGAACTGATTGAATGGAAAGGCGTGCTTCGGGGCGCGAAGACACTGGATCATTCCCCGGGCGTGTTCATTATAACGACATGGTTGGATGACGGAGGCCTGGTTCTCCGTGAAGCTGTGGATGAGATTATGCTTGTAGCGCACTACGCTGCGATATGGCCACCAATCGCCCCTACCACCTAACCAGACTGTTTCTCAATACTTTCTCGAGTCCATGGGCGTTGTGAATGAGCCTATTCCCACTTGCTTTGGTAGATATATTAACATAGGTGCCTATTGTCTCTTAGCAATTAGCCTTTTACTATGAGGTCTCTAGGAATTCTCTGCACTCGCCGTTACGTCGTAGTGCATATTTTCTACTCCCGGTAGAGCTCAGATACATTATGCAATATATGATCCTCTACGAATCCCTCAGGAAGAAAAATGTCAACACTACCTCTATCTCACCATCCACACAGTCACGGCATTATCTTTCACTGTAGAATTAAAATCATGATCATCAAGCCATTTCTCTGTAGTATTTACTTCTGCATGCTTTTCAAAAGATTCATCGAGTAGTGTGTTTAGGGCTATGTTTGTCGATCAGTAAGTAATTCTCGAAGGACATTTTCGTTGGTGAACACATACGTTATATTGACATAGGTCGGGACGGTTGGAGCGAGAATTTCCATATGCGTTCTCGAAAGAGAACCAGATTGTTCGGCAGTGGTGTTCCTAACCAACGTCAGGGATATCGAAGATGATAATCAATGATACGCAGCCTTCAGATTGGAGAAGACTAACGGGGTTTCGTCGTCTTCACCAAGTTCTTCGTTATCCAAATAGCGGTCGACCTCAGTTCGTATAATCTCTTGCATTGTAAAGGTATTTGGCATCATCATTGCTCCTCGGTACACCACACTCATTAATTGGCTTGTCTTCAGAAATAGCTAGGGGACAAAACAAACGCCATGAATCCTCCCGACGCTTGTGGCTCGACCAGCCCATTTTCAGCCACATCAATGCCATCCCGTAGATGTTGGTCCCCTACGTCATGCACCTTATTGTAGTCATATAAGCTAAAGTATTGGTTTACGTTGTAGCGAAACAACGAAGCTGGAAAAGAAGAATCATTTGTAGAAGTTGGAAGTGACCTCGAGAGTTTAAATGAATGAAGGAAAGTGTTATTATACAGATAAAACTGAGATGTTAGGAGAGGGCTCGGTTTCCAAACGCGTCCGAACTTATTAAAAACTGCTTTAAACGCGTAGATGCCTGCAGGTCACGCAAATCCTTCGAAATAAAATAAACAGTATAAGTTACTTGAGAGAAATTACAAGAAATTATTTTCGAGAGCCAAGGAGCCGAAGTAAATAAATTATAGGCACAGCAACGAACTGGAATGCCTCCTAGGCCTACCACCAGCGAATCCGGAACGGGAAAATGAACGGCCGAACGGGCTAACAAATGACCGAAAATCTGGGGTCTCCTCTCGCTTCCCCAGTGTTCCCCAAACCTCCGCCTGCCTCCCAAGTCCCTCCAAGCCTGTCGATCTATTCATCAACTCCAGGAACTCAACCGTCATGCCATAGTAGCCGTTCAGCAGAGTGCAGCAAACATATTATCTGGTTAAATAAGCGCAAATTCCTCGTCCGGCGCATCACTCAATAAAGCTTCTCCGTTCATCATCCCAAAAACATACGCATCGCCAACAAATTCATAGCCAATGTCTCGCGGTCGAAGCACGACAGGTACCCGACCGCCATATAGAACACATATCACATCGCCGACCTGCACTTCACGGGGCATCCACCCAATTAACCCGTTGCTAGTCGAGCAAAATCTTCGGTATGTAAGCATGACGACAAAGCAACTCTCGATCAGCTCCTGCGCTATACCGCCTTTTTTGAAAACCCTTTTGTCCTCCAGATTGGCATGTATGAAATGGCCATAAGCTCTAAAGTATGTCCCGTATAGTGCACTGGCTTTCGACCCCGTACGAGTGTGTCCCCAAATCATTGTCCGCCAGAATTGCTGGAAGCGCTCGTTAGACATACCCCACGATCTAGATTTCCAATATTGGAATGATGGGGAGAGTGCTTTGTCGTCCTCAGAGTGATCCTCAATAGCAATGCTCATACACTCTCGCAGCCACTCCCGCTGACGTTCAACTATTTCCATATTCAATTCTCCATTTGGAAGTCTGGATAGCTGCCCTGGATATTGAGTGCGCGCGACCCTTTTTACAGAATCGATCCGTTTTCCCTTCAGCATAAGAATTTTCCCGTCTGATGATATGCGCGCCTCCGGTCCAAGCCACTTAGCTTTCATGGCGTCGAAAGTGAACATGTAGTCGGGTAGAAAGTATTTATGATTGGCATTGGAGAAATCAGGTACCCAGGAGGGCAATCCGTAATCTGTCTTCGATTTATCGGAGATGATTGATAAGGTCGACAAGCTGCCGTTTTTCATGATATCCCAGACTACAAATCTTCTGTACACCTCACCCACTTCAAGGCTATAGTCTACAGTAAGACCTCTTTTGACTGGGCTCTTTTCGGTAGTAACGTTGATGATGGCATAAAGTCGGTCCTTCGGATCGGAACATTCGAAAGCGCGTGTTTCGTGCACCATGTCTATCAGTGTCGAAGTGTATTTGCGATTGCGTCCAAACACCCAGTATCCGCTTCTCAAGTTCTCACGAACCTTATTGATCATGTAAATACCACTAGTGGTCGCAAAAATCTTCTCGTTCTTGACTTCAATCACGTCAAATTTGTTTCCACCATGGGTGGTGATACCGCGCAGTCCCCGCACTGTACTGAGAAGCTTCTGAAAATTGATCGTCTCAGCCCCGCACACCACTACTGCGTACTTGGATAGAATAACCTCCTGAACAATCCACGTACGTTGAAACCATGGTCGTTCAAGTAGTCTGTTCACAGCATTTTAGTCTGCCGATTCTGGAAGATGTGGTTCAGCGATCTGCTTGGGAACGAAGGGTTGCAACATGGGTATGACTTCGAATAGCATAGCTATTGGTAAATAAAGAAGCACCCTGGGATAACATTTCTCAAGTGTGGAAAACGCTCCCTTAATATCTTCCGATGCTTCGCCGATCCAGATCACGGTGCGTCGCGCGCCAGCATAGATTTGGCCCATCATCTTGACTTGCGCACTTTTCTCTTCAAGATCATTCTGATTAATGCATATGCAATCGGCCCAGAGCACCCGCTGGCGATCCGTGAATCGCAAATCACGGAGGGCTGAATGGAGATTGGCAGTTACGGAAATGGCCTGTCCGTCGCATACGACAGATGCTCTGTTATTGGGATCGCCCCAGTTGTATGACAGAGCCTCGTATCGAGTGCGCCAGGATAAAGGTACGTGAATGAGCTTGCAGGATATCTGGTCCAGAGTTTCCCCAGGTTCGAGAATAATAAGACGAATTTCATTTGGTTTGGTGAGCGCACGGTAGATAGACTGGGAAGCAGCTTGGTCTGGCTTTTTCTTTAACACGGGTAGTGGAATAATCCGAAATATGGTGTTTCTAGTGATAGCATCTAGGATGCCGTGTTCCTCTAGCGGATCATAGATGAGACCCCGAAAAGGGTTAGGCAAAAAGAATGCCATATATAAAAGACTGATCAGCTTCCAATTTCTGATCAGAGCTCTTATACGCCTGAATTTTGGTGGTTTGGTTGGAGGCTGGGACGTCGCGAAGCGCTTCGTTCCAAACCGGAACAACGGCGATTTGTGAGGCAGCAAAATAGGTCTCAACCTTGCGTGAAACATTTTGTTTGGTGAGCGTACTAGCTGGTTCTTCCTGATAGAAATATAGGATAGATAGTGACTAGGAATACAATGGAAATGCTATGCATATCTGCAGACAGCAGACACGTCGGACTAGCCACATTGAACTTCCTACTTCTTCCATAACGGGATTGGTTGTTCAGGAGTGTAGTGTAGTCAGATAACAGCCTGAAAGACTTGAGAATGCACTCCCGAATGTACGGTAATAAGCATAGAACACTAGGCGGGGTTCAGCCTGTCGTGCCCACCCTCTTTACGTGAACCCGTTCGGCGACATTGGGCACCACCTGCAGCCTCTTGACTAAATGTGTGGCGAGCTGAATACTCGCTAAATGTGACGCGAGAGGTGCCAGCATGAGAACATCTGCACTCTACATGTATAGGATCGAGATCATAGACTTACGAAAATGTTACGCTGTTCAATAATGCCTCAAAGACTACATCTAGATCCAAAGCACGGGATATTGTGAATTAGTCTTAGAATTCATGAACCTCATCTAGCTCTGGATTGCTTATTGAGTCTCCTGTAGGCGGATTTGCAATACCATCTTCTACCTGCTCGTAGTATTTTCCAGTTCTCAAATGAGCAGGGTATTGGTTTCTAAGCTGGTTTCAAGTAAAGCTAAATGCAGAAAACGCGCCTTTGCTTTCTGCAGGGTTCCCGCTTGAAAAATGGGGTGCACAAACAATGGTTGGTACGTTTGTCTACTGCTTGGGGAATCAACTTCCGACCCTGCACTCCATCCCATATGTTGGCTGACCAGCAGTCGCCGACGACTTGATTGTCGCTTCATTAAAGTGAGCGACCAGTGGCTGGCCACAGTCGCCAATGGACGCTCCATAAGCGGTGGTCAAGTGTGGTCGACCTCGACTTTGCGCTGAAAGTCCAAAAATGGTACATAATGAGGTATACGACAGGCAATTTCATCCAACTTAGAAATCAGCATTTCCAGCCCCCAAATTGCCTTGTATCTCTACTTATTGATTTGTTATAGGAACACTACAACTTCATATAACAGGTATAATTGTGAAAATGGCGTCCGATTCAGACAGCTGGACGACCGACGAATCCGGTGATCCCGATGCACTTCTGCTACTCCCCGTTCCGGAGACCATCCCACGTCAAGGAGATAAACTATGTGACATTTGCACAGCGCTGAACCTGGACGCGAACCGTTTTGTCGTTCTGCCAGGAGATCCAGAGGAGAACGATTGGAACAGAGCCGATGAACTGAACATTCACCTTGGAAAAGTCGAAGAAATCCAGGGAAAGACCAATTGTCCTCTATGCCGCCTTGTTCTCGTGGCAATAAGTGGTAAAGATATCCCGACACATGAGAATGGAGAGCCTCTTACAGTTTCAATGAGCTGGAACACTAATGGTCCGACGCCTGACCCTACACAGCCATGGAATCGTCGTCCCGAAGTTCGGGTCCTTCGCCCATATCTGCGTACGCAAAGCGGAGGATATCCAGAAATGAGGTTCAATCTCTTCCCTGAGATCACGCTTCTGGCTAACGACTCGCCTACGGACTCTACGACCTACTTCATCCGCCCGTACGACCAAGAGAAGATCGATTTTGCTGTAGCACGGAGATGGCTAGCTCTCTGCAACCAGAATCATGGCAAAACGTGCCGCACAAACCGCATCTTGAAGGAGCTAAAGAGATCTCATCCAACTGAAGAAGTGCCCGACTTCCGATGTATTGACGTGGAAAACAAATGCGTGGCCAGGGTACCACCCAGAAAACGCTACGCTGCCCTAAGCTACGTATGGGGTGCAGCAATTCACTTCTCGGCTCTCACATCCAACATTGCAGCGCTTGAAAAGGGGGGTTCACTAGAGGATCCCGAATTCAAGGACAAGATACCACTGACAATCAGGGACGCAATCACTGTGGCGAAAGAAGTTGGCATTGAATACCTATGGGTTGACAACCTGTGCATTATACAAAATGATGATAAACTGAAGACCGCGACAATTAAGGCAATGGATCTTGTCTACAGCGCGGCAGACTTGGTTATTGTCACAGCCGGCAGCGATAATGCGCATGCAGGCATCGCTGGCCTTCATCCCGGCACTCGCGAGTATCGACAGCCAATAGAAGAGATTGCTCCAGGCTTCAGACTTGCATTCAGAACTCGATGGGCTGACTCGGTTGAGGGAAGATCTTATAATAAACGAGGATGGACGTAGGGCTACACTATCATCTTACCCATGATGACCTTGCAAAGCTGATCACCAACTAGCTATCAAGAAACACATTTCGCCAACAGATCTCTGATCTTCATCGATGGAAAAGTAGTCTTTCGCTGCCAGGGTGTCGACGCGTGGGAAGAACATCTCATCGAAGCTCCTGACGAAATCAAGGGCCAGCAAACGCGACGCTACGGCGGCTTTGAAGGTGGCGATATCGGAGAATTTGAAGGCCTCATTCAGAATTACTCCGAGCGAATTCTGTCCTTTGACAAAGACGTTTATAACGCCTTCGCGGGGGTATCACGACAACTCACAGTGCAGCTTGACACCGAACTTTGCCATGGTCTCCCGACTAGATACTTCGACTGGTTCCTACTCTGGAGACCCCTCTCACTTCAGTCGCGACGATTGTCAAAGGATGAACCGACGATACTTGCCCCAAGCTGGTCTTGGTCTGGCTGGGTAGGCACGTCGTGGCCTCACATGTGGGACTGGTATAATAGGAGCATTGGAGATATAAAGAAAGCGATACGGAAGCGGACCTGGATTATCTGGTACCAACGTGACGGGCATGACTCGACAAGCTGCAGACGTCTTATACGACACAAAAGTGACACCCACTCTGGCACAAAGGCAAATAGGAACTTCTATGGCTCCCGGGTTCGCGAACGTTTCAACCTGGACTGTTCAAAAGTTGAGCCAAGTAAGATACTTCTTGAATCGCTGAATCCGCCTAAGTACGTCGAGGACATTCTCAGCAATTTCAGTGGGTCAGGATATCTACAGTTCTGGACGGTTTCTGTTACCCTTCGGCTTGATGCGGCGCATAGTATCGACGAGGAGAGAGGCCCAGTGGACAAACGTCACCGCCTGGGAATCCTCGGTCGTAGTGGACGCGAACTTGGAATCATTCGAGTGCAGCCAGATTGGTTGCAGAATAATGTTCTCCCACAGGAGAGAGAGTTCATCCTCATTTGTGAGGGGAGAGATACGAGAGCTGAGAACGGACGGAAGGACCATGAAAATGGATGGAGGTACATGGCTATGCTGCTTGAATGGGTAGGCAACGGAAATCTCAGAACTGCACTGGGGTCGATCAACAGCTCTGACGGGCCGATGTATGCTGAGAGGGTTGCGATTGGTTCTATCGGAAAGCACGACGTGGAGGAGGCGCTTGGGGACGGCCTGGTTTGGAAGGAAATCATACTCGGCTGATACAATTTTGTTTTGAACTGTCTCCACGGCCTGATCTATCTTCGTACGGAGTAGGGGTTCTTGAGTTTTAAGGCTTCTTTCATATTTTGCAGAAGGAACTCCGTAGAGTTCAAGATAATTAAGGAAAAGGAAATCTTTGTTGCTTTTGTTTCACCCCACCTTGGTGTAGAAGTGAAGCGAACAACATCGGAATACGACCCATCAGGGCGGTAACTGGGCAGCAGTACAGGACAGGGTGAAGTGCGTCAGCTGCCAAGTGTGCGCTTTTGCCTGGCCTGCATGTTGCATGACACTGCCTGCATGTGGGCGCGCACCATCACTGTTGTGTCCTTGCCCATGTCACAACCGACGAAAGCTGCTTCAGTAGTGTTACCCCAGAAACTGCGCTGAGTCCACAACAATTGTCAATAGCCTTCCAAGCTGAGATTCTTGCCAACCTGCACGGAGTATCTTTGCTTGTCATAGAACGAAACATTTACTCCGTACAGTCCTTACGTTTTGACCCTACCAAGGCTATGTCGATATGCCTCCGTCACGACATGTTCTTGTAGCTGGCCAGGCTGCACAGGACTTTTACACTTTCCACCAGTCCACGCAGCCCACCTCCGAATCACAACCACCTCAAAATAGGTGGTTCAGGGGAGGAGCCAGCCTTATTGCTCACCTATTGCACGATCTACCTAGGTCTGACCCCACAGTTGATATCCACGTCTCAGAATTTCCGAGCTCGCAACATAATCCTTCCTCGTGGATAGAGCTAAACCAGGTATCGAATAATTCTTCGTTTATTGCAGCGCGGACCCGGAAGCTCAATCTTGACAACCAATTGCACCTGCCGAAGTCACTCCCGCCACCAGCATCTGAACAGAACCGGACAGTGTATATTTTCCAGGATGGAGAAACCCATTTCGCAGGGGAGGGGGAAAAATCCGTTTCACACTTGCTCGAGCAATACTGGCCTAGTTATGTTATCTATCATATGTCACGTCCCCTCTGCGAAGGAGAAGTATGGGAGAAGATTAGGCCAAAGAAACCTTTCAACCCCAAAGAGTGCCTGGATCCAGACCGACTCATTGTCATTGTGCACGCCGATGATCTTCGAGCAGAGGGCATTGAATTATTCTACAGTTCCTCTTGGGAAAAAACCTGCGAAGACTTTGTAAGGAATTTAGGGGCAATAGGGCGAATGGTGACCCTAGCGACATGCCCAAATCTGATTGTCGTATTCGGGTGCGATGGGATCATCTACCATCGCGGTCTGGATGTTTTGAAACCAATCTTAATTTTTGATCCAAGCAGGACCGAAGGCGAGTTCTATCAACAGAACCTACAGTACGTCCCAGGAGTCATGGAGGCTTTTGTCGCAGGCTTTGCAAAATCCCTAGTACAGTCAGACATAGCTGATTATGAGGATTGTATCGCCAAAGGATTTCAGACAGCTAGAAACCTTGCACGCAATGGGATTTCAGTGAATGAAGCAAATTCGTCGATATACGATGCTTCCAAAATCATGGAACTCCCTAGTAACGGCGAAGATCCTCTGATAAGACTTGAGATTCCATCGGACGACATAGGCAAGGGTGATGAGAGTTGGTCCCTGCTCGATTCCATCATCGCGGATTCGGGTGAAATAGCACGTAGGATTGTCTTGGATGGGATTTCCAGCGTCAATGTACCCTCGAAGCGCTTCAACCGCCTTGTCCTCTTTGATAGAAAGGAGATTCACCTCTTTCAGATTTTGAAAACATGCTTTGAAGAGTACCTTGCAGTACCTCAAACCAAACCGCTGAGTATGGCTCTCTTTGGGCCTCGAGGATCTGGGAAGGCACACGCGGCACTTCAACTGGTAGAAACAGCAGCCAGAGGTAGAAAGATCAGACAGCTCATATTCGATCTCTCCGAATTCAATAAACTGGGAGATCTAGTGGAAGCATTCCATCAAATCCGCGATTGCACCCTTGAGGGTTGCATTCCTTTTGCCTTCTTCAAAAACTTCGACGTTCATTTCGATGGGTCACCGTTCGGTTGGCTACCGCACCTCCTTCCTGCAATGGCGAGAGGCAGATTCTATGATAGATCAATTAGCAGACCCATCGGCACAGCTCTCCTGTTCTTTAGCACTTCGATTTCAAGAAGCTTCACGAGCTTCCAATATCATGGCGACCCTAACATACACGAGGGAACAGCACGTAACGTGCGAGAATTTATCGGATACCTACAAGGATTCGTTGACATGGCTGGATTTAATCGTACTGGGCTCGGCGACAAATTGTATCCATTCCGGCGAGCCGTTGTCCTACGAACCCTACTTGAGGAACGCCAACCCAAGCTTAAAACAGGATGCAGAATCAATGTCGACGAAGACGTTCTGAGTGGTCTTCTTTTGGTGCCGGAATATACCCAAGGGATTCGATCACTCACATCTATCCTGTCCATGAGCCGTTTGAATGATGCAAAGAATTTCCCAAGCTCAGCATTACCCTCCGAAACCCAGCTTCGGCTACATGTCGATTACGCAGAGTTCAGGAAGGCTATGAGCGGAAGACTTCTCCCTCTTGAGGTCCGAGAATTATTAGCCGAGCGATTGAATGAGACCTATGCCAAACACATACGCGAAAGAGAGCGCGGCAAGCTGCCGATCAATGTTACGAAGACCGACAAGGAAATAGACATGGCAAACTACCTAGAACCGTGGGACAAATTAAGCGAAGCCTTCAAAGACTCCAACAGAGATCATGCAGATGCCATAAAAACTACAATACGCATAATCTCGTGTTTTTTGGCCGAAAAGAAAGAAGGTAGAAATCCGGTAACGAACTTCACGGACTCCGAGATTGAAGCTATGGCTATGCATGAGAAGGACCGATGGAATTCTGAGCGGCTCCAAAGGCAATGGAAAACCGGACGTAGGAGTGGAAAAGATAAGACGACCCCATACCTGGTTCCATGGAAGGATTTGGACGAAGAAACAAAAGAGATCGATCGTGCCATGGTCAGATCGTATCTATCAATACTTCCGCAGAACTATGCTATCTATCGGATGGAGTCAAAGGTCTAGATACAATTTACTAGGAGCTTGGCGCAAGTAATTGTTCTGTCTCTATATCCAAAGCTCGTACAGGAATGTCTTGTGAAAGTATGATGCACAGAGTCACCCTAATTCTTGATCTATCTCTAATTCTCGCTCCCGTGCGTCTTGGTACCTTTTATCCATCCATCTGTACCATATGACCCAGGAAATCACGATAATCACAGTCAGAGGAACTGTGACAGCCCAATACAACCAGAACCATTTGGATACGATGCGACTATTGTCGTCGTTATCCTGTAAGCCTCCACTTGGACTCCCGCTTCCATCAGAGTTGTCATTATTGTCTTCTGGCATCCATTGGAACATTGACATGCTGAAGATTGCCTACTTATTCATTAGCGATAATCTTTAGGTTATTCGAAGGAGGGGAATCGTACTGCCACGAATGTACCTGGCAAAAATACCAGTGTCACTACCGCAACCGTTTTCATTGAGGCCGAATCCCGACGTGCTTCCTCAGCGGCTAGATAGGAGTTGTTCGCTATCTGTACATAGATTAATGATAATCTCATAATACACGATAAGAAGGCCTTTCCGTACCATGATATTTGTTTGTCCGTCCAGCTATTGCTCGAATTAATTCATTGTAATTTCGTTTAAAGATATACTACCACAGGATTGAGTTCATTCTCACCATAGTCTGTTGCGCTTCAATCCGCGGTGCTGCGGTTGTGACTTCATGCTTCAGTGTCCCCAAGATGAAAGAATGCGCCTGCACTGCCTCGACCAATGATTCAGAATACTCAATGGAACGTTCACCAGATTCATTTGTAGCTTTCGTCCTCAATGTCTCAAAGGTCTGTTCCAGGTTGGCAGCAAGTTCCTTTGCAAAGAGGTAGCGCTGATGTAAAGATCCTTGCGTTCGTCTGAGGTTGAATAAATGCGCTTTGACCTTTCTCAGTTCCTTCATTTTGTAGATTTTGGGGTTCAGCAAATCCTTGTCTACTTCCAATATCTCTTTTCTCATTTTTGCAACTCCGGTTGCAATCTCGTTGACCTGGAAGCGCATCAGGGTGACCGGTAGTATCATCAGATCTGGGCTTAGGTATGGTGAATAATCGCTTGGATAAACTTCATGATCCAGCAAGTCCGACAACACTTTCATGTCGAGCTTGTGTTCCGGGCTAGAAGGTCCGAGGAAGATGAGCGCTGTCCAGTCCGGTGCGCTCTCATATCCATAACCATGGTGCGATGTCAGAGAGAGCGAGAAGAACGGTAACAAATCATCGTGGGGGGTTTGAGCCATGAAACTCAGACTGTTGTTGGATTCTCTAACTGCCGATCCAACTGTGTGATTAGCAATGAATGTTTCGAAAACATTGCTTATCCAGTGAGCGGCTTTTGCAGCTTTGAGGAGTACTTTCTGCTCGTCCAGCTGCTTCATATCGGAAAACTGGACAACGAGTATACGAAAGCGATTTTGTGCATAGTTTCTCATGTCATTCCTAACCGGCGTGGTCCGAATGTACCGCTCAGCCTTCGATTCGCAGCCCAAGTCCTTCCATGGGGGATTCGAGCCGCATTTTGACTCATCATCAATGCGCCACTGTCCATCTATGAAGCTTTTCAACGGACTAAGAATCTTCCCGCGTGCCTCCTGAAAGCTGGTTCAGAATCCGATCGAGAGTCAGGAAGTTGGAGAAAACCAGGCTTACGTGAATTTGCTTAACACTTGTTTCAAAGGAGTGATAAGTAATGCTCCTAGCCTCACGCTTTTCCTTCGACTTTTCGGTCAAAGTGACCACAGAACTTTTAGAAGCATTCGACATTGTTACTTGTAAGTTTTCAACAATATGAGCCCACGGATAAGAATGGCATTACTTGATAAGAAACAATCGGGGTATCTCAAGGAGATAATCGACGATAGAATGCATATCATCAGGCTAGTCCAAAAGGAAAGAATACAAGGCTACACGACAGCAGGCACAAGTGTCGAATCTGTCTACAGCCTGAGTTTCGTTGTGTTGATTCGGAGAAGGGCAATCGTATCTGCGAATAATGTCAGGTAGGGTGTCGTAGCCGCCCAAGCGTACTGATTAGGAGGAGGCTTGCAGGGTTAAGCGGACTCTGTGCCCCACAGAAAGGGTCGGTCCGCCTGCTATTGGCGCCGAATTCAATTCAGCTGATGTACATATGTACCCCGGCATTAATGTCACAAAATCCCGCATTACTGAAGCAGCAACCGATAATGGATTGGTTCAGTCACAGAAGGAGGTGATGCGAACCGCTTGTGCTCAGTTTGTTGACGTGTGCTTTGGCGTATGTCGCAAATTAGGAGAATGCTGGTAGCAGGAATATTTCCCAGAGAGTAGGATAACTACAGCCACTCTCTTGTCACGTCGATTTCGTCGCCAGTAATTTATGGAACTACAACATCATTTAGATACCGTTTGAGGTTTGGAAAAAACCAAGCCAGTCATAACACATACAGTGTCTTCGAGCTGAGGATTCTTTTCTCGCTGATTTTCGCCATCCATTCTCTCGTTGCAACGACTAGACAAGGCTTAAGCCCATAAAAGTCCAATTTGAAGGAATATTTCAGCCGCACGTATCCTCAAGTATCGGAGTCATTGGTCCTGGCACTGCTTTTCGAATATTAAGGCGTCAAGTAATTAGTAAATACAATCTTCCCACAGTGTACTCCCAAGAATTCAAGGATTTTTTATCATAACTAGCTGGTAGTTCAGGCAAAGCATACCACTAATCTTATTACTACAGTAATACAGCAAAATAAGGTGAACGGTAGCTATTGCTATTAGATTATTCTCTAAGAAGGGAGACTCAAGAAGTCTACTGAAATCATAAATGTTGATAGAATAGATCCCTTCCCTATATGAAAATGCTGAAACTGAAGAATACAATTTCAGGGTTCTCATTGTGCCTTGTCAGCAACATCAAGCCCACGTTTGCTAGTACCTAGGCCTCAAAGACGACCTTCGCAATTCTATTCCAGCAAGTATGGCAGCCATCTTGTCAAGAAGCTGAGTAGTATATAATTACGCCAGAATGATCTGCAATTTCGAACAATCGCCTGAATTGAGATTCAAGCCCCCGAGTACTTTGATATGGACTTGCTTTCCTTCCTATTCTTAGAAAAGCTGGACAAAGTCAACACATGTTTGGACTTGACCGAAGTGCACTCTTTGTAGTCCTTGCAAGATTCCACTAACATAACCGCAACGGAGATCGAATTGCCTGCGTTGCTGAATTTTCAGTGACGTATTCTCCAACCATATCCGGTGCCTGAATATTGAATGCCTCCAGTTGTTGAGCAAGGCTCCCTGTTAGGGATATCGTCACTCGGCCAAGATTGGACTATTCAAATTGGATTCGTCAAACTATGAAATTTATTAAACTTACCAAGAGATGCTTCGTACATGTATTGCTGATGGAACTTTTCAAGATGTTAGCTCGCATAGAAACCCTAACGCTGCCCCAAATGTTGGTTCTAATTTCGACCCCGATAGCAGTTTCTCTCAATTTACAGAACGTAGCATCCGAAGGTCTACCTAGATAGCTCTCTTGAGTTCGGATTATCCGAAAAGGCAAGTGGTGCCGTCATAACCCAATAGATAGATCGATTGGCTCCGTTGAAGCTCGGTTACTCTAATGCAATCACTATAAAACTAGACATTCATACTACTGTTGCAGCGGATGTTTGAGAATCAAGTCAGTCATTGCACCATGGTAGAACTGATTGAAGATTACAGGCCTAACCTCTTTTTACTCGCATTAAGACAACAAGTACCCCAAAGAGAGTAATGAAACCAGTAATTCCGTAGCCTAGTACCTTGAGGCCTATTCCAATGTCATTTAGCATACCGACCAAGAATGACGCAACGATGAGCGACCAAGGAATACACAGTAGGAGAACAGTGAAAATTGGGGTTCGCTTTGTCCAAAGCCAGGTCAACTTCGTCGGAAGGAAATTGGATTTTTTAGAGTCCTCCAACCAACCGCGAAACTCCCCGTAGCCCCAACGAAGAAGAAGAAGAACGCCGAGTAGAATGAAAGTTAATGTGCCAAGGAGGAAAATGACGCCAAAAAAGTCATAAATAAGGTAATGCAGGTCGGTGAACCGTGTCTGCATACTGAGTATCGAAGAAGCAAGAGATAGCGGGAGGAAGATTACGGCTAAAAGAGTCAGGAGCTGTCCTCGCCCAGATTCGTGTAAGCTTCTGCCAATTTCGAAAAATTGGATACGGCTGTTCAAACGAGACGATAAAGAAGAGGTCTGATTTTCTAAAGCTGTACAGAGAGCTTGAAGCTCGAGGAAAAATTCTTGGAACTGAGTAACACTGTGAAGGTCGTCCATGAGTTGCAGAGACTTCTGAAAAAAACCGACAGCGTCGAGAAAAAGGGCCACGTTTTGCTGAACTTGTTCCCAGAAATACGAATCCTGTGAAAGGACTTGTAAGAGAGCAGATGCAACTATAGTCTGATCCGGGTCATTGAGATTGCGCATAGATATGCGAAACAATGTCTCTGTTGCTGATAAGAAATAGGAATGACCGATTAAGACGGCATGACAAACACGTAGTATCATTATTCGCTGTTGCTTCAACCGGGTAACACCAACTTTCAGGTTTGCGGGTAAAGAGACTTCCAAACTCCTGATATTGGCCGATAACCGGGCCAGTTCACGCTTAACGAGACTGCCTGCTGATTCAGAGTTGCTGCGTGATTCCTTTATATAGCTTGCAGCTTCAGCCTCGCAGAATATGAAGCCTACCCTGTTAATTAGAAGGAGCACGATGAACTTATGATAGTGAGAACATACAGAGCATGCGGTTCTCGCGCCATATGCATCTCAGTCGTATGTGGCATCGAACCAAGGTTTGGAAAAGACCTTGGGATTCATTTCCAGTGCCAAAGACACATATGCCGTCTTGCCACCAGGGCATCTCGTTGCCTTCTAAACGTCGGCTAAGCGACGGAATAGTAGAGTGTGGATGATGATGCAAAAATCCCGACAATGGTGTAGAAGTTATCTTCTGGACATGCGCTTCAAAGTCTTTGTCATGCTCGACATCATGCAAAATATAGACACGAACAGTGTCCTTCTCTTGAGGGGGTAGATCATGGAGATCTTGCAGACCAGTACTCGTGTCTTCTCCGGTTTTCACGAGGACATTGGGACGGTAGTCGGAACCAGCATTTAGGTCAAAGACCTCCAGGTATTTCCCTTTGATAGGTCTCCAATCGTCGAGATGGTGGCGGCCTGAGTATAGATGTTCGATCGAGTATTGGACAAGTTGTGAATTCAGAAGGCTTTGGATCCCGATAATACCAGAGACGAAATCCATGATGTAACGGAAGCGCACAGTTTTATTGACAAAAGACGTAGCGATTTATGTAGGGACTCCAGGACCGGGACTGCAAAGTCGCAGAGGATTTACCTTATATCGAGGATGCGGCAAGGCTGAAACATCCCCTGCAGCTACGCGCCGCCGGATAGTGTAGTGCATGTGGCTGAGCAGGAACCGAGAGCTTGACACTCGTGCACAGTACTACGTTTTGCCTATTGGCCTAAAATGTTTGATCAGTAATGCTCTGTCTATAAATACTGCTGAAATAAACGTCCTGCTGAAATAAACATCCTGCTAAAATAAACATTCTGCTAAAATAAACATCCTGCTAAAATAAATATCCTGCTGAAATAAACGTCCTGCTAAAATAAACATTCTGCTAAAATAAACATCCTCTAAAATAAATGCATCCTGAGCCAACACAGGTTTTGATTACATGTTGCTATACACTTTTCTTTGGAATACATAGGCTATCTATTCATGTGACAGTTCCATGTATTTCAAGGGCATGTCGCCGGAGATGCTCTTTATGTTCCAGCTTCACATCGCATATGCTACACCATTGCGGCTCAAAGTCTGGCATCCTGGCCAAATGGCACTGCTTAAAGTGCCTACTGAGCTCTGTCGAAGAAGCGAAGGAATGAAGACGTTTTTCATTGGGTGCGTCCTCGTTCCCAAGGCACCGAAAACAGATTTTCGGCCTGGTTTCCTTAAAAATAGAGACCTTTGCTGCTTCGAAGGCTGCGTCGAATGAGTCGATAGCTGTTGGTAAGACTTGTCGCTCGGCCGATCTCGTTTGCTGTTGGGAACTTCGAGTGACACCTTCCTCGATTAAGCAGTAGGCAGCGACAGCATTGATGGCTTTACTTCGCCGACGATATTCTTCCTCCAGCGTCGTCCCAGGGAGGGACAATAGGGACTCAATCAATGCGTTATGAAGTGGGGTTCTCTCGGGGCAAAGGTTAAGCTTCGTCTTGACTTGATCACCAAACTTCGAACCTGACAGCTGTTGCTGAATGTCTCGCACTGCCTGCTCTCGATCCCAATTTTCCCTAATGCAATTACGCAGCTCGCGCCTTAATTGCTGCCTCCTATTGCGAACTCTTTTGCCTATTTCTTTGTACTTTTCTTGTCGAGAAGGTATGCGACTATACTTCTCTTGTCGTCGGAGAAGTTCCTGTATTTGAAGGTCGTCATTCACTGTTGCGGACTGTTCGGGTGTTAGGCGCCGTGGCCGATCCGGATCAATCCATCGACTCATCCTACATGCCGCCCGCATGATCTCAGTCTGAGGCTCCGTGCCGCGAACAATGGCTTGTGTGTCGGTTGTCACGCGACGGGAAAGGTAGTGATTCAGGAAAACAGCAGTGTTCGCATGCTGCATCATTAAATTACGCAAGTCAGCACTTGTATTTCCTGTGTCTTATTAGTCTGTTTAGCATCTTGAAGGCCTGCATTGTGCATACCGTCCTGATCAAATGCATTTCCTGCACCATACCGAAGGCAATATGGCCTTGCTACCTGCTTGAACCCAGCAATTTCGCCCACATCCTTCAGATGAACACGCAGGGTGGCGCCCGGTAGCCGATCTTTGGATATCACACACCCGCTCTCCGTTGAAGTGCACTTACGAAAGACGTAGACATCCCTCATCTCCGGCTTGATCGGTAATACTAGTGAATTGCAACCAGGCCGGATGTCAAGCCAATAGATGTTCTCCGGAGTAAGTTCTGGGATCTGAAAAACTTTATCGGCAAACATTAACCCTAGAAGGAAAACGTGAGGGCTTAGAATAAGAGATGGATCAAAGATGATTTCTGGGACTGGAAATTCAAGTCTAATCTGTTAGCAAGAGTCATTTATTAGCTACGTTGAGACGTACGGAGCTTTAGGACCAAGAAATGTCTTATTAAATTCGAAGAGGTACTCAATCAAAATTTGGTGAGGCCCGCCTTTGATATCTCGCAGAAGCGTAACCCTTAGGTGCCGATATTGTAACTTTAGGATTGCATCCGGCCGGTTGCCAGTAATGAACCCACTCGGGATATAGAAGGCTGTCTGTATACGATAGCGGCCCACTTTAAACATCTTCTTTGTGGTTACAATGGTTGTTTGCGACACTTCTCGTACGTCGAAGATATCCATTGCAGCCTTTTCTCGCGGTGTTTGATCTAATTTCGAGTCCCGTGCAAGGTCTGACAGAACCTGGCCAAGAAATGTAAGCTAAGCATAGGAATCGATCGATTACGGAAATCACGTACCATTCGGGTCTGTCCAACTAACTCGCTGTCCATATCTTTTCCTGTTATCCTCCGATGCACTTGCAAAAATTGTTTCCTATAGGTTTTGAGAGATGATGCATTCTTAATACCACGAAGTTTGCGTCCGCCTTTGCCTTTCCTTTGATCTAGCTTCCACTGAAAGAAACTAGCCACATCGCCGACAGTTAGAGACTTCATTAGATGTATCGAATCCTCTGCAACGTGTTCACAATATCTGTTTTGGTGTCAGTTTCAACGTAAGGAGATGATCGAGTTGAAACGTACTTTTCCCATTGCTCGGTCAACCTATCAAGGTGCATAATGGTGCCAGAGGCATACGCTGGAACGACGTCTGTGTTGTTGACCTTCTTTGCATGGGCACGATAGTATTCTGGCGGCCGACCATGCCCGTCATCTTCGTCTGATGAGTCCGGCAGTGACAAGTTATCACTGTCTTGGTCTGTACTGGTACCGTCTGTTTGATAGTCGACATCTTCAAAAGCATCACTCGACGTCCCAGACCACGATGAGCGGCTGCTCTGGCTGCTGCTGCTACAACAGCTACGACCCATGGTGACTGAATGGAAGTAGAGGACGACCGGCAGGGAGGTGGGTGGATGGAAGAGGTAAGCAGAGAATCTGGATTGTAACTCTGTTAAGTATACAAGAAGACAAGAAGAGCTGAGTTGTATTGAGTAGATAGGGGATAGAAGCTGCTTTAAGTATAAGATCTAGTAGGGCACGGAGTTAGAATGATGGTTACATTGCATGCAAGCTACTAAATTGTTGTTGTTGCAACTAACCTTAGTTAAGTATTCCGGTCTAGCCTGTACACTACAGGAGGCTGTAGATTTAGGGAGTTTTAGGGGCAGATTAGCAGCAGAATTCGGCACTATAACATGCTAGAAACAGCAGCTAACCTGCTGCTTCTTTGCTATTAAAAGGATGTTTATTTCAGCAGGACGAGAGGTGGGGTAGTCACGTGGCTGTCCATCCCCAGAGAAATGTGGAAAGCAGAAACCCATGAGATCTACCGTATGTTGTGGTCCTTCCGCCGATCTTTCCACTGCTAACGAAGGCTTCGAAGTCCAAATCTTGTAACTTGGCCGAGGATTGACAGGCGAGAATTTTTGTAATGAATGATATCGGCACAGAGGAACATAAGTGGCGGTAGTATCAAATTTGTAGGCAGACTACAATACATGAGAGCGCCATGAATTTGAAGCTACGTCTAGTGCTTGCAAGATATCTTCCGCGTTTGCATACTTCCTGGTCCAGCATCCAAGGATGATGCTGCCCGTTGACATCAGGATAAATTCGACGCCTGAATTGCCCCTCGGCCCATTCATCATAGCTCAGCATTTCCTCGTTTGACACGAGCGGGCCAAGACGTCTATACGACCAATGCCCCGTACAGTATAGACCCAAGGCTAAAGATATCCGTCGCGACAGATGCCACCCACTGAGCATTTGGATCGAAGAAACCGGGATCAGGTAATTGTTTTCCGTCTAATCTTAATTCCTTGCAGACAGATCCACCGAAGTCGCAAAGCCATAAATCCAACGAGGTCGGCGTTGTCGCATGAACGAGATAGTTATCTGGCCGTAGGTCAGAGTGCCATACACCCTGACTATGGATATAAGCTACCGCCTCCACAGCTTGTCGACACCATTGCTGCTTTGTACACATATCGATAGCCTCGTAATTCAGCTCGAGATACTGTTGGAGATTGCCATGACTGGGCCAGGAAAGGATCAAGCCGCGCAGACGCTGTGGCTCATCTTGCCAACCATGGTATCTAGAGTCAGCTGATACTCTATTAGATTGGAAATGGGAGGATGGTACTTCACGATCCTAGGATGATTGCCCAATCTCTTCAAGATAAGCTGCTCAACAGTGAAACAGTTTTGGATTTTGTTTGTCAATTTTTCGTATGAAGAAGAACC